TAGTCTCTAATTCTTACACTAAGCATCACCGAGCAATAAACTGATACACTGTTATTAGAGTCACCAACGTAACAATAATACTATTAGGTAAGTATGAAGTATGTATGTGATTATATAGCAAAAATTGGTATATTTAGCAGTAATCAAAATAAAGAATATTAAATATTTAAAGTACGTGTTTTAACGGAATAATAACTCGTAGTTTGCGCATCGTTGTCGAGTAATCTGCTCGTCGGGTTTATGGGCCAGAGTAAACTGCGAGTGTCTACACAATCTTCTAATCCTAAAATTTACCCGGAATCCACATAAGTTTGTGGAGAAAATTATAAATTCATGATTAAATCAAACGATATAATAAATTTCGCGCAACAATGCAACTTCCGCTTGCGATAACTACGAATATTTTAATGGGACGTTATACTAGCATTTATTCTCTGAGTCTAACCAACGAGTAACATAGTAAAATTAGGTTCCTTAAAACATAAACTGTGGTGTTAGGGTGAAAATTGGAGTTTAACATAAAAAATAATATTTAAAGAGAATAATAGTTTGAAAGTCAACACTCTACAGTACCTATAAAACACATTAAAAAAAAGGCATCCTAGAATAATGAGAACGGGTGCAGCCGCTGTTATAAGTAACATAATGTATACTTTTAAACAACGATGAACTGTTGCTACGAAAAAACGATTCTGAGCGAGGTTCAGTTGATAGTGATACTTTGCCAACAATTTATAAGTCAATATGTCATATTATAGTAACATAATTAAGTATATTCTTTCTATATTTTCTTTAATAATATTTGTTTTATGTTGTACCGATTTTCCCAGTTTTCCTAAAATTTCCCTGGTATTCTCATGTTTTATTCCGGTTTTTCACATTTACCTGAAAAAACAAAAAACGACCTCCCTAAAATACTTTTCCAGTTAAATTTCCTCTTGGAAATATTAAAAATAATAATATAATAATATTCAAATAATCATTATAAATTTGAGCGAAATTGCTGGTAGAAAAGTTGTGTACAAAAAAAAAAAAACTTAATATATTTTAACTAATACCTAGGTTTCTTATATTTTCTCTAAAATCTCCTTTGAAAAACATTGTTATCATTAAAATTTGGTACAAAATTGCTGGAGAAAAAATTGACTACTGAAAGAAAATCTTAAGATTATATTTATTGTATTTCGTAAATTTTCCCGTTTTTGAGAAAATCGAAAAATGACTTCCTTAAAGAAGTACCTCCTCACTCTGATTTACTTTCAAAAAAGGAGCTATACATAGAAATCCGAGCAATTATTTTAGTAGAAAAGTGACGCACAAATAAAAATAACAATAATAAACATTTTTTTAAAACCATATAAGCTTCTTCGTTCCACTCATTATCTATAATACGTACACACATCGCACGATGATTGGGCCACTGTTGTAGATGAGAAGTTAGGAAAGTAAGATATAGAGGGGAATTGAATGTATATCTGTACGCAAGACAAAATTATTCTAAGCGGAGTTCAGTTTACATGTTTTGAAAGGCCGTAAAATTTATGATTTTCGTCAAAATTCGAAATTACAATGCTCATAAAAAAATATTCTGTATTACACTCGGTTTTTTTTTATGACCACGACTTCTAATGAACCTCTAGTTAAATTTTCGAGCATTTCTGTTTGGTTTGTCAATTTTATCCACAGAATATCTATCGAATAAAAATAAAAATATTTGTAAATAGCTCAAAATTGCTCATTATGAAAATTTCCCAATTTCAAGAAAAAGTCAATATGAGTTTTCTGTTTCAATTTCAAGTCTGTACCAATATATTTAACTAAATTACAAAAAAAAAAAAAATTAAAAATAATAAAAGCATTATTCTCAGAAATGTTTCCCATTTTTTCTAAGTTTTTTTTTTGGTTTTACTCAATTAATAATTGAACAACAATGATCACTTTTCGATTTTATTGAAACAATATTTCTAATAGATAACATAAATTGTAAAAGTTTAAAACAATGAAATCATAATGTTGTATGGCAAGTATTTTAGAAAAAACTTTGTATGGCTCTCGATAATATTCTCCTCCTTAAGTTCTAGTATATTTAATTTATACTCTTTTTTTTTAACTTAAATGCAATAATTTATACTTATAATATATAAACATAATAAAATACGAATATTTGTTTTACACTGCTAAATTTGAATAATAATAGTAGCTTGATATATATTTTACATCGATACAATTATTGTATTAAATATACCTACAATATATTACGAACAAGACTTTGGCTTTTATAGTTTATTGGCCTATATTTTTCTTTGAAATAGTATATGATTTAAAATTTGTAACTTAAAATTATATCATAGAAGAATGTCTAAAATCAGTTTACATTTTACTACCGAGTTTTCTTCGTTGAGGGCTTCTTGTGAGCTTCATGAACAATTTACACGCATCAGTTTATTTTGGACAGTTCATAACAATGCTTAAAGATTTCTCTGTATTTATGCTACAAGTATTAGTGTTTGTTCCTTGCTGATAAACTAAAATATGGTGAGTGGTAAGTGCATGTGTCACTATTCTTGTTTGAGCAAGTATAATATTTCGTCTTTTATTTTAATATGAGGGGCAATATTTCAACGTTGAGCTTTGCATTTTTAAGCTTATTAAAAAGAAGTACTTACGTAATAATTCCAATATTTCTCTGTCGAGTATCCAATATTTTATTTCTAAATGCCTCGGATGATATGATAAAGTTTATTAAATTGGAAACCTTAGGCTAGATTCATAACTTCATTGGCAGATACATCAGTTTTTTCATTCCCAGGTATGCTAACATAAGGGACCCACAATAGTTTTAAAAGATTTCTAGTTAAGAATATACAAATTTAATATATTTTATAACGTCAATTATCCATAATACCATAGTAGATAAGACATTACAATTAGGACTACAATTTAGGACTTTAATATTTTGAAACTTTTTAGATTTAGAAGGTATTCCGTTTAGACAGAAAATTCATTATAAATTACTGTAGTGATTTTTAGTTAACCTTCCTGCAAACGAATGTTTTAATATTGAAATGTAACCAATTAAAATGCCAAACGTATTAATTAGTATATAATTTAATATTGCGCAGTAGTAATTAAACATTTAGTGGTGAGAAAAAACGACAATGCTTATTTATTATTTTAATTTAACAAATTCTTAACTCAAAAAAAAAAAAAAAAAAACGCATTTTATTTACATTTGTTCTTATTTTAGTATTAATTCCTTATTTTCCTCACTATTTTTCGATTTATATCAATACATTTTTTTTATTTTTTTGCTGTTTGACAATTGGATATAATAATACAATTTATTATAAGTTATACATAATGGTTTAAAAAAAAAGGTGTTTTTAAAATTGAGACAACTCTATGTATCCGACCTTACCAGTCTACCACCTACAACAGTGGTACACTCACCAACAATCTGTTTTTTTTTTTTTCGTGAGTTCAATAAGGTTTAATATAATGAAAATTAATTTAAAACATATTTCAACAAGGTAAAAGTTATCACCTAATTTTTATGATTGGAAATATCGACAACTGTAGATTATTATTTAAAAGTATTTTATTATTACACAGAATAATCAGAATTTTATGTTACAGAAATTATCTCCTATAAATATACAAAATAGAGAAAAAATGTATGATACAAAAATTTTAAGATTATTAAAAATTTAAAATAATTTGTATATTTTTTCTGTGTTTTTTTGGGGGAGGGAAGTAGGAGGATTTTGGAGGTAAGCGTTGGAAATTCAAATTAGAAACCGTCATTCGAAATTTTATAAATTGATTGAGTACTAGTTTAAATAAATGTCTGTGTTAAAATGTTTGATTTCCGACCAAATATTCTACTTTTTAGTTTAGATGGGAGAAGAATAGTGGAACACTATGATACCTGTGTGGTGCTATTTGACTATCGACAGAAATCAAACGTTTCAATTACAATTTCAAACACTCAATTTATATATAAAATTTTTAATACAGGTTCCTATTTAAATTTTAAATAGTTTACCCCCTCCCTCCCCAAAAAAAAAGACAGTAAAAAAAAATATATATAAATTATTTTAAATGCTTATAAATTGAAAAACTTTTGTATGACCTATACATTTCTCTTTATTTTGTATATTTATAGGAGAAAATTGAGGTAACATACAATACTGATTGCCTTGTATATTTTGACAATGAACAAACTTTAATTTCCGGTTGTGTTCGAGCAATTTTCAATATCCGAAATTATATTAATCAATTAATAGTTATGCTATTTCATAAATAAGGTAGAATGTTTTTTTTCGTTACAATCGTTAATTTTTATATTATATTCACTTAACTAGTTATGTACCACATTTATTTGTATATACTAGCTAAATTATACGGCGTTGCGGAAAAAAATTTAAATTGTTCAACTCTTTTGGGTACAACTCTTTGTTGATGCAATCTCTTTTTAAGTGCACATCATCCAAAATAACGTTTCAAATATAGCTTTATATAACATAAAAAGCCATTGAAAAATAAAAATGTATTCTAATTCTAAATTTAATCTATTTTCAATGATTTTCTATAATAGTAATTAACTACAAATAAAAATGAAACTATATGAAACTATTACAAAGATTATATATCTATCATATCATAAAAACTATAAACATGATAACAAAACCAAAAACTTGTGAGTAAAATTTATAAAATCAACAATTTATTCTAGAAAAACTTCAAAACTTCATTTGAACTACATTTGATGTTTTTCCTTCTAGTCCATAATAACTAAACTTGCCAGTATGCTGACTTTGGAGCATTACACAAAAAATTTTCAATGAGAAAATAATCTTCTCTAACATTGATTTTAGCATCCTACAACGTTTGAACTTGCGACTTATTTATGATTATAGTAAAACACACATTAATGGGACATTGTATTAACTTGAATTGTAACAGATAATCTGATAATATCATGGGTACGCGTGGAACAAAAACTGATTAGCCTTTCGCAGATCCAATAATAGTTATAATTATAACACGGACAATCAAATCATCCATTCCAGTAAGGTAAAACATGAATAAACAATAATAAATTATTTAAACATTTAGATAATCGTACCAAAAATATCAAAAAACGCCTATTTTTTGCCCATTCCAATCCCTTAAAATCAAAATTATTTTAAATACTTTTTTGTTGCACGCCTAGACTATGAAACAAACATATCCTAAAAATATCAAGTAACCTATACGTTAATTATGAATCAGTTAGGGCTTCTTATTTTATATATACAGAAGATATATGTATGTATAATGTATAATATGTATTATAAAAAAATTCACAAAAATAAGCCCAAAAGTTTGCAAAATTTAGTTTCTTATAAACAATTATTGTGCTATCAAAGTGCTATCAAAAAAATATGCACACTATAACACAATCATATTTGTTTTTTATGTGTTCTAAAATGTTGGTACCTCTACTATTAATACGGAATAGGCTAAATGGTCCCGGAAAAAAACTGCAGTTTTTTAAAAAAAAAAAAATCGTTCAGTTTATTTCATAATAAAACAACAAAAATTGCGATAACAATATCAGGATACTTGCAAACTGATTTCAAAGTAATTTATAATAATACTTTTATTGATAAATTTATATTTTTGAGAAAATTCGAGAAAATTGCATGTATAAGTACCTTAAATACATGCGATCCACATACTATTTCTTTTTTAGGTTATGAGTGGAGTGGAGTGTCATTTGTGCACGCAACGTGTTAACAATGCATCACTACTCGCCTTCAACCTTAACTTAAAAGTGGAATATTTCGTTAACGGCTTGACAAAAATCGTTTTTCTCATTATATCGATGAAACGATTAATTATCGTATTAATGACAATTTTAAAAATTATCTCTCTAAATTACCACTTAGGGAACATTTTCTTTTAGAAAAGGATACTTGAAAACCGAAGTAAGCTTTCTGGTAGAAAAGTGTTTATAGAAAAAAAAAATAAAAATCTTTGTAAAACCAATACACTCTTTGCTAAACTCAGAATTTAATATTAAAAAACAAAAATTAATAATCATCATAGTAAAATTAATACATTCCTCACTTCTCTCAGAATCTCAAATTTCTACTGAGCTACTATATTATATTTGTGGTTCATCTAAAAATCGAAAAGAATTCCGGAAGAACCGACAAAATTACACGTGTGGATAATCGAAGAATTTGAAACACTAAACAAATTATTTATAAACAACTAGATATCAAAATATATAGTATAATCTTAATTAAATATTCCCACGATGATAAAAATGTTTCTTTTTTTTTTAAGTTTATGCGATGTCAATGGGAACTGAGAAAACTTCGCCTTAAGATTCATACCCCACGAAACTTCTGCAGCAACATCGAAACGAAGTGCTATCATTTTTTCAATGATATTGTATAAAAATAAATCATCTCGCAATAATAAGTACTTATTTAAACAATTTTTCGAAAACGAAAATAAAATGATTTATTTGTTTAAACTAGCGCCCAAGGTGGAAAGATTATACAATTTTTTCGCTCAAAAGATTTATCGTGGCGTCAATATTCGCCTATTTGTCTTAAAGTTTGTTCGATAAATTAATAATAATATTAAAGGTTTTTTTTTTTTCTTATGAAAAACGCTATAAACAGTGTGACAAAATTTGTTTTTTTCTGCAATACAATTCACTCTATTTTCATCAAACAATCGGATTTCAATCGTCTTACGTTTGAAATTAATCACGTCCTCGTCGTCGTATTCGATTTGTGATCGCCCGCACCGTCGATCCAATTAGGCAACTCGTAATCCGTTCCGGCACGTCGATTAATTCGCGCTCCGCACTTCGGGACTCGACATTATTGTATTATTTTATCAACGTCCTTGAATGGCAAAATAATAATATATTTTTACATTGTGTTACCGTTAATAATGATATTTAGTCTTTTAAGCATTGTTGAAAATTCTTATAGTCTGTGTCGATTGTGTTGGCTCTGTGATGATTTTTTTTGTAGACATTAATATTACTGTGGACTAAAAGTACCTTTCAAAATCCTACGATGTTCAATCAGAATGATAACATACATTACAAAACTCAACGGTTTTAATAATATTTTAATGTTGGATTTGCTTCCAAAATACAACATTTCCAATTAAATTTCTATCGGATCTAACGTTAAATTATTTTATAGATTTATCTATAATAACCATTTTAGACAACGCCTAATTAAGACTCAACTTAACAAAACAAAACGATTCAATGAAAATTAATAATATTTGTATGATAGATACTGGTCTATGATACAAATATTACTTAACGTTAATGTTGATTAAAACTAAACCATTGTATCAAATCAATGAAATTATTTCCACATTATGAATAATTGATTTTTGTTTAGGCAGACCAAGTTTAGGTATAGCCGACTCCCATTACTTGATTTGCTCCAAACGTATAGCGCAAAAAGTAATGAGCGAATAATAGCAAATAGCAAATAATAGCAAATCGGTTTTATAAATTAACAAATTGCTGTATCGTTAATTGTAAAAGTTAAAAATCGTTTCTGCAACAGTCAATCATATTTCGCAAACCGATTACGATGTTATTAGTAGTTGTTGGTCGTTCATTCGGGACCCGGCATAAGTATCAATACAAGTCGGATGGGGTTAGTCTACTACCGTACGCACGACAGGGAAAAAATCATTGAATATAACATTATATATTTCAATATTCCTTCATTTGGGACCTTCAGCTACCTCCATTCACTCGATTTGCCAGCTTATGTTCCTAAACTTAATCGAAAAACACCCGATATCGATTTGTTATGCGAAACCATGCCAGGTAGGTCACAGAGGGAAAATGATTTCGTTTCTTCCGTATACTTATTATTTATTTTTAACCAGGGTCAGAAAACACTGAAAACAATTATTCGACTTCGGTAATACTGTGATAACGTGCAGTCATTCCGTATCATAGTAAATCTTAATTCGCGGTCGTGGTATTTTTGATTGACTTTGGACAACCCGTACATCAAAATGATATATTAGTAGGCATTATTGGATTTATGTGTATACCTAAAAGAAAATTCATCTATAATGGGTAAATGCAAACTGAAAATTCATATATTATAACTATTTATGCTTAATTTAAATTTATTATCATCATAAAACCGTACAAAAAATGACAATAATAATAATAATAAAAAACTGATACTAGGGACCATCACGCCGAATCTGTTGTAGGTAAGATGTCGGATAGGTAAAAATATATATTTAATATATAAAGTTATTTCATTTATACTTGTAACCAACGACAAAAATACTGCTAACAAATAATGATCCGAAGTGGAGTTCGGTTTATATGTTTTGAAACGTCGTAATATTTAAAATTTCCATCAAAATTTGTTATAAAAACTCATATAAAGTAAAAAAACAACATAGCAATCATTTTTTTTTTTAACATTAAGCACGACTTATAATGAACATCCTGTTAAATGTTCAAGAATTTTTGGTTAACAATTTTTTTTAAAAGTTTAACATTTTTTATCTAACAATTTTATCCATACAGTACCTAATAAAAAAAAATTATGTAAAAACTCGCCAAATTAAATTATCTATAAATAGCTCAAATAGTTTGATAATTTGACCCAGTCTAGAAAAGAAAACCATAAGTTTTTATTTAAAATTTCAAGTCCATGAATATAATTTATTAAATTACAACGCAAAAGAAAATAAAATTAGAAATAATAAAAAGCATTATTTTCGTAAATGTTTCCATTCCTTCACGTTTTTTTTTTGATTTTGTTCAATTCTTAAAAAAAACTACAAGGAACATCAAAAAAACGACTTTTTACTCACCAACATGATTAAAAATTCAATAAAAAAAGTGTCATGTTGTTTTACTCTTGGAGTAAATAAAGACCAATATTCCTGGTAAAAAATATAAACCGTACAAATTTAAACTAATGAAATCGTATGCCGTAGATTTGTTCGTTTTTTCATTTTTTGTTTCCTTCCGATTTTGTTTGTAAATATTTACCGTTTAACCTATAGTTTGTTTTCTGGTTTTTCATAAATTTGTCAAACCAAATATCTTATAATTATAAAAATACGATGAAATTTGCACGTAGGCTCTCAATTTAGGTACTCATTAGAAATAAAACATATTTTATTACTATTGTTTGACCGTAACTAATAATATGTTACAACATTATATTACAAATTATTTTAATTATATTATTTATTTATGGTTGTATGTAGTATGCGATTACTTTCGTCATTAAAAATCTCATTTGAATTTCAATTGATTTTTGTCATAATCGTAAGGACGTATTTTATTATTATAATTTTAAAGAAAACCGTACCGGCCGAAAAAGGGGCTACCAGTAACTGTTTGGGGTACATTCAATCTCGTTTCAGGTGCGTATATACCTACGAATTAATATTTACCGATACGCCACTGCCGGTATACCAACCGTTAAATCGCGGTCGATACGCGACTGCGCGCGTCAAAAGAACAGCTGAAGGATAAATTGTACAATATATTTTCTCCGGCACACCGCCGCCAGAACCGTGCGCGCAGCAATATAATAATTCTTATATTATTACGTACAAACGCCGCGCCGCCGGGTCAATCTGTGCCGCGACCCCGTCCGAACGGGCGAGAGAACCTAATGAAAAACCCCCGCGAATAATCCTTCTGCAAACGGATTATTATATTATCATTATTATTATTATTGTTATTATATACGACGGGTTATAATACTTTAGCGGCACCGTCGGATTTAGATTTCAAGTATCATTCGCTTGGCCCTCACTCACCGTCATCGCCCCACTCACCGTTTATATTATTATATTTTTATATATATATACAGGGCGATCCACTAAGCGCGCCAACTTCATTTTTTTTTGGTAATATTTTGTACAGATTCAAATTCCGATTTTTGGAATTTTTAAGCGTAGCTAAAGGCGATTTGTTCAAATACTCAGATTTTTCACAAGGGGTATCTTGTGGCAACTTTGGTTTTTTAAACGAGAACCTATATTAAAAATTTCATAAATAGATGGAATATTACTTTAAATAAATTTTGCTGTTAAAATTTTTGATTTCCATCAACCCATGGGGGTTGTGAGAATAGGGAGAATAGTGGAACAATAATAAAAATCCGCGCGCCGTGCCACCACACAAATGATGCTTCACTACTCTCCCCTTACCTATACCTAAAAATGGAATATCTCGTAAACGATTTGACGGAAATAAAAAATGTAAGCACCAAAATGTATTTGAAATAATACTTCGTCTATTTATGGAATTTTTAATATAGGTTCTCATTTGAAAAACCAAAATTGGTATCGCCATACTCCTCAAATGTTGTAAAAATCCATTTGTACGAAAATATTAACTTCATAACTACACTTAAAAATTCCAAAAATCAGAATTTGAATACATGCAAAATTTACAAAAAAAAATGGGGTGAGCTTGCTTAGTGAATCATCCTGTATATTATATTATATAAAAACTGTAGGTACCTACTGACTAGGTACAGTCCGAGGCAAATGGTAAAATATACGGCCGACCCACCTATAGTGTTATCATCTGGAAATATACCGCACAAGCACGGTAGGGACGGAGACGGAGATTTTTTTTTTGTGCCCGGAGAAGCGGAAAAAATCGGGTAGAAATCATTTTACGTACATAATATACGGTTTTCCGTTTGGTTTTTTTTCTGTTTACCGACACAGACTACCACGTAGACACATACAATACCCCGGGTTTTTTTTCTTTGTTTTTTTAGTTTATCGCATGCACAAGTAAAAACAAAATGAATTATTCCCCCGGCTTTCCTAATCCGAATTCAATTCAATGTGGTTGTGTAGGTATTATACCGTATTCCAAGTTTTCTCTACTTTTATTTCCTATAAAAATACTCGAATGCCTAATAATAATACAGCTTTCAATCAAACTGTACGTTTTAAATATATAAGGTACTTTACGTACAAATACAACGTACATCAAGCATTATACGATTTTTATAATACAATTATTATAATGTTCGCATTTTTTTTTTTTTCACTATTGTTACTTTAAATATTTAAATACTACAAAAAACACTATCAGGATTATCGTACATCACGTATTTACATCTAAATTATATTGAAAATGTTAAACTCGTTCGAGGTAGGTACCTACACGATTATTTTCCGTCGTATACGGCGTATTTAATATTTGTTTTTGTATTGCAATAACTTTTCCTAGTGTAGCTAAGTCGACATAAACGAGGATTAGAGATTTTTTTTTTATCCTCCACTCTAAACAACATTGTCGATAAAAATATAATATAATATAACGAAACCAAATACCGTAACACGATTTTGTTCACGCGGAATAATATAACACCATGCTCAACCCTCGACAAATATTATGGCGTAGACCTGAGTCGCGACCGTCACGCATATTGTTTTTTTTCATATAACAACATATTTTATTTTACGAAATCGATTAGTCTACGAACATATTTAAAATGTTACCAATGTTCTATATTTTTAACGTTAGAAAGTTAAAAGAAATATATAAACATGCCCATCCATTCCTAATGATTTAATAAACGATGATAAGAATATTGCCATTTGTTTCGCTCAATATTTATCCAGCATTTATGAAAATCAACAGCTCACTTCATCAACCAAAATCAATCAGCTGTCCCCTTAAAATAATAGTTCAATCAATTAAACTGGATTCGTGTATGTTAGACATTGCTGACGATCTTAATAGGTTAGATAATATCGCTAATAAGATGACCCCTGGTTTCTAGCTGTTTCTTTATTAATTATTGTAAATACATGTTGGTTTTCATTTAATTAGAAAGTTAATTATTTTAAGGCTATTAAAAAAAGATATGATTTAGATAATATAATAATCTATTAACTTATTTCTGTTAGGTATTTCAATTATTCCTAAATTATTTGAATCTACTGCCTACTGTATCAGATAAATGGGTCCATTACTTACACTACTATTAGATGATGATCAACATGATTTTTTTTAAAAATGCAAATTAACGGCACCATTTTTTTTTAATTTGTCAAAGATATGTAGGTACTATAAATGTACCTAAATTTGCACATTTGATATTTTTTCCAAATATCAAATATATATAATTTGTATAGTTTTTCCCAGGGCATTTGAGAAACTAATCTACTCTATATTCTTTCAAGTTATCTTCATTCTACTAGTATTCGTGACCTATTTTTTTCATAGTTGATTTCATATATCAGTAACAGACAGCAAACTTTGAAATTCCAACATTCAAACATTGATTCTTTTAATATTCCACCCGGCGTTCCATAATGCTCTCATTTAGCCCCATTGTTATTAATCGTTTTCATAAACGATTTATATTTTCTAAACCCTAAAAAATTACTATTTGCTGAAGCTATGAAATGTTTCGTTTAATTCAGCATGTTTTTGATTCAACCGTCCTTTAAAATGATCTGAATTCGCTATCACTTCGTTGAAAATTAAACAAATTGTCATTAAACATTTATAAATGCAAAGTAATGTTGTTTTCCAGGTGTCATTCACCAATTTTTAATCATTTTTCCATAAATGACATTATGTTTTTTAGGGTCCTTTAAATTTGTAATTTAGGTGTTACATTCAACTACAATCTTTTTTCTTAAGGATTTTCGAAGTATTACAAAAAAAAGTCATTATCCACTTTAGAGTTCATAAATAGAACCTAAAAAGTTTTAACAAATACTAATGTCTTGAAAATGTTGTATTTTTCTCTAGCGCGTTCTAACAATAAAATATAACACTTTGTTATAATAGAACGCGGTGAGTGGTCTACGCGAAGGGGAACAAATAAATACACGGACGCCACATTCACCGCCAACATTCGGTACATTTATGCGCAGGGCGAGAGACGAGCAGAGAGAAAACGAAAACCGGCGCGATTTCAACTAAGCGGGACATGTGGGCGTAAGAATATGACGAGGACAAAACGGATCGGGAGAAAGAAAAATAAAACAAATAGTAATCACAAAATAATACAACAACACAATCATGGTGAACAATGTTCGGTGACATCGTAGACATACATAAAACTAACCAATACTAAAAGAGAGAAAAGGTAACAAAAATAGGTACGAGTACCGGCCAAGATACAGACGAAAGGAAAAAAAATTGGAAAATAAAAAAAAACCGTATATTATCCATGAGATCTGTGGTCCATCATGGTGCTCAAACGCACCCGGAATCGGAGTTTTTCTTGACTCGTCATCCTAATGCACGGGTGGACAAAACGAGACAGAGAGGAAAAGAGAAACGGTCCGTCACGAGTCACCAAATTGCCGTAGCTCGCGAACAGTCGCGATAAAAAAATGTATATATATATATATAATTTTAATTGACCAGTACCTATTCTTAATGAGTTTTTACCTTGGGTGTAATTTTAATATCTGCGCAGGCGGTATCCCGTTTGAAGTGGACACGTTGAATATAGAGCGAGCGGTGATGTTTTGTGTACGGACAAACAGTGTGTCGGGTGCTTTCGCGCGTCACGGGTTACCGCGTAAAAATACCTGTGTATCGACACAATCGTACCGTTAGCGGAGTAAAAGCGCGTACCGGTTTTGAACGTCACATATTATTTATATATTATTACTATTTTTAATTACTATTACAATTAAGTTCTGTTTTTTTTTCTCGGAATAGATATATGTCTAAACAGTTTATAACCCAAAAACTGTTATTAGGCCCAGTCCTTTTAAATCCATTTAAATAAACAAATAAATATCAGCAGGATAATTCCAATTTTTCAAGTAAAACTTTTACACTCCCAAGGATTTTTATAGAGGACATACATTATTGAAATAATATTCTTTGCCAATTTTTGGATATTTTGTATTTGATAATGTTAAGTGTTTCAATTAATGACGCGGTACCTACCCATTATAAAGTTTGTTTTTGTGGAAGACCCAGCAAGCACCTATATGCACCTGGATTCCGACGCTTTGGCTACCAAACTTAGTACCTTTTATTAGCTTTAAAAGCTACTCAAGAGACTCGAAGCATGGCTATATATTGGCTAATACATCAGCTCTTTCATTTCCATTTAGTTTCAACACGAGGATTAATATTGTTATAATCGTCTGCTGTCGGTATGTTTTATGTCAATAATTACTCGTATATTAACTATACCGGAAAATCGTGTATCTATACTATAACATAGTCGGAAGTTACATACTATACGGAAAACATAAAACCGACGGGAAATGTATAATTTCCAGTTACATTCCGCCCATTTCAGTATACATTACCTACTCGTAATAATGTGTTTTCTATACGACCATAATTCTGTATGTTTTGTATTAAAATATTTATTATTTATTATTTTTACTATACGGTGGCAGCCGACAATGTCTGATTATAATAATATTTGAAAACAACTATATATATATATATATATATATCTATTAAAATTCATGTGTCCAAAGTGAATTGTAATAAAAAAGTGACGACCGTTGCAGACTGCACCTGTGTTTATACCTCTCTGGTGTCATGCAGTATGGCTCCGATTAATCGTCGCGCGTCATTTATGACAATAAAACACAACACTCTGTACAGTAGTATCTTCGTATGTCGTTTTTTATGTCGTCTATCTGCTCCATTGCAACAATTGAAATAAATTGAAAATGCGCATACTTTATCTTAGGAATTGTAATTGGACAAGTAGTATTTTTTATATAAGATAACAATAATAATATAATAAACAATATTCGGTTTGAATAAGTATTATTACATAGATAATGAATTTTTTACTAGATGAAATTTACCAAACCTAAACGATTAAATAATAAATACACAAGAGTCTATTAATTCATGGTATATATTTATGAATATTTTTCAACAACGTAAGTAATTGCAACTGAAACTTTCAACAGTTTACTGGCCCCGATATCAAAATTGTCCAACTTTTAAATGATAATTTTTCTTAATCCGTTTTGGAATCAACCGAATGTGATTAAAACAAAACCCGACGGGGTTAAATTATTTTTTTTTTTTTAAGCGTCGCTAACAGTGGCTACGCCGACGTTATTTATTCAGTTTGTAATGGTTTCGTGGTGGTGGTGGTGGTGGTGGTGGTTCTGACGAAAAATAATAATAATAATAAAACTTTTTGACTAATTCACAGTGGTGGAGGCATTATTACTATCATTTTTTTCCCACCTTGAAACTTTTAAATTGGATATTATGATAATATTCTAGACAAAAAGTATCATTTGACTCGCTTCGTGCTTTCATTATTCCATAGACATATTATAATATTACATATACATATATGTATAGATAATAAAAACAGTTTTGTAACTGTACGATTGACAACAATATCTGAATAACAAACTAAAAAACGTTAAGCAGTTAAATTCATAGTGTTTGCATATTCTCAGTCTATAACAACAGTGTTTGTCAACCTTTTATGAATCGCAACCTTCTAATTTTTTTTATTTTTTTATTTATAACAACCCCTTCAAAAATAGTATAATAAAACTTAAACAGATGAGACGGGATGAGTACAGCCACTATGATAGGTGAAAAATGCATAAAGGTATAAATTAGATGGGAAATTTAATATGTGTATGTAAGAAACGATAAACAATTCTGAGCGAAGTTCGATTGAGAGTATTGCTTTATCAACAATATATATATATGCCACATTATAGTAAAATAATTAAAGATATATCATTATATACTTTCTTTAATAATATTTGTTTGATATTTTCACTATTTTTCCGTTTTGTCTATGTTTTTCTCGTTTTTCCCATTTATTGGGAAAACTCTTGAGAAAATTATAAACGACCTTCCTAAAGTACCTCCCCAGTCAGATTTTCTTTTAGAAAAAGTGCTATCGTTGTAAATCGGAGCAAAACGCTCTTAGAAAAGTTGTCCACAGAAAACAAGTAATAAAAAAATAAACATCATTGTAAAATCAATACATTCCTTGTTTCACTCAAAATCTAAAATAACATAATGATAATTTTAGCAACGGCATACCAGAGGGGACTGATAGTAGGTTCATATTTATATACATAGTATAATATATTATATCAATATTTATCAATCCTCTATAATATATGTATCATTTATACTATTCATCAAACTCAAATAAATTAAAGCATTTTCAAATTATTTTAATTTTTATGCAAAAAAAAATATCATTGATGATAATATTATCTTCTCAATTTGTTTAATTATTCTCTTATAACTGCTAAATAAATTATACTTGAAATCTATGATTGTTTTTTTGCATAACATATTTTTCCCCGAAAAATATAACCGACAGTAGTGGAGGATCTGTGTTCACAATACTTCACAACTGCTACCATTGTTTATTTATTTAACTACAATACAATTATACAAGTTGAAATCTTGTGTTCCCCTTCGCAGGGCAGACTCACATTTGCAATATAATTGTTATAATAAAATAAAAGCAAATAGAATCTTTAAGAGGGAATAAAACATGTTTATCTATAGCTGTTCCAACCATTTGTTTCTTACTCCTTTACCACCCAATCTATACTCAAAGAAGTAGTTTACGAAAAACCGTATGCATTTCGATCAAAAATAATTCGTTTATTCTGAAACTTCATAAAATATATATTATTTATGACAATGCATATTAACCGAAAAAAAAAAATAATAATAAAGGCCGTGAGGCCTTAAGCCGACAATGGAGTAGAAAAAAAATACGTCGTACATAAAACGACGTATACATATAAACATGGTTGTATCTACAAGAACAATTTAGATTTATAGGTATATAAAAAAAATGAAAAAAATCAATGATGATTTACGATTTTTTCACGAGGCATTATCTTTTGTTCCGAATTTGATCCCACGGCTACAAAGCCTGTTAACCGTATACTGCACGTCATCATTGTAGTAATAATATAATAATTGAAATAATAATTTTACAAAAATACGGGTAGAATAGCTGCATTTAGTGATGTAGAAAGAATTTCTCAATGCAAGGCTCCGAAAAAATTCAAAATTACATGTTCGTCTCCTGACGTTAATTTTCATAGTTTTTTCGAAGTTATATTACCTACTTACACAATCAATAAAATGTGAAAATAAATTATACACTCCAGAAAGTAACATAATATGAATCGATTAAACGTAAAATGATTGAATGAGTATCATATTCAAATCTAAGACAACACAATCGTACTAATATTAATAATATTATCGTTTGTTCCAGATTTATTCAATAAATATAACCCAATGTTTTTGTCTTGTGTATATTATATTGCTATAATTGATATATAGGTACTAAATTATTACTAGTTTAAGTTTGGAACAAAACCGAGAACTTTTCACGCCACCTACCTATTGTTTTAAAATATAATTTATAACAAATTTTATATTTGTGATATTTTGTGAGCTGATAGAAATTATTAATTTTTCGTTTCAAAAGATCATACAAATCAACTTTAAGCGTTTAAAATTCGACAAATTATTAACCTTTCAGTTTAAAGATATACAAATTATTTTTCGCGTAGAAATTACTATCGGTATTATTTTTAACAATGCCAGGCTAGTTGTTTAAAATAATTTTAAATCATTGTTAAATTAAGCTAGTTGCGAAAAAGTTAATTTTTTATAATCAATTTATGAGTAAAGTTAGTATTTGAAACTCAAGTTGAGTTAATTTTTTGTGAATAATGCAAATTATAGAGATTTTCATAATTTGAAAATAAGGATGAGAAAAAGGACAAGATCATAAATATCACAAAGGGGTTTTTTCTGTAAATATCGAATCATTAAACTATATTATAAGTACGAAGTACCTAGATACTTATTCACTTATTTTAAACTCAGAACCCCACAAACATTATAGAGTACAATAAACTTATTACATAGATTAAACATTTAATATACAATTAATTTTATAAAATTACCGAAATAAAAAGACGTCCTAGGATAATAGGGAGGGATGCAGCCACTGTTATAGGTAATCTAATATATACTTATAAGCAACGAAAAACTATTGCTTACGATAAAACGATTCTGCTTTGTCAACAATATATATGCCATATTAAGGTAAAATAATTAAATAAACTCTATATAATGTTGTAACAATTTCTCCGGTTTTCCTGCGTATTTTTGGTTAAATTAAAAGTTGTCTACAGGAAAAAAGAAGACCATAATATTTTTAGCTAATACCTACATTTCTTGCATTTTCCCGTTTTTTTCTTCATTTTTTCAGATATTTTGAGAAAACTCCGTAAAAAATTGAAAAAGACCTCTTTAAAGTACCTCCCTAGTAAAATTTCCTTTTAGAAAAATTGCTATCAATAAAAGTGGGAACAAAATTACTGGTAGAAACATTTTTCACAGAAAAAAAAAATAAACATCTTTGTAAAACCATAAACCTCTTCGCTTCACTCAGAATCTAAAATTAACTTTATATAATTCAAAGTTAACTCATTATTTATTAAGTTAATATAAATAAATAAGTTAGACAAATAAAAAATTAAAGGTTAAATGCTAAGTTAATAATTAAAATTAATTTAATTAATTGATTATTTTAAGTTGTAAATACGTGTATGCCTAAACTTAGTCTTAAAACCCCTGAATTTGATCATCGGATCAAAATTCCTGATAGAAAAATCATTAACAGACAAAAAAAAAAACACACACACATACATCATAGTATAATCAATATACAATCCTCGTTTTGCTTAGAATCTAAAACTAACTAATTTGACCTCATTTATCGTAACTCACATTTACAAAACCAAGGGCAACTAAATAAAATTGCTTTTTACAGTAAATTAGCAATTTATTTTATTGTATCTAGGTCCACTGGGTGTGCCCTGCTCGGTGTATCCTCAAACACTATAAAATAATGAAAATCGAATATGACGTGAACTAATGATTATAATCATTATTACAAGGTGCATTACTGAAAATTACACAGTTTAGACAGGAAAATACCTACATTTTTGTACAATTATTATTATCAGAATGTAGTATTACTTTTTATATGCTGAATTAATGATGACATAACATATAAAAGAATCACATATTATCTTTTTCAACATAATATTTCAACAGTTATATGGGTCAAAAAAATAAAATGAACTGATAGTTATCATTATTATTGGTCAGTAATTGTTTTTACGCCTGTTACCATTATGTTCGACACGAGTAATAATTTTATAAAACCAATGAATAATGTATTATGGAACTATATGAACAACGAATACAAATGTGAACCCTCAAATAATATTATTATGATCACAAAAATAGATCACCTACTATAATTGCAGGGTTAAACTAGCCTTTACTCTAGACTGGTAAGTGTCCAATCCAGGTGTACAGGCATCTAAAAAAGTCCCCAATGTTGCGCCATTTGCGCGGTTAAAATATATTTTTGGCTAATATATGGTTTTGATGTTTTATTTTTGACTTTTTTTATAGCCCCCTTCTTTCCGTCCCATATACCGTAAATAACAAAAAAACATATTTTTCATTTTTTGGCACTTAAAACATTTTATCTGGTTTTACACATTCATCATTCAAATATTGAATAACTGAAAAATAAAAGAGATATTTTAGTTGATGAATTAATTTAATTTCAAAAATTATGACAATACAGACAAAAAAAAAAATGAACATCTTTTTAAAACTATAAGAATTTTCGCTCCACTCAGAATCTAAAATAGGATTAATTAATCTAGTAGGTTACATATTAAAATTATGATAACTGTATAGGTCACAACCTATAACAAAAACGTTACTGTAAGTCACACAGTATAAGATATAAGATTGATATTATAAATAATATTGAATTAGTTATGGCATTAATTAAAATTACACGTCGTCGCTTACAATTTAATTAAAAATGTATAATTTCATTTTTTTGGATATTTGATAAACCGGGATCAAGTACCTAATACCACAGACCTCATACTAAGGTACCTACCTATTAGTAGTACTGTTACGTACCCACATGCTTCTCGTAAACGCATGTGAACCCAAAATAGATCGTAATTCACTTAAAGTATTCGCAACTGGAATACTGAATTATAGTAATTGCTTGTAGCGGATGACACGTGGACACCTAAGCATAGATCTTCTCATAGAACGCATGTAAAACCGAAATATATTAATATTACTGATGATTCTTAATCTAATTTTAATTTATAACTGTCATAGCAGACAATAGTAAAAGGTTCTTGTAAATTGTATTATAACACAATTTGTAGTAAAGAATAAAAAAAAGATTCTAAATGTTAATAGGTACCTATAGTATTTATAGTATTCGTACGCGCGTCAGTTAGCGAGCCGATCTTTAAAGTTGATTCCAAATAGGCATATCACCACACAACGAAAGACTATAGATAGAAGACTATGAACAAAGGGTTGCGGGGACAAAAACACAAGTTATAATATAACACCGGACGAATAAGCAAACGGCAGACGAATCCACCACAACAATATTGCGAGTATATTGTCGCTCTGATAATAATTTCCAATGCTTTAGTTAACAATAAGACAGAAACAGAATTATTCTTCAATAAATTCAAAGTGATCAAATTTATTAAGTACTTAATAATTATTTATACAGGTTAGTAGATATTTATTACTTAACTATAAAATATTAATACATTTTTACTAAATTTGTAATTAATTTGATAGGTTAAAAGATATAAATATTTTAAACAATGCAGGTTTTTAAATTATAATATAATAGTTAAAAACTAAAATAATAGATATTTAGTAATAGTAATTTATAATAATAAATAGGTAGCTTTGTGGGTACCTAATTAATTATATTGTAAGATATAGTATCTCTTGTCCAGTAACATTAATCATATACCTACCTAGGTTAATAAAAGAAAATGATTAAGTTTTGAAAAATAATTGTATCAACAATAGGTAATATGTGATATATAATATTTAATGTATAGTTGCAGTAATTATAAATATGTTTTAAACATTATTATGGCCGGTTATGGCATAAACATGTATTAAGGTAATTTTATCTAGTTGGTGCATTGGGAAGTAATTTTATTGATTTTCTAAATTTAATATTCTAAAGATATTCACAGATAAAACCAATATATTCCTCACTACGCACCGAATGTAAAATCTTCTTTTTTGTCTTAGTGACTAGATATTAAAAGAAATGAAGTTGATCTCTTGTTATTTTTTGATTGGGGTAATATTTTTGGCAGAAAACTTAGTTTAAAAAAGTTAAAAAATATGAAATCGTTAATGCTTCGGCACACCATAAATATTTTCCGTTTTTTCTTTTAGGTGTATCTTAATTATTTTGAAAATTCCTTAGAAAATCAAATCAAATCAAATCAAAATGACCTTCTCCGATACACCAAATAGACAAAATTTCCTTTCGTAAAAGGTGCTACAGTACCTTTTACAGTACAGTAATTCGGAGCAAGACTTTAGGTAGAAAAGTTTTAACAAGAAGAGAAAATACACATATCATAGTAAAACCAACTACGCTCCGAATCTAAAATCCTATTTACAGGGTTTTGCATGCCCTTTGATTTCGCGTGAATTTATCGCTTCGGCCGCTAACAAACCAAACCATAGGTACGCACACTATTCACGAAAATACATGAAAACACGAATAGTATTGAGCGACCTTAAAACAATAAATTATAATCGGCGCCGTTGATAATATTCCTATTTTAATGGTAAACGGCAGTTGCCCACTCCGCTCTACCCCGTTCTTGTGCGCCCGTAAATTAAAATATTATTTTTTTCTACCGTTCGTCAAAAAAAAATCGGGTTTTTTTTTCGTTTATCGCACGACGCCAAACGACCCGGGAATTCAGCTGTGAATATTCGACTTTTCGACGGTGACCTCCACCCTTTATACCACGCAGTATAAATTATGTGTACGCGTAGAGTTATTGCATATCGGCGCCACTCGTTTCGGTCGTTTGGAGTGTTAATAATTATCGTTTCTGGCACGGTTTTTTTTAAGCCGAGGACCGAGGAAAACAATTACACCACAATATCAAAATATTATCGCACGAAAAATGTATTTAACGCCGAGAGTGCATTTTGTTCTCACCGCCCAAAATATATAATATAAAATGCGTAAAATTCGAATTAAAAACGAAAAGAAGTATATTATAATGTTCATTAGTACCCATTATGTTATATTTTTTTATTGATTTCAATGGGAGGGTTTTATTTTATAGTTTTCTAAATAATAATTAATCGACATTATTCACGAATTAAAATAGTATGGATGTCCAACTATGAAAAAGTCGATAATTTTTTTCACAGTTTGTTAAAATATACCATGATATTATATTATCAGAAATTGGCTTTGCTCTAATCAACTACTTTGATCACATTCTTATTAGCGTTCCGATTTCTAATTATTTTCGTCGCAGTATACAAAATTACCTTATACGGCACAGCGCAAAAATACTCTTGAAATATGGCCAGTTCAGTAACTAAAAGGTATTAGAGGGCGCAGTCACACCCGTTCCAGTTCGGTTAGGGAACCCGAAGTAATCAAATATTTTTCTATTGATAATATTATGCTATTAAACTATTAATTTTCTAAATAATTAATTTTTATATTAATAATTAAAAACTATTTTATTATGTTGTAGCCTGTATGAGTGTAAATACGATCCTACTATGCTATTAATATAATGTTCATGAATATGGTACCCATTACAGTGAACAAAATACGAAATTTATAGTTTTATTATTATTGTTAATCGTCGAAGATCTGATAATATATTTATTTATAATGTTAATATGTGTTTTTAATAAAATCATGCAATAAAATTTATTTTGAAAATGTATAAAATAATTTCAATGAGGGTGACGCAGTACTCTCAGACCTCTGTCAATATGACTGGGTAAATTTGCTCCCGGGCCCAAATTTTTAAGTCACGCCATTGTATACACATACAGTCGTGCTGTCAAAAACGGTCTTTTTCATATATTATTATAATTTATTATTATTTTTATTATTATTATTATGAATAAAATACACATATAGGTAAATATTATATTTACGCGTGGCATTCCGCTGCCAATGAATAAAAAATAATTGTCTCGCACGTGCGGTAATAACTACAGTACATCCTGGATACCTACGTGCTTACACGTAATATCGTCCGTATATTATATTATTACGTATTAAAATTCGGTCGTCCACGCGATAGTAATACATTTTCGAGAAATCCCGTCGCCGCCGGCGAGCGGAGTAAAAATTACCGATTCCGGGGGTGGGCCAGAAGGGACTGTAAAATCCCCGAGGACTCGTTTATCCCGTATGTTTTCCGCTTGCGTACACCCGATATAAGTATAAATAGGTACTGTTTCGAACCGGGGGGACGTGCATTAGCAACACGGCGTATTATTTATGTTTGGGTGCACGTAAATATTCTGCCACGAACAGTTTTTTGTTTGTTTTTAGGGTTAACTTCGACAGAAAAAAACTGGTATAAAATTGCAGGGAGGGCGTAGGATTCTGAACAAAGCAAGAAACTTATTGGTTTTACGTATTGGTTTGTATGATGTGTGGTTTTTATTTTTGTACCTGTGAACATCTTTTCTACTAAGAATGTGACTCCGATTTTCAAGTATATATATTTTCTAAAAACAAAGAGTACCAAGCTAGTGCATTAAGGTCAATTTAGATTCTGAATGAAGAGAAGAAGCTTATGGTTTTACAAAGATATTTATTTTTTTTTTCATCTGTAGACAACTTTTCTACCAGAAATCTTGCTCCAATTTTTAAGTGTAGCACCCTTTTCTGAAAGGAAATCTGACTGAGAGTGTACATTAAGAAAGTCATTTTTTTTATTTTCCCGGGAGTTTTCTCAACAAATGGTAAAGACGAGAAAAAACATGAGAAATCTGAGAAAAAGGTAGGAAAAACTGAAAAATCGGTACAATACCATTAAACAAATATTATTAAAGAAAATATATGCCTATTTAATTATTTAACCATATATGACATATATATTGTTGACAAAAGCATTACTATCAACTGAACTCAAAATCGTATTTTCATTAGCAATGGTTTATTGTAACTTTCTGATATATAATTAAATTCCCTTCCATATCCTACCTTCCCAACTTCCCACCTACAAAAATGACTGCACTCATGTGCGAAGTATGTTCATCTTTTTTTAATTTTTCTTTATGCAAATTTACGACTATAATGGTTTTCAATGTTGTTGTGATTCGGTTAAAAATAATCGTAGAGACTAGAAATTTGAATAGACTACTACTTATATAATTTTAGACGTGATAAATGATCAAAACAAACTAGCCATTTTTGAGCTATGTATAGGCATCTGATACTTAAGACCTTTTTAGTATCTATTTGACTTTATGTGGATAGATGGAGCGTAATGTAGTAGTTTTTTTTTATTTTAGGAAAAGAATTTTAAATTCAATTGTTAATGAAAATCGTGAAAAGTTGTGACATTTCAAAATGCATTTAACGGAATATCGCTCAAAACCATAGCTATAATTTATCGTTACATAGGTACAGACATTAATTTAATAACTTTACGTATTTTACCACATCACGACTTCCCACCTATACAACAGTGCATACCCGTCATTAGAAGTATCGACTCTTTTTTTTTTGGTTCACGTGTATGTTTTTGTAATGGAAATACATCCGACGTTTCGTAAATTTAAAAATCATCTATTCGCGGTCGTGTCGATTAAACAACATTAACGAATGGGAGTAAAAAAAAAAAAGGAACGAGACGCTATTAAAAGTTTTATCGCACAATAGAAAAACCGGATACCGTAACCGTTTGTGAAGTTTCGTCTTGTAATAATAATATATAGGTATACATCGTTATAAATTCTTATTATAGCACCTACGGCATTACGAAACAGAATCGGGTCCCAAACTCTCTAACGAGAAAACAATATAATTCAATTATTATTGGCCACTATTCACCGCAGCAGGATAGTGAAAGCTTTATCGTTTTTCTGTATAATATTATTATTTTACACACTTGCGAATAGAGATTCTTTATTAATTTATGTCTGACGTCGAATAACCTAATTTTCGGGATATGCCCGTTAATGTTGATATAATATTGTTGAACAAATTCATAGGTCGCTCGCATGCCGATGTAGTTTAGTATTAAACATTAGTACTATCTGGTATACGCTTCTCGGCAGGGACATACTCGCAGGAGGGGGGGTAAGAGTGTTATATCCCCTATGAACTTTTTTTTTATACATTTGTTCGAAGTTCCTTAGTAATTTTGATTTTCCCGGGAAAAAAAAAAGATAATGCATAGTTGGTTTTAATTTTTAGTCATGTTAATGTTTTATTATCACATATATAAAATAAGGTTAGTAGATACTATAGCAATAGTAATCATCTTTACATAATGTATAATTTATAACTCAAGAACGGCTGGACCTATTTTATAGATCTCTGATTTGTTGATTTCATCTCCTCCCCAAACAGCAGAATAACTATTAAAATATCAAAGAAAAATCACGTAAAAAAAAATATGAAGGGTAAAATAAGGGTTTTTAAGTATATTTGGTACCAATGTCTAATTGCTTATTCATTTATTTTTGTTTATTAAAGGGTTACCTTGGTGTTACGGAAAAGAAAACAATTATGGTTATTATTATTACTACTATTTACACTATTAAAATTTCACAATAGATCATATTACCCACTTTCCACCTATTAGTTTTCATTCAATTCTGACATGGCCAAAACCAAAATTGAATACCTACGGGTAAAATAATAATAATACAAATTGGCACGGGCAATGTCGGGCGCGGGACATCTAGTATTAGTATAAACAAATAACTATATATGTATAATTACATTGCAATTTGTACCTGATTACCTACTCCTAAAATATCAATGTACATACCAATAAGTATATTTTGTAAATTTGTGTATATGAATATCAGCAAAACAAAATACAGATCATACTCCCCCATAGGAAAAAGTTGAGCTCGCTTAGAGCAGAACTCTTCCTCGGCCGTATTCCAAAAAAGTGTAGGTAGACCGTTGTTCTCTGTTGCGCAATTCGCATTTGAATGCAATGTTTAAACATTTTATATAATATTATGTGTTATCGTTTACCGTTTACAAATTATTATCGAATATTAGCCTTAAAAACCAATGCCGTTCCTCGTTTACGATAACGGTGGTCTCAGGTGAAACTATAACCTAAAATAAGTTAAAACTTAGGTTTTACACACAATAGTTATATACAAAACAGTTCGTCTCCTTAATCCTTTTTAGAGTTTTCTTCTTAAAAAAACACCTTGGATGTTAGTAATAAAATTTCAAATTGTTTAAAGTGTACCTTAAAAAATACAAATACCCCCTCTCCCAACAAGTAATACATTATTTGTCTTATTTGCCTTATTTGTTTTTTCAACAAATTTATAAAATAAAACTGACAATAAATTACGATACATTGATTTTATTCTTGTAAATTTCTGAAACACCTGAGGCTACAAGAGGCAAAACTATGACTAAAGGTTTAGTCATAGTTTATTTATAGATCTGCTTTAAGTCGTTTTTTAACCGTTTTTTTATTGTAACTTTCAAAACTATATAAACCGTATTAATTATCGTAAGATAGTCTGACTGATGCTTTCCCAATGAAGTATATTTTGATTTTAGATTCAAAGATGATATTATTTATGTTTAAGTATACAAAAATATTCTGCCACGAGCAGTTTTTTTTATTTTAGATTCTGAGAGGAGCGAAGAAGCTTATGGTTTTACAAAGATGTTTTTTTTTTTTTATCAGTGCGCAACTTTTCTACCAAAAAAAATATCTTGTTCCGATTTTTCGGTATAGTCATTTTTCTAAAAGGAAATTTCACTTTAGAGAGATCATTTTTCAATTTTCTCCGGAGTTTTCTCAGCAAATGTAAAAATCTGGGAATAAATATGGGTTACCGGTAAAAACCTAAGAAAACCGGGAAAATCGGTACAACATTAAACAATATTAAAGAAAATATATAAAGTATTATATTAAATTATTAAATTATTTTAATATAACAAGTCAGATATATTGTTGACAAAGCATCACTATCAACTAAACTCCACTCAGAATTGTTTTTTCGTTAGCAATGGTTTATCGTTGTATACAAGTATACATTAAATTACCTATAACAGTAGCTGCAACCATCTACATTATCCTAGGACATCTGATTTCGATGTTTTTCTCAGGGGTATCCATAACAAGTGAGAAAACAGGGAAAATTTACGAAATGTATTATTTTCAAATCGTAAATTCTATGGCCTTTCAAAACATGCATAATCGAACTCCACTCAGAATCTTTTTTTCATTAGCAATTGTTAATCGCTGCGTACAGATATACATTAAACTTCACCTCTACCTTCCCAGTTTCTCACCTAAAATAGTGGCCACCAATCCATCGTGTGATATATGTCCGTTTGTTTTTTTTTCGTTGTGCTGTTTCATAATACGAATTTTCACATAATTTGAGGTGCCTATAAATAATGAATTATTATAAACGCACGTTGTATTTGTTTAATTCCCAGCCTAAGTTATCCAATGAAAATATTAATTCGTTTAACTTTTCATAGGTCTAATTCGAAATTTAATTAAACACTTAATCGTTTACGTGCCACTCGAATATGTTCAAAAATTAAAACGGCTATAGGGGTTGAAATACCTGTAGTATACTGTTATTGGCAGTGGCATTATAATTGAACCAATTCATATTAGTAAAATGCGACTATTCGATAATAATATTATTTATTTTATACATTTAAAATATTTAGTGGAAATATTACGAACGATAAATGCACATAAATTTTATTTTTAATTAAAAATTAAATTTGATTAAAAGTGTAATTAATATTTGCTTTTTATTCGATAATTCGACGATTTAACTATACACTTTTGTGATGAAAATAATTTGTGCAACGGTATAAAATGTAAAACTTTATATAGAGTCTCAAGTATACTTTATTTGGGATTAACCATTAATAAATTCTTGAGATGGAATTTGCATGTGGATAATTTAGTAATGCGTCTTCGTATTTTAAGTTTTAGTTTTTATAAATTACTCAAGGTTGTATTGATGCAAGTAATTCGTACAGTATATCTAAGTTTATATCAAGCAATACTACAATATGGGCTACACATTTGAAGGGGACTTTCAGTTAATGCTCTGAAACTACTATTAATCCATCAAAGAAAAATAGTTCGAATATGTTTTCAAAAATCTACTTTTAAAAGTTCAACTATTATAAACTTTAAATCCTTTAATGTATTACTAGTGGATTCAGTGTTCAAAAAATTACCAATTTATGGGTGGCAAAAAATATTAATAGGTAACTGGATTAATTTAAATTAAATCTCAGATAAAAAAGAAATCATAGCTTATGATGTCAAATTTATATATTTCAAAAAATCATTTGGTCAAAAATGCATGGACTACCTCGGTCCTACTTATTTTAATTCTATGCTGTTACTATAAATAAAAATATTATCTGTAAATTTTCTAATGTTTTCTAAATTATCGGTTATAAATTGGTTATCTATGTCTCTAGTTTAAGTGTGTATCTATTAATGTTTATATCCATATCTTGTTTTATTTTTATTTGCTTATATATCTATATTTAACTTTATTAATTGTACATATAATATGAAACATTAAACTCTCTACCTTCAATACAAGCGTTGCTTATCGAAATAGATAATTTCATTTTAAAGCAATTTCTATTTTTTATTATTTTTTACATACATTGAGAAATAAAAAGTATCTGTAAATCTAAATCTAATTTATTTCTTTATTTTTTAAGAGTCGTAATCAATTCTAGTGTATTGATTATTAAAACCATGGTTTTTCAAACAGACTTTATTACAATAAGTAACTGCCTTGTTTTTTATTTAAATGTTTTTAAAGGATTTATAAAGGACTTAATATATGCTTTATTCCAAATGTTTTTTTTTCTATATAAAAACGCTTCAAAATCATTAATCTAATAAATAATAATTATTATAACTTAAATGTAGTTATACACAAGCATAATTAAATTACTATAAATATCTTTTATTATATTAGACATGCTATTTTTGTATTAGAAGTTGTTGTGCAACTGTTTTAAAAAGGCAGTTCGAAGGGAATATATACATTATACGTATATATGTACAGTCATTTAATTTATATCTTTATGCAACGATAAATCATTTTATGATTCTGATTAGAGAATTATTAATCATATTGTTTACCTTGTTGCCAAAATAACTCAGAAATCGACAAAAATTAAGCCAGTTTTTCCATTTATTAGGATTTTGGAATAATACATTTTATTAAACTTTTATCAAACTTTGTACAACGAAAATCAAAAAAATTACTCTCTCAATGTACCAAATAAATTTTGTATTATTTAATAAATGCCAAGTAGTAATATTATAAATACAGATATAATATTAAATGAATGTGATAAGTAAGAAAACAAAAGGTTAGTATACTTAAGTACTTGTTCAAACATAAAGTAGAGTGCAAAATATACATATAAAATGTTAAAATATACATATAGCTAAAAATAAATATTTAGATAATAGTAGTTGAGTGGTCTAAGGATTAAATATTAACCTTATTTGTGGCTCTGAGTATGCTATGTAAAGCGTGGTTGTGTCCATATGAGGTCTTATGTCATGGTATATAAAACAGCGATTGGTTTCTTGAGGAATGAGAAGTTTCTCTAAATGCAATAGCGGTAAGTAGTTCAAGAAGATCTAGAGAACAATTTAGGACTGAATAAAGTAAGAATAAATCCACTTTATTCCAACATGAAGCAAGTGTAGGAATATTCAAAACCTGTCTAACGTTTGTGTAATCATGTTTTCAATTGATTTTATTAGGTAGTTGATACAGAGTGATTCATATTCGATGTTCACACGATTTTCAAAAATTCAACACGCGAAAAATCATCGTTTTTCTAGATACATATTGAAGATATTTTAGGAAACTAATAAAATATTAATAATTATCATCAATAAAGTGACTTAAAGCGTACTTTTACTTCAATCATTTAAGTACAAGAAAAGGCTCAATATTTATGTTAGATTTTTTTGTAATAAAGTTAAAGATCGTTAAAACAAAAATTCCACCATTGCCCAAATAAGAACTACCCTAATATATACTGTACTGTAAAGTATATAGGTATCTATAAATCGGAAAAGTGTCCAGCGATCACCGACCCTGTTGTGAAACGTCTAAAGTTATACAAAAATGCCAGAGCAGAGTCCATCACAGAAGAAACTCCCGTACATAATATTATTTAAATTTAACATTTTTGTTTTTGTTATAATATTTAATACGAATAATCTAAGGTCTAGAGACTTTTACATTTAAAAATAGACTTCTCAGAAGTCATCAGTGAAGACGGGAGATTGACGAACCGGCGGTCGATGACGGGCTTAAAAGTTCGACGTCGAATTTCGGTTATTCTTAGTCTACTGTACTAGCACGAATTTAATTTAATGTTTTATATTTTGTCGTTTGGTTTTTTTTTATTATAATATTACGTAATCGCAAATTAACGAATTATGAAAATATATTTCAAATATTATTTCTATATTATGTACAAATATATTTTTTTTATATTTAGTCATGTAGGTATTTGCCAGAAAAGTATCCCGTGGTCACCGAGATACAGATTCGAGAGACCAAGATAATCTATTTACTCCGTGTTCCGGTCATGCTGCGTTGTTTCTGAGAACCGAACACCGTCATAATAAAATTGTGGTGAGTTCACCACCTCACATTAACATTCTTATTTCTGTATTTTATTTTTCAATTTTCATAAATTGTAATTTGTACGTGTACTCTATTAAATATGCTTATTTTCAGGGGCGGAGTGAAAACAAAATTCAGGAAAATTCCCATTTTCAGGCAGGCAATCAACCCCTGCTTATTTCAATGTCCATACATTTGATTGCGAATTTATAAAACGACATCAGCAGTCTTCCAAAACAACGATAATATAGACATTTATAAGTTGATAACTAGTACCGATCATAGATTATCGACTAAAATACGGTTTTATGTCCCCCTCTACTCTACTTTTAATTTTATAATTTTTTTTTCTTTAAGAAATTAACATTTTATCGCTAACAACATTGCTATCTAATTTTTTCTCCGGGATTTGACAAATTTAACAATTTGGAATTAACGCGTGTAGATAATATTTGATTCGATTGTATATTATAATCAGTTTCGTTAAGATGGACGGTTCAGTTTTATATTTCGCGAGGAAATATTACTATACATGTATAATAATAAACAGGGCCGGTGTTAGGGATGGGCGACCAGGGCCTACGCCCAGGGCGCCTGCTGTAAGAGGGGGGGCATCTCAATGACAATAACTGTACTCGATTAATTGGAAGGAAGACGCGAAAACATGGTTCCACCCAGGGCACCAGCATGTGTAACCCCGGCACTGATAATAAGTATCCCGTTTCAGATGAATAAAACACTAAACAGAATTATATCTTCGAATTAGCTGCAGCACATGAATATTTACAAAAAATCGTATGTAGGTACCTACCTATATATATATATATATATATATATATACGTTGTGACCATAAACGAATGATGTTTTTAACATTTCATAATGACTAATATAAAAACAAAAACACACATACCCTACACACTGTTAAATGGCTTTTTAGTGTTATCGGAGTTCATATATATTTGCATATGACACGTATTCCGCACGTTGAATTATATACAATACAGTATATAGACGACAAATGCATAAATAATATGAATATTATACGTTATTATGTTTGTTTAAATTTCAAAAAATATAGGTAGGTACCTACAATACCCAGTAGGGTAAACTGGCCCGTGAAAATACAGCTCTCGCAGTCTCGCACCACCACATTTGAAATGGGGTTAGGTTATAAAAACAAATAGTTTGCACTAACGGAACATGTTGAAAATTTGTATAGGTACCTATACCTATATATCTATTTTTGAAAGTAATCATTTGTTTATTAGGTAAAAAAATAAAAAATTGGAATTGTCGTTATATCATAATTGTATGATGGGACAGCTACCATAACGTGTAACAGTGTGTGTTATTTACAAAGAATTAGGAATGTTAAGCTATGTCACGTGAATTAGATCCACTGCTATACTAACCGAATATCATATTATGTATAATATTTAATAAATAATAGAGTTTTTACAGTTCAAATAATGTAATATTAATTTATGATATTTATAGAAAAAAAAAAAAAATTGTTACGGAAATGAATTTTATGCGCAGCACGGAATGATATGGTTTCACTATTGTAGGAACTGACAACGTATCGTGGTAATACACGAGTGTTGGTTCCTTATATACTTAAATACCTTGTGTACACTACGAACACCTTGAAGTGAGAATTATGGAAAATAGCTGGATATGCCGTGGATGATGAAAGCGCCAAATGCAGCAGTGGTTGGGTTTGCTTGTCAAATACTGATGAACTATATAATGTGTGTTGTGCGAGAAGAATTTTCAAATTTAGCATCTTTTCTAAAAGAAAAGTTTTCTTTAAGGAGGTAATTTTTTGATGATCCAAGCAATTTTCAAAATAATTGGTAAAAAAACGTATAAAAAACAGGAAAATTTACGAATATAATGCTTTATAATATTCAATTTTGTTTTTTTATTGTCTTACAATTCAAAATGTTTATAGAGACTCAAAATTTGGACAGAAAACTTATATTTGCTTTTTCTGGACAAGAGTAAAATTTTCAAAATATTTGAAGCATTTTTGAGCTATTTATATTGACATTTTAATTTCTCGAGTTTCTTTAGTAATATTTATTCGGAAGGTACTCTGTGAATAAAATTGTTGAACTAAACAGAAATGCTTGGAAATTTAACACGAGGTTCAATATAAGTTGTATTTAGTGACCGATAAGAAAATGTTGAGTTTAATTTAGCATTTTTTTTTATATATATAAATTTTAATATCAAATTTTGATGAAAATTGAAAATATTACGGTCTTTTAAAACATGTATAACCTAACTCCGCTCAGAATCATCTTTTAATAGCAATGATTAATCGTTAAATACAAAAATACATTGAATTCCCCTCTATGGATATATAGAGGGATATTTACCTTTCCAACTTCTCACCTACAACAGTGGCTCACCCATCGTGCGAAGTGTGTCGGTTTTTTTCTTTCATTGATTTTCGCAGAATGAATAAAAACTATATAAATATCTCCACTCTTCGAATATATTATTAGTCGTTTTAATTTAATTTTTGAACATTTTAAACATATTATTAATACGTTTTAAACAGGCGTTTATTGAAACAGAGTGTTTAATACACTTACTATTCACATTTAAAATCGACGTATCTGCTGTTTTTTCCAGGGCCGATTAAAACATCTAATCATTTATTTAAATCTTCGACGACGCACTCTTAGCCTGTTATTGGAAGTGTATTCAGAGTGTTAATATTTAATAGATACACCGTCTCTCATCCGCTTTGAGTCGTGCCGGATAGAGAAAGTGGAACCCTTGGTATGTATACGCGTATAAATATTGAACTTGCAGTCTAGTTCATCTTGTTAGGTGACTATCATACTTTTTCTACGTCCTATACACATTATATACTTTCGGTGATTTAAATATATATACATAATATATAGGTATACAGTAAATAATATAGTACTAGGCGTTTCGTCTCGAAAAGTTAATCAAATCGAATTATAAATTATTGAACGGGAACGCGATCGTGGGATAACTATTTAATGTATATAATTATTGAAACGTGAAACGCATAACCGAATTTCAATTTACCGAAAACCCAAGTTTTATTCGATACAAGAGTTCCGACAAATATACTTTTAAGTTTTTATATAGTGTTATCGATGACGGAAATTTTTTTTCAGCACTCCGATTGATACCCGAATACATATTGTTATTATTAAACGACTTTATAGTGTTGTCAAAGGCGTTTTTTTTTTTTATTAACGTAGCGATTATTGCGGTTGTAACAAAATATTTCAAGAAACGGCGAGGTCAAATAATTCACACCTATATAATGGGTAACAGAAAAAAATCAAATAGATTTGAAACTTTAAAAGTATATATATATAGTTAGATCATCTGGAAAATCGATTCAATAATGTTAAGAATTGACTGGACCGTGAAGAATAGTGCTAAGTAGAGTATCGGAAAGAAGAACACTACATAGGAAACTATGATAAGAAGATGAAATGAGTTTATAGACTACATTGATAGACATTAGAGATCTACCTGTTGAAATTGATTATAAATAATATGAGTTGAAGGGCCGGATCACATAGAATAGATTGAAACTCGAATATTATAAACAAAAAATCAAAAACGTTCAAAGATACTATTCGTATTTACTATTACTGAAAAGGAAATCGAATAAAGAAATGATGGAAAAATGAAGTTGCAAACCAATCTACAGAAGATTGATAACAAAAGGCTGTAGTTCTATAACCAAATGTTATGTGCCTGAAATGTATGGAACTTCTTGCAACTACATACTTAATTTTTTTCTAAATAATATCCCCTGCGCAAAAAAAGTGTACATACAAATTAGTTTTATAACCTGAGGTATGTTCACAATCCTTAAAGCATTTATTACTAACCGAAAAAGTGATATCTGAGCCAAAAACCTAAAAAGGATCTAGGGGAAAATGTTGAAAATTTCAGAAAAAAGTTTGCCAATAAAATTACGATATCTCCTTAAAGAAAGAATGTCTGAAACAAACACTCCTCCCAGTCCTTCAGACAAATGTTTTGTCTAGAAGTAAGTCCATAGTTGGAGAAAAGAGAGATTACGTTCCGTGATGCTGCGACCGAATATCATGTACTTAAAAGATTCATATTTTCAATTGATGCAAACAATCGAATTATATTTCCATTTCAATTTGACGTAGATATTGTATATAACCATTAAAATAACAATTTAATGTACCCACAAGGAATGCACTTTTACATAGTATTAATAATAATAATATTATTATTGTCGTTGTTCAAAGCCAAAAATCGGTTATTTCCTTTAAATTATCTCAAAGTAAGTACCTACCTACCTCTATAGTAATACTGGCACACATATAGAGTAAAAGAAAGATGGGAAATTTAATTTGTGGTAACGAAACTTGGCGATGGTTTTAAATGGCATTATTAAATCCAAAAACTTTGTCTAAAGTCCAGATTATTTGACTATACTTTTAAATTGACCAAAAAGTTTCTTTTATATAGTGCGCGGACTGAAACCAGAAATACTTTCCTCAGAATTTAATTATAATTTTATACTACAATAATAATATTATCACAGACAGGGGTGGATCCAAGCCAAGATAAAGGGGGGAGAGATTTTCAAAGAGCACCCATGATAAGCATAAAGTTAAAAATATTAACTTTGATATAGTCCTTTTGAAAATATTTATTTATTATCTGCTTAAGTTTGATAATTTAAAATTTTCCTACCTTTGAAATAATTACATCAAAAACTAAAATTGAGGACTCTATTTTTTTTTGAAAACGGGGGGAGCGATCACCCCCCTAGATCCGCCACTGATAACGGACGTATTTTATAAGTACCTACCTACGGAACTATCAATGTTTCTCAACCTTGTAATGTTATCGCTAAACAAAGAGTTGCCATCACATCTAAAATATTACAATATCGGATTTTCATTCCACACAACAGCAAATACCTATAAGTACAAAGCATATCACTTTGGGACCTCCCCGGATTCTCAAAGACGCAATATATTACAACAGAATCCACAGAAAATATTTGTATTATAAACCCGAAGTCTCGAAATGCGCAGTTTAATAATTATACGAGTGGATATATACTTATATAGTATTAAAATAGTAGGCAGACAAAGAATTGTTGTACAAAAAAAAAAACAAAAAGTTTATAATACAACGTATTTATATTATTATAATTTCGTGTGCAAATATAACACCGAGCCGCTGATAAATAAAATTATTGTCGTAAACCTAACCCTTTAAATTACATAGGTAAATGTACACATATTCTATACAAGAACAAACATTAATAAGCAACGCCTTCATATTATTATGTTTTTAATTTTATCAAAAGCAAACCGAAATTAAGTAAAGTAAAAAATTATACAACGCAACAACGATGACGGGAATGCGCAGACAATTTATCCGTTTGCGTGTATATATGTATTATACGTTTATGCTCAGAATTTACATACTTAGGTGTACTTATATAAATTCAAAACCAGATTAAGAGAAGAAGGTGGGGGTCGGGATGCAGTTTCAAAGATCACAAAAGAAAAAAAATTGTTTTTTTTTTTTTAAATTAATATCTTCTTCATAAAAAAAAAAAACCAAAACTATTCCAATTAATATAGTAGTATCATTTCAGATTTTGAAAGAAGGGGGTAAAAGATTTGAACGGCCCAAAATAAAACTAATTCATTGCTCGCTGATTTATCCATCACAATTACATTTTTATCTCAATACAAATATCCTCATTACATCGTTTTATAATCTCAATTACAGAACGGATGTTTGTGCACAAAAAAATATAAAAATATGCATGCAATTATAATAGTCATTATAATAATACAATGTGTATCTATGACACAATAATAATATTTGCTATGAGTAAGATGACTGTACGGTCCAGGAGCATACAATAATAATAAGCGTGCCCGGTCGCCAATCTGAATATCCAACACCGCTGCCCACCGACTTCCCTATCGATCTGTTGTGAATATGTGTAAATAGCGACTCAAAGGAAGAAGACGGGGTCAACGAGCAAAACCCTCGGGTGCTAGTGTGCAGCGGGTGTGTATGTGTGTATACTTGTAGGTGTGTAGCTTAAAATTATGATAATAAAGGAACAAATAAAAATACACGGTATTCAGATTGCTGTGCTGGTAATAAATTGTAACGTAATGGATAACAAAAATGATATTACGGTCCACTCGACCCAACAGATAAAATATATAAAAATCAAGTTCGAGGCAATCAGCGCGCACGGAAAAATGTAAAATAATGTAATTCTCAGCGATTAACGCGCACGAATCAACAAAAATCACAAATAAAAACACAATAAATACAATATAAAATAATTAAATACGGCCTTTCCGGCCCAACAATATAAATAATGGAAAAAAACTCACAGTTACGGAGTGCAGACTGGCCAGCCGCTTACCTAAACCTAAAAATGATAAAAAAAACAAAGAAAAATACACAAACACGAAGATAAAGCAAACAAATAAATAGGTAGATAGGTAACTGGGTCTGGTGATTTTGATAACACGGTAAAAACGGTAGGTAACAATACTGAATTCGAAAAAATGATATTAGAACCGAACTTGTGTCTCGCGAATTATTCGAATTGCGATTCGCGCGTCGACATTCATGGTACGGCGGGCGAACAAAGACGGTGACGGCAACGGTGACGGTGACGACGGCATACAACCGCCGTACTGATGCCGTACAAAGTTACGTTAACATATTATTATTATTAATGTTGTTAATTAATTAAAATAACCATTAAAATCGTTACTAATCCAAATTATTGGCAAGCAAATTAATTACTATATAGGTTTATATTATTCGGTTTTTGTTTAAATTTAATAAAACTTATTTAATATTTGTCAGTCAGTATACGAAGAGAACAAAGTTTCCAAAGCTATAGTTTGTATTTAAGTGTAGCAATATAAGCATTTTATAATTGTTGATTTTTATTCAATTTGGTAAATTTAGATGAATTAATTTTGCAACGTTATCATCACGGAAAAGTTAATCTGAAAATAAATTACCGATAGTAATATTGTACATCACTACTTATAGGTAGTAGACTGCGGATTTAAATTTTAATAACACGATGTTCTGGTTTGTTTTCGTCCGAACCAACGTGGTTCACCAGTTCTCTGGCTATGTCGGATTTTGGATACTGACACGGAGAGTGAACCCACTGACAACGAGGACAGATGGCCGCCTTACACTTTTCCGAGAATTAAGGAGCTTGCCTATAATCGAATCTATTAATCTATTCTCGGAAACCGTTGTCTTGTGATTATGCGACATTATTGTTCTGAGAACCGAAACGATACGATACAAAAGATGCGAAAACCCCAAACCGAGCGATTCCGCGTAACGTTCCGCCGCAGAGCCACAGAGCTAGAGTTTGGCGAGATTGTCAGGGAGGCCAGGGACGCAAAGGCTAGATTAAGCATATTCGTTTACAGGGTGTAACAGAACTATTTGAAATTTGTACATTGTAAAATGTCAAATATAGTCCTTTTACACTCTGTATATATTTTGTTATTGGTAATTCACGCTTTATTTAGAATATGCGCGAAATAGTTGTACTACTATTGTAGCTACACTATATACTATGTGTAGTGTATTGTGTACACGTGCAGTAAAATGGGGAGCCCCCGAACGGATTTTAACATTTTCCTTAATTTACTCAGAACATATATACATGATAAAATATCGAAAATAATATATTGTGTTCTTTAACTATGTCTAAATCGTATAACGGAAAAATAATTATTAAGTAAAAAGTTTTAGAATAAGTGGAAGAGTATAAATCTGAGTGTTATTTTTGATAGTAAATTAAATGTATCACATTAATCTACTGGTTTCTAATTTACCTAAATTTTTCTTTTTCTTTAAAGACGTAAAACGATACTTTAATATTAAGACGAAGAGAATTATTTACATTTCTCTGGTGCAATCTATTTTTAGTTACGGAATGTTTTGGGTTGTGCTTATAATATACACGTAGAAAAATTAAAAGTAACGTATAATTAAATTTTTATTGAACAAACCTAGATTTTATGGTACTAAGTTGCTCTATGACGAATTTAATGTACGAAATGTTGATAAGTTATTTGTAATCAAATTTACTATATTATTATTATTATATACCTAAGCATAAGGATCTATAGGATCTAAAGGATCCATATTTACCACGGCAAATCGTGCTTATAACACGAAATATAAAACTAATACAAACATTGTTTTGTATAGTAAAACAACTTTTGGAACTCAATGCGCATTAATTGTAAGCGCTAATATAATTTGTAAAAAATTGAACATAAATTTATATAATTTTAAAAGTTTAAATTATTTTAAATTTATCTTTTATAATTTAGATTTTGGCATTGTTTGATTCAAACATTTTTATATTTTTACATCATTGATATTTTTTACATTTAATAGCATGAGGCATATTTGTTTAAATAATTGTATTCTTAATTTTATTGCTAACGTCTTAAGATCTCATCACTCCCATCACAAGCTTGGCTTACTGCAGGAAGTGTTGCATATTGTATATTGTTTTTTGTGTAGTATATGTGTACTAATTTTGCAAAATAAATAATAATAATAATAATAATGCTCTAACTAACTAATGTTTACACTTTTTTTGAAAGTTGAACTTTGTCCTGATTCAACCTCAAAATGGGGTCACTTCGAACACTCGTTAGTTTTCACTGAAAATCAGTGTTATAATACCAACCAAAGTTGTATCAGATTTTAGATTTTTAAAGGAAAATAAATTATTTAATATGAAATCAGAAGATATTTAAGTTAAAAAATTTGGTTATGAAGTACTCAGAAGACCTCAATGGATTAGTCTGTATTCCGAAAGTGTTTTAAAACCCAAGTTTATAAGTTAATGAATAATTTCAAATCAACTACTAAAGTGAATTTATGAATATTCTTTAAAATATGTTTATCCTAACATTGAAATTATACTCAGGATATTATCAATTATATCACTAACAACTGCAACTTGTGAAACAAGTTTTAATAAACTGAAAATTGATATGAATTATCTAAGGTCTACAATGTTAAAAGACAAATTGACAAATTTCGGTATTATACTGATTGAACGTGAATTGGTTACAAAAAACCAACTTTAAAAATTGTAGAGATAAATTTGCAACTGTAAAGCTCGGAAAGTGAAATTTTAAAAATATACAAAAGTGTAATTTTTTTTTTTCGAGTTATCATATAAGGTAGTTATAATCAGGGCTCAAAATGTTATGCATTTAAAATCCACGAAAAGTGCTTAAAAATATCAAAAGGGCTCTGAACATTTTTTTTTTAAATCAAAAGTGACAGAGTATTCAGAGTAGTTTAAAATTCTCATTTTTATACTGTGTACAAAACTTCTACTAGAAATCTTGTTCCAATATGTATGATGTAGATCTTTTTCTGAAATTTTCTTGGGGTGGTACTTAAGAGAGGTCATTTTTGATTTTCTCCCTAATTTTCTCAATAAAAGAGAAAAAGTGGGAAATTCACGAAAATAATGCTTTTATTATTTTTTTAATTTTGTTATTTGTTGTAACTCAATTAAATATTTCCGAAGAGATTTAAAATTTAGACAAAACACTTATATTATTTGTCTTTTCTAGATATGATACAATGTTTAAAACATTTAAACCAATTTTGATCTGTTTATAAACATTTTAATTTTACGAGTTTTATGTGTAATTTGTATTCGGTAGGTACTGTGTGGCAAAATTATTAAACTAAACAGAAATGCGTGAAAATTTAATAAGAGGATTATTAAGTCTTTCTTTGAGGTCAAAAAAAAAAAAAAAAATTGAGTTTAATTTATAGTATTCTTTTTTATAAAGCAATTATAATATCATATTTTGACGAAAATCTTTTGAATAAAAAATTATGTGGAACAAATCTAATTTTTCAATTTATTGTTTTGGACAGAATATTAATATATATTGCCGATTTAATAATGGTAATTGAGCGAACTGACAGAATTTCAAAATTATAGTTTTTTGAAGTTCTGATATTATTTGGATATTATATTTTAAATAACTATTTTTGTCAAACCTTGTCGTAGTCTAATGGTAATACATATCTATTGTTATTCTAGAGATCGTGAATTCAAACCTGAGTTTCGAAACATTTTTTCCTTCTTTTACCTAAACAAAGAAAAATATATGTGTTTTGGGAATACCTAGAAACCCAAATCATCGCTCGCTTGGAATATTTTAATCGCAAAATACCTCTCGATTTGTGGGCAAATTTTTCTACCAGAAATCTTCCTCAGATGTATCAAGTATCGCTTAATTTCTGAAAGAAAATTTTATCTACATGGTACTTTATTAGGGAGGTCAATTTTTGATTTTTCAAGTGGTTTTCACAATATCTGATGTTTTTTATCGCTTTTTCGTGAATTTTAAGTGCATAAAGTCCCAAGTCCTTGCTATAAGTTTAATAGTGTTTTTTCCTTATTAAATATCATAATAATTATTACTATTATTATTGTTAATAAAAAAAATAAATCTTTTATAATATGTGTGCGTGTGTATACGGAAGGGGGGGAGGGTTAAATTTTTTTAGAAGGGCGGAAATATATTATATTATGGCCAGGAGCGCTATTGAACCTTGCTATAGAAGCTTTAAATGTTGGTAAAATTTTCTTTTCATTTTTAATCAAAATGAAGTACGTATTTCAAAAATATAAGCTTCCCGAAATTTTAGAACCTTAATTATTATATTGTACATATTCGAGCATCAAGAATAATATTTATCCACTATGGGTAGGTACCCATCAGTTTTGCAATAGATTATACTATAACTTATAACGATAAAACTACAGTATATAATATTTTGATAATACGAAACATTATAATCACTTTACAAGAACCGTTGGAACTTATAGTTAAGCTGTTGTAATAATGTATAGTAAAATAACTCGCTGCAGTACCAAATAACGATCAATCCGGTGTACCCTCATACTATTATAAGTAAGTATATAAATTATAATAGACGTGTAAGTTTTTTAAACTACAGCAGTGTATACTGCAATATACAGGCGATGTCCCGCGGTGATTTCCAAGTGTTAATAACTCTGCTAATGTTCCGTTGTTTTGTTCGGTAATCAGAACAAAACGACACGGAAAATCCATCTTACCCAAATAACACATCATCACATTCAAAAATGAAATTAGAAAATGATTACAGATCAAAATTTTCTTTATTTTACCGACAGTTGAACGCATTAGCATTTATACCCATGTGTGATGTGGCTGGAGAAATGATGTACTTGAAAAGGCATCATCAATTTTAGAATATTTCAATAATACTTATGTAACTGCTAAATTAAGACAAATTAATTCCACTCGAGACAATTCTAACGGTTCTACAGTGTTACTAAGATTAAAAATTGTTTTAAATGAAACTATGGTAGCTGCAATGGTGATCAAGTCGGTTTTCAGTATTCATCCTTTCAATAAAAATAATTAACCGTTGGTTTTTTAATTGATAGAAGAATATCGGTTTTTATTTTACTTGAATATATTTTAAGCCAACAATCAACTCATTTGAATTTAATAAAATGGCAAAACTTTTTTGATGAAGATAAATTTAATATGCTAAGTAAACTATATACGAATATAAAACGAGTTATAATAGGTGATAACTTTTACTATTCAATCAACTCAAAAAACGAAACAATAACCTTACATGCTGGTATGGTCGTATTACATTAACTCGTTAAAATATATTGTGGTTAAAAGAAGTGCAACCTTGTATTGGATTCATATATTCTGAAAAAACAAAGTGAATTAAATTTATATCAATCATGTGTAATTACACTTATATACTCGTTATTGAAACAAGATATTCAAAATTTACCGGAAATGTGTCAATAGAACATATTTGTAAACAATATTATTCCTCCGCTTACGACTGGCTCACGGTTGTGGATTTTGCCTTTCCGTGAAATAATACCGAGTATAAATAATAATACCTATGTAGTATTTAGGTACCTATTATTCGAGCACATAAAATAAACGTTTCGTGTTTATTTTTACAATTTTCGGTGAGCGGAAACTATAAAACGGTTATATTCGGCGAGATGGGATTGCTACTGCCTGCAATCAAAGTGCGACCGGGGTGTTAATCCAATATTATATATACATATATATAGGGTGTACGCCAACGCATAAAATACGCATGGCGAAACACTAGAATATATTATAAACGAGACCTTCGTCGTCGTCGTCATCGTATTATGTAAGACCCATACCGACCCCACCGGAATTTCATTAAATATAATCTCGCGCTTCTTGCTCTCCGGCGCACCCGCCGCCGTCGCCAAAACGAATTTCATTTTTGTTCGAGCGAAAACGAAATAAATCTAAATTAATATATAAAAACAACGGTGACGACAATCTATTTCAATTTTGAATTGAAACGCACGAAAAATAAAACTGATATAATACCATAATGGAGTATCCGCAGAAAATGAATGCAACATGATGCGAATTTTATTAAATATAATGTCAACCTGGTGCATTACTGAGAGGAAGTGTTTTCGCTGTTAAAACAGTGCTCGAATTAAGGAACGGGACACAGTAAGAAAAGGGGTCTCAACTAATTTTTCAGAAATTTTAGCGTACTCAATTTATTTTGTTTTTAGGGGCATGGTGAATATTTTTGTATATTTATCAAAATACATTTTCAATAAAATTTGAAATTCAAATTTTATGTTTATAAAAAAAAATAACTACATCTTAATGTAACGCTCAATTCTCTTTTTTCACTACAAATTGAATTCCTGAAAAACCTTGTGTTAAATTTTCGAGTATTTTCGCTAGGCCAAATAAAAACCTAACAAACTAAAATTTAATTTATAAATAATTAAAAAATTGCCACAATGTTTTGGACATAAGACCATGTCTAGAAAGAGCTACTTATAAGAGAGTATATTTCAGTATTTTGTTAAAATTATGGACTCTACGATTATTTTTACTGAATAACTACAAAAAAATCGCTCATCCAATCGCCATGCAACTTTGGGAAGTGGTTGAGTACCCTCCCGTAAAGGTTTCTGGTATAGAATATGTTGCATCTATGAAATTATTCGATAGCTCCACTCAGAGCCATAGGTAGGCACTAGCAAGAGGGCCAACACAAGGGGTACAAAATAATATTAAGTTATATTATTCGGTGATATTACTCTTAACCACGATGCAAAAGACGGTGCTAAAAATGTAATTTTCCAAATAAATTTAAAATTCACATGCTTGCTTAACTTTTGGAATGACGTTTTGAGTCAAATTTATCTTATAAATATTTTATTGCAATCAAAGAGTTAAACAATAGATGTTGCAGGCAGCATAAATGGACTGATTCGATCAATTGAAGAAATCAAAAAACCAAATTTAATAAATCATTAGATAAAGCGAAAAATATGGCAGAATGTCGAAATACCTCATCAGAATTTAAAGATAAGCGTCAACGTAAGATTCCGAGAAAATATTTATGTAAAGCCGAAGATGAAGGAACAGTAACAGAAGTCAATAGTTTAAGAATTCAGTGTTTTTAATCGTTAGACTCAATTTTAACAAGTTTAGGTTGAATATTTCAAAAAACGTCAGAAATTATAGCAGATTCCAATTTTAGAATTTGTGTAAAAAAATGTAATGGTTTTACTAAGATTTTCATTATTTTTTTTTTTTTTTATATATAATGTGTACGAAAATTCAACCAGAAATCTTGCTCAGATATATACGCGCGGCACCATTTATGAAAGGGAATGGGAGGTCATTTTTCGATTTTCCAAGCGGTTTTCATAATATCTGGAAAAAACCAGGATAAAACGTAAGAAAAACGGGAATTGTACGAAAATAATGTTTGTATTATTTTTCAATTGTTATTTGTTACAATTCAGATAAAAATGTATATTATAATTATTATATGGGTATATTTTTATACCTAATTTTCTATCTTATTCTTTGTAGGTACTTCTACATAGTAGCTTAACATATTAATTTTCTTTGTCTTCCATTACTACATATAGTGTCATACTAACCTATTATTTTAAATTTCTTTTTTTTTGTATTACTAAAAAATATTATTAAAGAAATTATATAATGCCTATTTAATTATTTCACTATAATATGACATTTATATTGTCGACAAAGCATTAATATCAACTGAACTGCATTCAAAATCATTTTTCCGTAAGTAATGGTTTTTCGTTGCTTACAGATACACATTAAATTAAATGTAACTACTAAATTATTCCAGTTACCACAACTACATGTGAAAGGAGTTTTAGTCAGCTGAAAATAATAAAAAAGTATTTAAGATCTACAATAAACCAAAATCGTCTGAGAAGTATGATTATTTTATTCATTGAAAAAATTTTGGTCGAAAAATTATCATTTGATGACATTATAGATGATTTTGCTGCAATGAAGTGCAAGAAAAGAAATTTGCCGCAAGAAAAATGAAATTAATAATTATTTATTCAAATTTAGTACAATAAAAGGGTAAACTTTTTTTAGAGCAATTTCTTTAATTTGCTATAATTAATTAATTTTACCTTATAAGCCATAATAAAACAATTTTTATACTTAATAATAAAATAAAAATAGACCATAGTCAACAGAGCGTTTTTTTTTTTTTTTTAAATAGTTTTATGGTAGTAGAAAAATCAAATATCATATAAAAGCTGCCCCGCATTGCCAGTACCAATTTTTTTTTATATATATAACAAAGTGCCACTTTGTTGTCTGGGGTAATATCTGAAACTACTCATCCAATCGATATGTGTTTTTTTTAAATTATACGCAGCTAGTATATGTATATCGTGGTGAAGGTTTTAAGCTATTGAAAACATCGGTCTGACCAGTAGAAGTAGTAGATGACCTAACTTGCAGTAGTTTGAGCTGGATAAAAAAAAAATGATCAGATATTTGTCATTGTTTAGTAACCAGTAACCATATAGCTAATTTATATGAGTTTGAAAATAAAAATAAAGAAAATGTATTTTTAATCGTTTAAGGGCAACAACGGTTAACTGCAGTAATATAGTGATGAAGATTGAAACAAGAAATCTAGGGGAAAATCATTTTTATTACACATTATTTGGCACGGGCAATGCCGGGCGAGACGACTAGTTGATTATAAAAAAAAGGCCATTAATTTGCAAACATTACAATTTTTCCAACGTTTTACTCGGGTTTTCCCCATAATTAAGAATATTACAAGAAAAGTCAAAAATAGCCTGTCATACCTAAAGTTGATAATTTGAAATAAAGTCGATAAGTTTTAAACAAAATCTTGTGATTCGCTTTTCTAGACTTGATCAAATTTTAAAATCATTTAAGTTATTTTTGAGCTTTTTATAGACATTTTAATTTTGTGAGTTTCACGTAATTTTTATTTGGTAGGTACTTAGGAGATAAATTTTTAGATTCAACAGAAATGCTTTAAAATTTGACATGAGATTAATTTATTCATTATAAGTTGTGCTTAATATATAGTGGTTAAAAATGTTGAATGTAATCTAATGTACTTTTCTTTTTTAATTGGTTTTAATATCAAATTAAGACGAAAATTATAAATATTACGGCCTTTCGAAAGACGTATAACCGAACTTCGCTCCGAATCGTTTTTCGTTAGCAATGGTTTGTCGTTGGTTACAGGTATAAATGAATTAACTATTTATGTATCTGACCTTTACAAATACCCACAAAACAGTGGCCACACCTGTTCTTAGTGTCAGCTCTTTTTTTCTTTTTATTTGAATCTCAGTAAGTGAACTGATAGTGGAAGACGGCGCCCCACACCCACCACACTGCAGACACCCCTGGCATTCACTTATTGTATTTACTATAATAATATTTTCTTATACTATACTAATATATAATACAAAATGTATTATTATCGCACCCGAGGAGTGCTCTCCCGTACTGATATATGATAATAATAATAATATTATGTACGGTGCGCTGTTTTGTTATTATATTTGCTCGAATCGTAACATTCGCAAAACTTTAATACGAGAACGAAAACCAAAAAAAAAAAAGTATACAATATATATTACGTTTTAACCCACTCCCTCCCCCGTGCCTCCAAGATATAACGACGAGAATACAAAAATTGCTATATTACATTTTTTCACTGTTTCTTATTTTATATTTTAAATATTAGAAAACAACGTGTAAAAATCAATATCTAATTGAACGCGGCTGGAATGCGATGGATACCTATCCACTTGGAGTCAATTTTGCACGAATACACATTAAATTATTTCGAAACACACTTAAACTTAAACGGTACTGCTTCAAACAGAATGTTAAAAAAACCAAAAACAAATCTTCCGAAATGTTTAAAACATTTTACTGCGGTGCAACGATCACAAACTTAAAACTAATAAAAAAATCAAAATTAGTGTACTGATAAAAAGAAATCCCGTCCCGAGTTCAAATTAATTCAAACAGATCTGAATACTCGATAATAGCCAGCAATTTAATATGGAAAACCAAAAATAACGTAAAATGAAATACTCGAAATTGAGCGTGTAAAATTTAAAGGGAGAGTGGCCATCGGACCTTTTATAATGGATACGGAGCACACCATATTATGTAGTGTATACATTTTTGTTCAAAAATTGTCACCACTTTATCGGCTTGGAGTAAATTCTATTTATTGGTAATAACGAAATTGTACAGGTACAGGATACAGTTTTAAAATTACCAGATCTTGACACACACGACATGGGTAATAAAAAATCTGCTGACTGACCTAAACATTAAAAATTGCTGGTTTTCAAATATTTAATTAATACTCAATGTTTCAACATAAATGTTTAATAACTAAATGCCGAATAGGTACCTACGTCATAAAACACAATTCGTTTAGAAGTGATTACTTCAAGTATTACCAATCTACTCAGGTTGCGTAATCATGTTATTCCTTGGTATATCGTCCGTTAATTTGGGTGAAACATTAAATTCGGATATCACGTCTTCTTAACTAATAAATATATACATAGGTAGGTAATTAAAGGTAATTTAATTTGTCGAAGTTCTATGAAACGTATGAAATAATAAAAACGTAGTGACCGTAGTGTAACTTATATGAATCATGGTAATAATTTGAAGAAACGAATGCGATTACTTACAGGTAGGTAATAGGTACATAGACGGAGATCCTGGCAAATATTAGAAGGAGAGCTTAAATAATTTGTAGTATATAAAGCATTGATGGTTACGTCCCCACACCCCCAAACATTTTTCCAACACAAAAATGTATAACAGAAATAACGCATATTGACCTAATAATTTATTACAAAAATAATACATTTATAATAAATATTAATATTTAATACATTATTTATTATTAACAACAAAGCGACAAAGAGCATAATTCAACCAATATTATAAAAATACCACTGTTGCCCATGTCAATAATTATTTTATCAGTAGACACAATTTACCAATTTGGCTAAATACGACAGATTAGAAAGTCTATAACAAGTTATTTATGCAAAATTTACACATGGATTAATATTAGACGAAATTATACCTTAGATTATGTTTCAAAACGTAAAATATTATTTAATAATTAGCAATCAATAGGCACCTATCAATTTTGTGAAAATGTGTTATATTAAAAAAAAAAGTGTATAATATATATATATTATACACTTTTTATAAAAATAGGTACAAACACATTTGAGGGGGTTAAGCCTATTTAATTGTACCTATTTGAAATACTTTTGGAATAACATTAAAATATTAATTAATAATATTGCTTAGACGAAACTATATCATTGATAACGAGAGCCAATCAGAAATGACCACACCGGTGGCTACTTTCTTATTACCTCTTATTACCTACCTTAGGCTCTCTAGTCAATAAACGATATTATTATTTTTATTTAAATTCGAATAGGTACCTTTAGTCTGCCGTTCCCGTTGGAAATCTTTTATCATATTTTGCTGGACGCGTACATTATTTCGGGTGTAACTGTAGCGACCCTATAAAAAAACAATTTGCAATAATAATATTGATAATAGATACTTGTATTATAATATAGTCGAAAACTGAAAAAGAAATTTAGATATTATAATGGTCATATATACGAGTTTTAAACAAATGTACATGTTGTATAATAATATATGACTAAAACATACAAACATTAAAAAATACATATTTTCCTAATTTTTAGAGTGTTCTGTACCGACCAACCCACGACGCGTGGAATAACAATATTACTATTATCTGGTACATCATTTATCACGGGTTACGTTTTTCTCGCTCAGAGTCACTCTGAAACCCCGACCGCGGTCGTGTTTGTATAATAATATATTTATATTACACGTGGGTACCTGCAGCTGGTAATGCGCGTAAACGTAAAATATCGCGCTTTCACCGAGGAGAACAAAAATATTATTCGTGTTTATAATAATAATATTAAAAATATTACGCGGGCGTCTGTAATTTCATTTTGACGAACAAATCCGTATACCTACGTGATACTGGTAGGTAGCGAGAAATACAAGCCATGGCATAATTCTGTATAGGGACGAATTTTTTTATAGTGAAACGAATAATAATATGTCATCGTATCGTACCAAGGTTTATAGAATAGAAAACTACCTACACACAGTATTGTCAAATAAAAAACATTAATATATTTCAGACAGTGGATTATAGAAGATATTAATATTTGTAAACAAAATTAACATAGAATTTGATACTATTTTTAAGGAAAACACTACGAGCCAACAGCTGGCGATCGTTGCCAATTAGTCGGTCACAATCACGGTTTAAGATATGTCGTATATCTTAAATCGTGGTCACAATAATAATATTATAGTTATGAAATTGTTTCACTTTTCCCGAAGAAGGTTTATAGATATTGAAATCCACTCCCCATTGAATACCATTCCCTAAAATTCGGGTTTTAGATAATTATATTGAGTATAAGAACCGAATTATTTTTGTTGTTTAATGGGTTATCTTGGTAATCATAATGATACGACTGAAATAAAAGTTGAAACAAACTAAACGAAAAAACAAATATTAATATTAATATTATTAAGAGAAATATCTCTTGTCAAGGGGAACAGTGAAGATAATATGATCATAGCTCTGCAATTTTAAATTATCATTATTTTTTAATATTAAAAATTACATAAATAAACGGAGTACATTAGTTTAAATTCATTTTTTTGTTGAAATTTATTAAAACTAATATTCCGACTACCTGTTTATGGAATTTTTAATACAGTTCACTAATTGAAAATCAAAAGTATGTAGTCGGTTCACCCCCCAAAAATGAGCATGACACCATCTAATGGTACTGCAACATTATAGAGCTACTTGTTTCTTATATTGTATAAAAAAATTCTGAAAAAAGTTAACTCTTTCCAAGAAATTAAAATAGGTATAAATCTTTTTGTGGGTTACCCTGTACATATTATATTTCATTTATTTTCGTTCAGAATGACTATTCACAATACATTCAAATTTCAAATATACCTATCATTAGATAAGTGGTATGTAATATATTTTAGGTTTTTAATGATGGTCTGGTCTAATTGTTATAATTGTAATGGTGTATTTTCCATTCATCAGGTAAGAGGTTTGAATATTTTTTAAATATATAGGCATTCATTCCTATACAACTATATACTATAAAGCGTTTCTTTAATTTGAATTTAATTTGAAAACTTTCTCATCGCATTTTTAGTTTTTCCATTTAAATAACATAGGAAACTATCAATACTTTCAATTAAATTTACTCATCAAGTTCGAAAGTTACTTATTTATAGAATTTGTCTGAAGAAATGGTTGCTTTTTCGATAATGTAAAGTTAAACAATAAATAGCTACAAAAATTTTGACTCTGAGTTGTAAATTAAGCCGATAAATAAATAAGACAATTTATGCAGCTTATTATTATAAAATTTATTTTACAAGACGTTAGTTAATTTGTCACGAAAAATTCGATGAGCCTTTTCAATCATTTCGAACTGAAACCGAAATTTTTTTGAAAAATCCTGCTGAATAAGAACAAGATGCGAGTTACAAAGAATGTTTAGATGTATTCATAGACTTGAAAGTTATAAATGATGTTGCTGAGAGAGGAGTAAGTATCATGCAAGAGTTCAATAACTGTCTTATATGAGATGAAGAGCAGCATTAATTCATTCTTTAGTTTGTAAATCATACTCGAAAAAATAACCTAAATGTATTTAAAAAAATTACAAACAAATTATTAAATAGGTAGGTTCATCAGTTTTCTTTACAAATAATAACTTTGGTTTCTTCCTTTATTATTTTTCTAAATATTTAGAGATGCTTTCAATTTTAAGATTTTTTGATTATTTATTTTGCTATTTGAGTAGTTTGTTCTTTTATTAAAAATGCAGATATTTTTTAATTTTCAACTTATTATAGTCTATGAAACTGATCTATAACCAACGACCGATAGCGAGGTATTTATTATAACTCACACAATTTACCTTATTTAAACATGTTTGGTCAAAAATTGGCCGAGTTATACAACCTTATATGAATAAAAGTTCTGCAACTCAAATTTTTTATAGATTTCTATGAATGAGCTATTCTTATAATAGGAAATGTGAATCTTATATATTTTTTTGTGATCTTTAAGAAAAAACTATGTACGACCTCGTAACTTTTGAACTTGATGAGTAAATGCTTAATTAAATAAATTTATTTTAACTATCAATCATGTACCTACTATCCGTTCATATATGAAGATGAAATTAGTTTGTTATCTATGTTTAAAAATTAAATAAGTACTGTTGACTATGTATCTAATAGGTAGGTATTTACTATTGATAACTATAGATAATTGTTTTGGTTTTTAAAATGTACACATACAAGTACAAGTATCCTAACCCATGTTAGCCATGTAAACAACAAATAATTAAGTTATTTTTATTTTAGAAATGGTATAATTAAAAATTATTACAATTTTATCTGTACTAATAAAAACAACTACTTACAACAAAATTAAGCTCTATCTATGGGATATATACTTAAGTAAATTAAATTTGAACAATTTTGTTATTTCAGTTATTATTTTACCTAGTTGATTTTTAATTTTCAACTTTAATAATAGCGATGATAATGTAAAAACAAGTACCTATCTAGATGTTTTACAAATTTGATGACAGTATCATCTTACAAAAACCAAACTTAGTATAGAATGATTTCTTGGCTGTATAATTTAAATTTTAACCAACTAATATCTAAACAAAAGAAGCAGAAGTTAACATATATTGCACCCTACTAAAGTTCATTGCAGAAAATGTAGGCATTTTTCTTATGGATTCACATAAATGACATTTGATTTTATACTACCTATTTTTGCATATTATGCATATTAGCAAAAAAAAAAATAAAAATAGCAATACAAAATTTCATATTTGGAGTACCTGGTGCATAAAATCTTTATCCGTATCCTATAATAATTAGTAAATGCTATAAAATCCGAGCCCTGATTATATTATATAATTGATAATAATACAAACAATATTAGTAGACACTTATTTACGGAATAATACTATATTTGAAATTGGATAAATTTTATGTTAGAGATAAAAATAGGTATAATTAATAGAAATTAATGTAGTTATGTTAATAGCAAATGTTATACATTATGAACTTAATATTAATGTATTTTATACTAGTATCTAATTTTTTGTGATTTCCGTGCCTTGAGTACTTGTAGTCATAGTAGACATTTCCTCAATTACCCTGTTAATAAAAACAATAATTTCGTTGCTACTTTTATTTAATCTTGCTTTTAAGCTTCCACAGAACAATACGGAACAGTTGGTTTCAGTACAACACTTAACATGACGGAAGCAAAGTGCAATATATTGATTAAATATACGACAGTTAATATTTTAACGTACTCTATGATTCTTTTCATACGATCACATCTTGCCAAACGACAACTTTCATTTCCACATTAACTAGCATGTACAAGTAATAATACGCACCGACGGATGGACTGTTCTTTAACATTATTTACACCTGCTTGTTTTTTATCACTGGGAGACGACCCGTCCTTCAAAACGCGACCAAGATTTTTTGTAGTAAGCATTTTTTTTATTTTAAAAGTTCTTTCGCTTACTAATAAATCACACGTGGAAACACAGAAACACTTGAAAAAAACCAGGAAACAAAAAAAACACTTTCAAGGATAGGTTAGTTAAATTGAAAAAAACACAGGGGCAATAATATAATAATATTGTAAGTTGCACTGTATAAAGTTCAGTGGTAAATTGTATTTTGTAATAAGAATAACTTAACAGTAAACAGTATAACTGTATAATTGTAAAAGTTAACAGTAGGTAGAGTAATTCTATAATGTTGCCAACTCAAATTATCCCCACCAAGTAACTGAAAAAAAAGTTAGTATTTCTAATAGGCAAAAATAGTGTGACAGCATGTTAATGATTGATAAAGACCACGGTTCAAAACAAACTATTATCACAGTTCATCCTACATGGATAGAAAAAGATGTTTAAAAAAAATTGTATTTGGTATTTAAATTTTTTTCTTTAAGCGCGAACTGTTAAAAATATGTTTTTCATAAGTACATATAGACCAAAAATATGAAGCTGAACTCTTTTTTCATCATGACTACGGTTATCTATGGTAGATATATCAAGTTTTGTTCATCTTCATCCATGAATCAATTAAATTTCATTGGTTTTCATTTTAAAAAAGTTTTTTTTGAGGTGAGTAGTCAATTTTTATAAATTTAAACAAAAATTAAAATGTGTTTAATAATTGTTGTCTTAGTGTTAAAATAGTTCAATGTTAGTTCCCATTGTGTTCACACGTTTCAGTAGAGAAACCTACAAGTTTTTTAGATTTCCTGTAAATGATGTGAACGCAAAGTTTAGGCTGAATCCGTTAGATAAATTACACTTTAAATAGTTATATTCTGTTAAATACTCATATACAGAGTGTCTCATGATGATACACCCATTACAATATCTCTTAAAGTGCTTGCAAATTAAATAGTTCTAAGATGCTACATATCTTTTTTTCGTCCTTATTTTTGAGAGTGAAAAAAAAGATATGTAGCATCTTAGAACTAATTGTTACGTAAGTTTTTAAAAAAAAAAATCCTGAAAATAGTTATATTCTCCGATTTATTGCAATGCGTATAATTTTTTAGTGCGACACTGTATATATATAATTTAAATAAATTGATTAAAAGTTACAAGTTTAATTTTATTTTTAATTATAAACTGTTTACATAACAGGAGAACAGATTCATATCCTACAAAGAACAATAAAATATATTTTTACCACTTGCATTTTAAAGATGGATTAAGTGAAAATGGACCTACTGTATTTGATTAGAATAAAAGCTCATATTTTTCATTTATATTCCTTGAAAAATATACCAAGTATGAAATAGACCACATTTACCTATAAGATTCAATTATAACTTTAAGTTTACATCAATTTAATATTTATTATTAGTTATTTTTAAGTTAATGATTTGTATTATTATTTCATTTTATTAAGTGTTTGTCTTCTTTTATCTTTTTGAAATATTCTCCTTATAATACTTATGGGAACGACCACCCTAGTTCTTTACCTTCATGTATCTAATTTACTATGTAGCCATATAAGCTATCTTCATAATTATAAATAGTTGGAGGTATTAATATAATGGCTGTAATATTGTATTATATTATTAGATATTAATTAATGTGTGTGTTTGGTTCAAAATAAATTAAATATAAGGGGTATGTTTTTTTACAAAATAAATGTCTATGTATATTAATTTAAGCCTGTGTCTATCTCAAACTAAGTATATCCACAACAGGTATGTAATTAAAGCTCGTGACATAAGCACATTTATAAGAATTTTCTACTTTGAAAAATATTTTTTTGTTATCAATAAAATTTATGATACCCGAAAACTAACTATATCGGTTAGAAAAAATCAAGTTGTAAAATTAAATCAGTTGTCGTATAATTCAATATTCTTAGATTTAATTTTACCTTATTTAATATGTACGGAGTGTCCCACGAAAATATTCCAATTGTATGTACAATATACTTCGTGGGACACCCTGTATATGGCAGGAATAACGGCGTTTTAATAAATTATTTTGAAAACTATAATATTGTTTATCAAGTTATTCGGTATAATAAAATAATATATGTTAATTAAGTGTTTTTATTTTATTTAATGACATTTAATATTTTCACCCGTACATTTATGTGTGTACTATATTGTTATTAATAATATTACGGTTATTTTATTTAAGTTGTGCACTAACAAATGAAATAAAAGTTTAATTAAAAAATTTTAATTAAACTCGAACGAGTTCATATTGTATATGTATACGAGTTCGCGCACGATGGTAAAACTTATATATTGTAATTGAATATAATATTCAATAAAAAAAAAAATCGAGTCGTTCTGTTGATTTAAGGCGATCGATATTTTTTCTTTGACGAAATTAATGTTGTGAGATTAAAAGTGTGCACTATTGTATGTCCTCTACGTGTACCTACGTTTAGTATAGGTACCATAATATTATTATAAAATGTACAGAGTGGCATTTTCATTCATCTTTTATTATTACCTATTGGTATATTAGCTACTTGGTTACAATATCACCAAAATGTTTTAATTAGCGTACAGTATTTTACCAATAGATAACCAGTACCTAACCGATGACATAAATGTAGTTTTTAATTGTTTCTTTATTCTGGGAACCTGATTGTCGAAAAGTGCATTCAATTATGAGTCAATTGCAGTAATAGTTTAATTGCTAAACTAATAACCAGACATCTTAAAATTGCATCGCAAAAACAGGCTTATTATTTCGGTGATAATGAAGCAAGGAAATTTTCGGGCAACTAAGGTATTTTTCGGTTTTACTTAATTATTAAAAAACCTACAAAGAAAATCAAAAAGGACTCACTCGGTCACCAACTAGATTAAAAATGCAATAAAAAATGTCGGGGTTTTTTTTATTGGAGTAATATTTTTCGTATTATCACTGATAATCACAGTCCGTCGGGGCAATGCTTAGATGCCCAGGGTCGATCCTATAACAGTAGCACATAACAATATGATAAATAATAATAATAGTAATAATAATAATAATAATAATAATAATGTTTTATATGGCACGGGTCAAACGGTCAAAAGCATGCAATCGGTAGGTGTATAATGGCACAACGAAACGTTAATTCATAATTAACGAGCAGAAGAGATGGATAATTAATGCGGCGCATCGTTGGCGGTAGTAAAAAGGATGAGGAGTGACAGGCCTGTGCAGTCGTCGTGGGAAATCATGTTCGGGAACGTTCACCAGGGGACAGGTCACACAAGGATTGCAGCTTTACTATATTGGAAATCACCGAAAAACAATTTTTTTTCGCATTTTAGCTTTATATTTGTTAACAATCTAAGCGCACATCGATGCATTTTTGGAGTATTATTTCGTTTTAAGTACATACGTTATATATATTTATATATAACTCAGACCCAGAGAATTAGACGAATAAATTAACAACGCAAATAGGTACCGAACATCTAATAGATTTACGTCGTTTCACATATAAGTAACAATGTATGTCTGAATACTCTCAGTTCCCGAAAAATGGAAAAGTAACCACCTTTTATAATAGTAATATAGGTGCTTTTAGAAATGTGAATTCCACCAAAAAATAAAAATAATATTACTTTTGGAACGTACTATACTCCGGATACGCCGCCACGTGGAATGAAGCCAAAACGGCTTAATATGGTAAGATATTTCTCTTCGAAATCGCAGAGCCTGTGGCCAGCCAAACGGAGATCCCGACCCCTATATTATATTCGGTTTGTTGATGATTTTTGAGAGGTTAAGAAAATGGTTGTAAAATATATCGTTGGTTTGACGGGGTTGCTCGCATCATAATATAAAGAAATGTGGGTTCAATAAATGTACGTATAATTTACCGAGCAAATTTTTTTTTTTTACAGTACTGGAAGTCAAGTGATCTCTTATTTTAAGTTTGCTAACATTTATTTAAGTAAATGCATACATACAGGGTGATTTTTTTATCATCGTTTATTACCCTTCCTTACTCTTCCAATCTAAACTTTAAACTGTTATTATTCATAAAAAATAAATCTGATATTATAGTATTATCCATATTGACATTTCCAGAAAAATATTCTTTATTCAAATCTGTGTTCGAAAGGGAGGGTTCCTATTTGAAAATCAAAAGTACATACTTATTTAAGATATTTAGAGTAGGGGTAAAAAATTAAAAATTGTTTTAAAATAAAGCTTAAATGATCCCATAATAATTAGAAAAAACAGAAATTAAATTCATAGAAAAAATTCCGAGATAATTGCTGGTTCATGGTAAAAAAAATCACTCTGTATACTGTATTAAGTGAATTTTCTGAAAATTGGCCTTCTATGTTATTATTATAATATAATATATATTATGGCTATTGTAAAAAAATGAGAAAATAAACTGAGATGGTTTGGGCAAAAGGCATGTTATGAGGAGAGACGAATTAGAAGCCGTGACAATTGTAATTTAAATAAATGTAAGAGGAAAGAGAGGAAAACCAAAAAAAGAGATGTTTGGATGCGATTGAGAATAACATGAACAAACACTCAGGACAGCCAGTGTATTCAAGGTAGGAGATCGGGTCAAGTGGAATTTTCGGACGAGGGTAGATGACCTCAAATAACTGGGATGAAGGCGTAGGAAAAGAAAAAGAAAATATACCGCACATATTCAAGCGATATTAAGCGTTTTAATAATGTCATCATGTTATTAGTTACATTCATTTTATGTAGTTGCAATATCATATTCCTAATCTTACATATTACAAATTGAAACTTAATTATTATCATTAATATGAATAGTTTATCAACATGATTTTTGAGATATTTATAGACATTTTACATTTTTATGTTTGTTTTTTTTTAGTTCTATGAATTTTAAATTGTTTTCATAGTTTAAACTTGATATTTTTTTACTAGATACACCATACGTTGTATTAGTTAAAAAAAAAAAACACCTAGTTAAAAGCGTAATGTAGTAGATCTTATGCATGATTAAAATAAAAATTTTAATTAAAATCCTAAAAATCGCGACATTTCAAAATATGTTAATTGAACTTCACTCAGAATTAAATTTCATTAGCAACGTTTCATTGTTGCGTACAGATATAAATGAAATAACTATATTATGTATTCTACCATTCTACTTCCCCACCTATACAAATGGCATATCCGTTAGTAGATCAACTCTTCTTATTTTATAGGATTATGTAGCTCACCTTGAACCGTATGAAAGTTGAGATGACACAATTGTTGTCATGGTGGGTCCACAAAACACTGTTATGACAAAGCCGTGATAAAATAACTGATATTGTCCTATAAAATGATTTATTTTTTTATCATCTTTGGATAAGCACAAAAACGTACAGGTGAAATAATAGATTTTTTTGCGGAACTTTGACGGTTTTTTTAATATCCTATATTGTAGCGGAAATTAAGCGAAAGTCACGGATGAATGCGCGACGCGTTAGTTTGTCAGTGGACGACAGATGCAGAAATGACATGTAATAATAATTGACGACCAAACGGGTCACGCAGGCTATTTGAACGTGCGGACAAAATTGCACTAAAAATCATGGTGACATTAATATTATACTAAGTAGTTCACTTTAATGTAAAAATCTGGACAGTACAAAACTGGACCGTATAAATCTGTATGTAATCGGTATGTTAAATACATATTTTCAAAAATAATAATTAAATTAATATAAAAGAGAACTATCAATTAATAAAACAAGTAAAAAACCTAAATATATGTACCTCTTTTGAAAAATAAGATTAAATTGTTCTTTTCTTTTTATTTTGTTATTTCGCCATTTCCCATTATCCTTTATTAAATATGAACTGTAGAAACTAAATTGTACATTTTTTAAAAAATAGGGTTGCTAAATTACACCTTATCACCTCCCTAAATGGTACTTCTGCGTTCAAGGTATGCACTGTTACCCTCTGGATACGTTTATTGGCCGAGTACGCCATTTTTATCTAAAAACTTGTATCACTGATATATAGTCATATGTTCATAATTATATATACTTGTAAAGTATCGCATCGAAACCGGTATCTAAGTTAAAATATAAAAATAGAAGATAAGATATATGTCTATACAGCTCAAATTCGAAATATAACATTGTTAATCGGTCATTAGTAACACCCCCATGATCATGATCATTGTTAATGGTGAAAAATGTATTATCCACGGAAACTACAAAACTCGTTTCAGAAACACTTAGAGATGATGTAAAATTTTAGTTTTTCTGTATGAAAAATTAAAATTTTAAAAACAGTAAAGCAATAAAGCTATTATGCATATATGAAGTATTAATTACTATGTAGCCGTAATTTGTACGGCCTTCGCATAACTTCGAGCCACGACTCATATTTTATTTAGAGATTGGGCCGCAATTCGCCAAAACCTGATAAAAAAGACTTGACAAGTGTAGGAATTTTAACCCGTGCCCCAATTTTCTTTTTGTTCACATATGAAATTAAAAATCCTCACATATCTAAGGATGTACATAATATGATAATTATTACACAAGGTAATAAATTAATAATACGCATTTTTATATGTTTAAACGCATGACTCATTGCAGATTTCCCCGCGAATAAACATAACGGATGTTAGACTAAGCTGCGGACTTATAGAGATTTAGTCGTGCAGTGAAAATGTCCGTTTACGTTATTTAGGTATTATACATGTCTTTATTATTATTATTATGAAGAAGGATGTAAAATGCAAATAGCTGCAGGTACGACGTCTGAATAATTAATTTAGCGAGTATATCAACTCGGGTATATTATAAAGTTTTTAAGATGGTCATTTTGGATGCGCACATCACCAATTCGATTTTCACATATTTCTAACGAGTGCTTAACTTTAGCTTTATATTATGAAAATCAGATATTATGTATTTCAACATCATTTAACCTATAACCTATAACTTGATAAAATCGTTAAAGTTTGAAAATATATTTAAATTCAGGATGAAGTCTAGATGAGAAAGGCCAGGCAATTATTTAAAATTAAATTCATAATATTGTTTTAAACGATAAAAACAATTTCAATAAAATGAATGACTATTCAAATTCCAAATATAAAAAAGTCGTCTGAATATTCTTATCATCTAGACTTAAATACTAAATTTTGTTCTGTTTTCAGAATGTTCTTATCACTTTACTACATCGATCAGACTGATTGAGAAAAGATAGCAATTTTTCTAACCAAAATGTCAATCCCATTAATATTATTTTCGTATACTTATTTTATAGCATGATTAATATTAGGTTTAAGAATAATATATAAGAACTTTTTTATGCTTTTATTCATTTTAATATTTAATATTAACATTAGTAAGTTGTAAATACTTATCTAGGTTCTTTTATACAAAAGAACGATGATTTTGACAAGGATGTGAAACATAAGATTAAATGTGGTTAGATAAAGTAGAGAGAAGTGTCAAGTGTTTTATATAATAATAGAAATGAGACTTGAAGGTAAGTTCTACAAGAGTGTAATATGAAATACAATTCTGAGCGACGCACGACATTTGGTTGAACATTTTGGAAATACTAGGATTTTTTTAATTTCCATTAAATGTATACGTATAAAACGTATACAAAACAAATATATTAAGCATTTTTTTCTCTACCACTGAGTATAACTAACGATCAATTTCATGTAAAATTGCGAAACATATTTGTTCAATTAAAAAAATTGCCCATCGTGCAAAGTATGTCCGTTTGTATTTCTTCCTGTAGTTATACGTATGAATCGGTACAATATGTATGTAGCAAAAAGATGTCGGTGTCTAAAATTAACACGATAGACATGCTGTATAAAATTGCGAGTGCAGTACGATATTTATCAAAATCTCATCTCGTTTATAATATACGGGTTTCACGATATTCGGACGGCGACATCACGATAAATAATATGATAATGCGCTGTGAGTGTCCCGAGACCCGTAGCAGCTGTCACGTCACCACGCGCGCTCGTACTTTATGTTGCCTTTTTTTATATTTTTTTTTTCGCAAAACTAAAATTTTTCCAGGTATATAATCCGGCCGTTATTTTAACGTGCAACGATGACTATAATAGGGGATAAAAAAACCCCTAGAATATAATAATATTGTAATATGTTCGCATTTAAAATAAGCTATACGCGTTATTCGCAACAGCAGTGTTGTAAGAGATTCTCAGTGTAATCATAGAAACGTATAATTGTGTTGTAAGAAAAAAAACGGCCGGCATTTATAATAATACCATTTAAACGCACGTCGATGAATTACACCTCGAAGTGTGTCGCGATTTTTGACCTCTAAGAACATCGCAATGTTGCCACAAACGCCCTATTCGCCGGATATGTCACCCTGTGACTTCTTTTTGTTCCCTCAAACAAAATTGGCCGTGAAAGGAACGCATTTTGAGTCCATAACTGACATCCAGAACGCCGTGACGAGGGTACTTCAGGACATTCCAGTCGAAGCCTTCCAGAAATGTTATGAGAGCTGGAAAAACATTGGAACCAGTGTTTAAGGGTGGGAGGGGAGTACTTTGAAGGGGATCACATCGATGTATCTTAATATTTAAATATACGTATTTTATTGAATTAGTCTCATTACTTATTGGTCAAACTTTGTAATTGTACCAGTTTACCGAGCACGACTATAAATCGTTTTTTGATTACATTGATTCATCGTTGCTTTCAGTATACATAAACTAAACTACCGTGCGTGTGTTCTTTACCTTCTGAACTTTTCGATAGCAGTCATTGTGTTATATATGTATATCATGACATGTAATTAACATTTTGGGAATGTCAAGTAAATTTCCCGCTTCTAGATCTCTATAATTGTAAGCCTCTATAGCAGTGGTTTTTAAAGTTTTTTTGATTCATTTGATTCATGGCCCCCTTATCCACGATAATCCAAAACTGTGTCGCCTTACCATCAAAATATACTATATGTATAATGCATTGAATTTCTAGGTTTTTAAATAATTTTAACAGTAGAGTTAAGAATAAAATTATTAGTTAATTAAAATAAACGAAAAACGCAGAAAAATAATAACCACATTTTATAAAATAGAAATAATTTAACGATAATAACTCCATGGTCCATTTTGTTTATACAATTTGAGTATCAGTAGCGGTATTTTTGAAAAATGAGTTATGGGGAGGGAATATTATGTTGTTCCGACGTTGGTGGTGATAAAGATTTAACGACAGCAACGGTAATAATAAAATTGTAATCGAGAAAAAAATTTAAAATTTTTCTATTTTTTTATTTTCCCCAAAGATTTTGTGTTACAATTCATTTAGAGACACGGGTTCATGTTACTTCTGTTTTATGGCTATAAATATATTGTGCTGCAATCCATATGTTCGTCATATGACTATAATACCTATAATAAGATCTGAGGGCTAATATAAAATCGGCTAGTAAGCTAGTATATAATCGTATAATATAGTTTATTATTATTTTAATTGTTTTCGTCGTTGGTGTACGGCCAGTATCACGGTAGATACTCGGCTCTGAAAGAATCGCTGATTTTTTGGTTAGGAACGACATTATTTTGATGGATGGACACGTTTCGATCGTCCGAAACGTACCATACCCTCCGTACATTTGCCCCCCGCACCAGCTGTCGTAATCTTTTGTTTGCCAAACCCCTTGCCGGTCTGTGCCGATAAGATTCCATCATCGTGCTGATGACGCTCTAAAATCGCACATACTGCATGATACATTTTCCACGACAACGTCGTATATATGATAGTATATAGCTTTTAACCCGCCTGTAATACAATAATTTAGGAACGATTAAGGTTCTATTGAATTTAATCATATTAGAGATGTACAAAAAAGATATTGAAAATGTCAGATCACAGTACATATACGTACCTAATGAGTTGCATGGAAGTTGGACACATAGGTTATGTTGTCAAAAGATAAAAAGTTATATCGTTACGGAGACATTTCGGAAATAGTGTAGAGATATGTATACTGTAAACTAACTTAAGTTTAATACAAATACCCGTGAACAGAAGAAGTACTTTACTAGAGTCGAATATTCCCCAAGCCGATTTGTTACTGTTACAATATATTTTTTTTTGTTTAATTGGTTTAAAGTAACACATCTGGCAAATAGTTGCTAGAGTTTTATTATAGTTTAGCCTGTAGAGTGTAGAGATATTTAAAACTATATTTCTTGTGAAACCATGACATTTTAGTATACAACTTAAGGAGGAAGTTAAAAGTTAAAATCCCCAAAAGACACATCTTAAATACTTTCATCATGCATATACAAAATTGCATCCATATAGCTTCACTTGGGAGGTTTGGGAGGGTGAACAATGCTAAAACAATATCATCCTCACGTAAACAACATATTGATATTCATAGCTATTGAAATTTAACTAAAATATTATCACTTCAGTCCTAGTTTGAGCTCATTTAATCCATAACAAGTCGCTCATTAATATATCCAAAAATAGCAGGGAAAAGATGTATTATAATATATTATACCAATAAATCTCTTTAGAAAACATTTGTCAAAATTGTATTAATAAAGGATTCAATTTTTTAATTTGAATAAATTGTGGTATAATTTTGTATGGTTTTTACCATCCATTAATCTAAAATAATAAAAAAAAACATAAAGTAAGGTTCTGGCAGCAATAATTTTGATCAAGTCACAATATCATATTACAATATTATGATTCGCTCAAAATTTAGAATACTTGGTAATTTTATATTGTGATTTTAATTTTCGATTTTTCAATTTTATCGTCAAAACAAGTAAATTATATGCATACACAACGCTGAAAAAAAAACCTCAAGTGTCATATATTTGGTGCGTCCCGTCAACACTATAAATATACCTATACCTATTTGTACATATATTGGAATTTCATCGCTCATTTCTTCTTGTCACTTTTGACCCACCTTATAAATTTAATATTTTATGCCTATATAGATATAAATATTATTATTATAATATATTTTCGAGTAGGTATACTATACGAAAAAAGTCAAAAAGAGTCTTGAAAATCGAATTTTCCGTGGATGCATTGAAAATTATTGAGCTACTGTGTGTAGTATGCGGAGATAAAAATGGCTACAAAAAAACATATAAAAATAAACTGATATACGGTCGTACGTCGCACATGAAATACGATATTGTCAACACAACAGAGCCACATCCGAGATACTCGCATTTGATAGACAACAATATACTAGTATTTTGATGATGCGATTATATTATATAATACTCATACGATGATATTAGTATATGTGCGATTTATCAATTTGGATGCCATGAATATAATTTATTTTATACGCGCAAGGCTAGTAAAATGAAAAAAATATAAAATAGTTTGGATAAATTTAATCACCATCATCTTGCGCTAAATATCAGCCATGTTAATTTTCCATAATATTTCAACGATTGAATAATATTATATTGCACAATAACGTATAGAAATTGACGAGGAAAAAGAGTTTTTCTAAATAAAAATCGCTTATAAATATCGAACAGAATTAGACTCGGCACTATAAAAATTAAAATAAAAACCTTTTGAAAACATATGTAGACATGAAAACAAGATAGCTAGAAACATTAGCGGTGTTACCGTAATACGCTTAAGATGTTTCGTGGTATGATGAATAATAAACAAACGAAGAATAAGTTTCAAGAATTATTAAGGAAAAAAAAACTTTGGCAAATTTTGAATAAAAAATGAGGGATAATAATATGATAAATAACGTCATTGTATTGTTTTTTAAAGTCGATTATCGAAGACATTACGTATATAGAAAGTAAAATTGGAAGAGGAATACCAAATAATATATGTACAGATAATTCTCAAGGACAGTACAGAAATAAAAAGTTGAGGTCGTTGGAAATTTGGGTTATGACGGGTGTGCAAGAAGCGTGAGATAGCAGTAGCCAACCGAACGAAAAATTAAGAATTAGAAGGAGAATAACAAATATAATAATAAAATATACCAACGAGTTACAATTTTAGCAAATAAATTGCAAAACATCCGTGTAGTTTTTAACAGTTTTAAGGGTAGGGTGGTTAGAGACGTTTGTTACGACGGGCACTACGGTAATACGCCGACCGAGAATATTGTACGAATAAAAATATACGAAGACATCGTATTATTATAATTAAATTTATTATCATATTTTATTGTGCGCTATTATTATTATATTATTATTCTCTTTTTCTATATACTTTTCGAATGGTTTGAAAAAAAAATAAAAATAAAAGTAAAAAAAAAAATAAAGCGAGCACCGTTGAATTACAAAAAAACTTTTCGATGCACAATATAATATAATAATAATAATGTAAAGTCACCCGAGATGCTTTTTTTTTGAATTCTCGACAAAAATAACTTTGTCTCGGGACGATGTTATTATGATTTCGTTTATTTTTTTTATATTATTACAGAAACTAATATAATTTAAACGGCCATAAACACTCGGTTGGATATGCGTTTAAAAATATTATATTTTCACGGTAAAAGATAACTGAAATTTTGCCTGAAACAGAAAAAAACCCGTTAATAGTGAAGGGGAAAAAATTAAACGGAAAATAAAATACATAAATACTGTCTATCTCTATAGGATCCGGGAAAATCGTAATACTTAATGAAAACTACGGTGGTTTTTAATCCGAAATATTATTCGGTCCAATGTTCGTCTACGAAATTGCTAATAATATAAAGTATATTGTTCACTATTAGGGGCATTCGTCAAAAACATTATTTCGAATAATCTCCAATTTGTATTTTTAAATAACTAAATATCAAGCTATAGTGATTTTATAAGGTACAATTTTTGTATGAAATTAATATTAGGTGAAAGGTAAGGAGGTTAACTACATTTATAACTAAATTTCGACAGTTTTCTGCTAATATTAATTTAAAAAAATCTATCTTCATTTAACATTAAAAAATTCACGTTTCTATATGATTATTTTTTACAAAATTACAACGAATAATAATTAAAATTAATTTTAAACTATTGTGCATAGGTCTGTAAATATTCTAGTTTTTTTTTCGGTTCACATTATTATTGAAACAAATTTAGAAACTATAGGACAATCAAAAAAAAAAAAAACAATACACCGATTAGTTAAAATTTACAATCAAAAATTACCATCGTCGACGTCTAATTGGAGCAAGTCTTCTAAGTGTACATCCCGTACACTTAGAAGACTAAGGGATATAAGTCTCGAAACCTGAATGTAATAATTTAATACTGCGCGTCCTGCTATTACCGTAATCTACCGGAAAAACGGCGTGTGCACAAAATTTAACCCATTTGCGTAAATACGGTATGTAATATTATAAACCATCCCCCCCATTCATGGATTAATAATGTACCTAAACGTAAAATATTTATTTTATAATTCAATTAAGACTTATGGTAAAGAAATATTGCTATATAGCTGCTATGGGATCGCTCGTATAATGCGTGGTTCGCGAATCACCACGTCCGCAATAAAACACAGACTTGGGAGCGGATCGATGTAAATACACATTGGAAATAAATAGGTATTACCAGCTCCTATATACGCTTTTACAGTGTTGTTATTAACTATCAGATATATATTATATTATCCAGTGCGGCTGTGCACTTAATAGCATTCCGAGAGAACGTAATAAAACATTGGATACCTACCTACACTGTACATGTGCGTCGGTACTCATAATAATAGTAATAATATTTTAATGTTCTCGTTGGTTCAGATGGTCGATATTATATTGAGATTATATTGCGATCTTGCTGATAAACAATCATTTCACTCTACTGCGCCACGCCGCCTAGATGCACAGTGGTCGAAACGTTAATTAAAAGGTGGACACACTGAATACTGGACAGGCTTAAGTTTAGACTATTATTAGGTATCTGTTGTCATATACGTGCAAAAATAATTGATTATAATGTTTTTGTGGGTGCAGAATTCATATTTGTTATTGTTATTAAAGTAAGTAACTCTATACTATCATAAAGTAAGCATTATTGAGGAATTGAAAGAAGAAGTAGGTATATAATAACTTTGAATATATTGTATAACATAAAAATAAACTTTTGATATTTTCTGATGTTAAATATCAGAAAATTACGGAATCAACCCAATTCAAACTAAAATTATATCATTTGTATGGTGAGTTTTATTGTTAAATCACAAATTATGTTCGTCACAACTACATAACCAAACAAAGATTTTTGTATAATCAAATATGCGATAAAGTAGTATGTAATAGTAGTAGACAAGTGTCTGAATTATAATACATTTAAGCATGTGAATAACATATTGATAAAAATATTTTAAAAACGAACAAAATATTCATTCATATAAATGACCATTAAGTGACATTTTCCAATTCATCAAAGTATAATTTAAACTCAATAATATACAATATTATTGGACAGAAAATATTTGTCTAAATTATCGATACCTACGTTTATAAAATGAGGAAGAAAGGTACATAATATATGCGCCATTAAGTGACATTTTTCAGTTCGATAGAATTTCATGGTTTTTATTGGTATTTCTAAAAATACATCTTAATAAAATACGTCCAACCAGAAATATTACAAAGAGGAAGAAATAAAGATAATTGCATCTAATCATCGTTTATAGCTGTCGAATAATGTCCACTTAATACAGGTAACACACAACTTTCGAAATGATATGCGCGTGTGTGATTTTTTCCTCGTGTATTTATTAAATGTAATAAAAATATAATAAAAAGTTTACCCATATTTTATAATATATAGGTATTTTAGATACAAGTTTTGTAATCCATCGTAGTAGGGTCGAGAAGATGGAAAAAAAAAATCGTAAAACCAAATGAATGTATGGAACGTAATATTACGACCCTCGATACGAAATTAAAATCACTTTTACCAAATGTACGGTTATAATATTAATTCGATCGAAATCGATAATTTAGCAAATCACAAGTTTTTATTGGACGTATGCAAAACAAAATATAGATAGGTCTTTATCTAGATGTATTTCAAGTATTAACTTTTCGCCTTTTCTTTAAACCGATAGTAATTTATACACTTTACACAGAGCACACGATTTATCACCAGCTGTTCACTATCTGTGTACTGAATTGCTTAAATGGTTAGCAGGAAAATCCCTATTAAATGTCGAAGAATGAAGGGAGGGGTGTGTACGTGATTTGCTCTCCTTATTATACGTGGACCTCGACGATAATATTTCACATTTTTGTATCTTTACTCGTATACATAGTGTACAATATACATTATAAATAATAATAAAAGGAAATGTTTGTATGCTCATGTTGACTTTCACAGCCAGAAGAGGTTTGAAAATGTCCATAGAATATCAGAAGACAGATCCACCTCAAAGCCGGATTTCCTAAATTCAACTCCTAACGGACTCACATAGATTTTCGATACGAAAAATAGATCTTGTTTTTCCAGTTGATTTGTGTAGTTACCTTGATGATACGGATTAAATAAAAAACTAATTATAATTTAGTTATCACAGACAAGGAAGTAGAACAACAAATAACTGTGATAGGGACGGGGTGAAAAAAAAGAGACACGTTAAATTAAATTTCTTTTAATGATTTCAGTGAAATGAAAGGATATTTTTTTTAAATCTGCTATTAAATGTTAAAAAAAAGAAGGAAAATTAAGGCATGGGCAATGTCAGGCAGGACAGCTACTATCACGTAAAGATATAATATAGAGATTCAAAAATATAAAACACATAAAAACACTCCGTAAACACCGCAAGTAGGTATACAACAATGAAAAGTCCGCTTTATTTTTGCCAGGTGAAATTATAATTTTTTTTTTTTTATTTTATTATTTCCTCCATCAAACCTGCAAACCTGTCTACCGGAAGTTCGTGCAAACGTGTTTTTTGTCCACGTGAAAACAATAAAGTCGAGCAACGCGGGACGTGTGTAATATTTTACTCACGTTCATTACATATATAACGGAAAATAATATTCACCTAAGTTAAAAAGTTTGTGCTATAGTAGATAAATATAATACGTAATGAGTTTTAGTATAAAATTATATTAAATATCAAAATAATTAGCAAGCCCATGTAAGGTCATTTTATTATTATTTTTAAATTCTAAGCGTAGTGAGGAGTGTATTGGTATTATTATGATGTTTTTGTTTTTACTTTATTATTTTACTATTTATTATGGCAGGCCAAACCAATGTTCCAACTCAGTTAATGAACAGGATTGAATATTTAAACATGAAATTAATAAGTACCAATATAAATATCTACTTCAATAAAACTTGTAAAAAGTTGAAATTCGTTCCAAAACACATCAATATACATATCAAACATACGTCTGAAGCTGCAATCAAAGCCAAGAAAGGACCAGAGACAATATAGTTGAACTCGGAAATAAAATTTGTATTCAGCAACAAACATATAATAGTATAAGAGAATAATAATTTAAATTCAATTTTATCCCAAAATTTAAAAATCACTTAGAGATTTCACACTTCAAAAATCACACCCAACAAAAATTACTACATAAGAATAATGAAAAATAGCGTTGGGTAAATGATAAAATTAATATTTTAGTAGCACAAAATACACAAAAATTAAAACTTAAAAACCAGCATTCTTTTCAACTACGAGTTACCAATTTAACTTTCATAGTTCTCAATAAAGCTGAAAATAATTTATTAAATAAAGGTTATAAATTCAATACATATCAAACATTAAACTTTCAATCAATTAAAAAACAATTAGTATAACGTGAATCTGTTATAAATTATATGCAACTTCAAAATCAAAATCAAACAAGATATAACTTAATAAACAGCACCAATAAAAACTACAAAAATAAGCTTGATAATATATTAAAATAAAATAGTATAGTTCAACAACAAAATACAATTATTAACAACTTAGTGAATAAATTAAAAGCAAATAATTTAGGAATAGTTCCGGTAGATAAATCGAATGCTATTGGGTATCATTTATACTAAATGATTACGAAATTCATAAAAAGACTTTAGATTTTTATAAATAATAATAATATTTAAAACTTAACATACGACTCAACTATAATTTACACTAAATTAATTAATAAACTGATAACAAATTCGATATAATACCTGAAGTACAAACGAAAATATTATAAAAATCTGATTACAAAATAGAGGCTTCACATTTACATCCATTAATAAAATTACGTAAACAAGATAATCCGATGTGTCCATTAACTTTAAAACAGTTCCAGCTTATCACCTGGCTAAATATTTAGAGTGACTCATAAAAGAAAAATTAAACATGAATACTGATCCTTTTATAAAAAAACACACTTATGATTTTATTGATAAAATTAATAAAATTAATATTATACCAAGTTACAAAATGATTTCTTTTGACGTTAAAAATGTATATACATCCATTCTTAAACACGAAACAATAAATTTTTAAAAAATAAACTTATACTTTGTAATAAATTTAATACAAATGAAGTACAAGAAATTATTCAATTAATAAATGTAATTATTAATCAAAATTATTTCCAATATAATAATAAAATATATTCGCAAAAAAATGGATGGTTATTTAAGTGCTCTTTTATCTGAAATTTATATGCAAAATTATGAAACCAATAATATTATTAAAAACAAAATATACAGTCCATATACAAAAGCATATTAAAGATATGTTGATGAAACGTTCATTATATTTAGAGGTTCAAATAGACAAGCAGACAATTTAATTAACTACTTAAAGAAAATAAATAAAAATATTCAATTTACTCTCAGCATGCAAATTAATAATTAATTACAATTCTTAAATCTTACAGTTTCCATAATAAACAATAAATTTGATTTTAGTATTTACAGGTAACATATACAAACTGATTCTATAATACCACACGATTCAAATCACCCTTATTCTCAAAATATATAATTCAATATTCTATAGGCTTTCATTTAATACAATTATCAACACGGGTTCAATATTATCTATAATATAGTCCATAGAAATAATTTAAATTTAAATATTATTAAAAAACTTCATAAACGTAATAAAAAAAAATAATACACAACTCACCAAATAATGTTGTTAACTATTGTTGGTATGAAATATCAAAATAATATGCCTAACGAATTCGGTAAAATTCTGAACAATAATACAAATAATGTAAAAATCGCTTTTAAGACCGCTGTTAGTTATTATTCGTGAGTTTGAGCCACACAGGCTGCAGGCTAAAGAGCGTGCGAGTTATTCGCCATGAATTTGGCACTGTAAAATGCCTACACGTTGCGATTAATTTAGTTTATTTAATTTAGAGAGCAATTTATTGCAGAGGAAATTTATTTAAAGTTTAATAAGTTGTATAAAAAATCTAAAAATAAAAATCATCTTTTCTAATCATTTTGAAAACTTGGTACTGATTAAACGTATGTATACATAATCTTATAGCAAAAATGTATTGATAAAATTGTATAAAATATAGATATCTGTTTGCTGATTTAAAACCAATAAATATTATACTTGGGTTCATTCGAATTGGTCTACCTCCTATAGCATTTACATCCTTTTTTACTACGTCACCCTCGGGCTTCCTAGTAGTCTTTTCCCTATTGATGGGTCCTGCACTGCCCATAGTAATGGATTTTAGCTTCTATGTCATACATTTCTAGCCATTTCAGATATTTTTATCTTACTATGTTGATGATCCTAGCTCTCTGTTCGTCTTTGTCTCTATTATTCGGTTTTTTATTCAACAATATTCCACAATAGCAAATTTTTTCAAATATCTATCTTAATAATCACTTATATTTAAATAATATAAAACAAATGTGTACTATGTTTAAAAATATCTGTAGTTGTTAGCCAGTCGAACAGTATTCGGTACTTACATAGTCTCATAGATCATATTATAGATAGGTATACAGAGTAATTATTCTTCTTCTTGGTTATCTTATTTTATTAATCTTCTTGATGGTTCTAAAACTGGCAGTATTTTCGTTATACCGATTTATCTTCGGTATTTAATACGACATATTGGATCGTTATTCACTATTACTATGGCATTTTATCGATGTGCTCAATCTTAATGAAATTTGTAATACCTACTCCAAACGGTCCCAAATAGTTACGAAACCCTCCGTCAACTAATATTTTTTGGTGTCATATTTTGTGCAATATTATCATATTGAACCGTTAACGGTTCGAAATCAATAGGTAATAATATGATCCGGGTCATGGTCACGTCGTTATACTTTATTCAATTTATACAAAGTAACAGAATAATATTGTTCTATGGAAATTGTACGGTATTTACCGAGGATACTGGTACATAATATTATTATAATATATTATATTATATATATCCGTCGGGTATATGATGGGTTAGGTCAACGTTCACCGTGAATACCGGATCGAAGTAAATTGCATAAACCGTGATATATAACATGAAAAAACGTGGTATGTCAGTATATTGTTATTATAATACACAATACGGCAAGGTATTTTCCTACTAAATTCCTAAAACAATGTTGGTACACTTTCTCTAACTCCCTTCCCCCAATGGATATTACCAGCTACTTTTTAGAAGTAGGATTCTAAACACGTATTGTATGCAATATTCTTTTCGTATCGACTCATCATAATTCATAATCATGGTATTTGTACATTTAATAATAGACATTTTAATTTTGCGAGTTTTATACGTATTATTTATTCGGTAGATACTCTGAGGTAAAATTGTTAAAATTTAACAGAAACGCTTCAAAATTTAACAGGAGGTTCATTAAAAGTCATTTATTTATATTAGTCATTTTTTTATAAGAGAATTTTAATATCAAATTTTGACGAAAAAGTTATGTGGAACTAACTAATTTTTCATTTTTTTTTTTTTTTTTTTAACATATGTATATTGCCTATTTCAGAAGAACGATGGTGAAATCAGAATTGCAGACTGATTAGGTTTCAAAATTATAGCTTTTTGATGTTCTGGTATTATGCGAATATTATATCATGATATGCTAAATAACTCTATACTGTACCTATTCAAGCGTATTTGTCGAGATTTAATAGTTATTTATGCCCAATATTATCCTTAGGGTTCCGAGTTCATGGAAAAACCAATTTCATTTTGGGTGTACCTAGAGACCCAAGTTATCGCTTCCTCGGACTATTTTAATCGCAAAATACCTCTCGATTTGTTGTGTAAACTTTTCTACCAAAAATCTTGCTCCAATGTATTAAATGTAGATTATTTTCTGAAAGGAAATTTTATCTCCATGATGATTTAGAGAAAACGTTTATTGATTTTTCAAGTGATTTTTATAATATCTGGGCAAAACCGGGATAAAATGTTGGAAAAACGGAAAATGTACGAAATATAGGTATTATTAAAAAAATATTATGGCATTTTTTTTCTGTGTACAACTTTTTTACCATTAATTTCACTCCGATTGAAAATGATAGTATTTTTTCTGAAAGTAAATCTGACTGGAAAGATACATTAAGGGGGTACTTTTTCGATTTTCCCAGGAATTTTCCCAATAAATGGGAAAAATCGGGAAAAACACGGGAAATTGGTACAATAGTTAACAAATATTATTAAAGAAAATATACAATGCCTATTTAATTGTTTACCATAATATTACATATATGTTGTTGACAAAGCATCACTATCAACTGAACTGCGCGCAGAATCATTTTTTTGTGAGCAGTAGTTTATAGTTACTTACAAATATACATTAAATTAATAATAATTAATAACATTGGCTGCACCCGTCTCCATTATCCTAGGACGTCTTTTTTATACTATACTTTTATTTTTAAATTCGGTCACTGTTTTTTGACAAATTAAATTTAAATACAAAATAAGTGCGAAATCGGTAACAACTATAAAATATAATATATTTAGGTAGTGCAGATTATTGGCGAGATAGGTACTAAATATTAAAATATTATTGTTCAAAATATTAATTTATTTGGCGGTAAAATGAATACAATATAACCTATAAAAAAATTTTAATTACTAAAATGAAATTGTATAAATTAATGAAGATATCAGTGAGTATATTAAAATGAATGTCGGCCGTTCCATTTAAAAATATAATGTTCGTTCGGAATAATGCAACGGTTTCTGTACGTTTTTTTTTCCTACGATCTAGACAAGATTTCCCTGGACTTTATTGGATTCGGTCACCAAAACAACGGATAAGGAATGAAACACTATACGGTGGCTGGAAGACAGGAGTGGTCTGGGGAACGATCAGTTTTAGTACCGTCACCGCGGCCGACATGATCGTTGTTCGGCCATTTTGTCGTTGCCGTAATGTAACGGACGGCGGTACTGCGGTGATGCAGTAATATATGGTCAACGGGATTGGATTACCGACAGGTTGTTTTTTTTTTATATATATAGTTCAATTACGCGAAAAAGCCACCTTCTCGTAAATATGATGAAAATTTACTAAGAGAAAAACGCAGAAACGTTATAGTTGTTCTTTTCGAAAATATGTGTACTATAATAATATTATATATTATTGTTATTATGTCATGAATTTTCAACGGTATTGAGCTGAAAACATATAAAGCATAAAGTATTGCACCTAACTCGAAGAAAATGAGAACAAATATACAATTTTTAATTTTTTTAGTACACATACATATATAGAAACAGCTGCAATTCCGTCTGGTCGATCATTGAGGAATCTATGATAAATTATTACCTATATACAGTTTATCCTCGAAACCCTTATAAATATAAATATTCGTCATACTGGCCGAACGAATCTCCCATGATAGTTATCATTTCCACCGCCACCGTCAATGCCGATGTCGTCGTCGTCGTTAAGATATTATTTTTATTTTTTATACTTTATACGGGCCAACAGAACGCGGAAAGAAATGACTGCAATAAGTTTAACAAACCTTTGCGGTGACCCCTTGGTTATATCATCTGACCTTACCACGGGTACTGTAAATCGACGATGGGGGATAGGGAGAAGAATAAAAGAGCTACTGTCGAACAGTCTGCGAAAATTACTTATAATTTGTCATATTATTCCCCGGATAGTGTAAAAAAAACAAAAAAAGCCAATAAACGTAGTTAAGATTACAAAAAGCCAAATGGCTCTGTGCATCAACCACAACTGATTATGCCTGTTAAAATCAAATCGTGTTTTTTCCTCAGTCCAAAATGCCAATGCAATCAAATTAATTGCGATAAATCGTGTGAACATTAAAAAAGTTAAAATTACTATATGCACAAAGCAAAGGACTTTTTGTGAATGGGAATTTTGCCTAGTTGGTACATTAAAACATATTGATATCAACAATAATCAGTTGGTAAAAATTGTTTGATTTATCCATGTTTAATGTACGTTAAACAATGCTTTTGACAAATCTTGAAAAAAGTTTTGTTTTTAATGATTTCTAGCCTAATTCAAGAGAAACACATACAATTAAGAATACAAAAACCAGCGTAACCTTCCTTTACCAATTTATCCACTCAGTATATTGTTTTTTGATTGCGAAATTCTGTAGTTCCTCTCAGAACATTAACTAAATTAACTTATCAACTTTATAAAAGAAATTCACTATGCTCTATAGACGACAGGCCTTTGCAATTTAAAAGTATGTAATCGCAATGTCATTTCATTATTGTATAAAATATAATATACATTAAAACAAAATTAAAATAGAGAACTGCCAGACATGGAAAAAATCTATATGGAAAGTAAACTTGGATGGAAAATAAACAATTTGACAGAAATCTAGCGTTCTAAATACTAATCTAAATGGTAAATGAATAACAAAAATTAATTTCTGGGTCTCCACCACTTTGAACCATGACCTCATCAAATGATCGATGGCCGTATTAATAAGTGATTAATATTTTCGATTTATAAAATAATATTATGAACAAAAAAACATGCAGCCCAACAAAGGAAATATAAATAATTAGTATAGTATTAATGTATTTAGAATCTAAGCAGATAGATGAATGTTTTATTTTTTTATACTGCACCTAATACATTTTCCTGTCTTCTAACACAAATATTCTCCAGAGAGAATATTTGACATAATAGATGATTATCTTAGAGGTTTTAAGATGAGACGTGCCCCATCTTAAAGTTTATTTTTTGAATTTCATAACTTTTTTGCAATTTTGTTTTTTGTAGGTTTCTAGATTTCCTCGATTATACATAGGGGAGATCTTAAACAATATTATTATCATAGCAACCGAGGTCCACTCAAAATTGTTTTTTCTTTACAGTAATGATTTTCGCACATTTCTTTTGATACATTGTTAACTCGATCATCAGGGGTGTCCAAACCCTAGGAGCACTTATATATTCCACCTGCCCGCCTACAATAAATTAGAAGAACTACGTGGTACGAAGTATACAACTTATTTTGTTAATACTGAAAATCGATATATTTTTCACATATTCTTGCAATTATTGTTTTTATTCTGACTAATCACAAAATTCCACGGAGGGATCTGAAGTAAACACACGGAAAAATTAATCTTCTTGACCTATTAAATAAAATAGAAAAAATAACGGGTGGACCTACTCCGCACCACTAGTGGACCACTGTTGTAGGTGAAAATGTAGGTCAATAGTATTACTTTTTTAACAATGCGCGTGTTTATAACAACGATTTTTTAAAAAATATTTAAAGAATAAAATAATAGAAACTTAAAAATAACAAAAAAATAAATAAAAACAATTGCCAGTGACAATCTTCTTTTTCATATTTTATTATTTTTTAACAAAAAAAAAAAACAGCTTTTCCTAATTATTTCGACTATTAATGAGAATTACAAAGAATTACCTTTTAAAAATAGAGCCAAAATTCGATAAAAAGGTACAAAGGGGATGTTTTGATTGAAGCAAGATTTCTAGGAGACATTTTGTACACAGTATATATATAAAAAAAAACATCATTATAAAACCAATAATTTCCTCGCTTCATTCAGAATTTAAAATACGCGAGAATACAGTTGAAAACCTTTCGTTGGTATTTTTTACGGTGGCTGGAGCAGGACGTATATGGCACCTTTAAAAAGTAGCGTCAACGGTGGCGGTGGCGATTTGTCGTTCGTCATAATTCTCCGTTGGAAACGTTCCTATAACTAGCCATACCTTCGACGATCGCTGCGGCCCCTTCCCGTACCGCTAACATATTTTATATTCCTATACTTAACGTAGCCCAACAACGTATTTATATTTTATACCTACACGATGTCCCGTTCATAAATAATGCAAACGGTCGTGGGTCGCGAAACCGTGTATATACGTTATAATATATACTATATATATACGAGCCCGTGTGTGTTTTATCGATACAAGAGGTAAAGAAATATTTATACATATATATATATATATACATAATATTTCAAAATAATAAAATATACAATGACCTATACGCGACCCGGACACGATACGACCACGCGGCATTTACGGTGCGTGTACGATAAAATTGTAAAATTGATTGTCGAGATAAGTGGTAATAATAATATAAGACATTGGTCAGGTATTTGTAAGCGCGAAAAATTATTTTTTATTTTACAGAATCTCAATTAGTAATTATCTATGAGCATAATATTATATTATTTCGGACATTTTCAATCAGGCACGCTTACAGGGTGATTAGGGGTTAACCCCTTCTCCTGAAATTTTATGAAAATTACGATGAAACTAGATTTTTAATAAAGTCTCAAAAGTGGTTTCGTTTATTGAGGAAGATAAATACAATTCTGGTTTTATTTTCATTTTATTAATAGATAGTAGATTTATATAATTATTACTTATTATAGTCATTTTTAATTTGTTGCGGTTTTTCTGTTTTTAGATAATTATAACTGATACGGCGATGTTGCATAGCCTGCATTATCATCATAATAGTATGAATTATATTATCACTTAGGCTGTATTCACTAAAAAAAATATTAAATGTAAAATTAAGTAATAGTCCCAAATATAATCTAAAAGGCTAAAAATGAATGTCATAAAATATAGACTTCTTTGTTATAAGTATAAAAGTGCACAACCTCAATCTCCCCCCTGAATTTTTTTTTATTTTAGAAAGCATTCCTGTTTTTATTGTGGTTAATATAATAGGTTTCCGGTCATAGACATGACAATTTCGATATTGTGTCGTTGTTGTGAAGTTGGCGGTCAAAAACTTTAAATTATGTTGATAAAAAACATAAATATGATTTAACAAATGCCAAAATCTATTTCCAACAATGATCAATACATTTTTTGGATCATCGAAAATTGTTGCAAACACTGCACTACCAACTTCACAGGCATACAAAATACGAAGGTACATTCATAAATTCGTAAATAGTAACCGGTGACTGTTTCCCTTTAAAATTTGAAGCAGTTAAAAAGTAATTTAATTTGTTTAACCGATCAAACTTGTTAAAAATCGGTTAGAAAAAGTTGTCACTATCTTGGATAGACGGTAACAAGCAGTGACTTTTCGTCATCCACTTCAGGATTATTAATTCTCCTTATTAATCCATTTAGAAACTAGCGTGGTATCTCTTTACTAACTCTTACCTAACCGATTCTTTTGATCGTACAAACAGTAAACCTAATATTCATTATCAGCTATATATAATTGAATATAGTGTGGGTTAAATTGAGGCCAGAAACGAACGATTATGTTTAAACTATATAAGGTTAATGGAGGGAAAGCGGAAACTTATAAATTATTTTTTTTATTTTGTTTAAACTAGAGGAATAATGTCATTCGAATTAATGGAGTACACGTGACACGACCTCAGCTCGATAAGAGGGGGTAGTGTATTTTCAACGTACATGGCGATTTTAGTCTCCCACAGCCCTCAAATAAAATCGCAATCCGGAAGTGCGTACGTATATTATTTATAATCTTACAATGTAACTAAACGTTTACATGAGTTTAATGTTATTTCCTTCAATATTTTTATTAAAATATAGTAATATGGGCGTATATTTCTGGTTCTGAGCTGACTTTAAGTCTCTACGAATATAATATAAACATGAAAGACAAAATAATATAACTAGACCAAGAATGATAGTAAAATCACGAATTCATGTACGAGTATTACTTAAGGTTTTATCAAAGATTATGTAAACCTTTTTTTCCATGAAAACCCGCATATTGTCTGTCTCTCTTACACATGATCTTTCATATATAGCGAGTCTTCTATTATTCTTTTCGTGTACCAAGTCTCACAAGCACAAGTTAATATTGGTCTGAGGTAGCTTGTGTACCCGACTTTTGATTTTCTCGATAGTAATTTCAATTTTAACAACTTGTTTATGCTTAAGTAACATTTATTTCTATTTAATATCTTTTTATTTATTTTTTTATATATGAATTATATTTATTGCTATTTATTGCTATTTATTTACTTAAATGTTAATTTAAGTATTTAAAATGATCTACCTTTTCAATAATATTATTATCACTATAGATAGCATGATAAAATAAACTGTAACTATGATTTATCCATTTATATTACTGTATCTATTTAAAATTATGATAATATTAGTAATTGTTTTACGTTAATGATTATTATATTGATTTTTCTTTTCTTTTCGTCATTTTTTTCAGGTCACGAATCGTCTATTATTTATTTTGTTACACATGAATAAAATCGTTGATTTTCATAAAGCTTCAAGTTCAAGAGAGTATATTATGTAATCCCGTGGCAAACGCTCTTATGGAGACATTTTTTTAGATTCTGAGTAATGGAGTGAGGAATGTATTGGTTTTACAATGACGTTTATTTTTTTTTATCTATGAACAACTTTTCTATCTGCAATTTTACTCAGATTTTAAATTTTAACACTTTTTCTGAAAGTAAATCTGAATAGAGTAGTGCTTTAAGGAGGTCATTTTTTTATTTTCCTAGATGTTTTCTTAATAAATGGGATAAACATGGTAAAAACCTGGGAAAAACAGAAAAATAGATACAATAATAAACAAATATTACTAAAGAAAATATATAATACATATGTAATTATTTTACCATAATGATATTATGGTAAAATTGTAACATATATTTATATTGTTGAAAAAGCAACACTGTTCTCCGCTCAGAATCATTTTTCGTTACCAACAGTTAATCGTTGCGTATATATATACATTGAATTTCCCGTCTACCTTCCCAACTTCACACCAACAATAGTGGCCCATCTACGTGCGAAATATGTTAGTTTTTTTTAATTAAAAAAAGAATTCATAATAATTATAAAAATAGTATGTGTTATAGGTACGCATATTAAAATTGTAAAATAAATATTATTATTTCGAATCTATATTTGAAAAGTTAATCATGAAGTCTCCGGTGCGATTTTTCTGCAAGTATACTGCCGTACTATGTGTCTATAGTATAATAATATATCTTTCCTATGAATATTCAACACACGTTGGAATTTCCTAGCGCCGTGTAATGATCGATATTATAGCGATGTTTGACAATCTCATTTTATGAATAAAAAAAAAAAACTTTCGTTTTGAAACTTCTCACGCATATATACTGAACACCCAACACCCTAGTCGGTACGGCCGCCATAATAATTCTCTTTCACTCGAACGGTTTCCAATGGAATTCTCGATTCTGTTTACGTTTCTCCTTCGGAATAAACCTCGTTTTCCGTAATTTTAAATTTTCAGTTTCCGTGATTCGCAAACGCGTTCGTGATTATAATACATTAATTTTCTCTCGCGAATAGCGAGTGATCAGTCGGATGGCACTGTATATATATATATATACTGAAGCTACTGACAACATTCGATCCAACAGCCTCAAATAATATATTTCATTAATTCGGGATGTTGATCGGTTGATTAAATTTTAATAAACATTCAACAATAGCGAAATATGCATTCTTCAGGGTTTTTTCGTGCCCTTTGCAAACCGCCAACGCCTATATTAATTGTATTTATTTACGATTCGATTCGAGTTGGCTTTTAATAATTTTGGCTGAAAATCGCGTGTTTTCAGCTTGAATGGACGTCGTAAAGATCATTTATAATATACCCAAAGCAGAAGAAAAGAAATGATAATAGCCTTTTACAAAAGTATTGGAGCCAAAGTAGACATGAAATGGTGTATATATATGGGGACGGATCTAAGAATATATCCATCCCAATGGTTTTTTTCATATATTTTAAATTAATGAATTTTAATGCGATAATCTATATTATTTTATTGGTGATAATCTTGAGTTAAAAAAAAAAAAACAATTTGGACAATTCTTTTTTTTTTTTTTTTAAAGTTAAAAAATTGTTAAAAAATAGGATTTTATTAAATGTAAGGTGATGGGTGTGTGAAAATTGGTAATATACACATCGAGGATGAGGGAAGGGTGTATATCCCTCTGCAGGTTTGAGAATTGAATTTTTCCCTTTGGAAATATTTGCTAAATACTTTCTACTGCATGCATAAAATAGACACGGATCGCGAAGAGTTTAGACAATTTGTCGACCAGTGAGAAAAAAAAGTAAAAATTGTTATTTTATTTTGGTAAAAATAACGCGAACCTTCGGACACTCGTCAATAACGCGACACCAACGGGCCACGATTTCTAATAATGGCGTCCGACGGACCGCAAAACCGCCGGTCGCCGCGCGATAGCGGCGGCGGCGACCGTTTTCCATTTGTCACTGTCCGCCGCTTCGCCCGTCACCTAATCTTCGGCCGGGCCGGGACCCGGAGACATGCGTTTTAAACGCCTGTCACGAGGACGTGTCCATTAAATACGCGGCATCGTCGTCGTCTTAGCCGCCCCAGTCAAAAACGTTGTGCTATTATACACTCCGCGGGTTCTCAAAATAATAGAATATTATATTATCATCGTAGTTAGGTCTTATATCTAATACGCATTTCACGGATACTCAACGACAATAATAAGATTATTATACATCGATAACGTGGCGTATAACGATTCCCCTCAAACTGTCTCACGGGCGAAATAACTCCCGACGAATTAATATCCCTTATTCGAAATATCCACATTTAAATCGGGACGCATAAACTCCTAAAAAAGTGTTGGAAAACGTAACAATAATTTTCGAAAGTTTTTCATTTTATGCGATACATTTAGAGGATACTATACAAAATAATGGGCTTTACCCAAAATAAGATGAAGATTCTGAACTCGCGTTAAAATGTCGACTGTTTTTATTTAGACTTGTATTAGGAATATTAAGGGATATTTAAGTTATTTTGAATAAAGGATATTTTTAGAGTGCACCGAAGAACGACATGACAAAAATTACGGATATACCAATACGGCCAATACGGGAGGAGACTTATATGTTACATGGCCGATTGTAATAAATTATATGTAACGTTATTTTTTATTTAGACAAATAATCTTTTATTTTATGTAGGTAATTAAGAAATCTGAAATACTTAAGTTATCTGAAATAAATAATTGAATCACCTAGATAAATCTTCATAAAAATAATAGATAAAATATTTAATTTGTGTTCATATTGTTTGATGAATTAATTAATTAATTAATTAATTAATAAGTTACATCAATCACACAACTTATTTAAAATCTAAATATGTGTACCTACCTACCTACCTAACGAATCTGGTACATTTTTACTGATTTAAACACTTAGTTTGATAAATATATAACGATTAAACAATTTTTTTTATTTTATCCGGGTACAAATTGCAGAATATTAATTTTTATCTAGGTAATTATTTTATCAATTATTCCGTATGTTTGTCTAGACATTTTTAAACATTTTTTTTTTTTTTTTTATAAAACACTGAGTATAACCAATATTGAGATCTACGCTCGTCCTAGTCAGTTGCATACTCTTTCGCGGAACGAAAATGTGTAATAGTAATATTTTCCTCACTAACTTGTTTTGTCCGTTTTTGTTGAAACCTTTAACTCGAAGGTTGGCTAACCTCATAGGCATAATATAATGCAATTATCGGTCTAACGATATAAGAATTGTTGAATTTTCATTTTTAATGACTCCCAACTTAAGAAATATCTAATCAATGAACTTGAATAATTATTATATTTAATAATAATTAAATTATTTGTTCTATATAAATTTTTTTATTCCATTGTTGACCGATATTTTGTAACGACTTTTCTGTTTTTCGCTCATCGTTGTAAAATATACAGTTAGCATTAAATACAATTTGTTAAAGTACTAATTTTCCTAGGACTTTTTCTATAAATCGTGATTAATAATATTAATATAAATATTCGCTTATTATTGTAATTGACCAACACGTTTTTGTTTAAAGTTTTAGAAAAAAATTACTATTTTTGTTTCTATGAAAGCGGAAAAAAAATCCAACCCGTATCGATGTTTTTATATTTAATATAATATTACTACGTTTTTTGCTGAGGAAAACGATCGGAAAGGGTTTTTATTTTTTTTTTATTAGACCTTTTTCCGTTGAGGACATAAGCCGGGAAGTATCTGTGAAACATTACAAAAATAACACACAACTATCGATATCGGAAATTTAATATTTCCACTATAGGATAAAAACCTTATGTATTTGTGAATGAGCAAAAACGTGTTCTTCTCAACTTTGAATAGATTAAACAACACAACACTAGATATCTGGACATTTCGCAGTCGTCATATATATAATATTACGACGCATAATATTTATATTAGGTATGTTACATCATATATGTTGGTGTGCAAGTACGATGCTACATTTTTAATGTTAATTATACGTAGTGACGGGGTATTCAGGATTTTTCTAAGGAGAGATTATTGAATTTAGAAATAGTGTCATATTGTAATATAACGTGCCAATCTAGACTGAACAACATAAAAATAAATTTTATCATTCTACATATTTTGATAAGTAATTATTGTCAAAATCTTCTCCTTAATGCACCAATTAAATCCAAGACGTTAAAAAAAACTTTTTCTTCGTTTTTTAAATCGGAGTAAGATTTATGATAGAAAAGTAGTTCACAGACAAAAAAATGTTTAAAAAGACACACACCATAGTTAACTCAATATATTCGTCGCTACGCCCTGAATCTTTTAGTTATAATAAAAATGACGCACAAACTTCGAACGTAAGTGCAGCCACTGTGGTAGGTGGGAATTTAAAAAAGTAGTAGAGGGGAAATTTAATGTATATCTGTATAAAAAATAATTCTGAGCGGAGTTCGGTTAATAGTATTGCTTTGTCAATAATATATTTGCTATGTTAAAATAATAGCACAAGCAATACATTTTTTCTTTAATAATATTTGTTTAATATTGAACCTATTTCCGGTTTTTACTACGTTTTTCTCGATTTTTCTCATTTATTAGAAAAACTCCTGGGAAATTTAAAAAATTATTCCACTTAAGTATCACCTTAGTTAGATTTCTTTTCAGAAAATGTACTATTCTATCAATGTAAATTGGAGCGAAATTGCTGGTAGAAAAGTTGTTCACAGCGAAAAAAAAATTAATAAACATTATTGTATAACCAATACTTTAATACTCGCTCCACTCAAAATCTAAAAAAACACAAATTATGAAAAAAAAATTATTCAATAAAATCGCATTTAACGAAATTAGCTTAGGCTATCTATTAATGTTGTAAATATTATGTACTTATTTGCAAACATATTTTTTTGACTAAAAAGTAAATATGTATTTTAATTAAAAAATTAATAAATTGCCACATAGACATAATATGTACTAAAAAGAATCCTAAAGGGACTTTTTATTCCTCTCCCCTTAACTGCGCCACTGAAATATTATGGAACAGTTTTTCAACAACCGTTCCAACGTTTTTCTAACGTATTTGCTACGTCCGCTCGCGAATCGGCCCCATCAACGATGCAGGCTGCTGTCTCCCGCGGGAATATATTTAATTGCTATCACTACGGTATGTTGATTTTTAATACGAACGCACAATATTATAATAGTCACGTCCACGGAGAATACGATTTAGATTTGCAAATAATTAACGGAAGAACAAAACACTAACGAAAAACGTTGTATGCAAACATTTTGAATAAATATGAATTTAATGCGGTGTTAAACAATTATTTTGAAAAAAATATATATATACCTATATATATAGAAAAATGTTTCAACAAAAATTATGCAATTATGAATATTACATTTTATATTTTAGATTCTGAGTGAAACGAAGAGGCTTATAGTTTTACAAAAATGTTTTTTTTTCATCTGTGCGCAACATTTCTACAAGAAGACTTGCTCAGATTTTTAAATGTACCCTTTTTCCAGAAAGAAAAACGGTGTGGGAAGGTATTTTAAAGAGCTCATTTTTCGATTTTCTCAAGAGTTTTTCCAACAAAGAAGAAAAACCAGGATAAAACACGGAAAAACCCGAGAAAAACATAGGAAAACTGGTAAAATCAGTACAACATTAAACAAATATTATTAAAGATAATATTTAAAGCCTATTTTAATTATTTTACTATAAAATGGCATATACATATATATATATATATATTGTGGACAAAGCGTCATTATCAAGTATCAACTGAACTCCGCTCAGAATCGTTTTTTCATAATCAATGGTATAATCTTATTTACGGATATGCATTAAATTATCTATAGCAGTGGCTGCACCCGTCCCCATTACACTAAGATATCTTTTTCATATTGTGTGTTGTTTTTAATATAATTGTTTTAAATTCTAAACGGGGCGAGGAACGTTCCTATCTATAAATGTTTTTTTCTCAAATCTATGTTTGTTTTTTTATTTCAGTGACTACTTTTTTGCCCTGTGTATACATATAAATATATATACAGGTCCTACAGTGTTATATGAACATTATTTTTTCAATCGGGATTCGAGTCAGTAGGGCTCAATAAGTAGGGAAAAATAATTTTTTTTTTTTTTGCATCCCTTAATCACTGAACAAAATACCTTTTTTTAATTTTGAAAATTTTGAAATTGTACAGTACATTGAAATTTCTAGAGTAATACTTTTACAAATTTGTTATTTTTAAAATTTTGAAAAGTGAAAAATAAATTGTTTTGTGTTATTTTTTTCTTTATTGATTGAAGAAAAAAATAAATATTTTTCTCCACATATGTGTCCTACTGACCTAAAACCAGATTGAAAAAAATAACAATAATGATATAACACTGTAGGATACTTTTTATATATATTCTAAAATATATTTAAACATTAAAAAAGTAAACAAGAAAAATAGTTAAAACATTAAAAACTACAGTTAATAAATAAAAATGCAGTTTAAAAAAATATATACGTAATTATTTATTTTTTATATGAACATACTGCTCGTGAGAGCAGGACTTATTCAAATTTCGTGGGCATATAGTCTGTCACTAAATACTCATATATAGTACCTATTTTCGTATGAAATGGAATAGGAGAAATTATTTATTCGCAAACTACGGGCACAATGTCTTAATCCAGGCGTGTATACCTATATAGATATTGAATATTCATTGTGACATGACGTTGTCGTCTCGGTAACCTCGTATAAATATGACGTTTACAATGGCGTGTAGTTATCTTCGTTTTAATGTAATGTTATTTCATGATAATAATGATATTATTATTGTGCGCGTATAGAAATTCGCAAAGGAGAAAGACGCACGCGTGATGTCGAATGTATATACTCGTATATATATATATATACTCGTATATATATATATATATATATATATATATATATATATAATTACGGAATGACGCCCCCCCGGAAAGGTTAGTTAGGAGACATTCAGTCGGAGAAATGATTACGTCTTAGAATCCCGAAGTAAGTAGCCAGTAGTCACCTATATATGACGTGTGCAAGGCATGTCGAGTTTTTTTTTTAAACTTCTTTGTCTATATCCGAAATTCAAAACTATAATAGGTTAGTTAAACAATTATCTACACTGTTATATAAATATAAGCTATTATTCCTAGAATATTTATTTTGAACGGAGATAAGTGATATATTGATAACACTTTAATTATCTATATCAAGATAAATAATTAGGAACTTTAATACATAATTTAAAAGAACTTAATACAAAAAAAAGACAATATTGTTTGTTATCTATCATACAATGAAGTGCTAATAGTAGTAAACGTTATACCAGATTTGACATACATCTAGATTTCCTATAGGTTGTAAGTACAATGACGCAACCAGGATTTTTAAAAAGGAGTGTAAGATTTTTACAGTCGCGTAGCCAAGAGAGGGGGGCTGAAAGGGCAATAGCTCCTCCCCCATCGGCCATATTCCCGTTATCAAAGTGGTTAAATATAATTAATGTGTGGTAACACAACCATAAGTGATAACGAAAACTCAATTACAATAACACATTATCGTGATAATGCAGATGTTCAATTTAAACAAATATTAAGTGATATTTTTGAATAAAGAAAAAGTGTTAATGTAGAAACAAAAATGCTTCGAATTTGCAAAAGATAGACTTTTAGAATACATTTTACCTCTGAGAACTTAGAAATGTATTTCAAACGTTCTGTCTCTATTCCTTTTCTTGATTTTATAATTGCATCAATGGATACGCGTTTCAATCAAAGGCTAGCTGATAATATACCTCTCGAAGGACTTATTCCTCCCAACTTCAATATATATATGATGATAAAAGTATTTTAGAAGCTTCTTAAGTGTATGCACAAGATCTCCAGAATAATATTACCTCTACACTCGGATCAGAGATGTTTATGTAGAGGGAACAATGGAAACAAAATACGTTACTAAAACCAATGTCTGCTATAGAATCACTTTCTCACTGTATCAATCTACAACCCAATATGAAAATTAATTTCACAATAATGTTCTACTTTACCAGTAACTTTGTCCACTCCAGAAAGGACATTTTCTAAATTTACTCGCGTGAAAACTTATTTATGATCTACGATGTCAGAAAAAAAATTGGATGGATTAGCTATGGTAAATATAAACAAAAATGAAAATATTAAAGAAAATTATGTGACTGCATTATTTTCAAAAAATTCTCCTAGGAGAATGCAACTTAGAAAATGGCATCAGTAAAATGTAGCATTGTTTATTTCTTGTTATTAGTTGTATAATAAAATATTTTAATTTAAAAAATTAAAAAAAAAGTATTTTTTAATGTTTTTGTTATTTTTGATTTTAAATAACTCAAGTTAAAATTGTATAGCCCCCCTCCTCCAATAACAAAATCCTGGCTACGACTCTGGATTTTTAGATATTTAAAAAAAAAAAACACTTTTTATTAAATTTATTTTACTTAAACATGGATGAAAAGTGTATCAGAAACACCCAAAATGCCCTCTTTGGTTTCTTGATTGGTTTAAATAAATTATTTTTTCATTAAACTATAATAATATAAATCAAATATTTTACCTATTATTTCTAGTACATTTATAAACTATGATGTAAAAAGATCTATCTAAATTATTTATTATTTATCTCAGATAATTTATTTATAAATTATTTAGGTGGGTAAGATAAAATAAACAAATATATATTTATAAATAAAAATACAACACTGTCGGTTATATATTATTTTACACGAATAAATATATTGCATATGTTAACAATGTTCATTAAACTCATGATGGCAAACGTTACGGTTTATTATTATTACATACACATATATGAATAATATTATGTTTGATGTGTTTTTTTCTTTTTCTAACTCACAGGACTCGATTCAGTTCGTTTTCTTATAACTGGTGAGAACTAAGAATCTCTTCTATCGATCAAGTTACACCCAAGTACGTGTAGAGATTTTTTTTTTGTCTGTGAGTTTGTCACGTAAATATATCGTTTTTCAATTATTGTTTGTTCCTATTTACATAACAAAAAGTTATTTATCTATTGAGAAAGTTACTATCTATGGACAGCACAGTTGTTTATATAATATATATAAATATATTTATTATATACGAATGGTTATCCCATTTTAGTAGTTACGACAAAACGCCCAGGGCGCGAACCGAAGTTAAATGATCGCCAATAATCATAAGATATATAATATAAAAATATAAATTAAATAATCTTTATAAATTTATAAATTTACGTTACCAGTAAGTTTCAGGCGGTAAATTTACGAGACTTCCATCACTAGTTATCAGTATCCAAGCAGAAGAGTAAAGCGAATTTTTCTTCATAAAAGCCAAGTTGTATATCCCTAATCATGCCTTACACAGCGATGCAGAAAAAGCTCGTAATAGGGTGTAAATCAGTATTTCTAAATTTAGATATTTCCAAATATTAGATCATATTGTTATTAAATTATATTATATTATATTTACTATTTATTTTATTGCACTATGGTTATTTATTTTAAACGTTTACTATTTAGTGTTTTATACAACCTGTCTTAACGGATACCTGTATTTGATAGATACCTATCTTGACGGACAAAATAATTAAGTCCTGACTAAAAGATAAACATTTCAATGTATTTCGACTTAATATAACGAACTCTTTCTATAACGGATACGGACAGTAATTGTTGTCTTCAATACCTTGATAATGGAAAACTTTCTTAGTTCAAAATCAAATATATTATTACAAACGTGTATATAAATACCACGCAACAGTGCTGTTCAATATTAACTATTTTAGTAAACGAAAAATATTTTAATAAATACATAATATATTAAATAAGTTTTTAAATAATACGAGTAAGTAAAATATTATGTAGGTACATAAAATAATTAGGCTACCAGGCTATGACACGGCCCAGATCATTTTGAAAATTACCATTTCCAAATTGGCTACTTCACCACTGGCTAAAACCAAAAATCATCTTACCATAAATGTTTACTGAGAGGTAATTTTCTCTCGTTGGTGCATTGGGGAAATCATTTTTCGATTTTCCAAAGGATTTTCGACAAGTATGTAGCCAGAACAATTTCACTAGGTGGTCCAATATTTGGGAGGCCCCTCCTCCGCATATTTTATGTTTAAAAAAAAAATATTTATAAGCAAATTGTAACTACAAATATATACCTAATAATACTGTTCCTGATAAAATTTTTAATTTTGCGAAGTATTTACGTAATTTTTATTTTGTAAATACTCTGTAAATAAATGGTTAGACTTAACAGAAATGTTTGAAAATTTGGTAGGAGGTTCATTATAAGTCGTACTTAGTGGTCAACAAATAATTTTTTGACAAAAACCGTAAGTATTATGGCTTTTAAAAACTTGTTAACAGAACTTCGTTCCGAATCGTTCTCGTTATCAATGGTTTATTATTGGTTACACTAATAATTTAAATAACTTAATGTATTCCAAATTCCCCATTATTCAACTACAACAGTGGCCGCACCCATTCCCAGTATCAGCTATTTTGTTACATATCTATTTTTTTAAGCGTATTCCGATTATTTCCATAGGAGACGGGAAGGAATATCAAAATACAATTATTATTTTGAAATCAGGACTTATAAAAATCATTGATATTATATTATATTTTCTGATATAGAAAATCATACGCACGCAATGCACGTTGGACGGGAGGGCGATCACTTCCCTCCTTATGTACGTAACTGCTATGATGGTATGAAGTTAATTATATAGGTTTTTATTTTTAGACAGTGCAATCATTAAATATTAAATTCAAATACATGATAATATTCTGTTTTATTCAAAAATAAAAACTTCGAATTTGTAAAATGTATTTTTGCCTCATAAATTTATTTAATTTCAAATCGCATTATGCAGATAAATAATATAACACACATATATTTGCATGTCTGCGTTTGTATGTATATATTTTACACATGAATATATAATAAAGAAAAAAATGAAATAAAGTCGTATATTCGGTTGTGAAATAATTCCACTAGTTATAGTCGTATAAGAAAATCGTATTAAATCACACCAGACCAATATATATATATATATGAGATATCGATTTTTAGCTTTTTTTTAAAAAAAATTTTCAACCATAAACAATAGCATAGCTTAACTTCATTGTATTATGATATTTTATAAACAATATATTTTGAAATAAAGTTAACGACGGATGTTCGAACACTGTTGAGATTTTCTGAATATTTAATATCTATAAATGAGAATATTTCTTCCGAAAATATTACCAAAAACAATACCTGTTATGAATTTGATGAACGGAAGCATATAATGTATAGAATCAAAGATGATTCCTTATTGCAAAAATGTCAAAAATGCTACTCCTAATAGGTCTCTCTTTCAAAAACAAAATAATGCGATAAAAAAAATAATAATAATAATAAAACAAGTTTTAATCCGAACACATTGGCGTACAGAGAATGCATGTTAAACATGTGTTTATAATCATTAATATTTATATGAATATTTATCTCGTGGTGTTTTAATAACATTTTCCTTCGTCCTTATGCAAATATCTGTTTTTTTTTTTTTTTTTGTTTTTTTTTATAATATTTTCTGCGTTTATTTATTAGTATTTTTATCTTTCACGGCTTGCTTTTTTGTTTTTTACTTTCGTGCTATGTACTGCATGGTGTAAGCTATCCGTTTGATAGCTATAGCCTAACAAATCATCCGCCGAGGGACATTTATTTCAACATTTCAGTCCGGTTTGTAGTTTTCAAAATATTATTTACAAGACGCCTCTTCTTCTTTTATATCATAGACGTCCAGCGAAAGCATTTTTTCGCGAAACTTAAACTTTATGTTTTTTGATTAAGTACGGGTTTTATTCTACTTTTAACTTCTTCGTTTTATTTGGTTTTTATATACGTATAGATATAAAAAAACTTTTTGAACACATACACACAAAATGTTGAATTGTTGTAGTAGCGGTGTATGTATCCGGGGACAATTTAAAGTAATGACTTCGAAGAGCAATCTAAAATACAAAATCCCATGTGAAATTTCCGATTTTAGCCATAGCAAGGAGTCTCCGTGGCGGTGTTATTGTCAAACTTTTGTTCGAATCGATTTAGCGATTTCCCGCTGAAATTGACTGTACACCACCGGCGCACAAAATTAATCACATAAATTTAAAATTGGTACCCAACGTGAAATCGGTAATAATAGTAATAATTTCGCCACCGAATTTTATTGGGAATTAAAACAGAAAGTCGCGTGTTTTGAATAATATCGTCAAAATAAAGACGTGTAGACACGACATCTGTATAATAAAAATAGTGTTATATTATTATAATAAATATACGCCTGTAATATATAATATAGGTTTTATTCGATATTTGACGTTAACAACAAGTAAACTACCTACCTGATCTAAGGTAACAACTACGTAGTTAAATTATTTTATTATTGATATACCAAATGAGTTTTCAATTGAGATGCAATAACTACAAAACGATATTCATGAATTCCCATTTAATTGAAACGTTTTGTACAGTAATACGGCTAAATATTAAGCGTATTAAAGTGTGTTTATGTAGTATGTGAAAAATACTACGTTATACTATTATGGTATAAAGGATTATAATTATTTTAAGGGAAGAGGTGGCGAAAATTCTTTGTAATAATTAGGTTTTAAAATATGGTTGCGATGTTTGGGAAACAACTAAACAGACAAAAATAAGATAAAAATAGAATAATATTTGGATAGCGGATACTAAGCGACGACTAACTGGTGAAGATGGTTCAAAAGAAAGCTGTACGGTATATAATAGTTAAACTAGCACCAGTTTGACGCTTAGTTAAGGGACAAAGGGTTCAATGGTTATAGGTTTAAGTAAGACTTTATGAGAAGATGAGGAGTGAATTAATAGAATGGAAACTCTAAGGAAGAAGTCCCGGAAAAAGATGGATTGGTGCGGTCGAAGAACATTTAAAAATGTTAGGAATAAAAACTGTAGAAGAAAGGTATTATTAAGGACATAAGATGAGACAGGTGACGAAATATAGTTATGGCACAAAAACTCTTTGAGAGTAGGTGCACCAGTAAAATTAAAAGAAGAGAGGGTATAATAAGTTAAAGTTATTACAGAAACAATAAGTTAAGTGCATAATGCAATATGAAAAAATAACTCGTGGGGAGGTATTATCTTATGAAGTAAAATTACGTTAAAACGGTTTTAAATTAAATGGATATTTTTAAATTTCTTAAGACGATTTAGTTTACATAATAGGTATATTATATTAATTTATTAAATGGTTAGGACCAACCCAATCGAGGGAATCTTCACCCTATGTGATTCATCATTTTCGAAATTACGAAATAAATATTCCTGTTATAGACGTCGCGCGTCATGTGGTTGTTCAAAACACTCCGAAACAAATAGGTATAGTGTGTTTGGTCGATTGTTCGTCAAACGAGCTAGTCCTTCATCATTATATGTTCCCGCGAGTTAACATGATACCGGTGCATAACACATGATGCGCGATGAGGATATTCATTTGGTAATTTACACATTATTCAACTTAATGAATAATGCATAATAGATACTTCGCGTTTAACATAACGTGTAAAAGGAGTGAGGGGAAGGGATGAAAATAGTTACATTTTTTTCGTTTCTACCCTTCTTCCCAGTACAAAGTGGCATTTAATTTATAACACAATTACAAAAGAATACTGTAAAATTCGAATTCTTAAATCATAGTTACATATAAGTCTAAGTAGATACACAATCTGAAGTACCTCCTCTACCTATGATACGATTAAAATGTTAGTAGATTTGTTTTGATGCCGAAATCGAAATTTTACAGAAACGCAAATCGCTTCTAACAGCCGTTCTTTTTTTAAATTTTGCCTTTGCTAATTACACGCTGTCGTCGGTTATCGTTATTTGCGTTTATCGATAAACTGACAACAAAATAATGATCTATTAAGGTAGTTACAAATTATCAGTAATTGTGATATATCTACTAATTGTATAAAAATAAATAGATAAAATAAAATAAATAAAAAAATAACGGGAGATCGTCATTTAAATCGTCTGCGATCGACCGTTTTGCAGTTTGACCTGGCCTACGCATAATAGCCGTAATAATAAAATATAATACCCTCCGAGACGCATACACCTATCTATAATAATAATTTAATGAATGTAAAACCACATAAATAATCATAATCTTAAAACCATCTCGCGGTTTTACGGGTGACACATAATTTCGTTTTTATCGCATCCTGTCGCAGTAAATAGTTGTGTTTGTGAAAATAGCAGCAGCAATACGAGCAACTATATATAGGTAACTATAATTCGGGTCCTTCTGGCGATCGAGTTTAACGGGTCAAATAGTTATACGGACTGTGGATATAAGTTTGTGGAAATTGAAAGAACTATACGACCCATTAAAATATTAATATAGGAAATGATAAATTACACGGATAATATTTTGAGGTTAATATTGATTTAAAAGAGTACCGATGTACCTATATATACTTATATATAGGTATATAAACAATCAATAGTAGAAAACGAACAGTTGCAAAAAACCACGCGTGGAAAAAAGAACGGATATTTCGCACATCATTAAACGTTAGAAGTGCTATCTATCAAAATTATTTCCGATAGTTTTGGAAGTTTGCCAAACAGAAAAAGCGCCGGTCGACCAGCACGTAATTATTATATCAATCTATCAAAAAAAAAAAATAATAATAATAATAATAATAATAATAATAATAATAATAACAATAATAATTATAACGATTATCACAATTGCGAGATTTTCAACAGAAATAACGATCCCGAATAAATGTTTATACCTGAGAATTATATTTTTTTTTTCAAATGAATCGTATCACCGAGCTGAGTATCAATATTATTCGAATTTGGGACATTTTCGGTGTAAATATTTATGAATACTAAATTATGAAAATAATTAAAAGCAGGGACGTATTCAAGAGGGACTAGGGGGGCTTATTCCCAATACAACTACTTTATTCCCAACCGTCTTAATCGTCTATTTATTTATTTGTATTTGATATTAGCTCTATTTTTTTTGTATTTTATTTTTATACAAAGTATATTATTAAAGCATGAAGTGTTTGAATGTATCAATGTTTTAAGAAAAACTGTTCAAAGTAAATCTTTGATGTTAAGTAAAGCTTTAAATATTATTAAAAGTGTAACCAAAACATTAGAAGGCAATCTAAATGAATATATAAATAATAAATATATGAATAAATATGAATAATAAATACATATCGGATGAAATATTAGAACTATTACTAATACTAATGTACCAAATAACTAAAAAAAAGAAAGAAAAACTTTTAAAAATATTTGGCTTAAATTTATTGTTATTACTTTAACAACTGGAAAAAATAGTATTGATGCAATATATTCAGCACCAGAAAATTTTTGATGAAGCTACTCATATTATGACGTTTTTGAAATTTTAGTTAAATAATTAAATAATAGATTTTCACTTTAAATCTATCTGGCAAATTGCATTGATCATTTTTTAAATTAAATACCATTGATTTTGACAATATTATTCATCACTACCAAATTTTACTTAATATCAATCCTAAATTATTAAAATCAAAAATTATGGTAGCGAAAAACCGTTTATCAAAAGAAACATGGGAACTTGATTAACTAACAAAAGTTGCATATGAATCAGTATTACCAAGTTTGAGAAAACTGTTAATAATAGCGTTAAAACTCCCCGTTACATAGTTACTAGTGAACAATTATTTTCCGTAATGCGAAGGATTAAAAGATAGCTTAAAATATCTATCAAACAACATCGTTTGCATAGCTTGGCATTATTGAGCATTGGAAAGAGCATTCTAAAATATTTAAATAAAGAAAATATACTTCGTTAAAAAATCAAGAAAAATAAGATTATGAATAATATTTTATTATAATTAATTTAAGGTATACATATACTAAGATTTCATGCCTAATTATGTTTCATAATTACAAATAGTATCACAATAATCGACTAAATACACTAAATCGTTCATAATATAGATAATTCACTATATTGAAGTTTGCTATAAAAGAGAATTACTCGTTGCACTAGCATCGTGGATATCAAAAACTGATCGAGCTGTTGTTCTGTTATAATACCTAATTTAAGTATACTGTTCATACGACACTATCGTGGTGCACTCCATGCACTTGAATATACCTGTATATGTACCACACGGTTATCTAGATAACCGTGACCCGGACTAACCTTGTAGCAGCGCTCGTATATTATATCATGGTCCGTCGCGTGACCACGACGGTACGGGGACATTCCGACGGGAAAATGAAAAATGCTCACCCCTGAAGTGGGACACGAACGTATTTAAATGCGCTGTTTGCACGCCGACAAACGCGTTCTTTAATAATACCCGCGGCGTATACCAGTCAAAATATAAAAACTCGAACAAAAAATACAGTTGTCGTAGGTACGGTATAGTTATATACGAATAATAGTTTGTTTTATCGTGATAATATTATAACCTCATGTTGTATAAATGCATTAAACCCGGTCTAAACCGTTTGGTATACCTAGGTATATACGCAGTTGAGAAACTAAAATAATAAATTAATTTTTTAATAGTGAAATTCTATCTCAAAAGTTTGAAAAAACGCTTTTCGTTTTATACGCGTTATATAATATGGAAAAAAAATATTTACAAACTTTTTATACCCTTAATATTATAATATTATAATGTGGGTAGGTAGCGCAGCAAAACAAATATTGTCCATAAAACATGGTGAACTAACAAACGAAGAGTTTATTTTCAAACAATTTCTATCACACGGAGGGCAACGATTATAAATACCGGAGTAGCCATCACCGACGAAAATCAAATTTTTTTTTCAAATGGTTTTTCTCCCGCTACTATATAGATAACGTGAAATTTCGACGGCACTAAGTACACAAAAACAAAACAAAAATTCATTGTAATTAATATACGGACTTTAAAGTCATGAAATTGAAACTATTGTACCAACAATCACAATATTTTAGGAAATATAATATTATTTGGGCATCACTATTGATTTTTTCGACCTTTCTTGTAAGTTACTAACACACCATTAAATTATTGTGTCATAAACCATTTAAGCATTGTCCGTTTACCTTAAGCCTTAAGATATCGTACATCGTTTGCGCATCAACATATTTAAAAATTGAAAGACTAAAAGAGATTAGGAGTACCCAAATATTTCCAAATTGTTTCTTACATTTAAATTTAATATCAATCCATGACCTATTAGCCTGTTAGCCACAAACGTAATATGTATTAATTTGATTATGAAAGAAAGTTTATTTTCAAATATTGTGAATAAATTATAATAATAACAGGTGATTCATTACAAACTCATACATTAATTTATATTTAATTTTATTTGATTATCAACCAGCTATTATCAAAATAATACGATATATAGTTAATGATTATATAAATTCGACGTTATACTTTAAAATAGTTTGGTACTTCTGTGAACATTTTGTTTAACCTATTATTTTATGTATTGATTTCCTTATTGTTTTTTTTTTAATTTTTGTTTATTTATTTGCTCAGAATCGTTCTTTATTAACAATGTTTTATAGTTGCGTAAAAATATAAATTATTTAAAAATTAAATTACTGTATGTAATAATATCTACCATTCCAACTTCTCTTTTTAAACAGAAACACACCATCAGCAATTTCCGCTTTATTTTCAAACGACTATAACGACAATAACGACTATAAACAACGAAAATAAAAAACGACTAGTTTTATAGAAATTAATTTATAACAAATTTACATTCAATAGATATAGGAATTTACATGTAAACTTAAAACAAATTTATCATTTAAAAAAGAAGACTATACAGATTTTTATAATAACTTTAAAAATTATTAACCTTCAATATTATTATCTTTCAAAATTGATTTAGTGCACAGATTATTATATAAATGTGACAGGAATAATAAGTTATATTTTATAAAACAGTGACTTTTCAATAATTTGTCGTAATCATACTAAAATGTATCTACATAATTAATAGTAAATATACATTTATCTCTATTATACTAACTAAATCAATATTTCCAAGTATAATGCCCATTGAAAGTGACATAAGAATTACTCCTGAAGAACCTTACCTACCAAATTATAGAGTATTTTTGAGAATCCAAACAAATTTTATTCAAAAAAAAAAATATCCAATAGCTAACACAGTCCTAAAATGTCCAGGATATTTTTTATTCAACCGCAACAAAATCGAGAATAACAAAAATGGTAATTTCGTAAATATTGCAGTTTTTCCAATGTTTTCCTTGGTATTTACGAATTTTTTAAGAAAAAATTAAGTGATCACCAAGTTGGTGATCAGAGCAAGATTTCTAATAAACAAATGGTTAAACAATTGTTCCTGTCCTACGGCTCACAATAAAATAATCATTTTCGTTTTTACAAACAATATGTAAAGTCTACATTGTGAACAATAAACATAAATTAAAATGAACATACTTACAGTAGTTCAGTATCTGTTTTGAAAAATGATTAAGCTTCAAATACTTTTTATCTATGTCGTGCAGGAAAAATAATTTCACTTTAAAAAAAAAATAATAAAATATTGTAATTTAAAAAAATTCACTATGTCGTATTTTACTAGGTGATCATTTAAGTGGGTAAACACATTATCTCAGAAAGTATTAACTTTTTCCGCAATTTGTTTTCTATATATATTGATTTTCAAATAGCAACTTATAATAAAAAATCCATAAATAAATGGGGTATTAGTTAAAATAAATTTAAGTGTTGAAATTTTTTATTTCTGTCAATCCGTTGACGAGATATTCTATTTTTAGGTTTGGGTTGGAGGAGAGTAGTGAAGTATCATTTGTGTGGTGGTACGGCGCGTGGCGTATTAATAATGCACCACTACTCTCCTCCAACTTAAACTTAAAAATAGAATTTATCGTCAACGGATAGTAAATGGAAATTAAAAATTTTAACATTAAAATTTATTCTAACTAATACCTACTCAATTTATTTAAGGAATTTTTTAAATAGGTTTCTATTTGAAAATCAAAAGTAGGTAGTGGCTTTACCTCCAAAAATAAGGGTGACAAAAAATACCTAAATATAAAATTGTAGAGCAGCTTGTTTCTTAAATATTCTAGAAAACAAAAGCCAGAAAAAGTTAATATTTTCCAAGATAATGAGTATACTCATTTAAATGGATCACCTTGTAATTAAATAAACTAAATAAAAAACTGAACAAATTTTTTCTAAGCAAAAAATTAAAGAATTCAAACATATTTTCAAAAATAAAATTATGCGAATAGTAATGAGTGTATTTTATCTAACTCATTGATTTAAAATGTCATATTTTTCAGTAAAAATGGCCATACCCAAGAATAAGTGTCGGACAATAGATTAGTGGAAAAGTCTTTTCATTAAAGATTTAGGATTTAGGATTTAGATGGTCTTTAAAAGGTAAAAATAATTTTAAAATTTCACAAGCTTTGGGAAAATTTCGAAAACCGTTTATGACCTCGATAACTACAATTCGCGAATGCTCCGTTCTTGTTAATCTCACTGTGTCTAACCTGATGAACTCGATAAAAGCAAAATAGTACGTTCCTCATAGAACGACAACGGCACTAAGTATAACCTATACTTATTATTTGTAGTGTCGGAACTCCGGAAATCTAAGACCCTTTCGTCATTAGATTTTAATGGCGAGTCCGGCGGCAGCAGACACTCTTAACGAATGGAAAAAGCACTACAATAATAATGACTGTTATATACAGCCAACTGAATGGCCGGAGGACTCGATTCACCTCATCTTATTCATTTTCTGTTGTGGATCTGTTGTTGTATCAGGACTCAATTTGCAGCCGTTTCGGACAAAATTCAAAATAAATTTAATGAGGCAATAATCTGCAGTATAATGACGTACATTATATTATTTAACCTTTACTCCACGTTGGGTAATATTATTTTGCACATTTCGCCATTTTTTCCTGCGCTTTCTATTATTCATAGCGACCGTGCATGTCTATTATTATATAGCTAAAATTACTATTATTATTTTTTTTTTTTTTTTTTTTTTTATATTTACAACTATTGTCGATAAAAGGTCCCTAAGGATCTATGGGGAGAAGGAAAGCAAATAAAAATAAATGAATGGATAAAACTAAAAATATATTGTTATAATTCAATGTATTTAGTATGTACATTGCAATAATCGTTGACCGCTATTATCGTAACAGTATCAATGGTAATAAACAATATTGCTTTTTTTCTTATGGCTATTTTTATCAAATTTTTTTTGAAAATAGATACTGTCCTACGAAAATATACCCATTTTTATATCTCCAAAGATAATAAAGGTTATCATATTCTTGTTTTTGTTTTATATTACTCACAGTGATAAGGACTACAAATAAGGACTAAAATTTATATTTCAGTTAATTTGTTATGTTTTGATAAAAAAACTTAAAATAAATAAATGTTTGTTTTATTATTTTTTACAAGTTTAAAAGATAACCATTTTATAGTTTATTCCTTTGAAAATTTTGAGATATTCACTTTTTATTTTTATTAAATTTATGATTTTCAATAATTTTTTAAAGCCCAGAAAAAAAAATGTACAGTCTATTAGCCATAATAATAGTAATAATCAACTAGCAAATGCGACTACAGCCTACTACATAATATTATATACCTATTACCTATGCACTTATTTCTGAACTTTGAAAAATTATTAAAAATCACGAATTTAATGAAAACAATAAGTTAATACGTCAAAAATTCAGAACAATAATAAACTGTATAAAATGGATATCCTCTATCAGTTATACTGCTGACGGGTATTGTATTTTTTTCATTTACCTTTAAAATTTGTCTGCCCTTATTATATAGATGTGTAGAGTGTAGACACGCGTCTACAACGACCCCGCCTAAAAACACCTCTGACCATATTAAATAATAATATATTGGCCCCCGCAATGAACTGGCTGATACGTGTCGCGAATAATTATTATAATTTACAATAATATTACAAATACCAGTTGGTGGCACGATTAAATATTAATCGTTGGGGAAATCGATTTTACGACAACAATGGCGGCGGCGGCATCTCTGCGTGTGCATTACAATATTATTATATTATATGCGCACTTGTATACAATAATGTATACCCATCATAGTATAATAGTAATTCTATTATTAATATACGCAGGAAATTTTTCGAGTACCTTTTTTGTAGGACTTGGTTAAGCGTTGTCGATAAATCGTCATGTTTCTTCATAACTACCTATCTAAACATGTTCTTTGTTGAGCATAAAATTATATGCATCACGCTTTAAAATCTTACATACACATACATACTACTAACATTATAAATATGAAAGTCGGTGACTCAATCACGCCAAACAAGCCGAAATTTAACACACAGAACGAATTTCCGGATCAACAAGCATTGGAAACTTTTTATCCCGAAATTAGTGGTAGGATTTTGGCATTTTTTAAATGGAAATTGCATTATTTTTGTTGATCTTTGGGTTGCTTTGGTAACACGGATAAAAAAACAGTTATTATTAGTACATTTGGTTTTTACAACAAAGAAATTCCCTTAAAAAAAAAAATAATAATAATAATAATTACCAGGAAAAAACGGTTAACTTTGATAGATATGGAATGGAAACACGTTTTGCGTTCGATTTTTTTATTTTTATTATATACAAAAATTCTATCAGAAATCTTGCTCCGAAGTATCAAATATACCAGTTTTTCTGAAAGGAAATCTGAGTGGGGTGGTACTTTAAGAAGGTAATTTTTTGATTTTCTTAGGAGTTTTCCCAATAAATGATAAAACCGGGGAAAACTGGAAAAAACGTAATAAAGCCATAATATGTATGATTTGAATATTATTATGAAAACTTCTCTGGGAAAATCAAAAAATTATCTCCTTAAAGTACCACCCCACAAACATTTTTAGAAAAAGTGCTACACTTGAAAATCGGAACGACATTTCAAAAAAAAAAGTTGTCGACAGAAAAAAGAATACAAACAAACATCATTGTAAAACCAATACATTCCTCCCTTCGTTGAAAATTTAAAATATATAAAAGTAATTTCCCGTGGACCATGAGTGAACGCGAATAATAAATTAAAGTCTGTTTTAAAAATTCTTATCGTCATCGTCGGGTAGGGTAATGAAAATATATTTACGGTTAAACAACAGAGCGTGCCTTATCACCGACACGTGTGTAGACGCGATTATAGAGGTACCCGGCAACCGCACACATCATTACTAGCAATGATAATATTAAATGTGTGATTAGATCTGCGACAGGAACCTTTAGAAATGGTGCAAGCTATTTACAATAACTATTTGACAATACAATAATAGAAGGTTTTATTGATTTTGTAATATTATAATTTGAATTAAAATACGTACCTACGTATTAATTATAACACGATACTATCACTATTTGTGAGGAAACATACTCTTAAAAACCTAGGAGTTGAAATAAACTCGATCTGGAGGAAATTAATAAGGAATAAGGAAATTTGGAGAAGATTAAACGCTACTTATAAATGCGTCATTATATTAAGAACAGTTTTCAAGATAATAACAACATATAAAGTAAGTCTCATATTAAATCTATATGCGTGATTAACGTGGTCCAACAAAAATAACTATGATCAAAATCTTGTGAAATTCGAGAGAAAATCCTACAGCGAATATTTGGGTCAAGAGATCAGAAAACGGCAGCATATAAAGAAGGAAAAATCCAAATTTAAGTGATATTTCGGGATAAGAGGAATATACATAGAATACAAATATATACTTTACATATAAATTGAAAAGCAAGTGGAGAAGTTGGGTAGGATAAATGTGGTAGTAAGTGCAAGAATGAATGTATGGTCCTAGAATTATTGAAATGGAACCATAAGAATAAGAGACACCCAAGATCTATAATTACTATAAATAAACGATAGAAATATGGTAGGTGATACAGATTGATAAAGAGGAATGGTGGTTGTGATAAAAGTTTGAATTGCCTACGAATGCAACGAAGAAATATAAAAAAAAAACAGTGTTTACTATAATAATAGAAAGAAGTTACTTTTGTACAATTATTATTGTATAGCAATGTTCATGAACATAATTTGCATTCAGAATTAATAAATAATACATTCCAATATGCGGCGTGTTTGATTCATTGTAGCATACATTATAATATTTCAATATTCTAGAAACTATGTCATTTTATCGTTGTTTTCTTAAATCGATATTTCCGAGTTTTCGCGAGTTATGTAATTTTTTTTCAATCAATTAAAAGGTTTCTCGTCGGTAGAAGAAGTAATATTGTGTACATATTAGTATACAAATAAATTGAGAAGAATTTTATTATAAATACCGTATAAATATTATCTAAAACCGATTATTCTAAAATCCGTCTGATATACCGTCTGATCGGTATAAAATGTGATTTTTTTTTATCATAAGCCAGCAATTTTCTCGAAGAATTGAAGTAAACTTATTTTCTGTTTTATATTCTGACTGTAATGAAGAATATATTGGTTTTACAAAGATATTTAGTTTTTATTTTTTATGCGAACACTTTCTACCAGAAAGCTTACTCCAATGTATACGACGTAGATACTTTTTTGAAAGGAAATTTTCTTGGAGTGGTACTTTAGGGAGATAGTTTTTCGATTTCTCAAGAGTTTTCTCATTGATTGTGAAAAACCAAAAAAAAACTATGGAAAAACAGGAAAATGTACGAAATATATTAGTAAAATATTACGATTTTTTTCTGTAGATAACTTTTCTACCAGCAATTTGCTCCGATTTACAATGATAACACTTTTCTGAAAGGAAATCTGACTGGGAAGGTACTTTATTAAGGAAGTTATTTTTTAATTTTCCCAGGATTTTTTCAACAAATGTAAAAAATCGGAAAAAACGTGGGAAAACAGATAAATCGGTTCAATATTAAACAAATATTATTAAAGAAAATATATAATGCCTATTTAATTATTTTACTATAATATGATATATCTATTTTTGACTAAGCTTGAATATCAACTGAACTTCACTCGGAATTTTTTTTTTGTTAGCAATGGTTTATTGTTGTTTACAGATATACATTAAATTCCTTTATGTATCCTACCTTTCCAACTTCTCACCTACAACAGTGGCTGCACCCATCCCCATTGTCCTAGGAGAGCTTTTTTTTTCATCATTGTTGAATCATTTAAGCTTTATTTAAAACCATTTTAAATTATTAACCCCTCTACTTTATATGTCTGAAAACAGATAACGTGTAAATTAGGTCAAACTCGAATTGTGAAAATGGCTAGGGCTAGCGATAATTATTGATTTGGAGGGGAGATTACACCATACAAATTTTACGAATCTTTTGTTACTCGTAACCTTATTGGCTTTTTTGCTTTTACGTTTATGCTAAGTTATCAAGATATTTCAGACCAAAATTCAGCATAACATTTTTTTTGATGTGACAATTTTGGTCTTGATCGCTGCTGTGGCGCTCTCTATGCGGTGAGATATTTTGCCATGGATAAGAAGTTCTAATTACGCCACTGAACATGGTAAAATTAAACCCCGTTTTTTAAGCCAAGCATTTTTGTTGGTCAATCGATCGATGACGATCACGACTTACGGGTTTACGCCATGGTGTGCCACTAAGAAAGTACATGTGCACTATTTGAACACGTTTTATAAATAACGAACGAAATGGCATAATTCCGCGGGCGAGCAGTTTAATACGTCCGGAGTTTTTACGACCGAGGTAATAATACAGACTCCACCGTTGATACTGTAGCAGCCTTGCTGGTAACTATATAGGGTTGACCCCGTCGTCACGATCGCAGTACTGGTATACAATAATAATATTTGTGTGTATATATTCACCCGGTGCAATTGTCTCGCGTAGAGTTTACGACTATGTGTCTTGTTTTAAGGACCCAAAAGGAATGTTGTCCACGGATATATACATTTTTCGGGCTAAGGCTAGTTGTGCGAATGCAATTTACGACAAAATTGCCTGGATGCCTGTTTTGACCGTTCGTTTTGTATTTGCGCGCACGCAACGACCATAAATTCTGACCGTGTCAATAACAACGCTTTATCCACACCGTGAAACATTCATCCAAAAAGGTTTTTTTTTCAGTTTTGTCCGACTTAAAATGGGACGTTCATGTGCAGTAAAACACGGTTTTGTATTATAAGCGAGCCCGATTTTCTCCGGCAAATTCATTAGAGTGTTACCGGTAAAAAAAATTTAAATAAAATCGAGAACGTCAAGAATACAATACCAGGTGATTGATTTAAGTGGATACACACATTATCTCGAAAGTGTTAACTTTTTAGGGAAATTTGATTTCTAGATTATTTAAAAAAACAGCTGTTTTACAATTTTATATTATAAGATTATTTTTTGTCACCCTTATTTTTGGTGGTAAAACTACTACCTATTTTAAATTTTTATATTGCAACTTATAATGAAAATTCCATGAATAGATGAAGTATTAGTTAAAATAGATTTTAGAGTTGACATTTATGGAATTTTCAACATAGGTTTCTGTTTGAAAATTAAAAGTAGATGGTGGTTTAACCTTAAAAATAAGGGTGACAAAAAAATATCATGAATGTAAAATTATAGATCTGATTGTTTCTTAAATGTTCTAGAAAACCAATTCCGAAAAAAGTTAACACTTTCCGAGATAATAAGTGTACCCACTTAAATGGATCATCCGATATTCCGATTGGAACAGTTTACGAATAACTGTTGTGAGAGCAACGCCAATTTTTATCCTTTGACCAGTTGAGGAGGATGAAAGAAGCTAACTTGATGACTGGTTTATTAAATTCCTTTACCATTTCTGTTATTTTATTTATTTCGTATGGCTGGTGTATAAATGAAAATGAATAGGTATAAACAATATTATACAGATTTAACAATAAAATCGTTAAGAAGAATAAAAATAAGTAATACAAAGATTTCTAATATGGGTCAAAAATATAAGTCAAATGTTACACAATATATTATTATGTTAACTATAGTAGGGCCATTGCTCCTAAGTGAGGTGCGTTTTTAGCAAAATTTGTACAACGGGTTGGGATATAGAATAGTGTGGGATATCTATAGAGATGGAAAGGGACTTTGAATAGAATTTGATTTATAATATAGGTAGAGTGAATTAATATAGCCGTTGATGAGGTTAGGACTGAACGACATAATTGCTACATTTAATCTTAAGGATCTTAGTATACACGAATATCTGGTATCTAAATGTGAGGTTCTGGTGGAAATGTTAAGAAAAAGACACCGGTTTTTGGACTTTTTCTATTGCCTCACGATCCAAATTGGCGTACGAACTCTAAATAACGAATCCTTACTCCAGTATCGATCATACTAGGACTAAATATAAATAGGGCTTTAAATGATCATTGGTCTATAAAATCCAATGACTTTATTATAATATTGATAAATAAATAAAACGGTCGCCACGCCGGGTCGTCGAATGGATCGTACCGCGTGTGTTTATGTTCGCGTTTTCGTAATAGTTCTAATCAAACGCTCGTCTGCAGCAGCTCTAATACTCTGTCAGCTTCTTATCACTCCACCAGAAATCTTTACATTATTATTAGTCAACAGCTGCCGTCAAAACGAAAACGATTTCAGTGAAAAACGCCACCCGTTATCCGGCTGTCAGTGCCTAAAGAATTGATGCAATTCAAATGTATACATGGCGTGAGCACGTGTCGGTGTCGTATCCATAACGGCGTTATACGGCTGCCACGCACGTTTTACGCTTGGGTATAATGCCGCAAGTCGAACTGACTATCTCTTCGTAACAACATTTTTAGACTCGGAGCGTAGCAAGGGATTTATTGGTTTTATTATGTTTTTTTTATTTTTTTCCATCTGTTAACAACTTTTCGAAAAAAAATCTCGCTCCGATTTATAGAGTGTAGATATTTTTCTAAAAGAAAATTTTACTTAGTTGGAGTGAAACATTCGAAAATTTAACACAAGGTACATAATAAGCTTTATTTGGTAGTCTAAAAACAAATTTGTATTTAATGCATTAGTTTGTTGTCATAATTGTTTTAAGATCAATTTTTGTCAAAAATCGTAAAAATTACATTTCAAAAGGTCTTACCGAACTTTGCTCCGGATCGTTTTTCATTAGCAATTGTCTATCGTCGCATAAAGAGAACAATTAAATTTCTGTTATATGTCTTATTTTCTTAACTTCCCACACACAACAGTAGCTGCATCCGTCTTCAGTATCAGCCCTTTTTTTTTCGGCCACTATATCCGTAAAAATATAGGAATTTTTGAGGCAGTTTTACCAGAAATGAAATTACACACCGGCCGTTATACGGCGCACGCACGTATACATCGTGTATTAGGAGTATAAAAATAATAATAATACGTCACGTTTGGGAAAGAACGTGTTCGAAGTTTTTCGCGTAGTACAGGTGCATCGTTTCGCTCAACGATATATTGAAATAACGTGCGCGTGTATAAGCGGGTATTATCAAAAATATATTATATTATATAATATTTACTGGTCCGAAAATAATCGAAAAAAAAAAAAAACTAAAAATAATATTATAAGCGAGGATATGAACTTTCATTGGTGTACGGGGTTAATGTAAAATGACGGCCGAGGAGGACCATGTATATATTATTATTATAAACGAGTTACTTTCCGAGGCAGGTAATTTACGGGAACCCGAAAACGAAACTATCTATTTCGGTATGAAAAAAAAAATAAAAATTTAATTTTTACCGTACCAACCTACCTACATACTACATATATATAGACGATGTAATTTAGTAAAGTTTATCAAAACACGAAGTTTTTTTTATCGAATTACTATACTTACAATATAATTATACAAAATAACAAATGTCCTGGCTATATAGATCTAACTCATTTGTTAACACTTTCTATACAGTGTACACAGTATAGCAACTTGTTTTTCTTAACTATCTACCGCAGTACTCTCTATCTCTCTCTCTTTCGCTGTCGACTTACTCAATTATATAAATAATAATGATTATAACAAATCAAATTCTCGACCATAAGAAAACTAATGTGATATTAATGTATAAAATAAATAGAAAGATATCCAATTGTTTGAAAGAAAACCATAAGAGATACATAGGCTATATAGGTAAATATAAAGTGTATACATTTACACGTATATACATTTAGCTGACTTGCTCTTATTGACGTCAATGAAATGGACACATTTTTTTATCTAAGAGGTTATTGTATATATATGTCACTTATTGATACAAACCGATTTATCATTTTAATCGAATTGAAATTTGACTACCTAATAAATCTTTGTTAGGTAGGCACTAGTTATTGTATGCTGTCAAAAGTGATCAAGTTATTAAATTTCAGGTTTTATTATTACTGATACTAGGTAAGTTATTTAGTGAAAAATAAGATATTAAAAATCAATACCATTAATAACAGAAACGTTTAGCAGTATGTTTTTCAAGCATATTTTTGATTTCTTATCGAATTATCGTTTACCTACTTCATTAAAGCTTGATAAATTTACTATTTTATAACACTTCAATAATAGGAATGAATTTGAACAATAAAATACTATAACAACATAATACGAATTCAGATTTATCGTGGAACAAAATGAAAACACGGACATATTTGATAAAAAAAAAACCTCCATTTTATTAACTTCAACATTTTCACTAGAGGGCATAGGCAGTCGGATATCTATAGTTGTATATATCTGTATATATAAATACATAAATTACAATAAGCGTAAGCAGTAGTTTATCGTTGCTTTCAGATAAACATTAAATTCCCGTCTATATCTTACCTTCCCAACTTTCTACCTACACCGGTGGTTGTGCCCGTCCCCATTATCTTGCCTTTATTTTTTATATTAACATAGATTCATGCATGCCCTAAACAAATATTTCGTGGGTTAATCAATCAAATGTGTCCTCTTTGCACCTATATGGCTAGATATATAGTTATTTTATATGGCAATATTAATACGGTCGTAATTATTTAATCGTTTTTGCCAGTAAAAAAAAAAAATATAAAACATTATTATCGTAATCAATGCATGTATAATTTGCCGCGGACTATAAAACGAGTCAGTAGTTACTATTATTATATTTTTTTATTATATTATTTTAGTATTTGTGTACGGTCTTTTTTTTTTTTACTACCATTCCGAACGATTAAAACATAACGCTCTCCCGAAATTTGGACCGTATCCTGAATCCGGTCTATCGTTATACGACCGTGTACATTGTATAATTATTATACACGGTTGTAAATTTAATGCATTAAAAAGCCTTTAAAAGAAATAATTTAAAATCCCTCCTAAAAATACATTAATAAACTAATTTTAAATTAAAAAAATTAAATCCCCCAGAAATGCAATATCGTGCAATATTTTGAAACTTTATAATAAATACAACTTAATGAAAGGAAATATGTGATTTTAAACAAGGGCCTTTTTTTTAAAATGTAAGTGCGTCGTACGTATGGACTGTACAGCCTGTCTACAACTTTTATAACAGTACATTTTTATTATTATTATTATAAAAGTAAATTCAATTTTTATATATGTAATATATGTAACATGTTATTTTATTAAGCGACTAGTTTTTCGACAAAATTCCTAAATATGCTCGTTAATATATGAATAACACGGTTTCATTATTTAATACATAAAATAACAATTGAGTTTTCGCTAATTTATATAATTTAAAGCCATCGTACATAACTGGGACTGAAGTATTTATGTAGACATTGTGTAAAAAAAAAAAAAGTGAAAATAAAGGTATCGTAACAAATCATATAATTCTTTCTGAATTAAATAATAGTTGTCAATTAGATTTTATTGATTATCAAAAACAAGCTGACAGTTAATATAAATTTGAGTTGGTGTATCAAGATCACATGATAAAATGTTATATTTTAAGATCATTAAAATCGAAAAGGGCTGAAGAAATCGCGTGTTTCATTTTAGGTATTTTTACTCTGTTGGGTGCACCAAACGTACTACAAAGTAACAACGGTCGTGAATTTCAAAACCAAAAAATTGATTCTTTAAAAGAAATTGGTTCTAAATTAACTATTTTTCCTGGCCTTACAGATCACTAGAAAAGGCAAATCGAGATATAGAGAATATGATAACTACCTGAATGAAGGATAAAAATACAGCGAAATGGAGTGAAAAAGGTTAAGATTCATTCAATTTATGAAAAATAAAGCTTTCCGTAGAAGAATAAGGTAGAATCATCATGAACCTACGTTCGGCTATTCTCCAAAAGTAGGAATTTCTTTAAAAAATATCAGACAATATTTTTAAAAGTTTTGGACACAGATAAAAATTAAAATAATAAAGTTTACTTATAAAAATGCCCAAGTTTATGCACATTAGGTCGAGAGAGAGCCGATATCAAAATGTATAAAAGTACTTGATAAAATATAAGTACGATCTCTCTAAGTATTCCTATTTAGCGCTTTGTGATTTTTCTTTCTATGCGACACCGTCCACTAGTCACTAGTTTTATCGACTACACTTGCTATACCATAGTGTGACCAATTATGGACACATTGTTTTTTATACTCGAAAGACTCAAAACTAGAAACAAGATTTTTTTACTAACAAAATTCAAATGTTTCCCTGCCACTATCAAGAGGACGAATATTGTATTTTGGGTTGGAAAATTTTTGGAAACAAATCACTACATATCGGGGATAGAGAGAGGGATCGATTCGAGCACTTAATCATTTGTACGCACCGGTGACTATCGGAAAGTTTATTTTTCTATTTAACTCGAACTCGTTCGCACACAAACGATAAATAGAACGTTTTAGTTTTGAAATCGAATACACAGTTTTAGAAACGTTTTCGTTTCATTCGATGCCTTCATATTACACCTATATAACCACCCGCGAAACCTGATTCCCGGTCAGCTGCAGATCATCGTAACGGGAAATCGAAAATTCTCCATCACGCCGGCCTTTGCGTGACCCAGTTTATCTTGTATACCAAAAATGTTGGTTTTTTTTATGACTTATACGTAGTCCGCTCAAAAATAGATGTAAAATTATATAATACTATTGTTAACTCGTCCAAATCGTACTGTTTTCCTGCAAGCATAAGTAAAATGGAAAAACTGGGATGTCTTTTGATATTGATCTGTTTAATATTATTTAAATTAATTTTGGTCCAACTCAAGACCATTATTTACCCTCAATTATACAGGACATATTTAAAACATTTTTCATTCAGTCGACCTGTTCGAATTATAATACACATCTCTGTAAAAAATCGAATCGGACCAATGAATATCTCGAAGCAACCTACTTTCATAACGATTGTTTTATTTTTATTTTTATTATTAACTCGGATAAACTTCAACCGTATATACAGATTGAATTTTACAACTTCTCGTTTCTGTAACAATATTACATTTCCACCTCCATCTTTCAATATAATATTATGTATTTTGTTTTCATAAGTCAGACCGAAACCTCGACCCCGATCTGTATACACTTAAAGGTCGGCTTATAGCCACGGATTTATTAAGCAAAGCCGACCGAGATGGTTTGTTTTTTTGCCCCACCCGTTTTATCGTATTTAGCAATACTTTCTGCATTTTACTCGCGTACATTTATAAATATTCACGTAAACGATGCAAATACATCGCATCATAAACATGAAATATAAAATATGTGTTTTCATTGTAGATAAAATATTATTATTACATTTTGTAGATAGTCAAGAACACTAATCAGAAGACATTTTTTTTGGCCAGAACAATGACATTTTATTAAAATAGTTCCCATCTTCTGAAGATCAGAACACTATTCTCGGCTATAGTTGAATAGATGTTTAGATTTTGAGCGCAACGAGAAACTTATTGGTTTTACTTTTATGCATGTGATTTTTTTTTTTTTGTGCATGAAAAACTTTTCTTTCAGAAAACGTGCTTCAATCAAAAAATGACAAAATAGCTGTACGATTTTAAATTTATTCGTTGCACTGTAAAAGTAATTCACCTCGACAAAAATCTATATATTTATATACACATACACTATAAATGATTTAGAGCATTTTCTTGCTATCCAAAAAAAAGTTTTTGAGAAGAAAACAAAAACAAAAAAAATACCTATTTAGAGTTAAAGTACCACTGGACGAAACATTTGCATCTTATAAGCATCGGTATACATGATATTGAACAAATAGGACCATTTTTAAAACCCGAATGTTTCGGTGTTTTCTGATGGAAAAAAAAATCAAACCATTATTTGTAAAACTAATATGCATATAGATTCTTCGCTACGTTCGGAATCTAAGATAAATGCAAAATCAGTAGCGAATACAGGGATGTGAGGGAAGGGGTTCAAAGGTCTTCCAAAATAAAGATTATCCTTTTTTAATCTGTAGATATATTTTCAATCATAATAAATCGATTTACAGCGATACGCAAAGGTCAAATGATATTTTTAGCAATTTCTAGCCCCCGAAATTTTTCCTACTTTACTTCTGGTTAAAACTAAAAGATATCCCGATGTTACAATATTAAATTGGTGTCTACTGTCTATATATATGTGTGTGTAATATGTATTTAGGTATACACGTATATATACCTAGTATATATAATTATTATATGCAAATGTTTACGAAAGCAATTAAGCAACTATCGAAATGGCTATACAACCAAGATACCATAATTTACAAACGCGCGCGATTCAAAACCGTTATAAACGTACAAGCTCGTGTATATATGTATGTATATTAATATTATAATATGGGTAAGTTAGGTATATACACCCGAATAGACGACGATGAGGTAAAACCGACCCACGGTACACCCGAGGGCTATAGGAATATTGTGTTGTAAACGTTCGTCTCAGGCGGCGTCGGTGGACCGCTTTATACATTATGCCGCCGCAGTAATAACTAAACTGTGGAAAACGATAACCGTCTCTTGATTATTCAAACTCGGCTACGTGAAGAAATTACAGCAACAGCAGGGATATAACATTATATATAATAGTTATATATATAATAATTCACAGCGTTACGAAAAAGCCTTTCGTTTCAAGGTAGAAATGTTTAATCGAAAACGAGATTCTCGAGACATACGTATATACGCATACAAGGTTATTCATAATTGTACTATTATTATTACGTAGATCATCACAATGTAATATAATAGTCACGTATATATCGCAATGTTGGTCACTAAGGGAAATCGAAGAAGATCGATTACATATAATATTTGAGAGAGACGTATCAAGATGAATATATGGGCTATATTTTGAATAGGTACACACAAGTGGAGGATACAATTTTAATCAAACGACTAAACATTGTGCACAAAATAAAATAAAGAAATTTCAGTTCACACATCACGTATGGAAAAACTGAAAATCAGAGATTAAAAAAATATGCCAGAAAAATCTAGAAGGTGAAAAGCCAGTAAGTAAGCTAAAGCTTCGTTGGAAAGATTATATTAAGTCAGACTTTTCAAATATCTAAGAAGAGCAACAAGGAAATGTGAACTGGAAGAAGGTACCATTGAATAAATAAAACTGGGAGGAGCTATGTTTGGCAGAATATACTCGGAATGACTGAAAATAGTATAGAGCATCGTAGGTACAAATAAAATAATAATATAAACTTGCAATGTGCAAAGGATGAAAACACAGGAACCGACTGCTACAATTTATCGATGAGCGGGATAAATATTAACGACATAACGTGCAGACTTTAAATTGTTACCACGAATTAAGATATAGAGGATATCAAACGGAAAGATCTTATAAATGTTTTTCTGAGTCCGCCCGATTCTCACTGTTTGATATGACAGCTAGCGCTTTAAGGCAAATTGGTATAAAAATCAACTAAAACCTTTTTAAAGTTTAGACTGGAAGCTTAGGGTATGTAATATATTTCATATCTATTATATAATAAATATTGACATAGTTTGTAAAGAGTTCACTAGATGGTGTTAGTGGCCTAGCCAAAAGTAAGAAGGTTGATCTTCACTTATCACACGTTCGTTCGATATCCTGTATATCTTAATTCGTGATTATTACGCATCAAGACGTAAAGTTCAATAGAATCGAATTTGCGTTATCAGTTTTAATATTAGAGTAAACCAACCTATTATAAAACAACTAAATGGAAGAATATTCATATTCGTGTATGTAAGTTAAGATTTTCGATATTTTAATTTTTAAGCGAGAGTTTATAAAGCGACCATTAAGAAAACCCAGGTTTCACTAAGTGGATATTTATGCTTATGATTCATACATGATTTAGAAGACGTTGAATAAAACGCGATTAATGGCTTAGCAAATAACAGAGAGAATAAAAAAACAGAGGCTTCGTAATAAGAGAAATAATCCTCAACGAACTGGTAAACTGAGCAAGAAGAAGCGAAATATGGGTAATCAAATTTTAATTGTTATATCTCGTTAAAAAAATTAAATAACGTAAGCCCATAAGTATAGTGCACGCTTTATCACATATTATTTAATCCCGATTGACACTTTGTTTTTGATTATTAGCTTTTTTGGTGTGGGTCTCAGGCCCGTAGACAGACCAGATCATAAGATGGAGCAAACCAAATTTTAGAGGAATCCACTAAACCATAACATAATACTATGTAAACACATTTAATACATTACTTGTTGAAGGGTGACGATAAGGTCTAGGAGGCAATATTCTCCATTACACCCCGTGGCTATAGGCCTGGCGGACTTTTAGGCTGCATTCAATGAAGCTTGTACTTAAATATGACCCTGGATATGTGGATATAAGGACATCCGGTGTATGTGAGGTGAAAGATCGGGTCAAATAGAAGTTTGGGACAAAAGTGACAAACTCGAATAAATGACGAAGGAGAATAAGAAGAATAAGTACCTATTATGTATATAAGGTTAGTAGTATATATTATCCCGGGCGCATGTAAATTCCACCGATTACGATCTTTTAGATTCCGAGCGTAGCGAAGGAAATATTTGTTTTACAATGCTGTTTATTTTTTCTTCTTTGTTCTAGTCTATGGATAAGTTTTTTCCTAGTAAACTTGCTCCGATTTTTACATGAAGGAACTTTCTGAAAGCTCAAAATGTTTAGATTTTTTCCAAAATTTTCCACATTTGATACTTTTAATATCAACTTTTTTATTTGTCATACAGTCTATAACTTATTAAATATTTAAATGTAGTGTTAAAATAATGTTGATGACAAAACTCCATATTGATTACACGATTCAAACAAAAAACAAAAATCAAAATTATTTCAAATCTACCGTGAAAATCACTGGATCATAGATAAAAATTAAAATTAAAAAAAAAAAAATTGCCTTTTATAATATAGAAACCAGAATTTATTGTAGATCTCAAAATACTCGGATGTCATTTTATTTTTCATCTCGAAACGGACGTGACGTGGCTACGTAAACAACATGTCTGTTTGATATAGATACATAAGCTACACACTGACATATATGTGTTGAACTCCAGAAAATTGAAATAAAAATCGTAGTGACAACAATAATAATAATAATTATAATTATAATATTAAATTTTAAGCATTTTTAATTGTTTACATTTTAACGAACATCTAAATTATAAGAATTTATTTTTATTAATCTACTGTCCGATATCTATGCAAGGGAAAATAAAACAGCCGTTTTTGTGGACGAATGTGATATTTTAAACCAAAAATCATATAAAAACAAGCCAGAACTTATAACAAAACTGCAGGCATTTAGTGGATTTCAATTTTAAAAACGTATATTAGGTACAATTCTTTAAGTTCATTACTAATGGTAGACAAACACGTTGGATTCTTTTTTTTAAGTAAAAAATTAAATAATTTATGTACATTTTTGTAAATTGTTTTGGTACGGTTTCCAGTAAAATAATTACGTTTTTTATTTCCAATGTAACCTGGTAAGGAAACCCAGTAAGAATTAATTCGTTTTCAAAATTGAAATCCGTCAATCACGATGATTTCTACAGTTTTGCCTTTTTTTTTAGGTCTAGTTTGACTGAAATACACACCGGGTCACCGTGTATTAACCGTCGACCGGGTAATTTAACAGTTAGCGAAACGCGTCAGTATCCCTCATTGCGGTTTACACGCGAAACTTATTAGTTACTTACACGCGTTTCCCGGGGACGTATAATAATACGACGACGTATGTGTTTAAGAGTCAACTTCAAGAATGCAGTAAAGTCTATTATAATAATTTAATGTAATATTACAATACGAGAGGCGAGAACTAATTTATCATATTATTTATTCTCGTCGTCGTTGTGTAATACAGCGTGCGTATAACCACACGGCTCCTCGCATTAACCCGAAACCGTAATATTTAACGAACACCGCGTCATCTGTTGTTATTTTAATTTTTTTTTCTGTTCACTCCGAGCGTTCTAACTTATGACGTGCGGTTTTTTTGGTCCATCTGAAAACAAATTTTCAATAAGAAACCGCTCCCGCCGATCGTTATTGACTTTTCACGGAAGTAGTAGTTTCCGGTAAAATCCCTTGTACTTTTCTTTTAAAAACTAGGAATGGGGAAATGTCGAAAAATAAAACGGGACAATTCTCGGAACAAAATGTTTGTATTATAGTCTCGATTTTCTTTGTTTTTTTTTATTTTTATATAATTTCAATAAAAAATGGACGTTAAGATTTAAAAGTTTCGCCGAATACTTTTATGTTATCATTTTTTAAACACGGTATTTTTTTCAAAATATATTCTAGTTTATTTTTTTATTTATTTATTTATAGCTAGGTATTTGAAATTTTAATTTATACAATTTTTCTAAATTTATTGATAAATGCACGGTAATTGGGTCTCCAAATAAATTGCTATTATAGTAATGTAAAAATATTGAAAATCTGTAGTCAGGATTTGATTTCTTATAAAAGTTTAAACAAAAATGATAGACAATTTACATACTACTACTATTTATCATTAAAATTTCGAATAAAATTTGATTGGCTTTAAATACATTTTCAATAGTTTGGTACTAGGTCAGTCTTAAAGTTTTTTTTTTTTTTTTCATACTGTGTACAAAAATTGTACCAGAAATATTGGTCCAATATTTACATACGGCACCATTTTTGAAAGAAAGTATTGTCTAAATGATCCTTTTAGGAGGTCAATTTTTGATTTTCCATGTGGTTTGTATAATATCTGGGAAAAACCAGAATAAAACGTAAGAAAATATGCTTTTATTATTTTTAAATTGTGTTATTTGTTATAATTCGGTTAAAAATATTCTTAGAGACTTAAAATTTGAACATAATGTTTATATTTTATCTTTTCTAGACGTGGTTAAATTTTCAAAACATTTGTAACATTTTTGGAGTATTATAATTTTGCGAGTTTTGTACGTAATTTTTATTCAGTAAGTACTTTATGGTTCAAAACCATTTTTGAAGTTCTGATATTATGCAAATATTATATGTTATGAGTAAACTTGACGTAGCCTAATGGTTATAAGTATCTATTGTTATCCTAGGGTTCGCGAAATCAAACCTGTGTTTCGAAAAAAATGGTTGCACTCTTTTTTTCACTTTTAAACAGCGCAAAAACAAATGCATTTTAGGTGTACCTAGAGACCCAGCTATCGCTCACTAGGACTATTTTAGTCGAAAAATACCCCTCGATTTTTTGTGCAATCTTTTCTACCAGAAATCTTGCTCCGATTTTTAAATGTATCACTGTTGCTAAAGGAAATCGTACTAGGGAGGTAAGCTTAAGAAAGGTCATTTTTCGATCTGCTCAGAAGTTCTCAATAAATAGGATGAAACGGGAAAATGTACGAAATGTAGGTATTAGTTAAAAAATATTACAGCCTTTTTTTCTATGAACAACTTTCATCATTTTTCGATTTTCCCAAGAGTTTTCCAGCAAATGTGAAAAACCGGGGAAAACGTAGAAAAACAGGAAAATCGGTATGATATTAAAGAAATATTATTAAAGAAAATATAATATGCCAATTAAATTATTTTACCATAAAATAAATTACCTATTGTTGACAAAGCATCACTATCAACAGAACTCCCCTTAGAATCGTTTTTTCGTTAGCAATGGTTTATCTTAGTTTACAGATACAAATTAATGTCCCTTTATATCCTGCATCTCCAACTTCTCACTAAAAACAGCGTCTGCATTCATCGTTCGAAGTATGTCCATTTTTTTTTTTCTATAAGCGTTGAAAATTTAATTTTTAACTAAAATCGTGAAATTGGTATTTTCAAACATTTATAATACCATACATCATCAATTTATAACCAGATATTTAGTAATATTATTCTGATATTATACAATATGAAGTCTATTGTCTTGACTTCAGCCACCCCTATAATAACAGTAGCACACCTGTCATCAGTATTGGCTATTGTTTAAACTTTCATTTTTGAATTACAACCCAGAACAGAATATTTTTACTGAAAGAAATTCACCTGCCGCATTTTCATGGATAAAGTGATTCTGACCGAATGAACATCTCGTCATTTTCGAGCCGTTGTTTCCGGCGTCGAAACGTCGTATCCGCGCACACGTGCACGTGATTAATTTCCCGCGCATTGAAATAATATTTACAAACTCTCGTTTTCGAAATGTTTTGCACGCCTACGGACGATCTCTCACTTTCGATTTTCATCGATTTTCACTTCCACCAACCTCCGCTCACAAATACACAGAGTTGTTTACGATAATAAAATATAATTCTGATGTTAGTGACAATTTTCGTGGCATCGTCGAAAAATGGAAAGCGGAAAGTCACTGCAGGCAGCATTCTGTGGACTCTATGATTTCACAAGCGGCTAAATTTTATTATTAAGCAGCTATTGTGATTATGTTAAAAGTTAATTGATGCGATAATGGTTACGGTTATAATGTAAACATTTTTTTTCTTCAGTTTTTCTTGCGCGACCAAAGCGTATATGAGGATCGTAGAAGGATAATAACAATATAATAGAAAACTCACAGACATTATTAATATAATTTAATGCAATCGTAAACATTTAGTTGAAAACTTGTGTTCGCGTTTACGTATATATATATTTATATGACCTACCTACAACTACTGCAGCGTGAGAGTATAGTCATAACAACAAAGCAGAGAATTAGAGAAAGATAGATAGATATACAGAGAGAGATAAAGAGATAGAGAGAGATTAAAATACACTCAAAGGAAAGTTTTCGAAACGTAAACCAAACAAATACACACACATACACACTCACACACACACACACACGTGCGCGCGCACGTAAAATATTTAATATATTTTACACACAGATGTAAGTAGACGAGCAAAAACAAACTCGGTATCTATGATTCTAAATTTAAGGCCTCACCCCTATCAGTAAACTATATTCCGTCGTGTTATTATTACTGTGTAAAGTTTATAATAAAATAATAGCACCAAATACCATCAGTCTCTCCGGTCTTAGAATTCCCAGTACTCCGAGGGAATTGAAAAACTTCGAAGTTCATCATTACGGTAAAGTTGTTTTGTCACAGTTTTCATTTATAATCATTGTATTTCAAACATATTACGCACACGTTTTTAATTTTCTAATTTTATACTTAAAATAGGTAGGTGTAGATAGAAAAGCACTGAAATCCGTGAAATCCGTTACTTTCAAAATAATGGAACGAGGAACGGGAATGAGTTCCAATATATGAGAGAGCAAAAATCTTCATTCCTTTAAAAAAAAAAAAATGGTCTGTACATTAATTGCATAAAAGATCATAAGTGTTTAATGAATTATAACTTGTAATGTGTATACGATTCCAAAGCAATTTAAATATTAGTATTTTAAATTGTGAAGATAAAATTTTTATTTTTATTTCGTATTAAGTAATACTAAAAAAATAATAACAATAACGGAACGAGGAACGGGAACGAATTTCTTTTTAAAAGGAACTTTCCCAACATTAGGTAGTCTATTCACAATAGCCAGAAATATATACTTTTTCTATGGAACTATTGTTGTTTAGAGTCTAGACTATAGGTTATCTTATCCGTGCTGAATATGGTCTCTATATATTACTATTTCAGCTTTCATATATTTATCTTCTAATTTAATTACTATTCCCATTATAACTTTTCTACAATCCTAAGATTTTAGATTCGCAGCGTAGCAAGGAATGTATTTGAATTACGATTATGCATATTTTTTTTTTTTTTTTTATCTTTAAACAATTTTTCTATCAAAAATCTTGCTCTGATTTTTAAGTGTAGTACTTTTTTAAAAGAAAATTTTATCTGGATAATATTTTAATGAGGTTTATTTTGATTTCCAAAGTGGTTTTAATAATAATTACGAAAAACATAAAAAAACGGGAAAATTGATATACCTATACATGTATAAAAGAAACTTCGTTCAGACTCATTTGTCCACTTTAGGAACAGTTTATTGTTATGTACAGATAAAAATTAAATTCTTCTATATATATCCTACCTTCCCAATTTTTCACCTACATTAGTAGCCTACCCATCGGGCATTCTTGGAAAGAATATAAGTATTTTTCTCAATATTTTTTTATTTTTCAAAAACCATAACCTTTTTTATTGGTCTTCATCATTGCCCATACTCTGCAGTCCATATATTTAATATAAAGCTAGTGTGCTTAACTAATGCTTTGTACAGAGTCATTTTTGTTTTTTTTTCTGAACAAAAATTTTAATTTCAAAAAGTGGCATCAAACTTAAGATTATATTGATTTACCAACAGCTGTTCTTCGATTTATTTTTTCGTGACGTAATTTCATTAATGTTCAATTTAAGGTATTTAAAAAGTTAATCACTCTTTCATCAGGACATTATCATCATATAATTCGTTTTATTTACTTTAATCTTAATTGTTCTTCATTTGCTTAGCAAGATTACTCTGGTTCTTTTAAATTCTTATTTATTTTTAATCATTCAAATCAAGTTATCCATATATGTTTCATTTATCAAAAAATAAAAATTATAAATTTCATCGATGTTAAACTTATAATGGTATACATAATAGAAAGATTCGATAAATACATAGTTTCAATAATAAACAATAAATACCTAGTAATCGAATGAACCTTCTGTTGTTCAACTATTATTATTATTGTCTATCTAAAAAGCAAACAAATGAAAACTTTTGATGAAAGACTTTTTTTCCTATATTTTTCACGAAACAAAATCAAATTTATAGAGCTTATCAACAGCTAATACATCGTCATCCATGATCGGCAGCTTATAATTTAAAATAGCAGACAGTCTAAGTTTCAAACGCTCTTTTTTTTTTCTCGATTATTTTCGTAAACACGAATTTCTTACAAAACTGTGTATAGTGATTAACATTTTTTTGGTTTTTTTTTTTTTTTATGCGATTTAGTTTTTAGTCTTTTCGTGGCAATCTTCTTCACGTCAAATGGATTTTTTTGAAAAATCGCCTCTATAAATTACCGTTCGCGTGTTTACCCGATTATCTGCAGCGTTACGTTGCTAATGAAACTTTTCGAGCATATTTATGGCCTGAAATGTGTTTTCCGAAAATATAAACAAACAAACAAATACGAATATTTTTTAAAACTAATAACTTATACTCCAGGCCTTTTAAAATCTAAAAGTACAACACTTAAAATAAATAGTAACTACGGCACATTCATTGAAATAATATTCCAGGTTTATACGACGCATTTATAATATGTTATTTAATCTACGTCGTCGTTTCGCATTAATATATTAGACATTATCGTTTACTTGAGTTTTCATTTATTTCGTGACAATTGCTTAAAGTTTTAAATGAATTCCCGTTGAAATCGGTTATAACCATTAGGTCGGTTTAAAAACAATCCGGAACTAAAAATCACATAAAAGTTTCGAAATGCTCGGTATGTTGTTTTATTTTATTTAATATCAATAAAAAATACTGGACCTCACTAAGTTCAAAACTCGTGTGGAGGCTCAGGAGTTATCTTGTTTACCACTTATTTTTTATTCAATTAAAAAGAGAAGAAAAAAATTCAACTTATTGAACTTATTTGTTACACACACACAGCAAACTTACAATAATAAACAATTAAACTTGATATGTTTTCTATATAGAATGATCAATCTATCGGAATACACTTACTATCTGGAAAAGTATTAAATTTTTTCGGGATTTGTTTTATATACAATATTTATGATTAGCGTTTTAATAATGCACCAACACTGTCCTCTAACCAATAATTAAAAGTAAAATATTTCGTCAATGGGTTGACGGAAATCAACAGTTTTAACACCGAAATTTATTTAAAGTAATGCATCTATAAATGGAATTTTTAATATAGATTCTTCTATGAAAAACCAAAGTTGGTATCACCATAGTTAAATATTGTGAGAAATCTAAGTATTCAAAAATATCCACTTTAACTAAACTTAAAAATTCCATAAATCAGAATTTGAAAATATAATGTAAAATTTAACCAAAAAATAGGGTGAGCACGCTTAGTGAATCATGGTTATAGATTTATGAATTTTAGAAAATTCGGTTAAGAAAAACAAGAAATGCTTATTTTGTAGAAGGTAAATCAATAAAATGTATTTTAAAATCTTGTACGAACGACAATTTTAAAAAAAATACTTGCTCTCGAATTTTACCGAATAAAATTTCGCGACACAATACACTGTGTGTAATATATGTAAAAATATCGGTGTATGACATCGTATTAAATTATATTTTATAATATTTCAAATCTAGAATACGATTGGTATGAATTTTTATTTCGCCGTTTATGTCAATAACTGGGTAAAACACTTTTAAAAGATACCCAAATTATTCTCATCGTACTTTATAAGAAGCAAATTTTCGCCTAGTATAGAATATTTTATTTGAAAAAAAAATTGTCTAGATATCCAATAATTTTCCTAGACAATTTAAAATAACAATAACGAATGTGGATATTTCGGTTTTATTTTTCATCGATTTCCGAATTACTTTTGCTACGGGACTCAGAATCGGTTTTTTTTTTTTTTTTTTTTTTTTTTTAGCAATAATAAATTCATCGTTTCACATGGTATATAGACATTTTGATATGCAATTAATAAGTCCAATTGGTCGATCTCTAAATGACTAAAAGGACAATTGATCGACAATCAAAATACTGACACAGACAACTAACAGCGGCACAATGGGACGAAAGATCGATGAAACAAAAGGCCGATAGGACAATTCAAATTAAAATTAATCACAACTAAAAAAATTTTGATACACAGATAGTATACACAAAAAAAGTCAAATAAGTGCGAAGGACATGGAATCACAATTGAATGAGAACATTATTTTAGGAACGACAGTCACAGTAACGATCATTATTATTCATTTTGACGAATATGCTGTTGTATAATATGCACCTTACAGTAATTTACATAATGGCTATTTATGCTGCATCTTAGTTTCATCCCAAATGAAAAATTTGAATTTAAGGATATACTAATTCTACCCCGTGTTATTTATTTAGTTATACTAGTTCCGTCCTATTTTGCATTTTTTACACTATATTAATATAGAATACAATTTACGAATACGGTAAAAATTTCATATTATTTGGAAATAAAAATAGCTAAATAAATTGCTTTCAATTATCACACTAAATAATCGAATTTGTATGAAGAATTAATACTTTAATATTATTTTAATTTTTTTTGTAATTTAACATTAGTAAGAAAAATGTCTACATAAATTATTATTTTTATATCAAATTTAAATTTATGAAAGTATATACTACGTTTGAATTTTTTGTATTTAACATTTATATATTTTATTATTGATATGATTTTAATCGAGGCAAAATTAGTATATACCTTTTTTTCAACCGGAACGGAATTGGTATAAAAAAAAGGTTGTTGGGATAGTTCTATTATTTTATTGATTGTCGGCCGTTTAAGTTTACCAACGGTTTTTTTTACAATTTAATTAATAGGTTCCATAATTTTCTACAAAATATCCTTATTGTAATAATGGTAATATAGTTACGTACTTATAATCTACATATATATAAACCGTTTAAATTAATTATTTTAATAAAATTACTTAAGTTCAATCATTATTCAATATAGCATTTAATAACATAATAGTGGAGACAACAGAGTAGGTAAATTATTTTAAACGATATTTTTAATATTTAATGGATAATATACATGGTAGACTAAAATTATCTCAGATTAATATTTCAATATATAGTTGATTTAAGTCTCCCATTAAGATATTATTTAATGTCTATAAGTTTATTGCTTATTGACAACCAACATTTAATTACTAGTCAACTATACTACTAATTAAACTAAATTTCCACTTAATTTAAAGCTAAATACATTGTTCCAATGTTCCATACTCAATAAGTCAAGACATCCAAACATTTTTGTGGATGCGATTAAGAATGATATGAAGACAGCCGATGTATAAGAAGATGATGTGGGAGATTGAGTACCTCAGTCGAATTTTTGGGGGTAACCGATCCCACATAGTGACAATAAAGGCGAAAGAAAAGTAAAAGAAGCGAAGGTATAAAACTTAGTAAACAAAAACATGAATAATGTTGATTGGTGTACAGTGTGCTACTGTTATAAAAATAAATTGGGAAGTTATGATAAAAACGGCATGAGAGAGGAACTTATTTTGAACAAGTTCTAATTTTCACTGACTTGAGTTTAGTTAAATAAGGATACCAAAAACCTGCGCCGTAAAACCCATAATTTGTAAACCTTTATTAATAGTTTAATAGACGTGATAATGATAATATAAAAAAAAAGTGAGATAAAAATAGAATTATACCGAATCTGGAATGATATTTTATGTGCAAATTTAAATGTCTCGTGAAATTTTCGGATTGTAAGTTGTTTTTTTTTTTTCAGCAATAGGTACGTGTTTGGTTTTAAATTAGTATGTTAGTAATAATGGAATGTCATGTCACTGCAACTAGTTTTTTCACTCGTTTTTTTTATTTCAGTTATCCCAGAGAAATTCGGTTTAATTTTTATTTCAGAATTATTATTCAGATTTGGACTGAAGATCGGTTTATATCTAAAAAAAACAGTTAATATATATTTTGATTAAAGAACTGGTGTGCTACAAACGAAAAAAAAACGTAATATATATTGTTATTTGTTTGGTTTTATACAGTTTTTATTTTTATATAGGTATTTTTTTTTTTTTTAAATTACTTTAAGGGAAATTGAAAAAAAAACTCTCTGTAGTAGGTAGGTAACCTGCACTGTAGTCTGTATACGATTCCCTATATATTTTACGGAGAAAACCGTATGACAAATTTGGTGCTTACGTTTTACTGTTTGTAAAGCGTTTTACTGTGGACAAGGAACAGGAAAGAGGGAAAGGGTAGATAATCGCACATTATTGCAAAATCAATAGGTCCTTATACCGCGCAGAATCTAAAACTATCGTATATATATATATATATAAATATATTATGTACTAACATTTAATCGCCGTTTTAACCATATAAGGGGTATTTAACATTTTTCATAAGTTATTTCCTATCACCATCATTGATCGATATAAGAGGCTCGTTATTTTATATTTCACGACTCCGTATACTATACGTCTTAATTCAAATTCTGATAGTGTACCGAAGAAAAGTAATTCATTTTACTAAGATGTGTTATTTTCTTGAAAATTTTTTTGTTAGTAAAATTGGTCTTACACATTAGGTTAGGTCCTCGGTTATAGAAGTGGTAGGTTTAACACCCATCAAATTGGAACTACTAACTACGATTATAAAGCTTAAAAATGTAAATTTTTCACCCGGTATTATTGAACATTTTTCTTGGTTCTCAAAACAGTTTTTCTAAAAAAATTTAAATACTAACAAACATAATTTTATTGCTTTCAGTATAAAATAAAATTATCTTATATCTTATACCTTTCTTACTTCCAACCTAGAACACTGGCCTAGTCACTAACACTATCCTGTACAAGAAACACAGTAATTTATACAGTAAAGTTATGCCTATTTACTGACCTCCACTCAGAATCATTTTTTTGTTTGTAATAGTTAGTTTATGATTGTAGTTGCATTGAACTATAATTAATTGTATGCTCTTATATAATCATATGTTCCAAACTGTATAACAATGGCTTATAATCCGTCCGAATTTCCTGTTATTTTTATCGTATGCACAGACTCTATGCTAATCTGGCTCAAGCTGTTTGTAAAATGTAAATATATGTTATTCGCCGTGAGATTTCATCAATTATAGAATACAAGGTTTTAGGTTCACATTTCGAAATCTAACTTGTTTTTGGAGCATTATCGATTTGAACCAACAAGCAGGTTATGTTTTGTAAAACTTCTACAACCAAATTTGCATCATAATTATGTTTCAACTTGAACTAAATTTAGATAGAGAAAATCCGATAAAAAAATATATACAGGATGATTCACTAAGCCTGCTCACTTAATTTTTTTGGTTAAATTTGCTTAAAAATGCTTATATTCAAATTCTGATTTTTGGAATTTTTAAGTATAGTTCAATCCGATATTTTCGAATTTCATAAAATTTAAGGAGTGTCCTGTGGTAATACCAAATTTGGTTTTTCAAATGAGAACTTATATTAAAAATTACATAAATAAACGGAGTATTACTCCTTATTATTACTTTAAATAAATTTTGGTGTCAAAATTGTTAATTTCCGTAAGCCCGTTAATGAGATATTCCATTTTTAAGTTTTGGTAAAGGGAGAATAGTGGAGAATCATTTGTATGGGAGCGTGCGACGTATTATAAATGCTCCACTACTCATTCCTTACCTAAACTTAAAAGTGAAATATCTCGTCAACGGGTTAATGGAAATCAAAAATTAGAATACCAAAATGTATTTAAAGTAATACTCCGTCTATTTATGGGATTTTTAATATAAGTTCTCATTTGAAAAACCAAAGTTAGAATCGCTATAGGATACTCCTTAAATATTGTAAAATAACTAAGTATTCGAAAATATCGGCATTAACAACACTTAAAAGTTTCAAAGGTTAGATTACCTAACCGAAAAAATTGGGTGAGTACGCTTAGTGAATCACACTGTATAATTATTATATGTACATATAGTATATATAGATACTTGTTTATATGCACGTCACTATATTAAATCAAACGGATGTGAATGATTAAGAAAATTTAGTCAAACCGCGAACGGGTATTGGTATCAATAATAACAAATACCTATTGTAGTTGAATGACCATAGTGGTGATATGAAGTATAAGACAAACGACGAGAAGAAAATAACAAAATTCGATCGATTTCACGTCTTTTCGTCGAGGATTGGACGTACATATTCGGTTTATAATAATATAGTTTCGATCAATGATGACTCGGTGCACTAATAATGCTAACCGGCATTTATTAAATCATTATTTTGTATGAACAATGTAATTATAATTTTTGTTCAATTCGCCACCATTTAACGAACGAATTTATTATAATGTATATAAACACTATACTCAAAGCACTCAAACGCTATTATTACTTTAAAGATGTAAGTTTTTGACTTTCCAAGCGGTCTTCATAATAATTAGGAAAAACGAAAAAATGTACGTACATGTATTCTAACATTTGGTAAGAATTAAAAAAATAATAATTTTTGCTCAAGGGTTTATAAATTAACATATACAGGGCATAACAGGACTATTTGACATTTTTACATTATAGTTACAATAATACAAATTAATATTAATTATTGCGCTGCAGTTGTCGTGATCAAGACTTCATTGTATTCACGTACTTAACAACCAATACCTATTATAAATAATTGATATATTGTTTGGTTTAAAATCGATAAAGCTGCTTTCGGTAGCCGTGGCAACAAAAACAAATAAAAAACCGAGAACAGGGCAGACGGACACAAAAGATATGCGTATAAGAGTCTCTATATGGAAATCTAAAACCGCGAACACATACGAGTATATTGGATGTTGTAGTGCGATGGAATTTATAACCGTCTAGATACATAATTTATTAATATTTTTAAAGGGATTATACGAACGTCACGCTTTTTTCGAACTAATTACGTTCACTATTATTGATAAATATTATTTGTTTTAAGTAGCCCAGTTGGAACGCGTGGTGTGATACTTTAATTCGAATTTTAAAATTTCTCGTGGAAAATTGTCTATCGAAAACGACTGTTCAAATTTTATACTTTCGCTGAAGCGTGATAAGAAATGTATTTATTTGTTTCACTCTGTGTTTGAAACGGTGTCGCGTCATTTCGACACGGTAATCTCGACGCACAATAATTGGGCACAATGTACATTTTGACGCAACTACATTTCAACTCATTTCTTTTTTTTTTCCAATTATTATAATTGATTTATTTTTCAAAATAAATATATATATAATAAAAATACAACATTAGAAATATCTAAAATATTATTACATATGTGTATGTATACATTTATTTTAAAAAATAAAGAAATGTTAATAATTAAATAAAAAAAAAATGCATCGAATTGTCGTACGTTGAATACGTTAAAATGTAGTCGCGTCAAAATGTGTTATTTACCCAAATGCCTCGCGTCGAAATGACGTGGATTCGTTTGAAACGTTTTCTATAAAAGTGAACGCGTTCACGTTCATTATCCTAGAAAACTAATGCGTCCGTGTTCACGATCATTTTTTTTTTCTTAAACACTTTCGTTAAAAAATGAATTTAAAAAGATTTTAATATTTGATATCAATAATTTAAACGGCTAACTAATAAAACCTAAGAGAATTTAGAGTAATCTTATTTTATGGTTCGGTAACATTGGTAACAACAGCGAAATAGATAAACAATACTATCTATCTCAATAGATAACATTTCTGTACAAATTACAAAAGATATCGTGTTATCATGAAATTAGGAATTTTATCACAATATAAAATGTAATATTTTTTTAGAAGTTCTGAGTCATTGATAATAAACATTATCGTTATCATTATAAACATTAAATAAACGAAACAAGGTCGGTCATGTCCATCTAATAATTTAACGCATTCATGATAGATCATTCAAAAAATAATAAATGCATTCTTTCCAAACACTGATTTTACTATGAATATTAAATATACTCATAGTACGATGATATGTGTTTCCCTCCCCCCCCTCAGAGAATTCGCTCTAATCATCAATATTAAGGATAGTTTCTGATTGAAAATTCCACGTAATTGGTATAATCGGAGAGGTCAACAATTCCTTAGTACATTTCTCATCTATATAACTAATGAAGATAAATTGTTTTGAAGTCGTTTCACTTTAAAACTATATGGGTTAAAACTAAGTTGTCAAAAATTATAAAATGGTCGAGTGAATGTAGATAAGTAAATAGTTGTAGATGCCTATTAGTCTGTGTGAAAACCTCTTATAACTATTTAACTAGCTCACAAATCTTTACTTAATTCTTCTCTGTTTAGTGGAGGTGTTTGTAATGCGTTATTATGTTTTAAGAGCTATTGTCGATCTACGAACCTTATTACAGTCATCCCATAATGGTTTACGATAACCTGTGCCGTTAAAAAGGCTAGAATTGGCCAGAAAAGGCGTTCAAGTTAAATGATTCGGTGAAATTGGCCGTTTTACAGTCGAATCGACATAGTGCTAAAGTTTAGTGTCAGCAAATGGTTTTCGAAGTATAACCTGCCCTCCTCCTCACCCCTCCCGATGGTTTTACAAACACAACAGTAACGCATGCGATATAACATTATAACGAAAGAAATAAAAGAAATGTTTTTTTTTTTTTTTGCTGATTTTGTTTGAATTTTGAAATATCGATTCGGCTGACTTGGATCCAGTCGGTGAAATTTACTTTACTGTAGGCTTCGGGCCTAATTATTTACCACGTCCTAAACCTGTAGATTAAAACGCTGCATCACCATGAATGCATGGTTAAAAGAAGAATCTTAAAAAGCTGATGAAGACACAATATATATATTCTGTAATTATAACATCACTTACATGTTACATCTCATTTTTTTTTTATTTAATTATTTTGAGTAAATACCCATCAAAAATCTCGAAAAAAAATAAAACTATAAAAATAAGTGCATGTATTTTATACGCATAAATAAGAGAAAAGGCCGGTATTCAAAATGATTCAATAAAAACTAAAGTCTCGAAATTTTCATACAACGATGATCATAACGGAGATTCACCAAATTCCTTTAGTTTGACTTTTTTTTTAAAAAAAGATAAAAGGAGTAGGTAGTACCTACATAAAAACACTGGGATGAATCTCTATAAAAGCTAAATATACTAGTGATGTAAAAAAAAAAAAAATCCATCGACTGTAACAGATTTTCTGTATGTATTTAGGATGTTTTTTTTATTATAATATATTATTAAATTATTGTGAGGTATTGTGCGTGTGAATGTATGTGTATGTGTTTAGGTTTGGTTAGGTGTGTTTACATTTGAATTTTAAAAAATTTTAAAATTTCCCGCATGTGTGTTTAAAAACCGTTGTATTTGCTCATTCGACGGGTAAACTACGAGCAGGCAATCAAAGGGGAAAAGGAAAATTATGAAAATTTAATTATTTCGGTCGTTTTAATTTTAAATACATACACTATATGTATACCGGTATACTGTACTATATGTACTATATTGTACATAATTATTAGAACTGGGAATTAATGTCCCATAAAACCTCAAGAATGACCTAAAAAAAAAAATAAAATGTTTTTACCATACAGTTTGCATAAATAATTTGCCTTTAATGTATAAAAAAAATGATTTTAAAATGAAAAATTATCACAACTAATATGTTTTAAATATAGTAAATAAATATATAAATAAAAAATGTATACATAAAATTAAAATAAATAAATGAATGAATGCATCGCCTGAAGTATTATAATAAGTGTATTATCATACGACCGGTTTCGAATTAAAAATTCATCATCGCGTTTTACATTTTGTTGTGATATACCTGATGATGAATTTTTAATTCGAAACCGGTCGTATAATATAACTTATCATAATACTCCAGGCGAAGCATTCATTCATTTATTTATTTTATTTATATATACATATACATTTTTTATTTACACATTTATTTATGAGTATTAATTATTTTAATTATTTTGGTTTTACTTTATTATTTAAACATTTTTATTTTCATATACGAAATTATTTATTTTAATATTTTAAAACGAAATAATTTGTTTATTAGAACATTTAAGAAATATGAAACTCTAATATGTTACATTACTTTTGTATCACCTCATTGCAAGGGTTGAAACCACTACCTACTTTTTGATTTTCAAATCAAAAATGGCAACCTAAATTAAAAATTCAAATATATTCCATAGATGAAATATTAGTTTAAATCAATTTTGGTGTTGAAGTTTTTAATTTCTATCAACCAGTTAACAAGAAACGAGATATTCTACTTTTTAGTTTTGGTGGGACTGTGAGAGGAGAGTAGTGGTATGCCATTTGTGTGGAGACACGGCGCATGGTTTAATAGTGTTCAACTACTCTCCCTCCCCCCTTAAAATAAGCGTGACAAAAAAAAGATTAATGTAAAATTTTAGAACTGTTCACTTCTTAAACATTCTAAAAAACAAATTCCGAAAGAAGTTAATATTTTACGAGATAATGAGTGTCTTACATTATATCAATCATTCTGTACAAGAAAATTATGTGCATTTTTTTTGTCTGTAAACAAGTTTTCGACCAGAACACGTCTTGCTTGAATCGAAAACTTTTAAGATATCATATTATTACCGAGAGAAAAATATTTTATAGCATTAATAACATTTTATTTATTTTCATTTTAGTTATGCTTACGGGTCAACAAAAAAAAGATAACAGTAATGCACTAACTTGCTTTCTTATATAAGCATTTGAAGTTACTGAAAATTTTATATTATTTTGTAAAGTTAATAATTAATACATTTTCATTTTTATTTAGCAAATCGGGATCCAATAGTATTTTGTTAGGAGTGATTTATCTGAGCGTCAGTCAGAATTTTTACTTAATCACCTTGTAATTTAAATACCTATCAAACCTTTTCAATATACTTATTTTTATTTTTTCAGTAGTGTTCATCGAATTATTATTTGTTTGATACTTTTAAACGGTTTAACAATAATGTATATATACCAGTTGTATTTGCATAAGTTCGATTCAATAAAAATACACAAATGATTAATACAATATTAATGTACACAGAAACAACTATTTGACAAACGTGTAAACGTGGTAATGTGTAAATACAAATAAAGAAGAGATTAATGTTATGTTATGGAAATTTATTGAGAGATAAATACATTTTTTGACGACCCAAGCGAGTGGTAAATACTATTAATGGATTGGACAAACGCTTCACGACTGAGAGGTCGAGAGGAAAATGGCGGGGATTCGCAGGCTTTGACTAATTTCGTGTTTTTTATTTAAATTCGGCCCCTTGCATAAAATGAAAAACCGACCATTTTACCAATTGATATTTGTATACGTCATCGTGGATCTACCGATTTTACGATTGGAATGATATATATATACATATATGAATAAAATGATTATACTTTTAAACTATATATTATTTCATTATGAAAGAATACGCCAGTAGAACTGAAATTGTATATACATGCTACATATAGAGTAAAACTGGTATAATGTTTTACTAAAAATATGTAAAAATATGTGAAAAAATCGCACCTCGGTTTCGCATTCGAATGATTAAAAGCCCAGCTAACTCTACAACCCATTTCAACGCTTTTGTATGGAATTAAAAACAGAGGATAAAATAAACTGCCTGCAAAATGAAAAAAAAACATTTTTCAAAGTGACTACTATAGTATTGGTTAATTTAATACAAATTTACTAGGGAAATTGTATATAATATACTTTATAAGTTTATCGAAGTATAAAATCCAATAGAACCCATACAAAGACACGTATTAATCTGACGGGGTTTTGGGATAAATTAAAAACGTAGTAATAATAAAAGGATTTCAATATTTCATTAGATCTTTCTGTATTGACGTGACACAAAAATAACACAATCAATCGCAGATGAACAGCACGAGAGAGACGCTGAAAGCCATAAGATATAAATAATGTATTTTATAACTGTTATGTAACGATGAGTAGTTTTAGAAATTTGTTTTTTTTTTTAGAGGGCGATGTTCACAGCAATAAAAAAAATAGCTTTCCTTGTTTATAATGTGGAAACGTCTCTGAATCTGAATTCGTGCCAACCGGCACTCTTATATCGCGTGGTACTCGGCGTCAGTGAATTATGCCTTTGCATTGCTAGCCTGTCACGCACAGGATTCTCAGATTGTTATTATATACATATTTTTTTTTTATCATACCATACACACTTATCGTAAATACTTAATCATATATTACTATTTTATAGCATTTATTATTTATACTATTCTTAAATACATTTTCATTGACGATTATTCGCACAATGAAAGCGAAATGATTCATTTTTTATACTGAATAATTCACTAAACATGCCTACCCCATTTTTTTGGTTAAAATTTGCATATATTCAAATTTTAATTTTTGGTATTTTTTATGTGTGGATCGTGGTGAATTGATCATGAACAATTAATTGCGGCTACAAATTGGTCGCCGAAAAAAACTAATGCTTTGTATAGACTTTTTGCCGGTTTATACTAATATACTATTACTATAATAATACAATAATAATTTATTACTACTAATAAAATTAAATAATTTGTTGTTATACATATTACTGATTTTTTAAATATTTTATTGAATGTGTTTTTATTAACTTGTATACAATTCAAATAGTTTATCAAGGGCATTCTAAAATAAAACTAGTTGAATTTTCATAATAGAGATATAATAGATTTTTTTAAAGGAATAGCTCATAACATTCAACTTCAACGGTAAACATTTTTTATATTTTATTTTATTTTTATTTTTATTATTATTATTTTTTTTTTTTTTTTAATAATTTTTCGTAATTTTTTTTAATAATTGTGTGTAGTATAAACCAGAGAACCTATTTAAATCAATATCTACATATTCATTTTTTTTTTTTTTTTGATCAATTTAACTGGCGACCAATTCGCTGCCGCGATCAATTCATCGGATACATTTTAAATGTATAGTTAAAGTCGATATTTTCGAGTACTTAAATTTTTCACAACATTTAAGGATTATTCAGTTGTGATACTAACTTTGGTTTTTCAAATGAGAACCTATATTAAAAATTCCATAAATAAACGCAGTATAACTTTAAATACATTTTGGTGTCAATATTTTTAATTTCTATCAACCCGTTAACAAGATATTCCACTTTTAAGTCTATGTAAGGGGAGAGTGGTGGCGTATTATTTCTGTGGGAGGGGGGAGGGCATGACGCGTGGCGTCTTATTAGTACTTCACTACAATTTTTACTTTAGGTTCTCATTTGAAAAACCAATGTTAGTATCACCACATGATACTCTTCAGGGGAGAGCAGGGTTAGTTGATACATTTTAATATTTTTATAAATTTCATAAAGCCTATATTATAGATCTACATCTTAGTTACATTTTGGTATAAATTTTAATTGAAATAAACATAATTTAATAATACAAATTTATATTGAATGTGATTAGTCAAAATATAATAACTTGCCTCATGGTAGGGTAGGTAGTTGCATTCCATGGGTAATTTGTTAAACTATAATTTGTATGTAGGTTAACTTAAATCATTAACCTATATTATAAAAAATAGATTATATTCACAAAATTATAATCAATAATTATGATTTTAAAACCTAGTATACAAATGTTTTTATAAACCTTCTAACTTTATTCTAAAAAATTTCAATTGAACAACTGTGTAAATACAATTTGAAAAAAAATAAAATTTTAACAATCTTGTAATGGTAAAAATTTTATTAAAATTTACCACCGTTCAACTGTAACAAATCCCAAATAAACGAATATATTATAAATCATTCTCATATAGAGATAAATTACTAAATGTGAAAGGCACCACTAGAATTTGGTACTCTATTATATGCTTAAAAATAATTTAATATCAATTTGTCTTATCTTAAAGCACTTTTCGAAAAAAAATTTAATTAATTTTCTAAAATATAGTTTTGATAATTAAAAACGAAATGATGTGAATAACTTTAGTAATGATAAAATAAGACGGTTATTATCACAAAACTGATAAATGATATGATGAGACAATTCGTTTTTCCAATCAAGACAGTGTCACCATGATGGGAAATATAAAATGTCTTCACTATAACAACTTACCTGTGTAACATCTAACCCCGCTTTCTTCTAAATGTTGTGGAAAATCTAAGTCTTCAAATCGGCTTTAATTACACTTAAAAATTCCATTAATCCAAATTTTAATATACAGAGGTGGCCAAAAGTCACGCAACAAATTTTTAACACAATTTGTAATAGTAAAAAAAAATCGTTTATTTCTTTAAATAAAAAAAAATATAAAAATGAACATTACAAAGTTACATCATCTCACGGCAATTATAATAAATGTTCTATTGGTAGCCTATAATAAGGTTCAATTCATAAATAATATTCAACGCAAAGTAATTTTTTTTTTTTCTTTGTTATCTAAACCAATATCTTCTAAGTAGGTACATAATTTAATTCATATGACATGTAGATTGTAAGTACATACTTCAAAAATTAAACTTTTGTTTTCCATTTTTACAGTATTTTTTTGTTATTTCGTTAGATTAAATTGTTTATACATTATAATACGATTTAGAAGTTTAAATTTAGGTAATTTAAAATATCGTCTCAAATAATTTTGTTTTCATAAAATATAATTTAATTAATATGTTTTAGATATTCTTCATCAAAACAGATTGTTAATCGTTCTATTTATAATTTCTATAAACTATAACGTCTTTACCTGATCTTTATTAATAGCTGTTGTGTGTCACTCTGGTTCAAACAAATAGCAGTTATAATAGTCGAACTTTCATTTTGTACTTTTCACTGTTTTTCTATTTTAACCTATATGTTATTTTTTGGAATATTATTCCACCAGTAACAATTTTTTTCAAGGGTTTTTTGGCTATTTTTATAACGTTTTCAGGGTATTTAAATTTGAGCCCTACACATAACTAACCCAATCCACATAATATAATAAATATATGCACCCGTGTATGAGGCACCGTTTGAACATTCTTATTTATATTAGGTATTTCATCTGTGCTACATTGCTGACAATATTATACTATTTAAAGGAGCGAAATGTACTCGTAACACACATGTAGTATATATATACAATACTATTTTCGACAAACGTTTTGTCAGGTTTTCCCTTTTACACGAGTAGGTATATCATATTGTTATTATACTTGTCACATATACAATATAGGTGAAGCAAATGCTATCGAAAAGTGCCTTGTAAAGTTTACCGCGGGGTCACGACAATGAGTGATTTTCTGTCTTACGCGCGCCATTCAAACGATTCCTGTATTTTGTAATCGTCTGCGTGGCTAAATGTTTAACCGAACATTTCCATTTATAATACACAAGACGAATATATGCACTTAACGGTTGCGTTTCATGTACTGTTACACTTACTGTCTATACTCTATACAATATAATATACCATGGTGTTTAGCGAGTATATTGTAATAATAAGCAGTTTCGTTGATTCCGAGAGCAATAGAGCATCGACAATATACAAGTAGATATAGGTATATAGGTTGGTATGTAAACATCTGAAAACAATCGTGAAAAATTTAACAAAACTTTGTTTACTGATCGTGGAAATTAATTCGTAACAAGTACCAGAAAACTCATTTATTCCACACGAAAATCGTATACAATTATGATATAGATATACACGTCGCCGATACATTGTACGAGAACTGTTATTATTTCGGTACAAAAACGCACGAAAAAGGGTAGTATTATACGGGTATGGGAAATATTTTTATCGCGTGAAATATTATGTTACCTACTCGTATATAACACTGCTACGCCGCTGTTCATGAATACAATCAAAAGTTTTTTTGCGATACATTTTGCGATTATAAACGCGCAGTCTGCATCGCGCACTACAGTCGGACCGGAAAAGCAGATAAAGTTGAAATTAATTTTCTAATTACACTGAACGACGATGAGGCAATCGTGCACGTGACCCGAACACCGCATTATAATCAGTGAATCTCATTCGAAATATAATAACGATTAACATTGATTGCAAATAGCGGTGCAATCATCGATTTTAATTTGCTTTCAGAAAGAGAATAAAGAGGAGAGTACTGAAATATATATTATTATAATTTGTATAATACAAATATTATAATTTAAATATTATATATTTAAAAAGAAAATAGGTATTCTACTACTATTCTTCGACGGATATTGAGTATTTGTAAGGCCTTTTATAGAAAATAAAGTATACCGAATTAAAATAAACGATGAGGAAGTATATCTGAAGTTTTATTAAAAGCGAAAATATTAAGGCATTTATAAGGAGTAAAAGTGTGGAATAGGCAGTTTTTAGATGCAAAGATTATTCCACAATAGAGAGAAATTAAGAGAAAAATGATCTAGATGTAACCCTAGGGAAATTTAGATGAATAAGTTGAACATAATTACTAATGAGTTTGACAAATTATAGAAAGGAACGAGAATAGTTAAAGATATGACTTCAAATAGTGAAACAAGTAAACAGTTTACTTGAGCTATAAAAACTATAATTATATAATTAAAAGAAGAAGATTTAAAAATCCATTTGTCGGATTTCCCTCAAAAATAGAAACGATTTTTTCTATTATAAAAGGTATCCTACGAAGACATACCCATTGTAATAACTCCGAAGATATAAAGATAATCAAATTCGGTTTTTATATTACTCAATAGGAATAATGAGTATAATTATATTTTTATAATTATGTTCAATTAATTTGTAATGTTTTCATAAAAACTCAAAAAAATTACTTTTATTTTATTATTTTTGAAAAATTTTAAGATGGCTATTTTATAGAGCTAATTCTTTTGAAAATGATGACGAATCAAAATTTTATTTTCATTTCGTGATTTTTAATAATCTTTTAAAGTTCCAAGAAAAAAGTGTACAATCAATTAACCATAATTATAATAATCAATTGACGAATGCGATTATAGCCTGTTGCATGATTATAGGTATTTTTCCCTAAATTTTAAAAATTATTAACTATCACGAATTTGATGAAAACAAAAAGTTGAAAAATTTTTCGAAAATAATAAAATAAAAAGTTCTTTTTTTTAGTTTTTTGAACAAACATATAAATATTTTTAGTCCTTATTCTTACGAATACTATAAAAAAAAAACAGTATTTGATTATCTTTATTTTCTCAAGAATCATTGCAATGTTTACGTCTTCATATCTTCAAAGGACACTCTGTATATATAATATACATAATATACAACATTGTATAGTACATATATTTTTTTGCGTTACTTTTAAAAATGTTTAGTAGTTTTTGCTGGACTGATGGTTAGTCCAATAAAAACCACAATTATTGTTCACAAACTCGGTAATTAGAGTTGGTTTATCGGCGGATTGAATTGATCCAAATTGAACTGTTGTTGTGTTGTTGTGGGAAGACTGGTTTTTTAGCTTTGCGCACAAATTAATCCAGGAGTAAAAGTTATGTATACGCGTAGTATTTATATCAAGGATGTGCCATTGAGGGTTTACATTTTCAACTTCCACCCCTACAATTTTTTTGAAAGTAGTATAATAATAATAGCAATATGGTAGGTACTGCAGTATTATTTTAGTATTCGATTATTTATTGTTTTAAAACAGACAAGAGAAAATTCTATTCTTTAGTGACAGGGATGTGTTGATCGTGGATGTTTTTATATTAAAATATGATGAGTAATATTTAATTAAAATACATTGTATTGTTTCCATCACATTGTATTTGAATAGTCAATAATTCTTTAATTCAAAAACAACAGCGCTGCAGTGCCACGCGATAATAAAATTCATTTTCCTTTACAGTTAATTTGCACATCATTTAGTATAACGTTTCACTAAGTATTGGGAAGCAAGGCAGGGGGTCATTCATTAAATAGTAATATCCGTACATACTGGTATTATTACGTCAATACACTCGTAGAATATGTTTGTGTCGAACGATTTTTAATTTATTTGCTGTCAAGGTGAACAAGTAAAGTGGCTGAGTAGCCGTTCAAAGATTCGCTGCACGACGTCGTGATAAACGATTTTATTTGACTGTACTTTACTGTAGTTTTAAGAGCGGTGCACGACAAACAAATATGCTCCGTGTATTATTATATATACGTTTAGTAAATAGTATACGAGATTTCGGTACGTTTCGAAATGAACGTTTTTAATCGTAAAAGAGAAAAAGGAAATGATTTTCTCATCGGTTATAGTAGTCGTTGAAACAGTTTTTTTTTACATTTTTTTAACATGTCACTCACTATTCGTTTAGTGTAAATTTTTCATACTCGAGTTCATTAATAATCGCACAGTTACACACCACCGTCTTCAAATATCACATAAACAATCAAATATACTAAGAGATTTGATAATATATTAAGGTAAGTTCCATTGAAAAAATACATTTTATAAACTACAAAAAAAAATAATACTTCGCACGATGGGTGGGCCACCGTTGTAAGTGAGGAGTTGGGAAGGTAGGATATAGAGGAGAATTTAATTTATATCTATACGAAACGATAAACTATTGCTAATTAAAAACGATGCAGAGTGAAGTTCAATTATACATGTTTTAAAAGTTGGTTACGAAAGTACCAATTAGATAAAAATTTTTTTTTAAAAAAATACTACAATTGATATATTGTAGCAAAATTTCTAGTAGAAACCTTTCTGATAGAAATTTTATACACAGTATTAAAAAATTTAAAAATTAATCATTGTAAAACCAATATATTCTTCGCTTCACTCAGAATCTAAAATAGAATTAAAATCTCTATAGAAATGCCTTTTTAAAGGCAAACTAGATTAGGTACCAATAACAAATCGTAAGTAGTTATATTTTGATAATATAAAATAATTAGTATTTTATAAATGTGAAAAATGTTATGTTTTTTATAAGTAAATACTACTAGAATATTCCTTATTGAGTCTACTACTAGAAAATTGACTAAGTACCGAAAAAAAAGAAACTCTTAATTGCCAAGTACTATAAACGGATCTACAACTGAATAATTATAATTTTCATTGCATTTTTTTTATTTATATATATATATCTAACTCATGGAGTCATATTATTATAATATATAATAATCGTGGTTTGAAGGATACAGTTAATAAAACTCGTAGCGTTTCGAAATAACGTGACCTTTAACAACTCTTTTACTTTTCTCTCTCTCTCTCTCTCTATCTATCTCCCTCGATATTTTATGAGTAGTCATCATCGTGACCGTTGGGACGATTGATTGCATCGAGGCGCTTATACGTTGCCGGCGGCGGTCATATTATTCGTAGCGTATTTACTAAAGTATATTTGCCGTCAATAGTTATTAATTTATTATAAATACTATTTTTTTTTTTACATGTGATAAAATTGAAATATTAATTCGTGCGTCGCTTGTCTATACATTTACAGGATTTATCGGGAAGGTTTTTAGGCTATTCCGGAAACGTCAGGTCACGATAAAAATGGACGTGATTTTTTACCGATTTCGATTAATATTACAAATGCATAATAAAACCGTTAAAACTTCACGATGCAACCACTAGCCCGTCCTATAAATACAGTGAAACCTGTCTTAACGGACACCTTTTTTTTAAGGACAAAAATAATAAGGTCCCGGCGAAAATATAGGTACTAAATGTTTTTCAATCTATCTAAAACAGACGCGGACTGTAATATTTCACTTCGTTGTCGTGTTAACGAACACAGATTTTACTGTAAAACCAAAGAGTTATACAAAGAAAATAATTTTTGTGCTGTAATATTTATAATCCAACAACGTGTTTTCCTGATGTTAATACACATATTTTAATTTTTTTTTTTTTAAAATTGTGAGTGTAGCAAAGAATTTTATAGTTTTATAAACATATTTATTAATTTTTTTTTTCTATAGACAAATTTTCTACCAGAGATCTTGCTCCAATTTATAATGATGGCAATTTGTCGAAAAGGAAATTTGACAGAGGAAGTGCCTTCGATTTCGATTTTCTCAAGAGTTCTCCCAGAAAATGTGAAAAACCAGGAAAAACATAGGCAAACTGGGAATATCAGTACAAAATTAAACAAATGTTATTAAAGAAAATATATAAAGCCTATTTAATTATTTTACCATAATATGACATATATATTGTTGACAATATATAACTCCGCTTAGAATCATTTTTCATTAGCAACGGGTTATCGTTTAAATGTTTTTTTTTTTTTAACAGTTCAAAAAGTAGCTAGGTAAGCTACAAATTTGAATTATAGTTAATAGATCTGAAATACAAGTTTTATTTTGTATATTTTGTAATTTTTTGATGTGCACTTCATATGTCTGTATTTTACGAGTTTTCATTTCATTATAGTCGAATACCTAAGTGTTTCAAACCCATTTGTTTTACTATTATTCGTTGGTTTCACTCACATATGTCTATAGTACGAAGGGAATTTGTTTTCTTATATTATCTAATAACTTCTAGATAAAGATAATTCGGTCGAGATTAGTTGTTTTAGTACGTTTTTAGTGCAAATAATTCCGGTTATAATTACTTATAATAATGGCTGCACCCTGCCCCATTATCCTAGGACGTCTTTTTTGAATTTGTGTTTCGTGTCTTGGGGACATATATAATAGACATAATAGAGAGAGAGAGAGAAATCAAATATGTATTTTCACCCCATTAACAATAGAAAAAAAAATATATCTTTTTGTTTGTTCACTTTTTAAAATTGTCAAAATAGGTACTTTATATTAGAGATTATAGTAAAAATGTTAATATATTAAACGTGCATATCCGATAAATATAGTTCTTCAGTAATAACTGTTTTCATTTTTAAAGAAAGGGTATAAATTACTTTTATTATAGTGTTGTGATTTCTTATCACGTAATGTAGTTTAATGTAACTTTTGCAGGCCTTTTTTCAAGAAATGAAAACTATTATTACTAAAAAACTATGCATTGGTCAATATATGGGTATGTATAATAATATATTAACATTTTAATTAAAGTATCAATCACAAAGTGGCTATTTTAAAAACGTTTAAAAGTGAACATATAAAATTAATTTTCTTGAAAAGTGAAAATAAAATGAAAGAATTAAAAAAAAAAAAATGTAATATTAACAGAGCTATTAGGTATTAGCATCGGGAAAACATAGTAGGAAATCCTGTATAGATTTTGACCATAAAATATACCCACTGCTTTTAAAACATATCCGTTGCTTAAAAACGTTGTATTTATACTATCCTACTTAGACACGATATTCCCATACAATAAATAAAAATAATAAACAATTTGAAAAATGTCACTTGAGTAAAATACAAGAAGGTACACGCACGACTACATATAATATTAGCCTAGATTTTTAACTAGAAATAATATTATTTCTTGCAAGCGATCGGTTCGTTTTTATTTGATATTGTGTTTGTTCGGCTATCTTATACAAACGAGTAAAACTAAGCTAATAGAAATTTACATACATATAGTTACGCCCATTTTTTTAAATATTTTCTACGCTAAAATATACTTTAACAGTAAAAAACACACATATCGAGAGATATGTATATAAACGACATCACCCTAATGATAACATTTTTACATTTATAACAAACGGTCAACTAAACTAAATATAATTGGTTTGTAAATTATAGATAGTTATCGTACTTACAGATAACAGAACTTAATATCTGACGATTTCAATTTGTTTCACCATAGTCTGTAAAAAACAAAAATTGTATAATCAATATATTTGTTTTGAAAACTTTCGTATAGATAATCATTGCAGGTGCTTGATAAAAGTTGCACAGTGTATATTTTATAAATCTTTATGTAAATTATTTTTGCCTTTCCCAAGAGAGTTAAAATATAAAATGTACAATAAAAATTAAAAAAAGGAAATAAAAAGTAATACGGAGAAATCGATAACCGTCCACGATCGGCGATACATGCGGAAAACGCGTTTTTACTTTTTATTCGAGACGAAATCTATAATGAAAATTAATTTACAGTTTTATCTATTGGCGAATATGAAACAACAATGGGCTGCGATTGTGATCACTATCGTTCTACTGGTAACCAAAGTCCATCATATCGCCACACTCGACATACTGGCGATATTCCCGTTTAGTGGCATGAGTCACTTTCACATGTTCCACGTCGTTTCTAGAGCGCTGGTTGCGCGTGGCCACAACGTGACCGTAGTAAGCCATTTTCCTAGAACCCTGCAAGATACCCCCGTCGACCAGGAGCAAAACAGCCCACAGGGTACTTTCATCGATTACAGTTTGGCTGGCACCGTACCGATGTTCGAGAACTACACCGTTGATGACGTGACCGGCTCCGGGTACATTGAACAGGCCTTGCTTATCTTGCAGGACGGTTTGGACAACTGCGAAGGAATCATGTCATCGGGTCGGCTCGACGAGCTGATGCGATCACGGGCCGTATTCGACCTCGTTCTTGTCGAAGTAAGTCGTATCGTTTTATAAAAATAAAAATCACTAACTGTATAGTAGAGTTCCATATAAAGTATGAAGTCAGCGGCGATATACTGAGACCGAAAATAGGATTGATTAACCTCATAAAATATTTTTTTACACCATAAATTATGTAAAGATATTATAGAAACGGTTTATGATCGCATAATTCGTAGAATAAAACTATAAACAAATATTTCATTAATACAATTTTGCCTCTTGGTATATAGTATTAATATCTTACTCACAATTTGCCTGTAGTCACGTTAAAAACCAATTAGATAGCCGATCGTTAAGTTAGGTTAGGGTTACGTTAAATTAATGCCTAACTGTTTATCGAGTATAATAATAGTCTACTAAGTAACTAAGTAACCAATTTGTATACTATGACAAACTTATTATTTTGTACATAATTTATTATAATAGATATGTAAAATGTACTATCCTAATATTGTATGATTCAGATAAAATATATATTATATAAGTATTATGAAAAATTACGTTATTTTGATGTGAAAAACTTTGTAATAGGTTTATATTATAGGAATATATACAGTTTTATAGTAAACTATAAGTTATAATAATATAACTTACACATAGTTCTATGTAATACACAATATGCCAATTGCATTAGCATAATAGCACAGATCTATACAGATGTTCTGAGTAAAACGATGACGTTATTAGTTTTTATGAAAACAATTTTTCAGTTGTAAAAATGCTTTCACCTATACTTTAAAAGATACAGATTTTTGAACAGATGGTAAAATTACATTATTTTTTAAATTCCCAATCTTTTTTTCAAATTATTTTAGATTCTGAACGGAGCGAAGAAGCTCATGGTTTTACAAAGATGTTTATTTTTTTTTTTTTTATCTGTTAACAACTTTTTTTACTAGAAGACTTGCTTGGATTTCTAAGTATAGCACCTTTTCTGAAAAGAAATCGGTGTGGAAAGGTACTTTAAAGAGGTCATTTTTCGATTTTTTCAAAAGTCTTCTCATAAAATTTTCAAAATCCGAAAAAAAAAACAGGAAAATGTACAAAATACATTACTAAAATATTAATATTGTTTTTCCTGTGCACAATTTTTCCACCAGCAATTTTTCTCCAACTTTTAATGATAGTTTTAAAAGGAAATTTTACTAGGGAAGTACTTTAGAGAATCATTTTTTCGTAAGCAATGGTTTATCGTTGTTTACAGGTATACATTTAACTATCTATAACAGTAGCACACCCGTCCCCATTATCCTAGGACGTCTTTTTTTGATTCCTGATTTATCTTGGAAACAAGGGAAAAATAGGATTAATATATAATAAATTAATACACTGCTCTGCAGAATTGTTTTTCGTTTTTGTAATAGTTTATCGTTGAGTACAGACTACAGACCTAAATTTAATTATTCTGTATGATCCATTCCAACTTCCTTCCTAAAATAGCAGCACACCCATCAATTGTATCAGTTATTTTAATACAAATGATAAGTGTTATTTCTGAAAAGGATTTTTGCCCTGTGTATTGAGAATATATTTTGCTTCGTTCGTGTCGGTAAAAAAAAATCGATTGATTAGTCGACGCGCGATAGTGAAAATAATAATTATATCATATGAAAAGAATAATGGGGACAGGTGCACCCATTATCCTAGGACGCCTTTTTTATTTTTTTTAACACTTTTTGTTTAGTAAAATATTCTAATTGATTTACGCAGTGCTTCAAAAGATGTGGAATGTTTACCGGTAGTGCTTTAATTGAAACTTTTTTAATATGTTCAACAGTTCATTTACGGATCCTTACGTCTTATTTTTTTTTCTCAGAAAATGCTTTTTCGATTAGTAAAAATAATGCTGTAAATTATTCACGTTATATATTAAAAGGTTAAAAAATTCAGATTATTTTTCGTTTAATGGTACTAGAATTGAAACAATTTCTAGATATTCTACAGTTTTTTTATAGTATTCAATAACTGATAAATGTCATCATGTCGGTACATAAATTAGATTTATTTTCTTAAATTTCAAGGTAACTTTGACTAAAACAAAAAACCACGATTAATATAACTCGCTCAGAATCGATTTTTGATTGCAAATAGGTATACTAAGATACATATAATAAGTTATGTGGTCCACGGATAAAAGGTCAACCGATTAGTGCGCATTACACAGTTAACCACTCTCTTAGTTTTCCTATCATAATATAGTGTTTCTAGGACACGCCATTTTCATCGAATAAAAAACTACGTGGTTCTACAATATTATTTTCGCATAGTCGTTTTGTATACTGAAACCCATTAAACGGAAAACCTTATTTGTTTTCATGCGATTTTGTAAATAGGTGCCTACCTATAAGGTGATCCATTTAAGTGGGTAGGTACACTCATTATCTCGGAAAGTATTAACTTTTTCGGAATTTGTTTTATAGAACGTTTCAGAAATAAAGAGCTCTATAATTTTATATTTATGTTATTTTTGCAACCCTTATGTTTGGGGATAAAACCACTATCTACTTTTGTTTTCACATAGCAACGTTTACTAAAAATGTCTTAAATAGATAGAGTATTAGTTTAAATAAATTTTGATATTTTAATTTTTAATTTCCATCAATTCATTGACGTGTTTTTCTACTTTTAAGTTTAGGTAGTGAACGGTATGAAAACGCCGCGCGCTATGTCGCCACACAAATGATGCTCCACTACTGCACCCCGACTCAAATTTAATAACGGAATAACTCGTCAACGGACTGACAGAAATCAAAAATTTCAACACTAAAATTAACTTTATATAATATGTCATCTATTTATGGAATTTTTAATATAGGTTAACATTTAAAAATTAAAATTAGATAGTGGTTTTTTCCCCCAAAATAACGTTGATAGAAAATAACATAAATGTAAAATTTTAGAGTTACTTGTTTCTTAAATTTTCTATAAAACATTTTCCGAAAAAATTTAAGACTTTCTAATATTAGATAATGAGTGTATCACCTAAATGGACCTTATACGTATACCATGTACATTTAATGTTTGTAGTTACATTTCGATTCCGGTCGAGTAAATAGCGTGGCAGATACTCACCTATTCCAAATCCCCGGAAATCATTTACAGAGGGATTATTTCTGGGTTCATTTTTTTTTTTTTACATTAAAATACCTACATAATTAATAGTATTTTTTTTTTTAATTAAAAATAATAAAAAGCAAAATAAATATGACATAACGGCGGTGCACTTGTATACATAAGCCGATTTCATAATATATAATAGCCCTCGAGGCACCTCATTCCCTTATATCAATATATATATTATATTATATATATATATATATATATATACAGCACACAGAGTATTACGGTAATTTAAAAAAAATATATTCACGTTAATGCAATCTTACGCAGTAAATATGACAGCACTGTTACTAACAGGGATGGGCAAGATACTTCAAAACGTGTATATATACTCGATACTATAGAAACATAAATTTTAATTATCTATAAATATAGAATATAGACTTAACTTATTTATTAGGTGTGGCAATATACCCCCTAGCATTGGCAGTATAAAACACTATACGTTTTATAATTAATATAAGGAGCAGTAAACATAATATACGATATACTATATACATAATAATATACAAATAACGCACACTAGTATATTCCTAGATTGCCGTAGCGTGTACTGTGTGATTACATTAATAAAAACAGGTAACTATTTAACTGTAACTATAAATATTTAGTTAATAGTTTTACGATAAATAACCATTAATACCTAATAAATTTCTAAATCTACAACATTGGCTACAGCTAGTTCACGATGTTGTACGCAGGTTATACACAGTAAAAACATGTATAAGTACACAATAGTATTATTATTTAACTATTTTTGGTTATATTTGGTTATATATTCTATATTTGTTTAATAAAAAAATAATATAATTTTGTATAGCTATATTTAGAAGATAAAAGAAATATTATGCTTATCAAACGAAAAAAAAAAATTATATTTATATTGAAAAAGACGGACATACTTCGCCAGATGGGTAGGTCACTGTTATAGATAGTTAGTAGGATAGTAAAAAAAGTTTAATTTAATGTATATATGTACACATTGATTAATCATTGATAACAAAAAACGATTCTGAGCAGAGTTCGGTTATACATGTTCTGAAAGGCTGTAGGTAATATTTACGATTTTCATTGAAATTTGATAATAAAATTCTTATAAAAGAAAAAATACTACATTTAACTCAATTTTTTCTTATTGGCCACTAAATACAACCAATAATGAGACTCGTGTTAAATTTTCAAGCACATATGTTTGGTCTAACAATTTCGTCCACAGAGTACCTACCGAATAAAAATCACCTAGAATACTCATAAAATTAAAATGTCTATAAATAGCTCAAAAATAGAATAAATGTTTTGAACATTTTACCATGTCTAAAAAAGTCAAATACCCAAGTCAATATACTCAACCCAGCCTATATATTTTTCACTGCGAAAAATGAAAACCTTAAAAATTTCAATTTGAACATCACAACATGATATAATTAATTATTTATGTAGATATTATCAATCACGAAGCACGAATTTGATAATAGTAAAAAATAAATAAACGACATTGCACATGATACTTAAAAATTAAATTATCTTGGCAAATTAATTAAAATTAAAAACAAATAATAATTAAATGTAAGTAAAAGAGCTGATACTGGAGACGGGTGTGGTCACTGTTGCAGGTGGGTAGTTGGAAAGACGGGACACATAAAGTTATTTAATTTATACCTGTAGCCAAAGATTGACCATTCCAAACAAGAAATGAAAAAAAAGAACAAAATCGATCTCTCGTCATTATTTTATTGAAGGAATATTTCTGGTAGAAAATATCGTGTACACAAATTTTAAATAATGAAATCGATAACGCTGTTGTGCACTGTAAATATTTGCCGTTTTACCTATAATTTTCTTTCAAGTTTTTTCATATTATTTTAAAAATCATTAAGAAAATCAAAAGTTGACGTCTTTAATGCAATAACTATACAATATTACCACTTGGAAAAAAGTGTTATACTCTACACATCGGACCAAGATTTTTGATAGAAAAGTTGTATACAAACATAAAAAAAAATAATAATACAAAATACATATCATAAAAAATCCAATAAATTCCTTTCAATGCTTTATAAATTGAAAACAAACATCATTTTAAAACCAAAATATTCCGATCTATGTCAAATATCAATATCGATTTCTAATGATCGTAAAAATAATTTCTACCTATGCTAATTAAAAATTAAAGTATCTATGTATGCATTTTAAATATTAAATAATGTAAAAATGTAAATATTATTTAGTAAATAATATTTTATAGTTTAAGAAATTGGTATTAAATTATGTGATAACTGATAATTATTACAATATAGAAAAAAACGTATAATGGGGATGGGCGCAGCCACTGTTATAGATAGTTTAATGTGTTAATGTAACATTATAAATTGCCGGTAGAAAAGTTGTCCACGGGAAAAAAAGGCCGTAATGTTTTTATTAATACCTATAATTTTTTTTTACATTTTCCCGTTTTTTCTCAGTTTTTTTTCAGTTTTTTACAAACGATGAGAAAACTCTTTAGAAAATCGAAAAATAACCTCTTTAAAGTACCTCCTCAGTCAAATTTCTTTTAAGAAACATTTCTATCATTATAAATTGAAGCAAATTTGCTGGTAGAAAAATTGTTCATAGGATAAAAGATTATAAATATAAAATATAAAAATAAAAACAGAATTTGATTATTTTTATTACCTTTGGAGATATTCAAGGGGTATATTTTCGAAGGACAGCCTGTAAAGAAGCAATTCCCCTAACGCTATACATACTACATAGTATCAAGGGATTTACTTAATCGCAATCATTATGAGAAATAAAACATATTTTATAAAAATTTACATAGGTAAGCCATACATTACAAAATAATAGTATCTATTATAGAGACTATAGAGATACTCTATACTTTATGAAATCGTATCATGATATAAGATATAGTTATTTTATTTGAGATACTAATATTATATTGACGGTCTGTATTTATCGAGCACAGCTAACGTACACTAAAATATTTTTCCGGCATCTACTGTACATAGTATTATAATAGAAGTACTCCTAGAGTTAAATATCTGAGTTGTGCATATTATTATATTATTTAAGAACTAAATCTCGTCCGATAGAACTCTCCGCCGCATCGTTTTCTTTTGAAAAGAGACGCGTGTGAAGTAATAATAACAACTGGGATAGTAAAAATTTAGACGCGGCAGCCATTCAGTTACCCGCGATGATACGATGGGTAGGTGTACCAAAAGTTTTATTCGGGTCGCACATAAAATAATGATAATAGTAATAATATTATCGAAATGATTTAGTGTTGTCGCGAAATGCGAGTTCTGTGTATAATATATACGATCATTATTCCCGTCATAGATTTCATAATTTATGCTCCAAGTTTTCGTGGACTAAATTAGGCGTGTTCACAATTATTATTATTATAGAAAGTTGTAGTATATATGAGTAAGTATAGCGGTCACGGTACTACATGATGAAAAATGAAAAGCTAAAATAAGCATTTTGTTGATGTATTTTTTTTTCCACAGCGTAGACAAACAAATAACCTACTTCGCAGCAAGTGTAAGCAGTTGTTGTTTAATAGGCGGAAAGTTTGATACATCTATAAGATTGAGAGACAGAGGGTGGTTTGTTTTATGTACTGAAAGCAACTATAAATCATTGGGATCAAAAACAATTTTGAATGGACTAGTTTTATAATAGTAATATTAATCGTGGTTTTTCTCTTGTAGCCATAGTGTAATCGATATATGTGTCGATACATTTGTTCTTCACTTTTGAATTTGATTGAAAATCTTTTTAGAATTAAGATATTATTTTATCCAAGTAAAATACCACAAGATAAAAATCCACATGTTTCAAGGTTCGATGTGAATAAATTTAGTGTATGTAAGTATTAATTAAAATATATTACAGCCTTCTTTTTTTCTGTGCACAACTTTTCTACCAGAAATTTTGATCCAACTTTTAAAAACATCAATGCTTCTAAAATGAAATTTAACAAGCGTGGTACTTTAAAGAGGTCATTTTTCGATTTTCCCAAAAGTTTTCCCAGCAAATGTGAAAAACCGGGATAAGACATGAAAAACCTGGAAAAACGTAAGAAAACTGGGAAAATCGGTACAAAATTAAACAAATATAATTAAAGAAAATATATAAAGTCTATTTTTTTACGTGTAAACAACTTCTTTACCAGAAATCTCACCAATCAAAAACTGTATAAAACTTTCTTGTATAATCTATTAATATAATCTGTTTTCAAATTAGCCAAACTTAACTGTAAATAATAATTTCTTTTTTTTAAATTATTAAACATTAATCTTAATATTGTCAAACGTAGTTCCTTATTCAAAAATGTATAAGACTTAAGTATAGAAAATAAAATAAGAAGTTGCTATTTAAAATTAAAAATAATTATTCATTTAGAACCAAAAGGAGCAGAAGTAAGGCTGAAACAGTCCCATATTAGTGATTGAAAAAAAGTAAAATCAAATGAAATTTATTAAAAATATTCCATGTAATAAACGCTAGATCACAATTAAAAAAATTCCATTCTGTAATACAATAAACATTTCATAACATGTTAATAAAACGTTATAATATTTAAAAAAAATTGTCATATACACCGAAAAACAGCCATCATATAATAAATCTTTAAAATGTTTTCCTCATTATAAATGCCCTGTGGCAGCATCTGCAGTCGACAAGTAAAGTATATGATTATTGTAAAATGTATTATTATCCAATATTCATTCAGGGTTTTTTTTTTTTTTTTTTTGTATCAATAAATCGTTTACAGTCCAGTATTATATATTATATATGAATTTAAAAGCTACCCAAATTAATACGGTAAATACCTCATATAATAATATGCACGACACGCATCATAAAACGATATTGATTTTTGTACATAACATTATAATATTATAAAAAATCGTTACGATTATTATAATTTTACGCAACAGAAATAATATATATTCTAAATGTACATCTTAATTAAAATTGTGTATGAGGAGGAAAGTGGGACAAGTTATACCTTAGGTTTAATAATTATCCTGGTAAAACTGGTGGTTCGATATTCTTCATTTTTATTACGGGTACTCTTTAGTACACAAAGAGCAAATGATAATTTTTTGGTGTAATAATATTTAGTATTTTTATATTTTTTAACTATCTTAGAAGATTTGATAATTTGGTTAGAGCTGGTGCAAGTTGATTACTGTATAGTTTCTGTTGAATAATGTTCTATAAGTACATTTCAAATGTAATATTTAAATAAGCTCTAATGTTCAATACTTAAATCAAATTTAATTCATTATAAAATAGGTAGATAATTATCACATTATATTTATAAGGAACTTAAAGTTACTATGAAGTTTGTAACATATTCCTAGTTATTATTACCTCTTTAATAACTTCAAATAGAAATATTTTATAGTAAAGCAGAAGACAGTGGCAATTTTTCAGGTTCATAATCTTGCCCCAGTTAGCTTACATATAACTTTGACCACATTATTATTTAAACCCAGAGTAAAATAAAATTGTACGTACTTTCTAATATACTCCAAACAACTACCACTATCCTCACATGCAAAAATAAATATAATTATTTATTTGGTTTATTGTAGAAGGCCTACATTTTTTATTTTAATACGAAAAACAAAAATATGATAACCGAAATTCATATTTTATCACATAATAATTTGTAGAAATATAATTTACACTATACCATCCATTTTTTTCTAAATATCCTAAAAAATCACCACTTGATGTCGTAACAAGCATTTAAAACCGAATCAATCAATTTGTTCCACACGACAATTTTCTCTATATTTTTTTTTAACACCCCTTTATGCACTTCTTTATACGGGTTTTTCTTGTCCATCGACTTTATTGTCGATAACGTGCCGATCATCGTATCCGTCATAATCCGATGTGTTATTACTGTGAATTTGTGTGGCATGCAGAGTTATTAATTTTAAAAAAGGACTTTTCACTCCAAAATCAATACATCGTGGATATAGATAATAATATTTATGATTTAATGTAACAATTATATTACATAATAAATCTACTAACCGCGTTGGATTCCAAAAAAATCCAGACACCTTTAATTTTATAAAAGAAAAAAAAGGCAAATTACGATTTTCGGCTATTAATTATTACTATGTCTCTATCTATCTCTTTCTGCAAGTGGAGTTATGAACGTTAGAAAATCGTATCGCTATGTAATTTATTTATCGTGGTTCAGTCAATTTCTCAGATGATTTTAAATAAATTTAATTTCAATTATTCGTTTTCCTATTTAATTATGGAATTATGTACGATTTATTTGAACATGATTCTAAATTGTTTAACACTACTCCTAGTGCTTAAAATGAGTATCCACTTAAGATTTTTCACAAGCCCCCCTTTCAACCACAGATCCAAATAGGGAATATTTTTCTAGAAATTTTGATATGCGTAACACCAATAACAAATTTAACATTTATGAGTTACACGAGTTAAAAGTTTAAACAGAAGGAGTAGGGAAGAATAATAAATTACACATCAATTTTTAAATGATAAATTTATATATCTTCTTTCTAAATTCACTATTTTAATCTATTATAGGAATTATGGCTGCTATTTGAATATTACAATAAGTGAATACTAATTGCAAGTATAAGGAATAGAGGTAAAACATTGAAAATAGTGATAAAAAAGACCGACAAACTTTGTACGATGAGTGGGCCGCTATTTTAAGGAAAAATTAGGAAGTAAAATATACAGGATAATTTAATTTATAAGCAACAATAAATCGTAACTAACGAAAAACAATTAAAAACGAAGTTTTTTAACATGTACGTAAATTTTCCCGATTTTCCTAAATTTTTTCCCAAGTTTTCTCAAATATTATGAAAACCGCTTGAAAAATCAAAAAATAATCTCTTTATATTACTCAGAAAAATTTTTTTTCCAAAAAAGATTCTAGATCAAGATTTTTGAGAAAAGTTATTCCCAGATAAAAAAAAAGGATAACATCATTGTAAAACCAATACATTTTTTGCTACGTTTTAAATCTAAAAGCTTAAACACATCCATAATGATTAAATAAAAACATAAATCAAATTCAAAATCAATCGAATTATAAACCTCCGAGAAAAATGCTGGTTCATAATAAAGAAACTGTCTAATATGGTTGAAGTATTATTATAAGCTAGATACGTTTGCCAGAAATAGAATTTCACATATTACAAGTCTATTATAAAATATATAATACAGTTTAATTCAGACGGGAAGTATATACAATTTTATCTCCATATAAATATGGTTAATATTATCTAATATTTGTATTAATGTGATATGCATATAATCAAAATATTTAGTAAATATACTCTTTTTGATACTGGATTAAAAGCGAAAGGAAGGGAGGTAGTGTTTATTATTTATTTTGAAAATGAAAAATTAATAATGTTGTGTTTATGGCACAATATAGATAATGGAATGATGTTGTGAATATTTTTTTTTTTGGAAAAAAGAAAACTCCAGGGCAAAATTGATCATATGATAAATACATTAGTTTAAAAAAAAAAAAATGGTAAAAATTGGTGACATTTAAACTCTAATTAAAGCGTTTAAAAATGTAATTATCTAAATCCAATTTCAATGTGCCATCTAAGAAGTCGTGAAGAATGCCGACCAAAACAAGATCATCAAAATCGGCGTAATCTACGAGGCATGCAAGTTTTTTTTTTCTGTCAAACATGTTTTGTGCAAAATAACCAGTCGCGCGCAAGCTCTTTAAACGACTGAAAAAACCCCAAATCGAAATTTTCGTAGAAAATCTCTGGACCGTGATAAAAGTAATCACCCTGAAATATTTAATATATTATCATATATAATATATATTCTAAACGCACTATTAAAATTGCAAATAGGTATATTGTTATTTTGCACCATTCATTATGACGGAAATACAACCACGTCATGGTAGTCGGGTGTGCGTGTGTTATTTCGCGAGAATAATAATAATTATAACGATGTCGTTAAAATGAGCGCGACACTCGAGAACTACTACAACGCGAATTTCTCGTCTCGGCGACAATATCATAATAATATATACCCGTCCCAGTCCACATCGTGTATACTTTTTGTTGAAATTAAAATCCGGTAGTTGCAAAGGGTACATTTTCCGACTTGTCGTCTGAACGTGTAGCGCAGTTGAAAAGGTCGGAGAGAAAATATCTAAAACCCGAAACTATATAATACAATAATATGCGATATCTTTTATCTAAATAATTAAAGACATTATTATAGGTTTTTAGATTCAGCAAGGAGCAGATCAATAAATTGATTTTTCTATAATGTATTTTTTTTTTTTTTTTTTGTATGTGTGAGCAACATTTCAAATAGAAAACTTGCTCCGATGTATCAACTTAAGCACCTTTTCTGAAACGATATTTTATCTAGTTGGTGCAATAAAGAGATTATTTTTTGATTTTCAAAGGGGTTTTAAAAATAACTGGGAAAAACCAGAAAGAAAAGTATAGGTAAAACGACAAATATTTACGGCGCACTGCGATGTTACCAATTCCTTTGTTTTTAATGTTTGCAAACTATGTTTTCTACTATATTGTTTTAATTAAAAAAGAAGCCATTTTTGTTAAATTTTGAATCTAGATGCTTACATAGAAAATCATTTTTTTTTAATAATTAGGAAAAACCGAGAAAATAAAAACTGACAAATTTACGGCGTTACGATTTCATTATTTTAAATGTTTACGCTTTATGTTTTCGATTAAAAATATTGCTCCAATAAAAATGCAACAAGACTTTTTTTTTTACAATTTTACAAGAAGACATAATAAGAACAGAATAATTTACAAAAATAATTCTTTTATTATATTTTTCAATTTTATTTTTTTATAGTACATATAAAAATTTCAGACTTAAAATTTTAACACGAAACTTATATTTGTGTTTTCTAGATGTGGTAAAAATTAAAAAATATTTAAGCCATTTTCAAGCTATAATATACATTTTAATTTTGGAGTTTTTACATCATTTTTATTAGGTAATATTTAAAATGTGGCTAATTATCAGACTAAACAGAAATACTTAAAAAAAAAATAAAAGGCGTATACCTAATAATCAGAACAAAATAATTGAGTGTAATGTACAATTTTTTTTTTTTATTTTTTTTAAATCAAATTTTGACGAAAATCATAAATATTACGACCTTTTGTAATATTAACATAACCGAATTTTGCTCCAAATCGTTTTTCGATAGCAATGATTTATTGTTGATTACAGGTACAAACTAAATTATTTTATGTATCTCACTTTTCCAACTACCCACCGCAGTATAAAATTTTTTAGTAATCCATATCGGCGATTGAAAGAGGCACTATATATTTTATATATAATATAAATTACTATTTAGTTTTAAATAAGAAATCAATTTACATTATGTCATTTGTGGTAATATGTGACAAATATGTTTTGCAACCCTCCCCTCCTCCGAAATTGTTTCATTCGCTCCCCTCAGATTCGCTATATACCTAATCGATTTCATCGAACGAAATACTATGAAAACACTACTACTATTACAATAATCGGGATTATTGATAATCAGAACAATTGATAATCCAGATTATCCGATTAACTGGATTTTTTAAAAACTCGGAATAATATTCAAATTCTTAGATCAATCTATAACTCTTTTAATTTATTAAACATTTAAATCCCTACTATTTTGTAATAAATATTATACACTTAACAGTTAATTATTGCTCGTTATAAATTCAATCGCGGCGTATATAAGTATAATTGTATAATAATTATTAGTATATGCGATCACCTGTATATGTTTTAATCGCGGTATGGGAATGAGTCGGTAAATTGTTAAGAATGCTATGGTTCTTTTTTTAAATTACTATTAATAACTAATATTAAACTGTAAATATTTAAATAAATAATTAATATAGTTAAATATTTAAATAAATAATTAATATTATTTCCAAATTATTACATCCCAAATCTGGGTTAGCGTTTGATTTTAAATGCACGAATGTTTACATATACGGTGATGTCTTATAATATTACAAATCAGTCGTAAAAATATCATGGACAGTTGTCCATAGTATTTTTACGACTGAAGAAAGAAAAAACGAAAGAACGACTGTGATGCAGAGGGCTATCCTACAAAAAAACCATATATATTTATAGCCTGTCAACTCTTCCGAGTAAATCTAACTAATTTACCGAGATGGCAAGTTGTATGAACTAACCCATAAATGATGTGATAAAATTATACGAAATTAAATACAAATTCATTCAATATTATCTCATAATTCATGGTATAAATAATTAATATTTCAATGGCTATACAATACAATTATTGTCCTTTTAGTATATCACTGTTAACTACCGACAAGAAGACTTATTTTAAAATAACGAAATAAATCAGCGGTATAAAGTGGAAAACCGTAAATTGAACGCGATATTTTATACCACAATAAATAAACCTAACCGCAATATTATTTTATTATGATTATCTTTGTGTTGTAGATATAATATCGTTTAACGCCAACGATATAGTAAAATCGGGATGGCCGTTCAAAAAAAAATAATTCGAACTTCGAAGCAGTTGAGTGGGAGTAGGAGATACTCACAGCGGGCAGTACCTAGTTGTATATTATTATTATAAAACTGTCAATATACAGGGACATTTAATTTCTTATACTGTAGTCCAGCAATTTTACATAAATTTGATTTCTCTTCTTTCAACAGTTGTATATGAATATATGTGATTGAAAGGGACAAGGTAAGAAGGGCATTTTTCCATTTTTAGAAATTGTTTATCAGAGAAAAACTTCTTTACAGCTACATGCATGCAATATTATTATTTTTTTTTTTTAATCTACATGACTAATATTTTACCATACAATTAATATAATATTCAACAGAAAACTTTTCATCATCAAAACACTATCGAATGGTACCATTGTCTTAAAATTGAAAAAAAAATGAACGACTACTGTTAACGGGATAGATTTATAAAATGTTGAAATTATTTCAAATATAATTATTGAATGGTTATAACAATTATAACTATAACAATTGATTAAAAAAAAACCTAATTAATTTTACTCAAAACCTTCATAGATGAAAAAAAATATCACTCTGTATAAACGATATGGATTTCATTGAGCCCGAATTGATTGAGCTCTTATAAGGTTGAATTGAGTTGTGAATTCGATCGTTCATTATGTTGTAATTGGGTTATATTCTAACAGATACTTTGAATTTATATCGTTATTTCTTTTTTTTTTCATAGGCTAATATGTAATCTTGTAATTTATCCAAAACAGTTTGATTTCGTTCACGATCGCTTTGGAATAAGTGCAAATATGATATTTAATAATAATATATAATATAATAATAATTATGGTTTGAAGAAAAATTTTATTTTATTTTTTGTTAGACACGCGTATTCGTTTGATTATGTTTTCGGTGATAATATTCCCATCTAGAAAACTAAGTTGACCAAAACTAAAAACTCACTTGCGTTTAATACTTGCATTACTTTGTGTATTACTGTTACTTAATTACATATTGCAGTTTAAATACCCAATAACAAGAATATGGTGTTATCCATTTAAAGTATTATTTAAATTGGCTGAGAGGTACTATTTTTTGCTAAACGGTTTTTATTTTACTATTCTGATACTGGTGGCGTGGGCATGCAGTTTAATAACATTATGGTAAGTATAAGACGGAATACCGAAACAAACAAAAACACGCTAACACTAAGTTTTAACCACAATAACCCGAGTGATGGTATAAATAGGGACAAATCGAACGGAGGGGGGAGGCAATTGACCTATATATATACAAATAAACAATCGAAGGATAGGTATTAGAACCCGAATATAAACAATAGGCTTGCAGTAAGAAAGACTCAAAGAACGGATTATTGGTTCGAATGCGGTCGAATGTTCCTATCCTTCGAATGAATCACTCGAAAATCCCGCGAGAAAAATAACTGCTTGGACGAAAAACCATTGTTTTGTCATCGTGAAATAAGAATGCATTTGCAAGGAAAAAAAAAATTTTTCATATCCTATATATATATCATATGATATAATTATTATTTTGGCCATCGCGCGTCGACTAATAATCGATTTTTTTTTTTACCGATGCAAACGAAGCAAAATATTTTCTCTATACATAGGGGGAAAATCTTTTTCAAAAATAACACTTATAATTTATATTGAAATAACTGATACTATTGGTGGGTTATTTGATTTATATTTGTAAGCAACGATAAGCTATTGTAAACCAAAAACGATTGTCTTGATGTACTAAGTAGATCCAAAATGCAAAAAAAAGAAGGTTTCTTGTAATTTTTTGATGAAATTATAATATTTGTCGTAGAAAAATTGTTTACAGATACAAAATATAGTCGTAATAATAAGCATATATAGTAAAACCAATGCATTCCTCGCTCCTCATAGAATCTAAAAGAAAATCAAACATGGTAAGATCGGTTTGGCGTTGAAACGATGACATGGTATAATAATTCGAAACATGTCGTTTTAGGTGTTTTGTCAGTAAATCAAGCGAAATATATTGTACGGCAATCGCGACAGTAATAGGTAGGAATGGTAACATAAATAATTATGTTTCATGGAAAAGGCTGAATACACATGCGCAGTTGATGCATCCAGAAAGTATGTTCGACAATACCTTTACTGGCGCGATTAGTAACACAACTAAAGGAGGTGTTTTGAGACCCCCCTCTCTTATCATTTGACAATATTACAAAAATTATATGAGACTTCTTGGCTTTTATAATATTTTATAGGACACCAACAGTAATGTTTTCTAAATAAAAGTTATGGGGGAGGGGGGTTGGAGGAATTTGAATTAAGTATTATTTTATTCGAGGAGAAGAGTGTTAATTACTAAAATTGATTAACGTGATTGGCTAAATAACATATTTCATAGTTGAGTATCTACTACCCACCTAAATAATACTGGTTATATTTAATAAGAGTATTGAGAAATTAAAAAAATAAAAAAACAAATTGATGATAACTGGCTCCGTTGAAATATAAAGACACTTTACGAAGAAAAAAAATATCAAATCTACTGTGGGAAAAAAACATTTTACGGTTGTCATTCAATAGCATAGTCGTCATCGACTGTGTGCGACGACGACATTCGTATAATCCTTGAACTGCACGCCAAATTCCTGTCGTTCTTATTTAAATGGTGAAAAAGTAGTATTTTAAATACATTTCAAAGTTAAATAACTAAACAACATTGTGTCCGATAATACCTACCTAATATATTGTCAAATGACAGCGTTTAAATCGTTAAATTGTATTACCGTTGAAAGTATCATTTCTCCTCGGTTGATTAGAAATATATTAACCTCAAAAAAAATACCAATTATTAAAATTTGGATATGTATAAGTACAAATTTAATGTCTACGAACTGATGAACCTGAACCATGATAGACAAGATTATTAATTTTTCTACATCAATATGTGACCAGTCCGTCATGGCTTTTGCCTTTTCCCACTATTTTTCTATTTTCACCTAATGTGGTTTTTCTATTATATTAAATTATTTGGTATAGTATCAGATTTAGAATTAGAATGAGACTTTAGATTTTGAATTTAGCGAAGAATGTATCGGTTTCACAAAGATGTTTATTTTTTTATTATTTTTTTTTTTTTTTTATATGAACACTTTTTCTGCCTGATAGCTTATTTTGATTATCAAGTAAAGCATCTGAAAATGTTCTCTGGGTGATACTTTGAAAAGGTCGTTTTTGAAATTCTCATTAATATTCGAGATAATGAAAAAAACGTGGTAATTTAGGTTAGAAAAGATTGAAAGATTAAACATGTTTAAACAGATTAAACAGGTTGTCATTGGCAACCGTTTTTATTTATTTTTTGTTATTATTAAGTTTTTATTATTTTAATCTTTTTTGTCATGAAAACTCACATTATTGTAACCATTTTACCATAATATGACATATATATTGTTGACAAAGCAATACTATCAACTGAATTTAGAATCGTTTATTCGTTATTTATTCGCAATATTTTATCGTTGCTTACAAATATACATTAAATTCTTGTCTGTATCCTACCTTCCCAACTTCCCACCTACAACAGTTGCTGCACCCACATGCGAAGTATGTCCATCCTTTTTTATGTTTTAAAGTTGCGGTATGTAGTTCTCGGTTTTTTGGAGGAGAACAGTTGTGTCTCATATTATTACAGTGTGGTTGAAGTTGTTACACATGTAAAGTTAACTATTTATTTATACATTTAAATTAAAATCTCATCATAATATTAAATAATATTCAAATTTACACCTTATTATATCATTAGGTATACATTATTTTGTTTTTTCTTAAACAAGTATTCGCCTATTTCAAAAATAACATTTTGTTATCTTTATACAGAGCAATAGTGTAGGCAGGATGATGACGGAAACAAGCACTATGGAAATGAGTTAATTTACCAATTTTTTATAGTTTCGGGTTACTATAATAATGCTATATACGGTTTACTTGCATACATCATTTATCAGGATAATATTAAATAGCTAGTCAAACTTTTGATTTTTTTTTTTTAAATCAAGTAACTTGACTCAATAAAATCAATTTTTTTCATTAGCACAGAACTCTAATGTATTGATTACATTTTTCCGGACGGATTGTAAAATGTATTTCATACCGAAGAAATAATATATGTTTACGTATACCTTTTAATTATATTATCGGGCTCATGGTTGCCAAAAGATATACGTAACATACCTACCTAGGAGTTTTTGTGTTTTTCACTATATATTATAATTTTATATTATGTATAATATATATAGTTAATTTCGCAACGAAACTGTGAATTTATACACGCCTGTTTGTGAAATAATAAATCGAGTAGTTCGCATTTTGGAATCGGTCCAGTTATATGGTTGGCCATTAAATTCTCTCAATCTGCCTGAGATATACAAAGTAGAGCTCTTTCGCCGGAGGCTGCATTATTAGTTATGCCCTCCTCACATCTTAGGATAAAAAATACCAGATCTATTTTACACCTCGGGTACACTGTTGCAACATGTTGTAGATATAAAATTATTTAAAGATATTTTTGTTGATAATTTATATACAAATGTTTCACATAAAGTACCTACTACTGGATAGAAAATCTACATCTTTTAATTAGAATAAACGGTGTAAGATTTGTGATGGATTTTTACCAAATGTGAAAAATAGGTTACAGACTTTTTAAAAAAAAAAAAACCATAGATTATTAAAAATCATAAATTTGTTAAAAAACTTGTTTATGATACACATTCGATTATGTGATGATGAATTATACGATAATATGAAAAATATTTAAAATAAATCACAAAAATCGTTCCATTCACATTGATTGAATCATCACAAAATGCATGGCATAAACAAATATTTCATAGTTATAATAAAAATGGAAATGACCACCTCTAAAATTAAATCATGGTTCGAGGTCTGCTTACCGACCACGCTCGCTCCATGTAATAATAGCGGTGGCAGTGACGACGAGAGCTGTTGATTGCGTCGAAAATTGACGACCTAACACGAGACGCGTACCGTCGACTAGATGGTTCGGATTTGTTCGACGGTTCAGTTTGCATGCGATGCTGTTCAATCTTATCTTGAATAGAATAAGCATATTCGTTTTAAAAGTACATTTATTTTTACTTTTTAGATCTTTAACACGGGTTGCTACGTGTCGGTAGCCAACTATTTCGGCGCCCCGGTAGTGGGCATCACGTCGACCAGCCTGTACCCGTGGTGGGCAAGTGTTACTGGGGCCGGTGACGTGGTGATGCCGTCGTACGTACCGGTTAACCTCTTGCCGTTCACGGCACGAATGACTTTTACGGAACGCTTGCTGAACACCGCCATGCTGTTTACGATGCGAACATATTACAAGTACAAATACGAACCCGAAGTAAGCGCAGCACACATTTGACTGTTGTTTTTGCAGATCATAAAAACTGTACGTAATCGCAATAGTCTAATGACAAACGCCGATTACGTGGTGATCATAGTTCCCACAAACTATATATTTCCTAAAATTGTTTATAGTTTTTAGTTAATAACATTACACGTTAAATAGGTACCCTTTGCAAATAATAATTAACGTAATAATCGTATCCTCTACAATCTTGTAGAACACTTCTCTCGTTCCGGGAAATCAAATTTTGGTCACAGTGAAAATAACGTAGTCTACTTTACGTAGGTGTGTTAATTTTCTCAGACATCATACCGCAGCTGCCATAATTATTTCAATAACCAATTCTCGTTTTTTCCTGTCGTTTCGAAAGGATTATGTGCGGCGTTCATATTGATATTATGTGCGGCAATATGAATAACCAATAACCATAGCTGACGTATACTAAACGTGATTTTAAGGCTCAACGAATCGTCGACAAATACTTGGGGAAATTGAATAGCACAGTGTCGCAATCCGTGAACAACGTTAATGCTCTCATCGTTAACACGCATTTCGCATTCGGAGACACCAGACCATTGCTACCGGGCATCATCGAAATCGGAGGGTGCACGTACAAGAGTCCAAAACCCTTGACCGAAGTGAGTTCATACCAAGTTTTTAATATGATTTTTATACATTACAAATAGCTGATCGATAACACCGCGTTCGCACATTCAATTTTAGATTTTGAGTATAGTGAATATTAAATTACTGGTTTTACTATGACGTGTGCTTATTTTGTATTTGTTTATTTTTTCTGTCTGTGAGCAACTTTTCTACTAGAAACATTAATCCATTTGAAAAATAACAAAAGCCTTTTTTTTTTGTAATTATATACCTGGAACATGAGCGTACATTAGGGGGGAGCAAATACATACAAATATAAATGAAAAATTTATGATCATTGATCATATTATATGGTAGGATTATTTTCACTAATGGTTTCCCATCGGTTATTGAAGACATAATTGGAAAATCAAAATAGCATAGGCGATTACGTCGGTTAGAATCATTGATTTTCAATGAATACTCAATTATGATCAACGATAGAATCTATAGAAGTGTACGATTAGATATTATCTGTTATCTACACATTATATTAGATTTAATCGATTACATTGTCCAATATTGAGTGCGGCTTTTAAATTATTTGCTAAAACTTTAAAGTGTATCAGACGTTAGTCGTTGTTTAACAGTTTGTTAAGAACAATAACGACAGTATAAAATATCAACATGTGCAGTGTCTTTATTCGGTGTTTAATTTTAATTTGCATGATTAGTATTAATTGACATGAAGCTATGTTCAGTTTAAATTTCAGTTTATTACAAATTAAACCACCTACCTACTGTTAGTTATTTTATAAATAATTATATAATTATGATAAATACTATTGTAGAAAATATAAATGCAGTCATATAATATTATGGTACGTAAACTTACATAGGTATAGCTGTTAATAGGTTAACAGGTAGATAAATATTATTGAAAAATATAGTTTTCCCCTCCCATGGATTTTCGAAGATGAACGCCCTTGAATTGGAACAATGAACGGATCACTTTTGATTTGGTCATTTTAGATGGTTTTCATAATAATTGGGAAAACCTTAAAATGACCTTAAAGAAAAACGGACACAAATTTTCAGCATCAATAATTTCATTATTTTAAATTTTTTTCGATTTTTTTTTTTACCTAAATCTTGCTTCAAATTTCAAGAGTAACATCATTTTTGAAAAAAAAAATTGTACAGTTGTGAGTAATTAATAGTTTTTTAACTTTTTTTAATAATTGAGAATAAAAACAAAATTCGTATAAACCCAATAAACGGAATAAACCCTAATAATAATTATAATTTGTACTGTTAAAAAATGAATTCAAAAATGTTTCATGCAAATATTGATATTTGTTGTAGAAAAGAAATGTCAAGTAATATTTATATTCAAATACATTACGATTACTTTACTTTATTGTTTTGCGTATGACTGGTATACCATTAATAATTTACGACATCGTTAATAACCGATCGGACTTTTTACTTCCGAAGCACGAAATCACAATTGAGGCGGTACGAATTTTCGACCGAAGCGCGACGTTTGCACCTTTAAAGTTAATATACCTCTTAGTCTAAAATAAAATATCCGATAAAAAAGTACACCTTCATAATATAAAAATGACCCAAAATGAAAACCCGGTTGTTTTCATCATACTATGTAATTTCGGAATGCATATATTGCCCTAGACCACAAAAAAGACAAAAAACAAAAATAATTTTAACATTATTATTACGTTCATTGTGTTTGTCGTCATCGGCTTCAGGCTTTCTCTTGAATCTCCCGGTGGTCCTACTATCCCAAATAATTCAAACGAATTTTGATCCCCATGGTGCACTCAAGAACGAGGTCATTCACGTTATCCCCATAGGTAGTCGACTAAAATTTGACGAGGAATTGAGGACATTCGGTCTCCACGGTATTGCACTCTAGAATACGAGCATAATATTGGGCCTCCGAATTATTTTATTTTGAACTATCATAATCCACGAGTTATTGTCATCAATAATAGTAATAACAATATTATATTATGTCATATTTGCGTGTATTTCGAATATTAAGTAACGTTTCAAACAGTTACGAATATTCCATCTTCAATAACTTGTGTAATAATATTATCGTTCGATTATTATTTTTAAACACAATTTTTTTATTTTTCAACTATAATATTTCAGAAACCTAATGATGGCGTAAGCCAAAACTTAGTAGTTGTGTAAATAAAACTTATATACGCTTTATGTCAATTTTTTAAACAAAATTTGTTTAAATAATTAAATAAAAGTGTCATAAAATCTCAAATATATAATATAATATTTCGTTTAAAAAGTATAAATGAAAACCGGGAAACGCGTTGTAAATATTACCGAATTTATTCACAGACAATACTGTTAGTATTTTATATGTGAACCTATAAACGGGGCTGTCCTTTGGGGAAAAGGCACTAGAACTCGCAAAACCCAAAACCCATTTTTACTTAGATTTAAGGTTTCACATACAAAAAATATTAAAGTAATTATATAATAATTTATTATTAATAAGATATGAAAATATTCAAAATGTTGCCCTGGGTCTCGCAAATCATGCCTATAAGTGAGTGGGTATAATACTTGTGAATATTGCGCTGCTAGTAATAGTTTCTTTTGGCATTGAGCCTCAGAAAAATAAAAGGATCAATATTAATATAATAATAATTACGTTCTGTTGAAGTGCAGTAGGTATACAAAAAATATAAACAATATTAATATTATAATTCTGTAAAAAAAAACACCCTAAAAACTAAAAGTATAAACCAATTATTCGGTCGTCCATGAAAAAAAAAAAATCGTTCATGTGCATGAGACAGAATAAAGTTTTCCATATTACAATATATTATAGGTTTTCCTGTGTTTTTTTTTTTCATTCAAATAATTTTTAAATGTTAGTTCCATATTTTTGGCCTTCATATTATTATTATATTCTACTGAGCATAACGCAAATCTGAAAATCTCATTTTGGATGTCAATAATAAGTTCGTTGTCTAATATACGAGTACATAAAATATCGTAAACGACGCGCAACATTGAGGGACACTATATTATTTTATAAACTATAATAATATGATAATCAACAATAAATTATAGAAACGTGTTAGTTCAACTGATTTTTCAAATTTCAATTCTCTCGTTTGACAAGTCTGATATGTTTTGTTCTTTTTCTTGTATCGTAATATTTTTAACACGTAACCAAGACATTTTATGTGAGAAGTAGATTTTATTATTTTATTATATCAGATAACCAATATCTATAAAGATAATAAATCATAAATGTATAAAACAACTAGATAGCTGAAATCAACAGCAATTTACTAAAAGGGCACATGGTATTAATTAATCCATAAAATATTAATGCCATGAAATATGGGATTGTGTAGAAATAATTTGTGATTAATTTCAAATGCGTAATATTATCGTGGCATAAATGAATGGCTCATGAGTCAGTAAATACAATTTGAATTCATGTCATAATATGGCTGCCAAGTTTAAGATTTACTTATAAAGTCGGTTATCTGGTTAATATATCTGTGTGGTAAAATGACCAAATTATAAAACAATATCGACAATATCGATTGCCTATAGCTACTATCCAGTAGTTTTTTTAAAATAATTTTTATCAAAAATAAGTTTCTAACACAATTCACTCAGATATAGTTACTACTTTAGAAATGTTAGATAGGTAGCCATGAAATATATAATATATAGTTTTTGATTATCCAGTCGAACAAATTTTTGCAAAACGATTAACACATATAAATGAACGTAAATCTAAATGAATATGTGTTTTTTTTTTTATATATATATAACTAGGTATCTTCTTTCGTTTATAAAAAGCAGGTACTTTTTCTTTATTGTTTTCTCGGAATAAACAAGATTTCAAACTAGGTAGGTACCTATATATAATATATATATATTTATACGAAGCGGAATACTAAACACATACTCCCACAAAGTTTCGAGGGTATTTCCGTCCGCCGGTAATCGAAAATCATGTTTACAGAACCGAACAATGGACGCCAGTGTAAACAATATAGTTCAGCGCATTTTTCGTTTGTCGAATCTAAAAATTAAATTTAAAAAAATCTATATTGAAGTACAGAATTTTCTCTGCATATCGTGTGCGCGATAATATTATTAAACTATATTATACTGTTGAAAACAGGTACTGTACTTAAAAAAAAATCTTTTCCGTTACTACATTGTACTGTTAGGTTTAATTCGCTGCGAATTACGGGCATGAAATGGTTATAGTCTGATCTCAATGAATAAACACAATTATTTTGGAATGGTGATACCATACTAGGGAACAAAATATTCTACTACGAGTATATTCGAGTTGATTTTAACTTACCTTTGATTTTTTATTAAATTAATTTAATTTTGTTCACATTAACATAATAAATAACAAGTTTATTTCAAACTATACCATGTTAAAAGTTAATTTCGACTTCTTTAACTATAACATACAATTGAATTTAATTAAATCCAGCGTACAAATATTTTGTTTTTTTTTACTTGATAATGTGTGTGGAGTTTAAAACAAGTATAATTTGACATTCTAAAAAAAAACCCCCATTGTATTTAATATTTATCATCATTATTTTCAAAAAAATCACAAACTGTAGCTCTAATCATTTTCAGAGAGAATCAGAGAAAATTCGGCTTACGTGTTTATACTGTACTTATTGTTTAATATATTGTATACTCGTCGATTTCTGCAAGTTATCGAGTAAAATCAAAATATTAAGTCAAATTAGAAAACAAAATACAAAAAATTGTTACGACGCGTTCATGCACCCCAGCATCTCGTCACGTATCTTACTTTACGCGGATAACAAAAAAGTAAAAAATAAAGGCGTACAAACACTCAGAAACTCTAATCGTTTTCCACTTGAAAAAAATAATAATAACAATAAACGCGGTCGCCTATTAGATGGAGAAGAAAAGATCATTACGGGCCGTAATAAAAAAAAAAAAACATTTTCGTGAGCAAAGACGAGGAAACCGAAAATTCGTTCGCACGTTTCCACGACATTCACTCCGTTACCAACGTCATAACATATTATATTATATCCTCTTTCAAAAATAATATTACGAAACTTTATGACGGCGGTAGTGGTCGTAATAATAATATATACGGTTAGTAACCCCACGCACGCCCTACGCTTGTTATTTCGGATCCGTGCGTGTTGCAGGTATATTTTTTAGTTTTGTGACCATATTATTGTTATGTGTATAAAATACAACGTGACGTGCAACTAAGATTTATTTTTGGGTTGTTATGAATTTCAAATAAATTTCTGGATAAATTTTAAGGACAATAAATTACTTTTATTAAATTTATAGATGAAATGCACAACGTTTACGTACTTATTCAAAATTACAAAAAAATATCTAAAATTGGAATTGGAATTCTGCAACTAATATACATATCATATTAACAATACATTTACATTACAAAACAAAAAAACTCAAATTTCAAAGGCTGAGGCTTTTAACTTCCAACCTCTCCTCGCTGGTTGTGTCTCTGAATACAACTCCAACTAAACGGTGTCGCTCAATGGTTATGCGAAAAGTTAAAAATCGAATATATAATTTTAATAGTCGACATATTTAATCAATTTCTTATTACAAATATATTCTATGATATATCGCCTAATTTGATGTTTCAAAGTATATACTTAATAATAAAATATATAAGTACCGATAATTTGTTTTGTCTATTTTTTATACCCGCAGTTTCTCAGCAAAAATGTTTCGAACATTTACGGAGTCAATCGTTTGTAAATACATCGGATAGATTTTTTTGCTCAAATTATCTTTAACAAAAACCTTTTTTAGTTCAAGTGAAGAAAAATTGTATTGGTTATACTATGATCTGTGCTTTTTTTGAGTGAATGTATATGTTACCAACTTTTCTACCGTCTGGTAGATATCTTGTTCCAGTCATCAAGTGTAGGTGCATCAATCAAGTGCATATAATTCTAAAAGGAAATTGTATATGTTTGGTACATCAAAGATGTTTTTCGTTATCAATGATTTATCATCATGTTCAAAGTATAAATTAAATAGACAACTCTATGTATTCTATACCTCACCGACTTCCCATCTACAACAGTTGTACACTGCAATAATAGCTCATTCTTAATTTTGTTTTTTGCCACTTCACAAATACTGGCAACTACGACGACGGTATCAGTCGTATCGTTCTAAAAATTCGATCGTTCGTCGTTCAATTCCAAAAAAAAATATAAAAAAATAAGTTGCGCATAATATTATTATTTGCCGATTGAAATCCTCTAGCTATATATATATGTATATATCCGCCGTCGTATATAATATACAATACACAATCGTCTGAAATAAGCTGTTCCGAGTTTTCGTTTATACATCTTTGTGTATTTTCCCTTCTGCTTCCCGTTTTTTTTTTTACAATGAGCTATTCGTCTTCTCATTCTTTTCGAGCGCGTACACACCTCATCTACTTTCATCCGATTTAAAACACTTATTTCAAATGAAAATCTTGATTAAAAAAGATAAACACCGCGGGGTTTAAACAACAAACGGTTCGCAGCTATACACAACAGCACAATAATAATGGTCTATAAAACATCAACATCGCCTTAACGTATTTAATTTTCGTGTCATTATAAAGTTATACTAACTAATGTAAGTATAGCATCGTCTCGTATAAAGTAAACAATTCCGCGCATAGAATATGTCGGAAATAATTAATCACATTTTACAACGGTCGTCGTATTACCCTCGCCGTCATAAGTAATTATTATTACTATAAAAGTATACTAAATATTATACACGCTACGCACCATCGTTCGAATTTGTATGTAATATTATTAAAACGCATAAATTAAATATTTACTTATCAGGGTTATCGAACCGTTAAGTATTTGCACAAAATCATCTCCTAATCAATTCGCATACAATAAAATAGAAATGTATTAGTCACACTGCCAATTCATAATTAGGTCGATATTGAGCAAAATAGATAGAATTAGTTAAAAAATATTTTAAATATTTTTTATTTCACAATTTGTACTAGCAAATATAATAGAATATAGAAATTACAGCCAATCAACTGATCGGTTGTTGTTTACAGGTAATCTGAATTCTGCACCTCCGGGTTACGGAAAACAACGTCGCGCACTAACCTGATATTATAGTATGTTTACCTGTGCTACGGAAACGTTGACTGCCGCATTGGTCAGAAGTAATTCTCGAAAATTCTTAACGGCGGTGAAAATAATTCGTATATAATATAAATTCATGATGGATAATCTATCTTACTTTTTACCTCCATTTTTAGATACATGAGAATTTAATGTGGTACCATAAGTAGTACCACAATATATTATTATCATATCTGATATAGCCACCCGATAGTTCTATCTCCCTAATTCGATATTTAATTGAAGTGCAAGTGCAAGGGGGGAGGAGAGGGTGTGGTCCATAGTTTTAATTTTATAAGGTTATAAACTAATAATAATATATTATAAATGCCTAATAATATTATTCGTCAGTGTAAGGTAGGTGTTTTATAATTATATAAATATATAATATTATAACGGTGTAATACTCGTTATTATATTACACACTCCATTAATACACATAGGTATCTTTACTAATATTATTATTATTAATCAAATTGTGGCTCTTAAATAATTTTAAAGTCGTTTTCCGTGTTAATTATAATGTAAAATATTATGTTTTCCACGGACGTGTTGTAGTCGTATATGACGTAAAAGTAGTGTAATTATCATAATATATTCTACGTATAGCGTAACCCAGGGAAAATATTATAATTTAGAACCCTTGTAATTATTAAATTTTTTTTGTTGTGCATATTCAAATAATAATACGGTTACACCGAACAATATATAATTAGAAAACAAAATTAATCTATTTTAAAATAGCTACATTGAGTGCGTTATCTACAGTCTACACGTATACTCGTACGTTATAATATCATAAAACACGTTGAAACAACAATACGATTACCTATATAATATTATACTGCTAAATTATTTATTGAATGATGACGATGATGTATACGTAGGGAGAGGCATTGAGGAATTGAAACATTCCCCGTTAGCCATATAATATCTATACTTTTTTTCTTGTTCGTTTATAAAATTATAAGTATCTCTAATAAATTTAATTCACTTTTAATTAATTATTGTAATTTGTAATTAACCGACTCAAGTCCAGACTATATGCTATAACATATTATATATATAGGTACTGGATTAAAATAATTCTAAATTTAATCTTACAATTAGAACGCTATATTTATTTATATTTTGTATTCATTAATTTTAAATATTTAGATACGTAAAAAGCAAAAATCCTTTCGAAAACAGGAACCAATAATAAAGAAAATCAATTTGACGTGACCCTTACCCCTATCGCAGTGAGTGAGTGTTGCTCGGAAGTTTATTTTTTAAAAAGGATACTTAAGTTTTCGTCACAAAAAATTAAATAACCATAACGGTTGTTTTCATCTTTGTCACCTAAGTAACCCGTAAAAAAAAAAATTATCAATTTTAGTTTCAAAAAGCTATCCTAGGATAATGGGGACGACTACAACCACTGTTATAGGTAGAAAGTTGGGAAGGTAAAATACAGAAGATAATTAAATATATATTTGTAGGCAACAATAAATCATTGCTAACAAAAAAATAATTTTGAGCGGAGTTCAGTTGATAATAATGCTTATTCAACAATATATTGATAAAATCGAAAAATGATTTCCTTAAAGTATCTTCCCACGTCGATTTCCTTTCAGAAAACGTGCAACACGTAGAAATCCGAGCAATTCTTTTGGTAGTTGCGCACAGATGAAAAAAAAATAAAATAAAATAAACATTTTTGTAAAACCATAAGGTTCTTAGCTGCATTCAGAATTTAAAAAAAGTCTAGGAATTCTAATTCTAAATTAGGAAATCTAAATGTATAGTACCTGAAATCTGAAATAAAGAACTGAATTATACCTTGGTCACAGATAAGGTCCAAATTAATAACAAATTAATTCTTGAACTGAACTTCCGAGGAAGCAAGATTTGCAAATGTGGGTACTCTCAGAATTTCACTCAATATGATACATCCAGAATACAAATATATTATTAAATAATTAATCTTATCAATAGAATTTCTAAGCCCTTATGGTGTCTCAGTGGGTTTATTCGTTATTTCCCAACCAGAGGTTATTGAGTTCGAATTCAATCTTTTTTTTCCAACTATTGTCTACGTATGTTTTGTTTTTATTTTTTTCTCTTATTACTTACCTAACATAACGAATCGAGATTTTTTTTTTGACTAAAACTTCGATATGAGCTTGCATTTTAGTTGTTGAATGATGCGATCCAAGACTACGTCATATCGGATGTACCATAATGATTCTAAGAGTGATTTTGGTTAGACACATTTACATAATACACCCTGTGAGAAAAAATTATAGGAAAACCGAAACCTAAATGGATTGATAGATCAAAAATGAATAATCAAGAAAAGTAGGGATTACAAATTTTAGTAAAAAAAAAACTCAAAACTTAGAGAAATAGATAGAAGGAAGTTATGTTTTACAACAAAAAGCTTTACACAAATATATTTGAATAAAATAACAATAATTAAATATAAAAAGTAGTGTAGTTATTTATGAAATTAATTTTCCCCTGATTTTAATACCTACTACAGTATACCGGATGATCCATTTAAATGTGTACACTCATTATTTGAGAAAGTATTAAATTTTTCCGGAATTTGTTTTCTAGAACATTTAAGAAACAAGCAGATCTACAATTTTATATCTGTTATTTTTTACTACCCTTATTTTTGGGGGTGAAACGACTGTCTACTTTTGATTTTAAAATAGCAACCTGTATTAAAAGTTTCACAAATAAACGGAGTATTAGTTAAAATAAATTTCGGTGTTGAAATTTTTGATTTCCATTGATCCGTTTTTGCGATTTTCCACTTTCAAGTTTAGGTTGCAGGGAAGTATTTGTGCATTATTAACACGTCGCGCTGTACCGCCACACAAATGGTACTCCATTACTCTCCTCCAACCTATATTTAAAAATGGAATATTATGTCAACGGATCGACGGAAATCAAAAATTTCAACATCGAAATTTATTTTAACTAATACTCCGACTATTATGGAATTTTTTATATAGGTTGCCATTTGAAAATCAAAATTAGGTAATGGTTTTACCCCCGAAAAAAGAGTGAAAAAATTAATATAGATATAAAATTGTAGATCTGCTTGTTTCTTAAATGTTCTAGAAAACAAATTCCGGAAAAATTTAATACTTTCTCAAATAATGAGTGTNCTTTTTATATTTAATTATTGTTATTTTATTCAAATATATTTGTGTAAAGCTTTTTGTTGTAAAACATAACTTCCTTCTATCTATTTCTCTAAGTTTTGATTTTTTTTTTACTAAAATTTGTAATCCCTACTTTTCTTGATTATTCATTTTTGATCTATCAATCTATTTAGGTTTCGGTTTTCCTATAATTTTTTGTCACAGGGTGTATTATGTAAATGTGCCTAACCAAAATCACTCTTAGAATCATTATGGTACATCCGATGTACCATAATGTAATACTTTCCAAGATAATAAATGTATACACTTGAATGGATCACCTAGTATACATAGTGAATATATGAATGCATTTTCATAAATTTTATAAAAGGGTTATATAATCCTTAAAAGAGTTTTGACACTTTAAGTATAATGTCTTATAGTACCAGTGTATAATTAAATTATTTAAAATGTCCTAAAAATTGAATGCAAAGTTGTGCGTTAAATTATCAGTTTAACGAATTTCTCGCACGCAAAAATAGATATTTAGTTTTCTGTATCTGTTCTGAAAAGTCGAACAAACCATAAAGATGCATTTCTAAATACCGGATTAGATTATAAAATAAACAACTCGACTAACGCACTAAGATGTCAATACTTCTTTCTAATCTAATCTAATCTAATTTTAATATTTACCGAACTTGAGATTTACATTCACGCGGGCTTTGGAAATTTTTTTCAAACAATAATTAAGGTTATTTGATTTTCTTCTTCGAAAAACCAACGCAAATACAAATCCTTCGGCGCGTACTTGTCAATAGATACATATATTATATCGTTTTTGGGACAAGTGTGTATAACTAATAATGGTTATACAACTGGGAGAATTTGTCCCATTTTGAGATTTATCGTGGTCAAAGATCGTTTTAACTGAAAAATCCCTTGAAAGGCTCTAAGTCTCATGTTCGGTGCGAAAACGACGGTCGAGTGTTTTCAAGAAGGATAAATCTCATCGAAACGAGTTTGTTTACTACTTATTATAAGCAACACTGATCTGCAATTCTACGGATAGAAAACATTGCTTGAAAACGCAGTAGTGTTTTATAATATATATTGTGTATCTATGTATGTCTTTATGAATGTATGTATGTATATATATATATATATATATATGTGTGTGTATTCACGTTGTATAGGAGGTACAAGAGTGAACAATGAGACTAATAAATGGATAAACCACTCCGGTCGAGAGAGTAAGTGTCACAGTTGCAATTAAAACTGAAAATAACAACGGGGTTATGATAAAAAATAAATAAATATAAATATCCGTGGCACTCTAAAATAAATGTGAAGTATCATCGCTCCGGTATAAAAATCTAAATAGTACAAGAAGAATAAATAATATCGCGATTGAGATGGAGAAGATTTAGACAATTTTTAGAATAGCACGTTCCATTTTATATAATATATATGCTATATGTGACAAAAATAGAAATAATAAGGAAAACTTATATTGAAAATTCACAATTTTAATAAAATATGAAAATATTGCAAGTGTTGAAATACTAGTCGCAATGTCTTCTTCGTTTGCATTTGTCATAAAAACATTATATATAAGCCCATACATTACTCCCAATGCATTAAATACAATTTACTTTCATCATATCTAAATAATTTTAAGTCTTTTAGATAATTTTTTTCATAGTTTTTGGAATAATCGTAAATTTACAAATTTAATTTTATCAGATATTCAATTTACATTCAAATTGATTTTGGAGATCAAGTTTTCAACGTTCTTATACAAATATATAATACACTCCGGTTTATCCTATGTTATCTGTTTTCTTACAGTAGACATTTTGAGCTTATTTTAATTTTTAATACACTTGAAAACAATTCAATCCAAATATGTCAGCATTAATATATACTATATAATAGGTATGTAGGTAGTAGTATCTATGATGATATATTGATGCTATATATAATAAGATAAACGTATATTTAATAGCTAAATATATAAAAGAAGGTGGTCTAGTTTTAAAGACAACAAGAAAAAGAGCCATCTTTTAAAAAATCATCTTTAAACTCCATTCGTATGAATTTTTTAATAAATTACTATTTTATTCAACTCGTTCATGAGGAAAATAATTGAACTCCACCTATAACATTATGTATTTTAATTTCTTTTATATTATTATACTTAACTGTCGTTGACGGAAGATAGATTTCATTATATTTTATAGGATTTGTTTTGACTCTATGTATATCCGTGTAAAGTGTACACTGTACACAACCATCCTAAAAAAAATCGAAAATCACCAAATCTATTTTCCAAAAGGGAGTCGTTTTATTCGAAATTGGTTGTATGTTAATGTTATTTTTCTTTGGTGATAATCACGTAAGAATATATAAATCAGTTATGCTTTGTTCGGGAAAAAAAATTATCTTATGTGTGTCACAATAAAAGGTCTAAAAAACCTGCCACTTGCAGTGCTCATAACTGACAAATGATTTTACATTTAAATTTAAATTTCGGTTTTCTGTACTCAGGACTTAGAAAATTACGTGTCGAGCGCCCGGCGAGGTGTCATTTACTTTTCGATGGGTTCCATAGTAAAAGGATCATCCATATCGGCTGAACACTCGTTGGCCATGATCAAGGCGTTTAGTCGATTAGAGGGCTACCACGTGCTGTGGAAATGGGAGGACGAACCACCGCATCCAGAAGTCCGATCTAATAACGTCAAGTTCGTGCCGTGGATGCCTCAGTTCGATGTGCTCAGTAAATATTACACGTTATTCAAATATAATAGACACTTAATTATATCATATACTTCAAATCCAACATAAACAGTTAACAAATACTATATCGCCAGCTACTCAAAAAGAACTTGTAAGGCCAAAACCATGGCTATTAAAATGTACATAACTGCGTAAATATTGCGCAGTCGTGTTGCAGCCATCTTTAACACAATGAATAGCTACAATAATTTTTCAGTAATGTTTTTGATTCAACTATACCAGGAAAAAAAATTATTTACAAAGACAAAAAAAAAACTATTACTGCTGAGAGTCTGCCATTGTTATAGATAGGTAATCGATAAAATGAAATACATAGAGTTGATTAAATTGTATCTGTATGCAACGATAAACCATTGCTGATTAAACACATTTCTGAAAACGGTTGACAACATCACGGTTTATTGATGGCGTAATTATTACGATTTTCGTCAACATTTGAACTTAAAAAAAAGAGCCGATACTTATTTGTTGTATTATTTGTATTATTTGTTGTATTAGTTGGTTATTGTTGTAGATGAAAAGTTGGGAAGATAGAATACATAAGGTTATTTCATTTATATTTGTAAGTGCAATGATGAAGTATTGCTTGACGAAAGACGATCCCGAGCGCAGTTCGGGAATACATAATTTTTGCGATTTTCATTTAAATTTGATTTCAAAACGCTTATTAAAAAAAAAAAAGTTGTCCGACGATTTTGTAAATTTTACCATATCTAAATAACTCCAATATAATTACTAAGTTTCAAGTTTCCACATGTATTTACGAGATACTTGTATAACCGAATTATAGCAAAACTACTTCAAAAAAATTTAATTTCTTAAAAGCTCAAAAGTGGCTGAAAATATTTAGCAATGATACCATAAGAAAGTTAATCAAAAAGGCAATAAAAAAGGTATCTTGTAATTTTTCTATTAAATCATTATTTCTGGTCATCCGTGTTTTTATAAAATAATAAAATCGTTAAACTGTACGTTTTTCTATGTTTTTCCTATCCAAGTGCTTTTATTCAAAAAATTGCGTCGAAAAACAATTAATGAAGTTTAAAGTATAATTTAGACAACTTAAGCTTTCAGAAAAATTGCTACACGTAAAAATTGGAGCAAACTTACTAAAAAAAAACGTGTCCCCAGACTAGAACAAAGAAAGAAAGAAAAAGAAGAAATAAACAGCATTATAAAATCAATAGCCTCTCGCTACACTCATTATCTAAAATTTGTCCGTCATGGTAAAACCAACCAATTTCTCGCTAAATTCAGAATTTCGTTTTTCCAAATTTCCCGTTTGGTTAGATTAGGTTAGTTGTGATGTAAATTTTTATGAAATTTTCTATTTTAAGAATGGGTGAACATATATTTCGCCTCCCCTCCGCCATCGTAAGAAGGTCTAGGTATGCCACTGTTCTCGCTATATTTAATAACTAAAAACAACTTAAAAGTTTTCCATGAATAAAGAAAGATATACTAAACGGTGGGGTCTAAAAAAAATTTGTATAAGTTTGTAAATCCATTTCATAAATCCATGCAGAAGGTCAAACAAACTGTGAAATATGCCGAACAAATTTCAGCTGTATAAGAAAACTTAAGATCCTAAACGTATGTTTTCTTCATTACAACTTAAATGGTTTTTTTAAACTTTAGTTTTCTGAAACTATAATTATTTAAAAAACAATAACTTAATTAAGATTAAAAAAAAAAAATGGTAACTCTAAACTTTTGAACGTAAACTAAGGAGAAATATCTTTGTTTTTAATCTTTTGGTCTGGTTTTAACATTTGACGTACTTAATTTTACTTGAAAATAACGAACAAAACAAAGAAACATACCATTGTAAAACCAATAAATTCTTCCAACACTCGAAATCTAAACACACGTGGAAATAAAGCCTGATCCAGAAGCAGTCTCTTTGCTTTTACCGTCTTCCATAGATAGGATGTTGGGTAAATTCTAGGAAATACAATTTTAAGAGAAATAAAAATACCTGGTCGAATATCTAAATATTTGTTTTTATTTTGACTTCACAAAGCTTAAAATCTATTTTATGTATCACGGTTATCAGTTCCTTTAAAAATTAATGCAAATGAAAAAATTGAAAATAGACTTCCTAGATTTAAGGTATTTGTTAACATTAAAAAATAATATTTAAATAAATAAAAGATTGCGACAATACAGAAAACTCTATTTAAATTTTTAATTTACCTAATAGCCCATAAATTAATACCATTACCTACTCAATAAGACGTATGATGGCTATCCTGTTATTAACGTTATTATCACTAAGGAAGGAAGGAAAATTCGTGATGACAACATCTTCTTCTATATGCATTTTACTGAAACGAATCTATTTCGGAGGATTTTTAATTCCAACAAACCAAATTATAATAGTTTTAAAAACACCTTTGAAATGGGATAAAGAATAATGTCCACAAATATACTAATAGAATATAATATACGATAGCTGTTACTAATGTGTCAACATATACCTATCCGCTTGACCGTTTATAATAAATTATATTGCCAAAAATATTCGTTTCCATCCCGAACCACAAAAGCCGGCAACAAAACTCGGTTGACAGGTAGCTTATGAACAAGTCAAAACAAATATTATAATATAATATAATACGTAGGTTTATATAATCTTGTTAAGTGATTTTACGAGGGGCAGTTTAGCGATCGCTCTCTAAAAGTATTGCAGTTATTCACCTAAATATTTTTACCGTCAACGGTTCAACAATCATCTCATCAATATTCAACCGTCCATTTCACGTATTTATTCACCCTATGCATGTTCCACCCAAGTCGAAACATAATCTAGTAGTTTTAAATTTTTAAGAGTTTGGAGGTTTCAATAGTTTTACAAAACATAACTCAGTGCTGTAATTCAAGGTTGGCAAAATGGGCGATTACCAATGGCGTAGTAAAGTAAGGGGGCACATTTAAATTAAATTAAAATTGGTTTTTGTATTAAATTTATTTTTCTCATAAATGATTTAAAGTTGTATTAACATCAATTAGTATAAATGTGCAATGTACAAAAATTACACATAGCCAATGTTGTATATTAAAGAAAGTTTCACTGGTTTCACTGTATTCACGAAAAAGGCTGGACTAACGGCCGAAATAATAAATACAATTTCGCAACAACAAAGGCTAAAAAGATAAAATTTAAATATTATTGACAATGATGTATTGCATTGTATAACATAAGATACATGTATTTACATAAAATAAAAAAATCATAACGTTTTTTTATTTATTTTTAACTTCTTGTAATTTAAGACTTGCATATTATCAATAATTTATTGTAACTTATTAACTATAATGAATCTATAATTTAAAAAATATAGCAGTATTTTAATTAATACGTAAAAATATAATAGAATAATATTATAAAAATAATACCTATAAAAAGAAACAAAAGTAAGCGACAAAATAAATTTCGCTAAGGACACCACAGAGGGTAGTTACGGCACTGGGTCATAACCTATTTGTTAGTTCAAACCCGATAAGGATCTAAGGAATTTATAATGTCTAAAGTATTAACTTAAATGAAGGATTACGTATTAACATACCGCTAAAGACCGAACTCAAATGCAAAGATTAAATGCAACATTTATTTTCGAAACTTTGAACTTGCAATCTTTAGAATGACAATATGTATGAACTAACATTAGACTTCGATAGACATACAATAAAATTGATAATGTTAAGTTATTTAATATAACATATAATAAACACATAATATCAGAACTTCAAAAAGCTATAATTTCGAAACTAAGTCCGTCCGCTCAATTTTGAATTCACCATCGTTCTTTAATCGAAAATATACATGTTATGTTCAAAATAAAAAATTAAAAAATTATATTTGTTCCACATAAAATTTTACTCAAACGATGTTCGTCAAAATTTGATATTAAAATTCCTTTAAAAAATTCTATATAAAGCTTAATTTTCTTTTTTTTTTTACCACAAGATATAAATCTTAAAGAACCTCCTGTTAAATTTTCAAGCTATTCTGTTAAATCTAACAATTTTATCACTGAGTACCTATTGAAAAAGAAATACGTAAAAACTAGCACAATTAAAATATCTCTTAATTACTCAAAAATGGTTAAAATGTTTTGAAAAACATACCATATCTAGAAAACGAAAATTAGTGTTTTCTGTCCAAAATTTAAGACTACAATATTTTTAACTGAATTACAACAAATAACAACATTTAAAATAATAAAATCATTATTTTCGTAAATTTTCCGTTCTTCTTACGGTTTATCCAGGTTTTTCCCAGATATTATGAAAACCGCTTGGAAAATCAAAAAACGACTTCTTGTTCACCAACTAAATTAAAAATTCAACAAAAAAGATCTCTTGATTTTTTTTATTGTGGTAATATTTATTGTATAAAACATAAGTTATAAAAACTTAAAGTAATGAATTATGATTCGTAACATCATAAATTTGTCAGTTTTCATTTTTCGTTTTTATTTTCGGTTTTTCATAATTAATAAAAAATCTGGTCATAAGGATGGCCTTTATCACCTCCCGAAGAATACGACATGCTGATGATGTAATGGAACCAATTAAATGCAAAACTGTCATGACCGATTACGAGAATTTTCGATAACGTGTCCGATAGACATAGTCCGTACAGTAAGAAGGTCAAAACCAGACTGAAGATTTTGATTAAAAAATAATAATAATTTAACATGATAGGGTATGTATATTTAATAATCTATAATAAGTAAGTAGTATTTAATATTATGTTGTATAAAAAATAGTTAGATACAAATTAAAGATAATATTGATAAAATACAATATTGTACATAATGTATTGATAGGTACTTATATAGGTACTAATATAATAATATGATCATTATTCAAATTCAAGATTGTATAATTTTCTACAGATCCTAGAAAATAAACTCGATATTCCAACAGAAACGTGAGTGGAACATTACCCACGTCACTTGATTAATTCAATTCGTGCACATAATATGCTTTGACTTACGAAATAAATAATTAAGGCTGACCTATTCCTTGCTGTATATCTGTCCTTTGAACTCTATTCGGTCTTCGTATCTATGACGAACTAGTCTGCTAAAAATCATGGGACATACAGGAAGTTTGTGATGTACAAATATATAAATGTATAACTATTAATAACAGTGTAATAATAATGTTTTTAAACGAAAAAGTTACTAAAATAAACAAAAAAGTGTTAAAAGTTCAACCAAATGAAAAGAATCACTTTAAATACATTACAAAATAATAGTTTGATATCCTCACTCTAAATCAAAAAATAACCCCTCTATTTAAATACGGTGGACATGCAATGCTTGACTTGAAGAAAAAGTAGTAGAAGTACTCTAACTACATTTAAAAAAAAGTAGAGTCCCTAACATTTTAATATACCACACATTACCATAGGGGAGCTTTATCCCCCTTTTGCGGTTCCCTAAGAAGCATTAATATAAAACCATTAAACACGTATCATATCATATCAAAACAGAATAATATAATGATTATTTAGGTATAATTTATCTTTTTTCAAACCAACATTAAAATGCATAAAATAATTATAAACTTATTTATATAAATTAATTATTTTTCATTTTTAAATATCTTTATTTAAAAAATTTCACAAATAATAACATTGATACTGAGTTAAACGAAATAATAGCATGTTATTCAATGATAATACTATACTAGTTATACTAGTTATACATTAACAGTATCGGAACATTAAATATATCATAATGTTTTAAATAGATAGTAAAATAATTAAATTTTTGTATCATCACATTCAAATTACTTGTAAGATAATTTTATTATTAAAGTTATCATATATATGCCACCACCATTGGTGTAGGATTTCAGAAAATATAACTTTTGCGTTTATTTTTAATATTCGACGCTGAAATTATTCTTGAAAAAAAAAACTATTGTTTCCAAAAATTACAATTTTAGTGGGTCGTCAGCAACTATATGCCTTGAATGCTTGTCTACTCATAATACCACGAGGACACTGCTGTTGAAAAATGTCTGAAATAATTAAACATATATTTTATGCAGTCGTAAAAAATAGTTAATAGCATTATCGATAACGGTTAATTTTCCGATTTAAAGATCTTGAAAAATTGAAAAAGCCTACTTTCAGTTTCGTAAAATTAAACATATTTTTCGAATAGTTAAAAAATTAATAATACCTATTTAAAATGGTCAGATAATATATTATATTATTTCCACCGCTTTGAAAAACAAGAGTCACTATAATGTTATGATACTGTTATGTGTACACATTATATTGTTTTAAAAAAAAAACAAATATATTTTGCTCTGGAGATATATAAATTTAAAAAAAAATAACATTTTATTATTATTTACTGTAAATTAATCAAAAAGCAAAACTTTTTTTTTAACGGGTAAGATAATTTTAAAAACCATCTGACGCGATTATCTCGGGTTTTATATTTTGAAATAAGCTATATATACTTAAGTAATCTCAATGTTAACGTCAGTCCAAAGAAACAGAATAAGATTTAAATTCTTAACGTGGGTTTAAAACGATGTAAAAGCATTTGTTAAAGTTAATGTTTTAATAAGACAATTTATAAACAAGATAATAACAGTAAGTACAACATTTGTATATTGTAATAATAATAAACTATAGGTGCGTAAATTATACGAACAACATAAGTAAGATTATTACAAAATTAAAATCGAATGATGTATATAAAAATAATAAATTAAAATTATTTTTAGATAATAATTGATCAAATTCCTGAATTTTATTTTAAATATCACATAATTTTGACGTTGCATTGTTATTGTATTAATTCGAGATACAATCAGGGGTTTTGGATTATATTAAAATATTGAACGTTAGCTTAATCCATGGTTGAATCCATGTATGAAACTCATACCATTTCCCTCATATCTATTTTTACCGTGCTTTAACTAACTGGTATTCTCACAAAACATTTTAACAGAAACTAGTATCGTAAACTTTTTAAAAGTTAAAACTTTAAAAAATGAATCAATCAATGGAAGTAATACACTGTACCACTGGTACAACGCTTCTTCCATCGTGCTAATCATGTAACTATGCCCATTAACACTTATCATATTCTTACTGTTCCCTAGAGAACAGACTACCACAAATCTTTAAATAAAAAAAAACATAACAATTTTAAATTGTTTTCTATCCAGACATAAAGTATACCAAGCATTATCACCTGTATTCATTGAAAATACTACTAACCTACAAACTCTATGACTTTCACAGACTTTATGCTAGATGAATAACATCATTAACGAACTATATTTTCAATGGAAAATCTAAAATGTTTAAATTTAAAATGAAAAAAAAAAGACGTCCTACAATAATGGGGTCGGGTATATCCATTGTTAAAAATAATTTAATGTATATCTGTAAGCAACGATAAACCATTGCTAACGAAAAAACGATTCTGAGCGCAGTTCAGTTAATAAGTTTTTCAAAAATATATATGTTATATTATAGTAAAATAATTAAATAGGCATTATATATTTTCTTTAATAATATTTTTTTAATAATGTACCGTTTTTCACGTTTTTCCTGCGTTTTTCCCGATTTTCCAATATTATTTCTCGGTTTTTTACATAACTCTTTAGAAAACCAAAAAATGGCATCTTTAAAGTACCTCCTCAGTCAGATTTCCTTTTAGAAAAAAGTGCTATCATTGTAAATCGCAGTAAAATTGCTGGTAGAGAAGTTTTTTACAAATAAAAATCGTAATATTTTACTAATGTATTTCGTACATTTTCCCGTTTTTTTTTCCGTTTTTCCACTTGATACATCGGAGCAAGATTTTTGGTAGTTCGCACAACAAATCTAGGGGTATTTTGCAACTAAAATAGTCCAAAAGAGCAATGGCTAGGGTCTCTAGGCACACCCAAAATGAATTTGTTTTTTCCTTTTTTAGGTAAAAAAGAAAAAAAGCAATTTTCTTCGAAATGGGTTCGAACTCACGAACCCTAGAAAGAAAGTAGGTATGTATAACCATTCAGCTACGACAAACGTGTTTTAAAGAAAACAATGTTTAGTTATTTAGCATACCTAACATGTAATATCAGAACGTCAAAAAGCTACAATTTCAAAACTTAAACAGTCCACTCAATTCTGACTTCACCATCGTTTTTAAATAGACAATATATATATTATGTTCAAAAAAAAAAATTGAATCATTAGATTTTTTTCATATAATTTTTTACTCGGCGATTTTCGTCAAAATTTAATATTAAAATTCCTTTATAAAAAAAAATACTACATTTAACTCAAATTTTCTTTTTTTGACCACAAATTAAGATTCTTAATGAACTTTCAAAGAAAAAATTATCAAGCATTTCTGTTAAGTCTAACAATTTTACCACAGAGTACCTACCGAATAAAAATTACGTACAAAACTTGCAAAATTAAAATGTCTATAAATATCTAAAAAATATCTTAAATTTGTTTTAAGTCCATACAATTGATACGAATATTTTTAACTTAATTTCAACAAAAATATTTTATTTAAAATTAATTAATTAAATTAATTAAATTAAAATTTCTATAATAGGTTTAAAAATGCAAAAATGTTTCAAAAATTTTACCATATCTAGAAAATGCAAATTTAAGTTTTCTGTCAAAATTTCAAGCCTACGAATATTTTTAACTAAATCACAACAAATAACGAAATTGAGAAATAATAAAAGCATTATTTTCGTAAAGTTCCTATTTTCTTACATTTATCCTGGTTTTTCCCATATAGATATTATGAAAATCGCTTGGATAATCAAAAAATAACCTCCCAAAAGTACCATCTGGACAATATTCACTTTCAGAAATGATGCTGTGTGAATACAATATCTGAGCAAGTTTTCTGATAGAATTTTTTACACAGTATAAAAAAAATAAAAAAACAAATATCTTAGTTAAACCAATACATTCTTCGCTACACTCAGAATCTAAAATATTATGTGTAAAATACGTATAAAACAGTATAACAGTATTATACATATTATACATTAATGCATTATACCTACCTAACTCTGCCTACCCCCGTTGTGCAAACAGCGGCGGTTATAACTGATTTTTAAGGAAGAAGGGGCTAAAATGACAAACAAAAAATAAAGGGCAAGGTTCACATTGGAATTTAAAATTAAATTCATAATTATTACCATGATTAATACTAATTCAGTTATTAATAATAAACAAGTCTAAGGGGAGGGGGCTATCCACCTATCGCACACTCTTATAACCGCCATTGGGTGAAAAGTATTTCCTGATTTTTCATTAATGCAGAATCCTAATATAAAAACATCATATTATCTTATTAGTATATATCTTAACTAAAATAATATAATTAATTACACCGATGTAATAAGTTAAATTGTTATATGACATCACATAGTGTATCTTACATTATTATAAATCATTGTTTTGTTCAGAATTTTAAAACCGTCCTACAAGATGACAACAATATAAAATATTGTTTTTTTTTTTATATAAATATATGTAATATTTATGATGTATTTATATATATATATATACACACAACATGGTTTAGATTATGAATGTGCTCCCTACAATGAAATATGTATTTTGTATTTTCCTTTAACGCTTTTCGAGAGAATAAAATATATGAATCAAATTCTCTGAATGACGGCTGTATGTATAAAGATAGTAAATTAAACCTACCACGGTACTTAATAGATCAAGATTCGTCGTTTTTTCCGCATTTCTTCACATTAAAAATAATAATAATAAAGTCAACGCAGTTTTTAAATTGTTTTTTCATGTTAACCGTGCACAAAAATAAAAACATTTCTAAGTTATACAAAATATTTATTATACCTTGGTGATGTAATTAAAAAATAAATTAAATACTCTCTGTAGTAATAAAAATAGAAACGAAAAAAATTGACAACCAAACAACGATCGAATTTCAATTCAATTCTTTAAATTTATAAGGCAAGAAATTAGAAGACCATATTATTTTTATCGTGTAAGCATTGTTTTTTTTTTTTGTCGATTACTTAATTTTAAACGAAACAAAATAATGTTGAGCGCGAAAAATCAAAAAAAATAATGAGTGGTTAGATCTATATTGGTAATACGTTTTCGCGCTACGAAGTAGTTTTTATTTGACGTCCTTATACCAAAATATACTAAAATATAGACAAATATACTTGAAGAAATCAAATGACCTGTTTCAGCAAGCAGTATTGAGGCCTACTAATTTAAGCTAACTCCCGGTCGTATTTATTTCTAGAGATCCTTCAGTCCCCAACATTTTTAAAATATTGTAATTTAACTACTTCTGCATTTTGTGCGCATGGTATTATACATGGTATTGTTTAGACTTTAGTTGACCGACTGCAGTCAAATATCAAAATATAATTATGCATTATTAATTGTTTGAGCGAGTAACAAAATACTGAAAATTTAAATAATTCTGAAAATCGTTATTGTACACATAGCATCCATAAATAACGTACCTATAATATACCCACCCATGTCCCCATGAAATCCGTTATTATTTTTAGAAATATTATCGATCTATGACACCAACTTCTCTAATCGCACACATTTCCATGACCTTTGAATTTTTTATCTATGGCCTTTAAAAAAAACAGATAAGATAACAAACGTTGGAGGAGAGTGTTATACATATGTTTTATAGTTTAGATTCTAAGTGGAGCGAAGAAGCTTATGGTATCACAAAGATGTTTATTTTTTATTTTATCCATTCGCAACTTTTCTACCAGCCTTGCTCCGATATTTAAATGTAGCACCTTTTCTAAAAAGAAATCGGTGTGGGGAGGTACTATAGAGAGGTCATTTTTCAATTTTCTCATCAAATGTGAAAAACTGAAGAAAAAACATGGGGAAAACGGGAAAACATAGGAAAAACGGGTCGGTATAACATTAAATAAATAATATTTAAAAAAATATACAATACCTATTTATTTATTTGACTATAATATAATATATATATATATTGTTGACAAAGCATCACTATCAACTAAACTCCGCTAAAAATCGTTTTTTAATTAGCAATAGTTTATCGTTGCTTACAGGTATACATTAAATTACCTATAACAATTGCTGCTCACCAACTTAATATTTTAACATTTCACTCGTAATCTTTTAGTGATCCTAAATCCTAGCGTTCTACGGTAGTTTTCTCTAATTGTCCTGTAATCAATACGCTTTCGACACATCTGTCTACCTTCTTATTCATATTTTCTTGAGATAGCCTCGTGATCGTCTCTTCTTTTCTTAGAATATAGCCGAACCATTTCGACCCTTGGTAAAATTTGTTACTGGTCCCATGTCCTGATTTTTGGCTATTACCTTATTTTGCATACTTCGCTAATTCACTAACTCTAATTATTTACCATTTCGTTTTTATTTATTATTATGAGAATCGATAGACAACATTGATTTTCAAACGCTGTTTGACATAATTTTTTATACCTATTATTCTTCGTTACAGGCCACCCAAATGTGAAATTGTTCATATCGCACGGCGGTTTAAACGGAATACTAGAAGCTCTGTATTCAGGCGTACCTGTCGTCGGCATACCAATGTTTGCAGACCAGTTTTCCAATGTAAATTATATCGTCTACAATGAATGCGGATTAAGATTGTCACTAGATCAGATCGACGAAGAAACAGTTTACGACACGATATCCACAGTGCTCGAGAACGACAAGTAAGCGTGACCGCGTTAGAATTTGTTAACCATTATTATCTAGATAATAATATTATAAAAAACTAATCGTCCTGGGGACATAATCGTATCTTGAAAAATAACGGACTATAGGGGAATGATGAACCAACTGAAGAATTTTTTAAAACCGACATTTTTTTTTTCTACGATTTTTGACTTTTGAGTTACCACTATATCCATTTTTTACATTCCTTTAAAAATAAACGATTTAATTTTTTTGGCAAATAGATATCGTAATATTATTTTAATCCCCGGTTGTGGTAAAAATATAATATGATGCAATACGTGATTGAAAGAAAATCATTGCATCTGTATAATTAGGTCAAACACACATTTCATTCCAAACCACTGTTTCGTGTTAACTATTGAAAACAAATTTCAAATCAATGCACTAGAGAGGTTTTTAGACAAGTTTCTAAAGTATAATAACCACACAAGTCATACACTTCAAAAACGTTTCTATATCGTTCATTTTCTACTATCCGAGTATTTTCGCCATGGCAATAGTTGCAATTGTTTGGATTTACTCGATGAAATAGCTGTTTTTTTTTTTTTATTCTTTTTACATAGCTTTTTTATTTTATATTAACTGTAAAAAGCATAGGGTACATATTAAATAATAATATTTAACGTAGGAATTCCTGTAAAAAAAAATTGAATTCACATGTATATTTTTGTTTGGCTTAGTATAAAATGTTCACATCCTTCACTTCTCTCCATCTGTCTCAATCCGTAACTAAATCTTCACTGTTCAAGATTCCCAGCATAGTTAGGACTTTATGGACTCTGTCTATCCATCTTTTTCTTGGACGACCAAGTGGTGTTTTGCTCTACGGTCTCCAGCTGGTGACGTGGCCGGTTGTCTGTTCTCAATATCGTCATACATGCCCTGTCCAGCCTATTATTTTAATTTTCATCATGGAAATTATTTTTGAATCCTCTAACATACGTTTTGCCTCTTTGTTCTTTTTTCGCTCGTGTTTTCCCGTGATTTGGTTTCTTCTAGGGCCAAAAATGTATCGTAACATCTTTCTCTCAAATCTCGTTAGGTTCTATTGTCTGTTTTTTTTTGTAGCCCAGATTTCACATTCATATAATACTATCGGGTGTATCATTACTTTATATAAAGTTAATTTATGTCTGATTGATACTAGTATACTAGTTTAGTACCCTGCCGCTGACTACGAACCCAACTCCCCTTTCGTATCTTACCTACTGTATATCACTATAGAACCACATATGGGTTCAGTAATTATTGTAATATGTATATAGTCGATATACAGACAGATTATTGTATACCTACATTGAAAGTAGTGGACTAGGTACCTACTAGACTACTATATTACGCGATTTTACCACAACTTCGTTGACAGCGATAGGTTCGATTTTGTATGTATTTCAATGACCGAATAAGCTGAGATAGGAAACAAAACCAAATCGAATTATTTGAATATTTGACCTACCTAGCTGAAATGATTCGGTATCAGCGAACGACACACGTATATACCTATGCTGTAAAAGAAAATCCGTAACCTACCTATAAATATTTCGAATTCTGTATGATGTATGCCGTCAATATCTGCAATATCAGTAATTAATAATTAATAATATCGTAATGTTGATTTTATTTAAATTGGCCAAGTCGAGTTTACAATTTTAAAGTGATTTTGTATTTTTTTTTCTTCAATACATCACCATAAATAAGAAAGGTGGTCTTAAAAAACACTTCCTCTAAAAAAAAAAAAAAAAATTTTAGTTAAACAAATAAACTTTAAAAAAAAAATTATTCTATTACATCCATTTTGACGTTGTAACTAATTAATAATTATTATCAATGTCAGACACACTGTGTCCTTAATCGTTTCCACGCATCATTACATACTATTTGCTTAATATTATTACAATCATGCTATAATATAATGCGGTTTCACTTCAAATAGAAATTTCATATTTAACATCAATAGCGAGCAAGTACAAACAAATAAGTAAACAATTTTTTTTATCCTGTTCCAAGCAATTATCTACAAAGATTTTGCTTTTATAGTCTTTTTTATAGAATCTTTACAATGGTTTACCCTTTCTCAGTAGGTACTCCTCTGGTCTAAATTTTAAACTATTTTAAACAACTATAACTCTTAAAGGAACGAACGAATTATCCGATAAAATCAGTGTTATCCATTTTAATTTAAAATGTCTTTTCAAATGTATGTTAAAAATGGAGGGGGGTGAATATTTGAAAATTATAAACAAGTTCAGTGAATGGTTTTATAAATAAAATCAACTTAAACAAAGACATTTTCAGGTTATTATTGAATTATGATGAAAATAATAAAATTACCCTACATTTACGTTATATAATATAGTTACATGTCTTTTGAACCTTGTTTTAAATGCATTTCAAAAATAATGAAAAATAAATACCCACATAGATCTATAGATCACATAGATCATTAAATCTTATTAATTTCATATTTCTAAAAATACTAAATAATAATATCACAAGTGTTACATATTGTATACATTTAATTAAACAAAGAACAATTTTTTTTTTTTTTGTAACCAAAGGGACCTTTAAGTGAGAACGAACAAAACTAACAAACAAACAAACGCAACCTGCGCTACGTTCACACGGGGAACTTAAAAATGAGTTTTTCAGCAAAATATCTTTTTACCAACATCGAGTCATTTCAAAATGATAAATGACAACACGAAATTCGTCACTATAGCTGAAGGGCATTTTCAAATGTATTTAACTGCCCATTTCAAAACAACCACTTTACCATCAGTACTTTTACATTTACGTAAATGATAAAATGATGACAAGATCTCCCCCCAGCATCACTGCAATTGGATAATTAAGTGCACTGGCGTATTTAGGATTTTGCAAAGGAAAAAGTCATTGAATTTAGAAATTGTGCTATATCGAAATAACGTAATGATACCCACTAAAAAAAAAAAAAAACGATTAATTTTTAATTTATATATTTTTGTAAGTATTTTATAATTCATTTTGCCCTAAAATTATCATTGACATCAAATAAAACGTATATATTATTAGTTATATGTTATTATTTACTTCATATGCTATTTAGATATTAATCAGATCGCTTTCATATTATAATATTTTGGATGACTTTTGTTTTAAACAAGACATATTTACTATACGCACCAACGCATAATATGGTTAACTATTCTAACTAAGTTAATGCAATTTCAATTTAAAAATAGTAGTCATAATATTTAGGTTATTTTATACACTATTTTTTTTTTTCTAAAATCATTATATAGCTTACACAGAATACCGTGAAGTTTTATCAATAATACAGATCATAATTTCTTGTAAAAATTATATTTACAGAGACAAATATATTAAATTATTTCTTAATTATTGTATGAATTATAAAGCGTAATTGTGTACTCATTCGTTAAAAATATGTCTTATTGAATAGCACATTTTTTAAAAACCTATTAAAATTATATTTTGTTCACTTTTTTTTAAATATTATATATATTTGAAATTTAGAATTAAATTAGAAAGGAAAAAAAAATGAGTTTTAAACTCAGTGGAGACTGCATTGAGGCCGAAATATTGTAATTACGCATCTGGGGCTAGCTATCGCAATGAAATTAGGAAAATATAACAATATTATTACAAATACAGACACGCGGGCATGGTGCTTTACTTAAAATACAATTCATGAATAATATTTAATGTAAATTTAATTATTTGTTTTTTATTTAGTAATTCAGTTATTATGAAAAACGTCAAAGCTTCTTTTTCCTTACTTGATTATGAAAATTAATTCTGGTTGCGTGGTAACTATTAAATATACTGACTTAATATCAACGTATTAATTATAGAAAACGTAGTACTTCCTGCATTTAAAGCGTTGTGTACAGACAATTTTCTCGAAATGTATAGAAAAATGAAACTATTCAAAATATAAATGTATTATCTATTTTTAAATTATATACCATAGATACATAATAAAGATTTTAATAAAAAAAATTACTTTCTCAATCGATTCACCATTATATTTTTAATTTTTACGAAAATGATCTATTCATTGATAGACAATCAATGGGTTAGGTTACATTAATATCCATCGTAGATAAAATGTTTGACAATATTCGAAATAATAAGCGATCCTTAAAAAAACGTATAAATTATAATGGTATTTTTAGGTGTAGACTATAGATGTATAATTTTGTAATAATATGTTGAACTTAGATCCTAAAAAAAAAAATTATAATCCTAAATTTTACTAAAACAATATATATTAGGTAATCTTACGGGGATTACCCTCACCATGAAATGTTCATCGAAAAAAACTAAACGCTTGAGAAAATTGAGGTACTTCCTGTGGTTCAATTTAAAAAGATTTAAAAAAAGTACAGATGTACGATTTTAATAAACATATTACTTAGGTGTTTCAGAATTATTTTTTTATCAGATCTTCTTCTTCTCGTAATATTGTGTTTCTTAAAACTTAATAATGTTTCCTTATTGTTTTCAGAATTTTTAAGATCGCGAGCATCGTTTTTAGGAAGAGAGTTGAGTTTTTTTTGTATTTATTTTTTATGTATATATAATATTTTTTAAGGAGAGATCATTATAGATCAAAAATTATGAGAAGAAAAAACAAACATACTAATATTTTTTTCAAATTAAATAATCTAAATTAACCTCTCGTTTAGAACTTCAAAAGTACATTTTTAGATAATTTTAATAAATCAATCAATTATGTTTACAATTATTTAGTTTATAGTTCAACTTATATAGAAAAGACCAAAGTATGGTTTATGTAAATTGTAGGTACATATAGCTGAGTTAAAATACAAAGTGAAAATGAATAATCAGATAACAAATAAAATAAGTAATAACTAAAATAACTATAAAATAATAACTTACAGTTATTAAGGTATAAATATGAAGAAAAAATAAAGATAGAATACTGAAAAAAGATATCCTAAGATAGTAAAGTCGGATGTGACCACTGTTATAAGTAATTTAATCTATACCTGTAAACAACGATAAATTATTGCTAACGAAAAAACGATTCTGAGCAGAAATCAATTGATAGTGAGGCTTTGTCAACAATATATATTTCATATTATGGTAAAATAAATAAATAAGCATTATACATTTTCTTTAATAGTATTTGTTTACTGTACCGATTTTCCCATTTTTCCTACGTTTTTCCCGGTTTTCCCATGTGTCTCCCTAGTTTTTCACATTTGCTGGGAAAACTCTTGAGAAAATCGAAAAATAACTTCTTTAAAGTAGAAAAACCCCCACACCGTTTTTCTTTCAAAAATGATGCTACACTTAAAAATCGGAGCAATATCTTTGGTAGAAAAGTTGTTTATAGAAAAATAAATAAACATCTTTGTAAAACCATAAGCTTCTTCGCTCCACTCAAAATCTAAAATTCAGAATTTTTTTTTATGTTACATGTCGGTAAAGAAAACTAATGGCAAAATAGTCAATTTTGATGGTAAACTAGCAGCATTTTCATCTATCTTTTCGTCATAATTTCTTATTAGCTAATAAGTTAATTTCCTTTCATGAAATGTTTTACTCATCATTAATATTAATTATTAAATTTATGGAAAAACAAAAAAAAAACGTTACACAAATACGAGATATAATCGACATCAACATCGGAATTTATACTGAAACTGTCAAATAACCAAATCCCGATTATTAGCATAATAATAACACACACGTCATACAATCCAATCAATTATCTACACTTGTAGTGATAACACCAATAATCATTAAATATACGGACAACAAAGTAGATTTCAAACAATTTTCCAATGTTATTTTAAAATTATATAAATATCATAAAGCAATTTATGATACCAAATTGATATTGAAATATTTTTCTTACATATTTACCCAATACTCTAAAAATAATTTTATTTGAAGTCATATCGAATGTAACTCACTGTACAAGTATAACCATTCTCTTGGTAATGAAATGGAGAATAAGTTTAAAATATTTTCAACCTTATATTTAAAGGTAGTAAAAGGGTTGATTTATCAAAATTTATTAAAATAAAATATTAAAAAATATTAATAAAATATTAAAATAAATTTATCCAAAAATATATTATTATTATTCAAGTATTAAACGAAGGGTAAATTTAGATTATTTAATTTGAAAATATTATTAGTTTATTTGTTTTTTTCTCCTCATAATTTTTGATCTATTCTTAAAAATTATTATTTACACACATAAAAAATATTCAATTTTTTCATAAAAACGACGCTCACGACCGTAAAAAAATCTAAAAAAGGAACATTATTAAGCTCTAAGGAACACAAGGAGAAGAACGTCATTTGATAAAACACCCTAATGTTTATACACCTATAATGTTTACTTTCTATTGGTTGAACCATATTTTTCATATTAACATTTTTTCGTTTAATTATTTACTACTACTAAAAATTTAAAAAATCTGTACAAATTTCAAAGTTTATTTTCATAAATAATTTTAATAAAATTAAAAAGGTGCCTTCGACCTATGCATAAGACTAGTAAACTTGTCTATGGACAAAACATATTTTCATTTTTAAAACCAAACTACTATAAAGTGATTATATTAAAAGTAAAAAATAATTTTCAAATTATACAAAATTGGAGAAAATTTAGAAAACTGAGTGCAATGCACTTAATATTATCGTAATCATTTGCTGACTAATGAGTTACTTCATTTTTAAAACCCCGATGTGCCAGCGATTATCATGATATTTCACCCCTATATAATTTCTCTAGTGAAATTTTACCATGAAAGTCAAATATCACGCGGTCAATTCTCGGGGTTACACCGGTAAGATTGAAACTTATAGTAACTCCTAAAGTTTATGTCCAATCTCGTCCGTGTTATGACAAATAAGATGGTGACAAGAAACCGTCACGCCCATTTATAGTTTGTTAAATATCATTGGATGTAATATTTTGTCTCCAAATATAATCTATTAATCATCTCATTGACTAATTAACCATAGATTAATCATTAGTAGTTCTGTATTATTATTTATTATTCTATGTCCATGTTTAGTTGTATAAAATACCAGGCTGCAGGCTGGTGAAAAATAGATAGATTTCCTAATGATAGATGAATATCAATATTATAGGTAACAGTGGCAACAACAGGCACAAGTATTTGAGATGAAAAACAAAATTAAAAAATGACAAAAGATGGACATACTTCGAACAACGGATGGGCCACTGTTATAAGTGTAAAGTTGTCATGATCCATGCCATATTATATAGTGAAATAACAATATTATTTGCTTTTTATACTCTTACTTTTAAATTTATGCAAATCGGTACTATAAATTTTAATTTCTAAGTACCAACGTCAAAGGCTGTGTTAGAATAATCGATTATATTTATAGGACGAATTTTGCTAGCGTCGCAGACTTTTTAAACGGTCGTCGTATGATTATTAATTTAAACAGGGCACGCAGTGTGGCAGATGTCCGAGACTCACTAATTTTAAATCGATACATATGTTCGCGACGCCGATAATGACTCTTTCTCCCGGGAATACTTTCACTGTACGCCTAACCCAACCCTCCTTATCCAATGATAAATTTTCACATCGAGTACTCTTTAGAAACCAATTTGAGGGAAAAAATAAATATATTTTATTGTTTATATACAGGGTGTGTCAGGACTATTTGACATTTTTACATATAACTTTAATGTAAAATGTCAAATAGTCCTGTTACACCCTCTATAAGTACCAAAATATAACGCTAAAAAAGCGGCGTCACAAGTCAAGCTGAAAACTATCAGGGTTGGACACAAAAATCGTCTAACGGGTCATAAAACAACATTATTGTATAACGAAAACAATGTTTATGAATGACCCCCCACACCCTTGAAAGTCTTTCATATTTTTAAAAGACCTTTTGACAAAATTCTCTGGCCGTGGGGATAAATTATTACGGGTTTGTTTTTGCTGTGTTTTTTTATACATACTTTAAAGACATTATAAGGAAAATATCATATTCAAAATATTTTATAAAACACCGTTAACTTTATAGGATAATATTATTCTTGAAATTTGTTTTTATTTTTAAAATATGTTATTTTACCGTGCAACCGCGCCGATGCCTGCAGTCAGGTATAATGTTTCTAATATTATCGTTTATAATGGGATTATCAAAATAAAAAAAAAATTGTTGATTAAATACACAAGCCTTGTTTTTAAAAAAGCTGTCCTTGAATAATGGGGACATGTACAGCCACTGTTATAGGTAATTTAATGTATATCTATAAGCAACGATAAGCTATGTCTAACGAAAAAACAACTCTGAGCGGATTTCGGTTGATAGTGTTGCTTCGCCAACAATATATGTCATATTATGGTAAAATAATTACATAATATGCATTATATATTTTGTTTAATAATATTTGTTAAATATTGTAACTATTTTCCCGTTTTTCCAATTTATTGGAAATACTCCTAAGAAAATCAAAAAATGACCTCCTTAAAGTACCTTTCCAGTCAGATTTCCTTTCAGAAAAATTGCTGGTAGAAAAATTGTTCACGGGGAAAAAAAAGGCCGTAATATAGAATAAATTTGCATTAAGCAGGAACAGCTATGTGTCATGTGGGCCAGTTAGTTTTCATATTAAAATGAATTATCCATGCAACGTTGACACAGATCTTTTAATTTTCAAGCGAGATATAAACATTATTAAATTTTAATATTTCACATAAGTACTCAAAATGCAAATAAAATTGAAAAAACCCTTAATGTATTAACAAGATTCAAAATTCTACAAAAAACTCTTGTGAATTTTCGGAGTATGATTTTTAGTGGAAAGTTGTTAAAAAAAACTAAAAAACAAAACATAGTGAAATCAATATATTGGCTCAAAAATTAAGAGTTTCCAAAATATTTATTTTATTTAATATCACCTAAATGTGTACGATATTATAGTTTCGTGGTTAGCCACAGTAATGAAGTTAATATGAACTTGAAATCAGGCACATGTACATATATTTAATTTTAATACTTTAACAAATCGGAGGTTCTCCTCCAGAATCCCCTCGAGTAATTCATAGTGTTCAAGGAACATATATTTTACAAAAAGTATTGAATATCGTGAAAAAAATGTATGAATTATTTAAATACAAGAGAAAGAAAAAATGCATTCAATAGGTAGTCAATTTTATTAGAATATAAAATATAGTGCAGAATATAATATGTGATTGAACACTTCTTCACTCTCTTGGGTACTTTATAACTCTATCTTTTTTTTTTTAGATTCGGAGCGGATTCATTTTACCATAGTAAAATGAATAGATAGTATGATGTGTGTATTTTTTTTCTTTCTGTAAACAACTTTTTAAACTTTTATTGCATTTCGGATCTATTTAGTAAGTAAGAAAGTCATTTTTTATTTTCCGTATAATTTTCTAAATTAACTAAAAAAACCTGAAAAAATGTCAAAGCTTACGGAAAGAATGGTTTCATTATATTTTCAATTTTTTTGTTTTTGTTGTGTAGAGACTTTTAATTTTAATAGAAAACTTATGTGAATATAATTATTTGACCAAAGAAAAACGCTTTGAAGTCGTACTTTATGGCAAAAAAGAAATTTAGTGAAATGTAGAATTTTTTTTTATATGAATCGAATTTTAATATCAAATTTTAACGAAAATCGTAAATATTACGGCCTTTTAAAACGTGTTCAAGTATAACCGGACTCCACTCAGAATCGTTTTTCGTTAACAATGATTAATCATTGCGTAAAAATATACCATTAAATTATCCTCTATATCTTACCCTTCCCCTAAGTATGTCCGTTTTTTTTTTTATCACCCTCAGACCATACACTAAATTCCATATTATAGTATTATATTATTGATCGATTTCAATATATAAATATGTGTGTGTGTATTAGTAATACCAATGTTCGAAATATAGACGACGCATTCATTCATTTATTTATTTTATTTTTATTTACTATAAATACCAATATATTACATATATATTTCTCCAAACACATAAATTCTTCTGATCGCATTGACTCTATCAGACATCTCAATCCTACGTGATTTTAAAGTTAAAAAGCTGTTTGTATGGTTAGGTTTTTTCTTTTCGCAAAGATTATCAGACATTTCCATAATACGATTCTAAATAAAATGCGACATGCGATTTGCGACGAGAATCCTATTTCATCAAAAACGATTTCGTACAACCAGCTCGCAGTATTCGGTACCTATTTTAGGGAGATAATATCAAACCATTGACTAAAATAAATTATCTAAACTAAAATATCGGCTTCGTCGTATACTATGTTCTATGAGAGGTGTCAGTTATTCGATTTTAAAAAGATATGACTACTTCACAACATGGGTTGGCTATTATTGTAGGTGGGTAGTTTGGATGGTAAAACACATAAAGTAATTTAGTTAATATACTATACAAATACTATATACACAATAATATACTATAAATCATTTCAAACAAAAAACGAGTCTGAGTGGAGTAGTATTAGTTGTGTTTTTCTCATGTTGCCAAGGTAATTCAAAAATCAACAAAATTCAAAAATACAAAAAAAAAGTCAAAAGCTAAAAATTTTGATGAATTTCAAATAAAATACACACATACCCGCACACCAGGCGAAAATTGCTTATGTTTCATTTACCTACTGTGAAAAAAAAACTGAGCATTTTTGTAAAGCTTTTACTTCTTTGTATATTCAGAATCTAAGTAATATATCACGGTAGTTGTTAGTTTAAATTGTTTTCTAATCCAACAATAAATTGGTATATTTCTTTGATATTGTACAATTAATGTTCATTTAAGTTATAAATTCAAATTTATTTAAAAATTTGCGGTCAATATAATATAAAATAATGTGTGTTTGTTCGGTGTTTATTTCAATACAAATATTAAGACTCGAATTTTAAAGCAGAAAGCATTTTTTTCACTGTTTTTATATTATTTGTTGACATATTTCAATTTCTAAGTATTTTAAATTCGAATTCTATTTTATGAGCCAAGTACATTCCCACTAGATAATATAATTATTGGTTACAGGTACACAACTAACATTAAACGGTTGTCCCAATTGTACTGGGACCGGGACCTTGACCCAATAGACACTGCCGTGTACTGGATCGAGTACTTGGCCAGGCACCGGGAAAATTTGCTAACTAAACCTACCATACCAGACCAATGGTACGAACAATGTTTGATAGACGTTGCCGTCATGATGATCGTAACAGCGGCCACGGCTGTATACTTGACGATACGCATTTTCGGTACATGCTACCAGACGATTGTCGGCAGTTGAAAAACTAACACGCTATGTTAAGTCTATTTCAAGCACAGTTACGCAAATAGAATGGGTAGCTTTAGAGTATATAGTCCTCCAAAACTCAGCCAAGTTCTAACCTCTTAAAAAATAAATTCTTCATCAAATAAATACTATAAGGATATACAAGTATAATCAATATTATGAGAGGGGGAGATTATGTCACCCCTCGACATTTTTGAGCTATTCGTGTTTGAGCAGGAAGTATAAAGCTGTAATATATCAACACCACATAGTCATGCTGTAATATTACAATAGAATTTTTACGGTTCTTAAAATATACCGATTTAAGTGATTGTAAACATATTTTATTTTATTTTTTTCTAACAAATATACATTTTTTTGTTTTATATGTAAAAGTGGATAGGTAGATAGGTCCCATCGTGTTCGACGGATTAAATATAAACAGGATTAGAAAAATCCGTCGAACACCGGTGAGACCACTGTAGGTATCAAAATTCAATGTCGGTACATTTTATAAAATATATTAATCAACCGATTAAATCAATACTTTTTTAATCGGTAGGCTAATATCAAATTATTATAGTGAACCGTTTATTATTGATCATACGATCAAGAGGCTTAGGAAGATCGTGGCAAGGAACGTTCCTAACAATATTGTAATTATAGCCTAAATTGGATAGAGACCATTCTACTTTCCAAGCCTGATATCTGTACAATATTAGGAACAATCGTGGTTTTATTTACTACGGTAACAATGATAAAAAGACATGTTATCTATAAATAAATATGTATATAATAACATATAATGTATCTATGATATGTATGTAATTTTTAATTTTTAATGAAGCAGTTGACGCATATATAAATTTGTTTGATAAGAAAAAATTGTGAAAAACTCACAAACTAATGGCCACATACCTATGGACAGTACATTTAATCCTTTCGTCTATTGTTTAACAACTAGATATTGTGTGAGAGAGATAAAAATATCAGATTAAATATGATTAAGGAAGAAAATAAATTATTATTTCCATAGATAATCGTTGTAACTACAATGTAGTAACATCTCATGTTATCAATTACTGTAGATATAATTTATTGTTTGATTGATTAAAATTTCGGATACAACACTATATACGTATAAACTATTACTAAAATATTACTTAAAAACTTTTGAGGAATAATATTTATTTAAATATAAAATAATTAACAACATACGTATTTGTTACCTCGTTGTTATCCCACAATAATAATAATTTTAAATTTCAATTAATAATAGTATCTACGTATCATGAAGTAAAAAATGTTTTTTATTGTTTTTTCGATGATTATCCATAGTTGATGTCCATCCACTACTTCTACCTCATTTGCTCAATATCTACAAATATTTTCTGTCTCAATTCGCAGTAGTAATTAGGTCTATGAAAAACTGAAAAATGTAATATTATCAACTCAATAAGAAGTTATTTGTGACGTTTCTGCAACGCCCAATCACTTTATCGAACCGATTACAATATTATCGGTTCGGTAACTAGTTATTAGTCGTTTATGCAGCCCAACAAGATATACATGAACAACTCAGAAAGTACATATACCTATTATACATATATAATAATTTACAATTATATTAAACACTTTTCGACTAAATTTTTATAAAACATTTTCTCCTGTCCTGTCCGCTGGAAAGTATTTTAATTTTTTACGATTAATAATATTATGCTCGATAACATGCCATGCATAAAACGTATATATAGGTGTACTATACCCATATCATAAAAATAGTTTGTTTTTTTTTTAAGGTTAACTGTTAAATTATATTGCATGTACCTTTAAACTGTAATAAGGGAAAATGCTGTCAAACTTTGACGTACTAATATTTTTAAATATTTAACGTGTTCGGTAAATTTATTAATTTATTCCATGCATTTGATCAATTTATCAAAACATTATTGCGTATCGAGGGAAAAAACCGCCCACGAAACAAAACCAAAACTGACAAACATTTTGCGTAACGAACGTAGCTATTATAGTTATGGCTAAAAAAAAGGGAAAAATATTAATTCCCCACGTTTTCAATTACGCTAATTCGCTCTACAAGATTTTAATGAAACAAAAAATATCAATAACCTCATAATATGTATTAAACTCGACGTGTCAAAGGTAAATCCTGATGATTTACTCCAGGGGCTGACAAATATATAAAATCAATTTGCATCCTAATTTTCATTGTAATACACATACATAATTATGATATTAATACATAAAGATATTAAGATATATTTTTTAAAAGATACGGACCAAATATTATTATAATATAGTATTTCTTAAGTTGTTGTTTTAGTATTTGACTTTTTATTTTAGTTTTTTTTTATAATCTATTTATGCTTTATGAATTTCTTGTAATTATTGTCTTTTTTACCTGATATATAGTGGAAATATTCAATGAAATATACTAATATAATTATCATTATTTAAATGTGGATAAACAAATAAATATATTTTAGAAAATGGCTTATTATTTTGTATTATTTGTAATAACAAATTTACGAGTATAGTTTAAAGGAATATAAGTGTCAAGTATTGTTTAAGTACCAATATTTATTTGAAAATTATTAAGTGATTTAATACTTAAGATAAGTTATATTTAGACACCCACATATGAAAATACTGAGGCAATAGCATATTTGAGGGAGGATAGGGTCAATCACCCACTTCCGAAATATATTTGTCATTTATGTTGTATCAATAATTCACTTTTTTTTTTTAAGAATTTTTCGTTTTTGTTTTTTTGAAGATATTCGTGTTGATAATAGATAACATTATGATCACGGCCCACGTGTGATAATATCACCTGCGTTTTTCACTCCGTGTTTCTGCGGTCATGATGGTTGCCGGTTGGTAATCATCACCTGTCATTATTACAACGCGTCGACACGGAGGTAAGTACACAACATATAAACTCTACAGAGTAATATTACTGATTATTCTATGGTAGCTAAAAGTTCATTAAAATCCTTATGCAGAAGCAAATTTATAATCGCAGTTCAATATTTGTTAAATATTTTATATGTAATATCTCCAGTTAGTCGTATTCTTCAAGGTATGAATAATGAATAATGACGTGTTATGTGCTAAAACTAAATTAACAATATTATTACAAATTTAGAAAATAAACACACTAATTGCCAATCAGTATTTGAAGACATTTAAAGAATATGAAGACTTAATGAGTACCTAAAATGGATATTGATGTTAAAGTGCCAATATGATGAAAAACCAATCACTCGTCCTAACCATCAAGTAAAAACAGTAGAAGGATATTATAGTTTCTGAATATATACCATTACTGGATAACATTATTGAAGATTTAAAACCACGCTTCTTGAGCAAAAAAAGTTAGTTATTATTGAATTTATGTTAGTTAATTCCACGAATACATTATTGATATTACTAGTTAAGATTTGAAAAAAATAATTGAAGCTGCAACAAAATTGTATAATTTTAATAAAATAGAACTTAATAAAAAAATTAGAACTACAGGCAGGATTAAAATTTTGAAAAACAAAATGACTGGGTTTAAAAATGAAAGTAACATTAATATTAAGTTTTTTTTTAGCTTATATTTAGTTATATGAATACAATTTTATAGCCAAACAGAAATTATTAACATTTTAACACAAAGCTCATTACAGATTGTACTTAGAGGTGAAAAAAATAGTTAATTGTAATTTAATAATTCTTTTTTTTTTTTTTATATATATATAAACGTTAAAGTTCAAATTTCAACGAAAATCGTAAAAATAACGGCATTTCAATTTATGTTTAACCGAATTTCCCTCAAAATCGTATTTTATTAACAATAATTCATTGTTGCATACAAATATAAATTAAAGAACACTATGTACCTTATCTTCCCAACTTCCTAACATACAATAACGACACACCAATCAACAGTACCAGCTCTTTTTTTTTGTTCGGAAACTATATTATATACGCCGTCACCAGTTACATAATTAGTCACATAATTTCTTTTCATATTATTCACCCCTCAGATCACCGTGTTATTATAAAGTTAAAGAAATAAAAATATAAAAATAATTTTTAGTTTTCGACTCAATACCGCTTTCATCAAAAAATTTCGACAGCGTTTAAGTCTACACAATGTATATGATTATAAAAGATCTAGCTGCTACCCCAGCACCTTATAATCATACATTCATTTAAAATTTAAATTTAAAAAATGAGGTAAACATTACTCGTGGAGATAAAAATCTACCTCTCAGCGGCCGCTTAAACTCTCAAGAATTATTTTTAATTCACTTCGACAAAGATCTCTTAACCCAAGCTCAAACAATTGCTTTATAAATTGTTATTCAATTTATCCTGAGTGAAGTTCGATTATACATGTTTTAAAAAGCCGTAATATGTACGATTTTCGTCAAAGTTTCATACTAAAATTCTTTAAAAAAAAAAAATCTACACTAAACTCAGCTTTTTCGTGTTCACCACTAAGTAAAAAATTACGTAAAAAAACTCGGAAAATTAAAATATCTAAAAATAATTTTAAAATTACTCAAATATTTTGAAAATTTAACCACGTCTTGAAAAGGTAATTTTAAGTTTTCTGTACGAATTTTAAATTTCAACGAACATTTTAAACTGAATAACAAAAAAAAATAAAATTGAAAATAATAAAATGTATTTTCATAAATCTTCCAGTTTTTCGTACTTGTTTTCCAGTTTTCCCAATAACTATGAAAACCACTTGGAAAATCGAAAATTTACTTTCTTTAAGTAACAACTAGATAAAATTTCCTTTCAGAAAAGATACTACACCTGATACATCGGAGCAAGATTTGTGTACACAATATAAAAAAATAAAATAATAATAAAAATAATAAACATCATTGAAAAAGCAATATATTCCTCGTTTCTATCTAAAGAATCTAAAATTTTAAATAATGAAATCTTTGTAACGTAATTTTAAAAAACCATATTTTTTTATTTTATAGTTTTGAAAACTATGTCAATGACTGTATACTAAAAGTAAAAAATCGATCTCATGTTATTTTCTGTGAGAATAATATTTTTGATAGAAAACATAGTTCGCAAAAATTAAAAACAATGAAATCGGTAACGCCACGGCACGCCATAAATATTTACCATTTTCTATAATTTTGTTTACGGTTTTACAAATTATTTTGAAATCCCCTTGAAAAATAAACATTTCTGTTAGTAATTTCATACATTGTATAAAAAAAGAAATTATAATAAACATTATTATAAAACCAATACATTCCTCGCTTCGTTCAGAATCTAAATGGTAGAATAAACGGGAAAGTTTACAATTTTTCGTTGTAATGCAATTAAAATTATTCGTAGAAACTTAAAACTTTGACACAAAACTTATATTTGTCTTTTCTAATCGTGCTAAAATGTACTGTGAAACATTTGAGTTATTTATAGACATTTTAATTTTGTATGTAATTTTTATTTGGTACTTTGTGGAGAAAATTTATGTTCAAAGAGAAATGCTTAAAAATTCAACATTTTTAATAGGCTCGTTATAAGTTGTACTTTGTGGCAAAAAAAAAAGTAGGTACACTGCAATGAAATAATTTTCTTTTTAGTCGTTTTAGATTCAAATTTTGATGAAACTCGTTAATATCATGGCCTTAATAACCATGAACACAAGCATTCGCTTAAAATCATTTTTTTTTTTTTTAGTATTGGTTACTGGTGTAAATTAAATAACTTTATTTGTATCCTACCTTCCCAAATTCCCACCTACAGCAGTGGCACACCCCTGTCCTCTGTATCAGCTCTCTTATTTTTAAATTTATTTTTACATTAATTATTCTACTCCATATTACGGTATAGTACATAAAACATACTCAGTTAATTGTTCTAAAAATGTTTACTGCAAAAAAAATTGTATTTTAATAAGCATTTATTTTAAATTAGATAAAATTTCCTATTATCAATTTATAATAATAATTAAATATTATTCATCGTAGTGAATGGTAATCACTAATACGAGATGGTCGTATAAGTATTGATAACAACCCTTGCTCTGGCCGACCCTCTACGGTTACTCAAGACAACACTAACGCGGCTATTCTCGCAACTCTACTCGATAATTATCACTGATCGAGTTCCAATTGGCAGTAGTGTAACCGAGGATTACTACAAAACATTCCTTGCCAAAAAATTGCGACCAGAAATCCGTAAAAAGCGACCAGGAATGTTACAAAATGATGTGTCCATATTGCACGACAATGCGCGGCCGCATATCGGAGCACCAGTCGTCGCTCTTTTGGAGAAATATGGATGGGAACGCCTCAAACACCCACCGTATTCGCCGGATTTAAGTCCCCCGGACTTTGATTTATTTCCAAAACTGAAGGAACCACTTAGAGGNTTTTCCCAACTTAGATATACTAAATGAAGAAGTGAGCCGAAGGATCCGTGAACTCAACAAAGATGGCGTCCTATGCGGCATTCAAGCGCTGCCGAAACGATGGCAATCGTGTATAGACAAGCAGGGAGATTATATCGAAGGTCTATAATATTATATTTAGTTTAAAATAAAAACTTATTTATTCAGAGCAAATTGTGCATTACTTTTGGGACAACCCTCGTATTAAAATATTTAAAATAAACAATTTTATTGTTTTTAAAGAGATAAGTAGACACCTAAAGTATAATTTATATTTTATTTTTAAGATTATTATTTAGTAGCTAGGTTAGGCAGGTATTAAAAATGTATTTTCTAATTAATCTTACTTACGAAATGTTATTTTATGTTTATTATTAAGAGAATGTTTAAAGTTAAAAAGCATTTAGCGAAAACACAACTTACAAACTAATTTTGTTTAAACAAATATGCACTATCAGCCAACATCACCGTGATTGATTATATCACGTATCGAAATATTCGAGATTTCTTACACCAATGTCGACACCGCACCGTTTAGTGATTTCGCATTGTCTAAATCGTGTTGTATTTATCATTTTAGGTACGCATGTATAATACGAGTATAATATTAAATTAGACTAACCTTCGACTATTGAGCCACAACTCGAATTATATTATATTATTTGGTACATTGTTCTAATTTAGTGACGATGGTTCCGTGGTAATAATCGCACTAACGTCGTTCGATATAGTGACAAGCCTTTTTGCCATCCTACGAGTTCTAATATAATTACGTACCCTGCTCGGTGATTTTTTACAAAATTGTTAACATTTACAATTTTATTTTCATAAAATTTTGACGATAATTACAAGTGATATATAATATAATTATATGGTAGTAACACTGTTTGATAATATTTATAACAGTGAAAAAAATAGGTACATGAAGAAAAACACAAACATTAAGTTATTGAGGTATTATTAAAGGTACGGAAGGTTTGATGAATTTAATAATTGAGACCAAATAGGAAATGAAATAAGATAGAACAAGGAAAGGTGCTTTTGGCTTGACTTTTGGAGAGAAATAGAGTAGTTTAGCAGTTCCCAACTTTTTTATAACCGTGTACTATTTAACTACACATTTTGAACTTTTTCACGAACCACTTGACATCTAATAACTTTTTTTGGAAAAAATCTAGTTTTCGGCCCAAGTTCGTTATTCAAAATTTTTTTTTCCCAAATGTGTTTTTAAATGCTAAATCCATTAGCATAATCAAAAGTTAACTACCTATTATACTTATTTTTACAGTTTTTGTACATAATTAAACTTTGAAAAATAGCATTTTTGAAACTAATCCAAAATGTGGTCAAAAATAGACATTTTTGTTTATTATTATTATTTATAGTCAGTGTCGGCCTGGTCAAAGCAGCGATCGCTGCCCGGGCCCCTTGGTTTTTTTTTCTACAATAGATACACGGAGTACATATGTACATTATAATTTATAAATAATCGACACACCAACAAACAATCGGATTTTTCCCAAATAAATGAGCAACAGTCGGTAAGATAATATAAAATTTTGAGATTTGGAGAAATATAGATACCTATATAATACAAACTCCTCCCACCAAACACCAAAGAACCGTCCGGTGACATGCAAGTACAATATAATTCGATAATAATCAAAAAAGTTTGGAAATAAACTATCTGTTCTCATAATATAACTGATTATATTATAATAAAGATGTATACATATAATATAGATTATAACGTAGATGCACTATTCGTTTTTTCCATTTACGATAATTTTTTAACATTAACACTTATTTAATATAATTTTTCTAAAAGAATATTCAATTGGGGAGGTACTTTAGGTACATTAAACAAATATTATTAAAAAAAATATATAATGCGATAATTTAATAATAAAATCGGGAAAATGTAAGAAAATATATGATGCATATGAAATTATTTTAGCATAATATAATATATATGTATATTGTTGACAAAGCACAATCAACTAAACTCCGCTCAGAATCGTTTTTTCGTTAACAATGATTTACACTGCTTATACATTACCTATAGCAGTGGCTGCATGCATCCCAATTATCCTATTACAGCTTTTTATAATCGATAATTATTTCACATTCACGACTTACTGCGGGCTTTAGCGGTTAGACTTTCATATCTTAATGGTACTTTATTTGAAAAATGTTAGTAAATTCACAATACTTTTTATATTAAATTGATTTACATTGTTATTTTTTACACTTGTTTGGTTATGCAAATGCTCCAATTTTCACGCAGAACCTCCAAAAATGTACATTTTCTATAATACATATCGAAAGCACTTTACACCCTTGGTCCTTTTTTTATTGGTTTTTGATTTTCGTTGATTTCGTAGTTCTCACAAAAACATTTAAATAAGCAATGATTTTAATTGCAAATACCTTATATAAAATAAGTTATTATAAATATTATTAATAGCATATAAACACTTAAACTAAATTATTACACTATATATCTTACCTCCTTCCCAACTACAACTGTAGCCTACCCATGAGTTGTATCAACCTTTTTAATAATATAACATGATTTTATTATATATATGGTACCAGGCACTATCCAAAATTTAAATATTTATATTCAGATAGCTGCGTTGAAAAATTATAACTACAAATTTTTAAAATTCCTCCTAAACAATGAAATGATTTTTGTAAGTATATACTTTTTTTTAGAAAGAATTATAATAATCATATAATCTAAAAGTTAATCTAAATGTAAATTTTTATTTAAGTATAGGTAATAATATGGTATACCAGTACATTATGTTAAATTTATAAATTAATGATTTATTTAGAAAAAATCACGCTGGTAACAATATTTTATGATGATATAAAATATAAAATACGTATTAAAACGATAATAATTATTAACTTTGTATCCACCTGTATATTTTTAACATTAATTGCAATAGTGGAAACAAACCGTCGATACCTACTTAATTTTTATAAAAATAATTTGAAAAAATTGTACTTAAAGGCATTTAAGTATATTTATATTACTATTGTAATATACATTAATAGTTAACCCTTCACACATTTCATATCTTCTATTGTAAATAACCATTACCATAAATAGGGAAATTGTTAGTGCTGATCAAACGCCATACAAATGTATACATACTATTACAATGTTATATACTTAACTGCACTTAATTATTGATGAACATTAGAGAACTGCACGGGCCGACAATTTATGGCCCGGCCAGGTAGTAAAATAATTCGGCCCAGCCTGATGGTAGAGACTTTTCTCCAGACCACCCAGAACACCATTTTTCAAAATTGTCATCTCAACCTTAATATAATACAACTTTAAAACAGGATACCCTGCAGGTTTTAACCTACTAGTTAGTACCATTAGGTATTTGAAATTAAATTAAAGTTCAGAGTTAAATGTAATCAGTAGAATGTTGTTGTTTACAATAAAATAAAAAAATTATCACAAAATATTATTTTGACAATGATTTTATTAGAAACACATTGTAATGGTTAACGTAACCTAATCTAACAATGGTTAAGTACAAATAAGAACTTTAAAAATAGCTGTATATACACAACTTCCATTGACAAAATAAATTATAAATTAATGTTAAAAATAATAAAGCGTGTTAATTATTCAGAAAAATTATACACTTGGGTCAATAAAGTTTAATGAAAACTTTTTAGGGTTATTAATAATATAAAAAAATGTTTTGTTTTTTTTTAATAATGTTAACATTAAAATAAGTTCAGATTAACTGTGCAATCATCTCCTGTTGGAAACTTAAAAAGTTGTAACACGTAACAGTATATAATTTAAGCACCGATCAACATATATTGGGCTAGTAATATTTTAGATTCTAAGTGGAACGAGGAATTTATTGATTTTATAATAATGAAAATGTTTTTTTTTTCTGTGAACAACTTTTCTATCAGCAATATTGCTCCGATTTTCAAGTATCACGCCTTTTCTAAAAGAAAATCTGACTTGGATGGTACTTTAAAAAAGTCATTTTTTGATTTCCACAAAAGGTTTTCATAATAAATGAGAAATCCAAAAAAAAAACGTAGGATTAACAGGAAAATATACGAAATGTATTATTTTCAAATCTCAAATTTTACGGCATTTCAAACCATGTATAATTAAACTTTGTTTACAATTTTTTTTCGTTGGCAATAATTATACATTGCATACAGATATACACTAAATTTTTCATCTGCCTTCCCAATTTCTCACCTACAACAGTAGCCCATCAATCGTGTGAAGTATGTTCACTTAATTTTAAACATTTAAATTTAACATTTTATATTCTGATCACAGCCACGAATGTATTTGTTTTAATATTGTTTTTTTTTTTTTTTTTAATTCTGAGCGTAACGTGGGATGTCTATTGGTTTTACTATGAAATGTGTGTTGTATTTATCATTATTATTTTTTGTGTCTGTGAACAACTTTTCCACCAAAAATCTTGCTCCAATCAAAAAAAGACGTGAGAACTTTTTTGTTGGACTTAATTGGTGAGTAATTAAGTCATTTTTCGATGTTCCACGTAGTCTTCATTAATAATTGGAAAACCCCAGAAAAAACGTAGAATAAAAACGAGAAAATTTACGGAACAAATGGTTTCATTATTTTCAATTTTATTTTATTTTTTTTTTGTAATTTTATTCAGTTAAAAATATATGTACACTTAAAACTTGGAAATAAAACTTATACTGTCCATTTCTGGACTCATTTCTAGCATATTCATTAGTTTTTAGATTTTGAGTGGAACGAGCATTATATAGGTTTTACAAAGATGTTTATTTATTTATTTAAATATTTTTTCCATTGTTCAAGTTAAGCACCTTTTTTGAAAAGAGTTTTCATAACAAATGGGTGAACCGTGAGAACAGGAAGTTTTACGAAATGTATTATTTATTTATTTATTTATTTATTGGTAATTTAAACGAGCTGAAAGCACAATACATGTTAAATACATACGTTTAAAAATAATAAGGTGAATTAAGAAATTATTGAAATTGAAAAACAAGTAAAATTATTTTACGATTATTTTCAAATCGTAAATATTACGACCTTTCAAAACATGTATATAACCAAATTCCGCTCAGAATCGTTTTTCGTTAGCAATTATTAATATTTTCGTACAGATATACATTAAATGTATCCTCTACCTTCCCAAATTCTCACCTACAACAGTGGCCCACCCATCGTGACCCATAGTTTTTCTTTCATAAAGCTTACTCCGATATATACGATGAAGACCCTTTTATGAAAGGACATTTTTTCGGGTAGTACTTTAGGAAGGTCATTTTTCAATGTTCTCTGGAGTTTTCTCATTAAATGTGCAAAACCGAAAAAAACGGTTAAATATACTAAATATATTATCAAAATATTATGATTTTTTTTTTCTGTGGACGACTTTTATACCAGCAATTTTTCTCACATTTTCAATGATAGCACATTTTCTAAAAGGAAATTGGACTCTCCCCAGTCAAACATTATTTCATTTAACCGAACTTAACTCAGAATTGTTATTTCGTCATCAACAATAATTTACCGTTATGTACCTATAGATATAAATTAAACAACTCTATATTATATCCTACATTCCCAACTTCTCATTTATAGCAGTAACACGCCCGTCAAAAATATTAACTCTTTTTCCAACATTGCCCATTGGTAAAATGAAAATTAAATAAAATAAATATTACTATAATAACTTTTATCGGTAGGTAGTTGAATTATATCAAAACTTTATTTCAACCATATTATCGAATAACTGAACATTTCTACAAACGTTTTAAACTACTTAGGTACGAAATAGAACTTTATTGTATTTTAAGAATCAATATAATATTCTCATACATTTTTAATATTGCATATTATATCAGAATGTGTACTTTCAATGAAAAATTATTTTATTTTATATTTTCATAACGTTTAGTTATATATTATTGTGTTCACTGCAGGAGTAATATAATGAAAGCAGAGTAAAAGTATAGAGTAGGTAATACAAAATGTCATTCGTTTGATGATTCGAGTATATAAATTGTATAAAGTAACTACTACGTAATATTATTATTATATACCTATTATATATATATATATATATATAAAACGAAAAAATAATCAACGATCTTTTTTTTCTTCTTCTTTGACGTAATTATATTATATTCTAAACAAGTAAAAGAATAAAAAAAAAAGCGTTAAGAAAAACCAATTTCAATTAAACAATGGGATACACTATTATGTTGGACTTATATAATAGTGTTTAATCTGAACACTTATTAAAACAATTGTTTAATAACGTAACGAAACTTGATTATTATTTAATAACGTTTAAATTAAAGTTGTTAAGTACAAGTATAAAAGCGTGTACCTACAATAATAGCATGAGTACTCGTACCTATATTAATAATATAGCAACGATGTGGGTTTTTTTTTTTAATTACCTATATTATTATAATTTATTTTATTTTACGAAAAACACCTATATTTATTATTATTTCAATTCGACACAAACGTGTTTTTGGGGCAGAAAGGGGCAGAAATTAAACTTGTATTATTTCCTACTATAGTTAATTATTAAATATAGTGGCACATACGGTGGAGGCGGAGAAATTAAAGAGGAGTCACAATCCCCTCAGCCCCACGAAATTTCTTCCTTCTTGAAAACTATTTTAACAGAGTTTTATGGTTTAATGTTTTTTATTAATCTTATATACATAATCCTCTCCAAGGCTCCAATGAAAGCCTCCACCCTATACACCCTCCCCCTATACAAATCTTGTTTGCGCTATACTGGTAAAATAAATTGGCTTTTAAAGCATATAACTAGGTAGACACGATTTTTGGGAGGATTTTACGCTACATTTTTTGTATACAGTAGAAAATTGTTACAGGAAAAAAAAAGGTGGGATTTTATTCTATATTACATATCCTATGAATCGCATTGTATACATAATAAAACTCGAGAAAGTCGGGAATTTTTATAATTATTTTTTCAATGGACACAATGTTCCAGATTTGTATTTATCTTATCCGTGGAAAACTATAATAAAAGACACAGCCACTTTCGAAAAAGAGTGAACAAAATTCATCGATTACCATAAGCATATACCACCGTCATTTAAATGTTGAAGAATGTATTGAACTGATGAAAACCCATTTTCATGTGTGATAATACAGTAAAACTTCCATATAACGGTCACCGAAGAGACCGGAAATAATGACCGTCCTTTAAAGATTTCCTATAGAAGCATAACACTTGACGGGACCAAAAAAAATTACCGTTCTATAGAGGTGACCGTCAACGGAAGTTTTACTGTATATATTTGATTTAAATTAAAAATAATATTATACCATATACTATTGTACCATCTTTCACTGAAATTGTTGAGCATACAATAACAATAAGAATACCACGACATTCAAAACGTTTTACACTTTTTAGTACTTCATATAAAATGGTAAAAATACAGATTTGAACAAGACAGGTACATAATGTAAGACTAATTTTTTTTTCTTATTATTATTATTCGACTTTCGATACGAAGATTTTTTGTCAAGTCGCGCGTAAAGACGTCTTAGGTATTAATTAAGACCTTTTGATTATTTTATAATGAACCGTCGATTGTTTTCAAAAATTGTCAAAGTTCAAAAACACTCAAACTTGATTTCCTTTCTATAAATCATTAAAAATCGTGTAACAACAGTAAATAGTGCATAGGTAACATAGATACCCACTTTAAATAATTATTGTAAACTTATATCGTTATATATGTTTAAAATCACAATTTTGAATTTATATAAAGCAACCCAATTTTATTCTTATTTTAAGTTATATCGTTAGTCTTAGGGTTTGAGTCATTTTTTTTTTATTACGTAATTTATTAAATGATTTGACAATACCTAAAGTAACCGACATCGAACTAACTTGAAATATTCGTAGGTATAAAAACATTAAAAAATCAAATGATTATTATAAAGTATAATCATTTCTTCAGGTAAAAAAAATGGTCACACCGATAAATACTAATCGAGTAATTATCTATCAGAGAATACTGGGTGTATCACTCTTGACGAATTCAACACGACTTCCGTGATAGTAGCAATTGAAATTACAAATATCTTAATTCACTATAACTATGATGTACTTTTTGTTTGGAAAAAATATAATTATATGACAAGCCATTTAGAACGCCATATTTCGGTTAGGCGATTTAGCCATTTAACGTTTATGCCGTTATATATCATTTAACAATTTTCAAAATGTAATTTGCTTGTATTGATAACTTATAGACAATTGATTATTGAACGGCGGCATAATATAGTTAACGCAGGTGTCGTGGAATTCACCGAGACGCATAGCTATCGTGTATGCCTCTCGGAGAGATAACGCGACGGCGGCGGAGTATACGGGTATTACAATAGGTACTTACGAAAAACGGTAGTGGCGGCGACCACAGCGGACACGAAAACGTCTGCGGCAGGAGCAGCAGCCAGTCGTCGTCCCGTCGTCGGTTATCGGACGGTCGGCAATAGCGGCAGAGCTCGCGATCATCTGCAGAGGTACGCCGGTTGAGGCGAGAGCGGCGACAACGGCGGTCCGACCGCGCCGTGGACAACGGAACCGCATCGGCGGCGGCAGCGGCACATGATTTTTCCCGCGCGGTTAGTGATGCGGACGTTTACTCGGCGGGCGGGCGGTATTGGTACGGAGGGAAGGGCGGTGGTGGTGTGGCGGTGAGAACAGTTACGCGGGGAAAACTTTGGCGACGACGGCGATAAATATGATATTACTGCCGTCGTTTACTAAACAGTTACGGGACGGCGACTGCACGCGGTGGCGCTCACTGACTGACTGACCGGGCGGCGTCTATAGCGATATCGCGCTCGAGGGTTGCGACGGCGACGAAGATTGTGTCGACGAATACGACGACGACGACGGCGTCGGTGACGGTGTAAACCCGCGCGTAAACCCTCTTCCACGGGTAGTACCGGCCGGTTTTTTTTTTTTCGGCCGTCGTAAGCGGTGCGCTGCAGAGTTGAACAGTGGCGCACACGCACACGTTTGCCACCCGCGCGCGCATCGATCCCTCTCACGCGCTCTGCCGTGACTGCCACGCGAAATCGTGTTCCACCGCTGCTGCCCGCGCGACGAGAACTTTTTCCGTTTTCCCGGCGTCTTTCGGAGAGACCGGGCCAACACGTTTTCGTCGGAACTGGCCTAATTTGAATGGTACCGTCAAGCTGAAACCGAATCAGACACTCAAAGGAGTTGTTTTTTGTTTTGTTCGCAGATTCTGCTCATACGAATATATTTGAAAAAGCCAGACGGGGACGTGGTGTAGATATTTCACGGTATCGCCGCCACTGTTGTAGGTGAAATGATAGCAAGATTCGAGATATAGGAGAATAATGTAGTTCGAATAATTAATGCGTTAGTAAATTAAACAAAAAACGATTCTGAGTGGACAAAAGAAAAACAAAAATATTCAAAAGTCAAGTGTTTGTCCCCAGATGGAAATTTAAATTTAAAAATCCGACTTCAAAAATTAATCGGATTCCCATTAATTGTTGTCGGGTGTTTAATGTTTTTATAAAAACTGTTGGTAATTTTAATTATACGGAAAAAACGTTTCAAATAAAATCCGCATTGTTTAACTCTTAAGAAGTTTTTGGAGGAGCTTTGCTAACCGAATAAGTGGTTAGACATAAAAATCATCTCAGATTTTTAAATTCGATTCGGCCGAATCTCTGGGGTGCAAATATGATTCATTTTTTGAGATAAGGGAGGGGATAGTAGTTATGAATTTCAAACAATTTTTCGTCCGATGTTTGAGATATCTATAATAAATCACCAAATAGGTAAAGTGTACGTGCCATTACGCGTATTGTATATTGTAGGTAGGTGCAAATACAACACATTATAAGAAATGTCTAAGATTACAATACAATTTAGGCAACATCACAATACCCAATAATTGTTATTAGGTATAAGATTCGTTAAAAAAATCACAAATGTTGGAAGGAGTACAAATGTTACAACCAGGGATGGGTAAGTTACAGTACATAGTGTAATTGGATACAAGTTACGTATTACATATATCCTAAGTAACTGGTTACAAGTTACAGTTACTGTAACCAAGTTACATTATAAGTTACAAGTTAATCATAAATACACAATAAAATATATTCAATTTTTTTTTTTAAAAAAAAAGCATTAAGCACATAAAATTACTTATAATAAAATATGATTCAATGAACAAATTAATAATTTTAATTAAATAAATTTAATTATAATAGAAATTCATTAAAAGTAAATTATTGAATTTTTACAATGAAACTTAACAATAATGCATAAACCGTATACTTTCCAATAGTCTCAATATTTATAATTTTATTTATTTGTACACGAGTATAACTAATTGTTTTAACCTAACAAAGCTTTCTTAAATATTATTATAAAATAAGTATTTAATAGAATTTAAAATAATGAGTAACAAACATGTAGATACATATAAAACTATAATATTATTGTGGCCATAAAAAAATGTTTAATAAATTTAAATTTTTAACTGGAAAATTAAATATTTACTTGAATTAAAAATTATGTAAAATATTATTCTTATGGTATACAAAGATGTCAAAAATAAATTCAAATGAGTGGGTATTGTTTATCTTAGTTTTGTTACATAGATATATTAATTAAAATGATAATACATTTTTAGTTTTTATAAATCAATTAAAAATGAGTCAATCATACTGTCCATATTATTAGCACTATTATTTACAAATTATGTTAATAATATTAACTATAAATATCATTTCCTTTAAGAAACCCAAGTTTTTAAAAATTAGCGTTCGATAAATTACCTCTATTTGGGGCATGAATAAATCCAGCAAACGAAAACAATATTTCAACTGGAGATGATGATGGTAAACTTGTGTTGTATCTGGTGAATAATTTTTTTAAAATATAGTTTAAATCATTTTTCTAACCAAGTTATTAATGAATCGAAAATTGAAAGTATAACACAAATGTTGTTCCTTTAATAATTGCAATCGACTATTTAATGAAAATAAAGTAGGAATTAAATGGCCATTGTAAAAATTTGATTCAATTTATAGATGATCCAGAGCACACGCGATTGGTTTCATTATTAAAATAAATTCAGTCAAATAACTTATGTCAGTTTCGTTAAATTGATACTTAAAACCTAATTCTTTAGTCAAAGTGTTTAATTTTGCTTTATGTTTAATTAATTGTGATATGGAATCATATAATGAATTCCATCTTGTAATAACAGGGTATTTTAAAGAACAATGAATTATATTACTAATAACTTCTGATAATTTCGGTCTTCGTGAAAAAACCATAAGGTCGAACATTTTGATAATGCTGGATGGTGGTACTTATTGGCATTTGAATTCTTTAATATATTCTGGAAATCTGTTGTCGCTAATAGACCAAGTGTATGTAATGCACAATGTAAATGTTGGGGTAGTACTGGTAGTAGGATGTCTCCATCTTCATTTCCATCAATAACCAAAAATGATAACTCATCATCTTCGTTAAGATCTTTGTCCATACCTAAATATTAATAATAATCATAATCTTGACCCGTTATAAAATCAATCATTATAAAATAATTTATGTATAATATATACCTTCGTCGGAGTTTATGTCTGAATCAGTGTTTGATATCTTTATTTTGCAACCAAACTCCTTGAATGATTTTACAAAGTTGCACCCGTTACTGTAGTAACTATATTATCATTACTTGAATGAAATTTGCTAAATATATATATGTGCACCAAAAAATAGTTGGCAAGCTAGAACACAACTATGACGGCCTAACGTTTTGTCATCGATCTGAAAATATTATAGCCTATAGCTGCTATAAGTTATAAAATAATAAAGTTTACCCAGTGAGCTGTAATGCCTATAAAACTGCGATGTTTTGTCAACCAAATGTCAGCAGTTGTACAAACGTGGACTTCAGAATGTGTTTGAAAAAATAATTTTAAACTATTTGAAACATTGTTATATTTGTCATTTATACGTCTACCAACTGTTCTCCTAGATATAATTTTTATATTTGGATCTAAATCTAAATAATTATATTATTTAAAATTGGATTAAATACAATTTGTGTGTTTTATAAATTATCATAAATAGGTACCTACCCAAAATAAGTTTTTGAAGATCTTTATTTTCAGTTATGGATAGGAGTTTCATATTGTTAACAATAAAATTAACCAAATTATTTTCATATTGGGTTTGCTTCAATCCTCCACTGTTAGATGGAAATAAATTGTTTAGTTTTAATTATTTAGAATTTGACATACTTTTATTATTTTTCTTATGAGTATTCATCTTTAAATAATTTTCAAATTTTTTAAATTTAGTAAAATGAAACCTCTGAAAAGTATAAAATTAAATCATAATTCTACGCCCTTTTAATTATTAATGCATATTGTATTAGCTACAAAAATTAAAACTTGCCTTCATATGAGTATGAAAATTCGAAGTGTGTTTAAAAGAACCAGATATTGTTTTTATTTCATTCTTCTGTTCCTTACATATCATACATATTGCTTTCACAATTATGTTCTTAACAATTACAACTTCAAAACATTTTCCATCTAATATAGGGGGTGTTTTATCCATATTTAACAAAAAAACGCGTCAAAAATCAAAAATATACCGACAATAACAAAGTATAACCTTAACTGACACACAACTAACATCGGTTCAACTAAAACCAGTAATGCCACGATTGTTCTAAGTACATACAAATTTCCAATTTTATTTTTATAATATTTATTAGAGTTATGATTATTTTTACACGATTAGATTAGGAAATTTCAAAATGCATACGTCGTATTGCATACTAAATCATATCTACGGTTTTTCCAGGCTTCTATATTCATGACGGAATTCTAAATATTATTTACACCCATACAATTTGATTTCCACGATGATCATATTATTACCTATTATTATTATATTATATTGTTATACTTATAGAATATAATTATCAAGTTTTCAGAACGAGTAATTGAATGTTTAAAAATTTATTTTCTAAGACTTATGATAATATTAGCATTTTAAAGATAGTAGGTACCTATTTATATAAACAAAAATTATAAAATACATCATAATTGATTAGCTTTCTCAGTCTTTAATGAAAATATTCAAGTTTAATTCACATGATATTATTTTTATTGAATACAAAAATGACATAATTATTGTAGTATTGATAATAATGTATTAGTATTGTAACAATTTTGAATTTTTTTTTTTTGTATGATTTTTGTAACTTAAGTTACTTATATCTAATTATTACAAATGATAACTCGTTACATTTAAAAGTTATTTTAAAATTGTGTAACTAATTACAAGTTACAAATTACAAAAGTAACCGAGTTACGTAACTTTGATACATGTAACTGATTACTGCCCACACCTGGTTACAACCATTCTACAATTATTAATGCGTTTAATATTGATTATAAGTTTTCACGCTAACGTGTTGAGTAAAAATATATCGCGTTTTATTTATTATTTTCTATGTTGAATGGATGAGAAAAATGTAATAAATCTTAAAAGATTTTGCGTAGGGAAATTTAAGGAATGACTGTTTTTAATATAGGTAATCTTAAATAGTTTTAGATAAAGTGAGTTCCACTTATTTACTTTTTACTGTTTTCAGAATGCCCAATGATTTATTATTCATTTTAACTATAAAATACTCATTGGCGGTTTTATTTTGAGACAATTGGTGATCCGTTTCTTAACGGTTTTTTATCGCTATTTTATGCAAAAACGTCAAAAGCAATGAAGCTATAGAACTATAGAATATTATCTATTGAAAATATCATATAAAATAAACTGTATATAAGATTATTGTATAAAAAATAAATATTACATATAGGATATACGATATTATACATTATTATATATTAACATACTTTATATTTTTAAAGTATTATTTCAAAAAAAATTATATTTCTCGATAGTTTTTCTGATACAAGCGACGGTAGCGCAGCAAGCGGTTATCCTTATCAACAAATATCGATATTGCATAATGCAATCGATAGTGTCTTATATCAAATATGAACTAAATTCAATTTTTTTAAAATTTGAGAGTGGGTTAATATTCAAACAAAAGGCCTTCCTATGGTCTGGAAAGAAAAAAGGGGATAATAGAACTTACTGCGTTAAGTTTACATAAGAACAAAATTAATGATTGCTATAATAATAATCAATACTTAAAAGAAAAAATAACATTTATATTTAAATGTTATAAATTAAATAAAGAAAATTAGCCAGAAATCTCATGAAACCTAAATTTCATATTAAAGTTTACACTAAATAGTGTAAAAGTATTCCTGATTAGTGTTCGAAATGACGAAAAATTTGAAAAATATTCGAAAAGTTAATGTATTATGTTACCGCGCCATGATAAACAGTATTACCTGCTAACTATGAGGTATTATATTTACCTTCTTTAGTATGAAAACGACTCGTGTCTCCCTCTGAATTTTAATGTGATACATCATGATAGACAGCGAGGTATAAATAGCTACAGTCCGATCTTTTGCAGGCATATTTATACAAAATTGAATCAGTCATTTCGAAATGGCCATTTTTTTCATACATTTTCAAAACTAGTTTTATAAGATAGATGTATTTAACTAATAATAATGCATATTTTCTGCGAGACCACTCAAAACTCCAACAATTCATTATGGTCTAAATTAAATGGGTACACTCGAAAAGACCATTTCTCCAAACTATATTTATCAGTAATATTCTTTAAGATTGTATTATCAACTGGTTTATTGTCCAGCTGTTATTAATAACAGTATCAACATTAAAGTAAATTTGTTTTTTATAGGGGGTTAAATAGTTCAACCCTTATTCAATTTCCATCTAACTTTGATGCTGATTTAATTATCTCTAGAAACAATTTTTACGTTTACTGAAAATTTTAATTTTATGGAGAAATGGCCTTTTCGAAATGACCGATTCAATTAAAGTGGACCAGTATTTCGAAAAACCGGGAACTAACTGTTAGGTCACTCTGTATATAAAAAACATGATGATTAACCTGATTATATTCGTTATCAGTTATTATTATTATTTGTATTCTTTCTTAAAATAATGGGTCTCAAGCAAGCTTGTGTGGACTCATGATAATTATCCTTTTACAATAATAACTATCTTAAATATACACATAGATAAACATACATAAGTACATGAATACACAATTTATATAATGATATTAGGTGGTAGGTGTAGAATGTGTTTACTCTGCTGCTTGTTGTATTAGTCAAGTAGTCAAATTTGTTTTAAACCTATTATAATCTTTAGTACGTAATTCCTTAGGGACTGTTGTAAAGGTTTGGACCAGCATATAAAAAAGACAGACATAATTCATACGTGGATGCAGCTACTGTTGTAGGTGGGAAATTGGAAAGGTACGATACAGAAGGAAATTTAATATATATATATATATATGAAAGCAACGATAAACCATTGCTAACGAAAAAACGATTCTGAGTGGAGTTCAGTTGATAGTGATATTTTGTCAAAAATATATATATGCCATATTATGGTAAAATAATTAAATAGATATATATATAAATAGAATATATAAATTATATATTTACTTTAATAATATTTGTTAAATATTGTACCGATTTTCCCGATTGAGAAAACTCTTAAGAAAATTTAGAAATTGCCTCCCTAAAATACCCTCTCTATCAGATTTCCTTTTAGAAAAAGTGCTATCGTTATAAATTGGAACAAAATTGCTGGTAGAAAAGTTTTCCACAGAAAAAAAATCGTAATATTTTACTAATATATTTCGTACATTTTTCCATTTTCCTTCGTTTTTTTTTTCGGTCTATTTGTAAATCTACTTTTATCACTTATACTTATTATATATATATATATTTTTTTTATTGTTTATGTATAAATATTCTCTCTACCGCGGTATGTATAAACGTAGAATTACGTTCTGAGCTAGTTTCGGAATTAGCGATTAACAATGGACGATGCGATCTGTATTCTAATCACGAATTAAGATATACAGAATCCACAACGGACCCTGTTATCAGCAAACTATTGATTCAGACGGTTCTTATTTATCGAATAGACATAGAACGCTAATAACTAATAGTGGCGACAAGGGGTTATACTGTATTTACAAATAATAGAGAAAAAATTTTAAATTTAATAGCTTATTTAGACACTATCATAGAAGATGTTCGATGGGATATTGATGCTTACACACCACTAATATATCCAATGGTTGTACAGTGGATGCACTTTTCAGATATCCATATTATTCATTATTAAATATTTATGACTTCCAATGGATATCTAAAAGATATCCAAATGTCCGTTTTTTTTGACATTTTTGGATATGCTATTTCAATATCAATTGGTTATTTATTGATGTTATTCATGAGATGTCTTATATTATCTAACCCTAATGGATAACCACAAGTTAATATTCACATACTTCAGTTCAGTATATGCATTATATATCCAGTGGATGATAACTTAAGATATATGTT